AGCACGACATTCAAAAGACTTGTGTCCTTCCTTTTGACATCTAGTACATATGATCTTTTTCTTCTTAGAAGATTTTGAATCTTGCATTTGCTTAGATTGATTGATTGTATACGCAAATGAAGGTCTTAACTCATTTTCAGCATATGCATTTTGTAAATCCATGAACGATAGTCTTTCTAGTTTGTTGACAAACAACTTATCTTCAAGAGAATCATCGTTCAGTGTTGAGAGGCACAATAGAACTTCAACAGTCTCTAAATCTGGTGCAATAAATTTCAGATCTTCTGCGAGCATCCTAAAGTTTCTAATATGTTCTAAAGGAGAAGGGGAATCTTTGTTCATTTTCTTGTACCTAAGTAATAAACCACGCAAACTTATATTCCCGTAAGTTTTGTCAATGGCTCTTATATGATCAAATCCGGACATCACATTTTGATCTAGGACGTCAATAACATTTTGAGACAAAGTTTTCAATAGGAGCACTTTCAAGGCAATATCACATTCTTGAATAACGGACTCATCAATAAGGACGTCATTTTGAACATTCAATTGGCCAGTCTTATAGTACTGGTAAATATGTTCACTTGCTAAAAGTAGATATTTTTCAAATCTTCTTTTCCACTCCAGATAGTTGTTGGATGACATAAGCTTCCATGTTTCTGAAAATGGATTAGCTAATTGGAAGTGGCTGACAGGGCTCATAACCTGTTGGAATGCTAACTTTAACTGATCTGAAGTTGTCATCTTTTGGATAATTTAATATACCTTTTACTACCTTATATCAGTAGTTGTATAAGCTTATATTTATAAGATTTATATGTAAATCTTACCAATTGAATGTTCACTTAAGATGAGGGAGAATCTAACTGTATTTATAGTAGATTCTAATACCACTCTAAATCTTTAGTGTGCTTTCTGAAACTTATCTCTAATCCTAACTGATTAGGATTGTTTCACATAATATTTATGCAGGAGATGCATATCTCTGCATAGTCACGTGACATATTATAGACTAATATCTCAACAACAGTTTTATGACCATAATCTGTTGAGATGTTAGTCGAGACTAGGTCATGTGATTATATGCATGATAATGCAGATGACACATGTATATACGCAGACTTGTGTATCTTGTATCAAGGTTGAGTGAGAAGTGCTAGGCTCTACTTTAAGTACCGGGGCATTTCTCACCTAGATATTTGAACATTTACGTGATCTGAAGTCTCCCATATATACCAACTAGCATAATTTGTACCATTAAGAAACATGTCCACTGAAGAGCAAGCTATGCAACAATTACAACGTAATCTAACAATAGTCAAAGAATTTTAAGGATTCATGGATGAGCCTTGAGCCTGTTGGGCCTACTAGCACACTTATAGTCAACTATTTTGTACATGAAACATGAATCCATTCAATCTATCCAGTTTTCTTGAGACTGCAGGAACAGGACCAAAATGTCCTTTTCGAAACTGGACCCACTAGCAGGTTCCAGCATGCCTTAATGCCAAAAAAAAAATTTAAGCTCTGAAGAGAGGATGGATACATTTATACTATGGGGATTTTGTTTGTGTACCACTTGAGTGTAAGAAAAGGATATTGACAAGTTATTGAAACAAGCCCTACATGGATTGGAAGTACACAATGGAAATATAGAAGAAAAGGTAGTGTGAATAGGTCAAAGAATGAAATAGGTCAAAGAATGTATACTTATTGAGTAAAACAAAGGGAACTCCACTCTTTTCATGTCTATCTAACTAACAAAGCACAGAATGTTGTGACACCACTTGTTTCACGCTACAAATAGATGCGCAACTTCGGACTATTAAAGTCCGAGATCTTATCTTTGGCGCTTGCATGCGCTTGCATGACTATCTGCACTCAACCAATGAAGCAAACTTTCAATCAAATCAGATTGCTTCCTCCCTGTGCACCTTGTGCCTCAAATAGAAAGCTGCTCAAACCCAAAGTATAAGAGAAAATCCAATATAGAATGAAAAAAATTGAGTGCTGTAGGATTACGGTAAGTGGACTACATGGGTACATCTGTGCTCTTACGGAGAAGAGGTTTTACCAATTAGCTAAAGCTGAAAATAAACTCTTGATGTGTCATGTGCATAGATGAGTTGGGCTGTGACACGAACATAAAATTAACAGACGATAAAGGAACTGTTGAGATATTAGTCTATAATATGTCACGTGACTATGCAGAGATATGCATCTCCTGCATAAATATTATGTGAAACAAATCCTAATCAGTTAGGATTAGAGATAAGTTTCAGAAAGCACACTAAAGATTTAGAGTGGTATTAGAATCTACTATAAATACAGTTAGATTCTCCCTCATCTTAAGTGAACATTCAATTGGTAAGATTTACATATAAATCTTATAAATATAAGCTTATACAACTACTGATATAAGGTAGTAAAAGGTATATTAAATTATCCAAAAGATGACAACTTCAGATCAGTTAAAGTTAGCATTCCAACAGGAACAGATTAGGATGGGTATTAATGAACTAGGTGGACATCAAGATACTAGAGATCAGAAGTGTTCGTCACCAAAGAGCTACTCTACTATTAATTCATCTGACTATAGGCTTAAAAGCAGGTAATTCAAAATAGAATTGTCTACAAGGCTCTATCGAATCTTGCTCTGGTCAGCATGCAACCTTGTTTGCTTGCTTTTCATTTTTGAACCTGTCCCTTCTGTAGTAATCAAGTTTACTTTTTCCTCGGATACTATGAAGCAAAATATTTTTTGGTAGAGTATATCAATCCTATCTTAATTGCGGGATATATGCAGGCACAGAAAAAAATCCTGGTACTTGAGATAGTTCCAATGAATGGGTGGCATTTCGATAAGGTTTGGTCCTTTTGACTAGTTCAGGCCAATTGACCTATTATAGCAATTGGTAGCAATTGGCACTACTTAGATTTCTGGATCTTATAAATGAGTATTTTGCAACTGGAATGTATTTCTGAGATTGGTGTAGCTATTATCCGTGGTGACATTGGTTTGGCAAAACATGTTTTCATTTCTTGTTTCAGATTTTTTAACTGAAGGGAAATATGAGACTTGCCTTCAGCTTAATTAGCATGGCATGGGAGGGTTACCTTGATCAGGTAACGTCCATTATATTTCCAATAACGCATACATGTTTACCTAATAGTAGCCCATATCTATTCAACAGGCAGTGGCCCCAAAATCTTAATAGATAATTGAGATCAGCATTCGGTGTAGCTATGCATGTTTCACCCAATCAGAGTCAAGTGAATGAAAAAGAAAAAGCCCCTTAACTTCTCTTTAAGACCATCATTCTCATGCGCTGTCTGCGTATTTGTCCAAGAGGCATGGATTGGAAGCTGTCAGTTTCAACCAAGATAATCTATCAATAGTCTAGTACCACCACATTTCTTTCCCTCAGATTTCACAGCAGAGGCTTTCATTCGATAGATTAGAGTCTGCGGTATTTGATTAAGTTGTGGCTTCTTGTCGTTCGCTATAGACTTGCTATGAAATAAGTGCGTTAGCGCATCCGACTTACGAAAGGCATGCACAGTTATTATGTTTAATCAGTGAGACAATAAAATCTTTTCATAAAGCTTCCACATCCAATTGTAATATTGGTTCCTGCATACACTTCAGCAAACTTATGGTCCTGAAAATTTTTACGTTGACTGGTGGAAATTTCATATCTGGCTAATTGACTGATAGGTTTCTAAGTAGGGAGGTCAACGATACTATGAACTAGATTACTTTGATGTAAGTAATTTATGAACAAGATCGTTGAAGCCTTTTTTTTTGGTGAAGTTCTGGCATCGTAATCCAAGAATCAAAATATTCTTGTTGTCATTGAGCCGCAAACCCCTAACTTCAGGATAAGAAACATGATTGCATTATCGCAACTGCTACCTTCTAACGCACAAAGTAATAGCTTCAAACGTCAATATATATGGTCTCCTGACAGCAAAAAGCAGGTGCATGTTATTTCAATCGCCATACCATCTTGATGATTCCACCAAAACTGTGACCATTCGCTCAGTCAAGATCTATTTGCCCTAACAACTGCTCTAGCCATCAAAGTCTTTAGCAGCTTCAGCCATAAAAAAGTCCAAGGTTCTGGGGCAAATCGGGTCATACTATTCTGTTTCTTTAAATTACTATTGAGAATAGAACTCTCAATCCATAATATTATAACAGACTGAGAGCGATTCAGCATCTTTTACAGTGTCAGCATTACATAAATTTAGTTTATCAACTGAGTGAGTATCGGGTAATCCTCACTAATCTTAAACATAGTCGACTGTATTTAAGAGAATAATACTGAACATATTCTTTTGCGGCTGAACGCCCCTTCGTTTGGCTTCGTATGAAAAACGATAGAAGAAATCTCACGAGGTACTACTGTATTCATAGCAAATAGAGTTTCCTCTATGTTGTTGTTATACGGGGTTAGACCACATATAATAGAAAGTTGTTTCACAGTCAGAATCCCACGATGGCCAAAGGCTCTGTGATTCGCAAGTACATTAGTAAGATATCATATCTAGGGACTTATCTGAAAATGAGAATTTATTCCACAACCAAATGTGATCTGGAAATGTGGAGGTTGCGGTGAATAAATCTAGAGAAACTTTCAAGGATACGGCAACACGTAGATAATATTTATGTTCAGACAAATCATAATCAACATCAGGATTGCATGACCTGACCATTTGTGAGTGAAGCTTCTTTCTTCGAAGAAAGGAACTCTAAGCGAATAGGTGACGTGTGATTAATAAGCTTGTCAGAAAGAGTTCCGTCAGAGAGTTCCCCCTCCAGTGGACGTATATTCGATGATGTACAAGATCGGGAACCGTAGACCATCGTTAGACCCCCCACGATAGGATCTGAAGAGCTGAAACTTATTTAGATAAACCTTTTGCTGCGCAGTCAATTTCAAAAGGATGATAATAATCAATACACCGAATCTTGATATTACTCAGGACTGCGACATATGTTATTTGAACAGGATAGGATAGAAGCAAAGTTTACAGGCCTAGATGGAGGTTGCATGAAAGCAAGTCGGGCATCGAATGATTCACATTCGGGTGCAACAGACAATCTCATAGAGCCAAACCTTAAAGTTACCGCAGTGAACAAAGAATTAATGTTCAAACTGGACTCTACCGAGTCATTGTGCAAGGGATCCTGTACTGCTGAATATGAATCGGTTTCTGCTTGCAACAAGGAAGTCCTGCTCATTGAAAAAGCCTGTAGACACTTAATCAACCGTCCCAAAGACATGTCAAGTGGTTGATAACCTTATGTGCTGGCTGTAACCTAAGAAACTAGCTGATGGGATCTTAGGAGACAGTTTGGTGTCGCGAAGGAAATGGCGATGAAAAATTTTGTAGTTGTTGCATAGCTTGCTCTTCAGTGGACATGTTTCTTAATGATACAAATTATGCTAGTTGGTATATATGGGAGACTTCAGATCACATAAATGTTCAAATATCTAGGTGAGAAATGCCCCGGTACTTAAAGTAGAGCCTAGCACTTCTCACTCAACCTTGATACAAGATACACAAGTCTGCGTATATACATGTGTCATCTGCATTATCATGCATATAATCACATGACCTAGTCTTGACTAACTCTTAACAAAAATGAAGCTCGACAACTACATGTCTACGGACGAAGGCTCTATTGAAAGAGAACAAAGCCAGGATAATAAACAGATGATAATCTAAGTAGCGCGGGCCACTGCTCTGTTAATGAAAAGTATCCAGGAGTACTACAAAACAGTTGACGTGGGCCAAGAAGTCCTGCTTCTGTGAGAGAACACTAAAACGAGAAGATGAAAGTCCGAGGCGCACGTTGATTGGAGGCGTTGTGATAATTAGAATAAGGCGAGCTCTCGGATCAATTTAATGACCTTGGAAATGGAAACTTATGTTGATTCCAGAGCCATGTGAGACGTATAAGCTCCTCCATTACATCTCCCTCGCTAATTATTTGGCATTATTGGATGGTGAGGTCACTGTAGTTTGTTTATTTGACCTCCATCTAGTACGAGCAATTGCAAGTATTCATAAGTACCCAGGTGGTAGCTCATACCTTTTTTAGCTCTTCAATCTCTCGTTATACCTATAATGCACACTTGGGGGGCCTCAGTCTTAAAAGAACAATAATCAGGTATGCGTTTCAGATACTTGAGCGAACGTTTGATTCTGGCTTTTATCAAGTCGCTTTTGATCTGAACTATCTCTTCGAGTTCCACAGGACAAATGCAATGTCAATCCGAACATCCAGGGCCCCATGACATTTTTTCTACCGGCATGCCCTGATGGTGATAGTCTGCGAAGTTCACAGTTTAGTCGTTGGAAAAACATAGGGTAGTTCAAACATTGTAAGGCTGAAGCTTTTTATCCACATGGAGCATATATAGATGAAAAAGATTGAAAGATAGGGAATTATGTAAACCTATTGTTCATTCCGAAAGCCAAAAACGAAAACGGGAGCACAGCAGATTTTTGGTCCTAGAAACGGTGCAGTACCAGACTTGTCTGAGTTGGTTCTCAAACTTTGTGGTGCTGATCGAACGGGGGAAACAACAGACTGTGATGCGTATCAATATTACTTCTACTACAGAAAAAATAATAAATTTAAATATTAGCACTTTTTATAATCGAAACTTAAACACTAATACAAATAACGACCAACAGACCTTGCCACAAAATGAAACGAATGACGATTTTAGCCAACTGTTCATATAATACTAGTGGATCTTGCCGATTTTAATAATAGCAACCTGAGTCTTGTGGTTCACATGGAAAGGGAATCAAGTGGCATCAAATGGAGATGCTAATAGTCGTAAAAGCTCATCGAAGACATACCATGAAGGCAAGATGCTTTGACTCGGGTACTCGAGCCAATGTCATCTGCTGGCTTAGTTACCCCATAAATCCATAAATGTGTTCAAGGTATTTCAACAAATCATCTTCCATGATCAGGAGGTGGCAGAGTTCTGAGCGGTCTTTCGGACAGGTGGTGGAATATTGCATTAGGGGCTTTCATATTGAAAATAACTTTCCCATCATCTTTTTTGCAGTGCCAAGCAAACGAGGATGGCATCTTTCTGATATAACTCAAGAATTTGGTTTTGGGCTTTAGCCAAGCACCAGTCTAAATTACTTCTCCCCGGTAGATAGTTGCCATCACTTGGGGGTTTATTTGACATCTGAAGCAAAATCCGTTTTTTAGTTGAATTACCCAATGGGCCCCAGAGCTTGTAATACTTAACCTGTAAGATAACCATCTGTCTTCTGTAGTTGAAGTGCTCATAGCTAACTGGACGGCTTTTGACGTATAACTATCCAATCCCCGCTTCTATGTTCGGAACTGTTTAGGAAATTGAAATATCCCTGTCTGTGCACACTTCCAAAATTTAGTGAGTTTTATGAAGGATCGTCCGCGTCGTTTACTGTTGTCCTTTCTGAGCATACCATAATCGAAAATGCATAACCTTCAATCCAGGATAGAGCGTATAAGTCGTCTCATAAGGGAAAAGATAAGATTTCATTTCCTGCCCCGATTGCCCTGGGGGGTACTTCAGGCGTTTCTATTATAAGTCAACTTCAACGAAAACGCTTTCGTTTTATTTCAATTTTATTTTCAGTTTGCGTCCCTAAAAATGGCAAACGTGGTTTTGAGCCCAAAATTAAAAAACGGTCAGTCTATTCTTTTATCCTCCTTGTCCAGTTGTAAATCAAATGAAATGATCATAGCTATGTGGCTTGTAAGCTAGAAGAATGCTTGGACTGAGCGTCAAATTCCCATCATTTAAAAGTGCTGACGCTTTTTTTCAATAATGTCTTGTGAAAGATTCCATCACCAAAAATATATTTCAGAACCACAATATTGGCTAGGTTCATCATAACCAATGTATATCATTGCGTAGGTCATCCTCAAATTTAATCCTGATACTCAACTCCAAAGTTAGAAGACGGGTTTGTCATAATCTCAATGGTCTTGATAACATGAACGTTTCACGCCGGTATAAAAAAAGTGGCGTCTCGAATGAGTTCTGAATTCATATGCCAGTATATGACAGTCGATACTATTGCCATCGCTTCCTGTTGAGACGAATTTGCAAAAAGATGTAACCAGATCTCAAAATTCGAAAAATAGGCTTGATGTGGCACAGGTCGCATGGATATAAGGCCATCTCTTGATTGGTGATCTGGATCCCATGTCCACGGATAATCGTAGTTCTATGCTCCAGAAACTGTGCGAACCATTCGGTGAAAGCATAAAGCTTATCGAGTTCTAAAAAGCGTTCAAGACACACACGCTGAAATGTGTAAAAGAGTTGCAGTAGTGAAGTGGGAAAAACCTACTGATCCTTAAAATGACTGACTGGCCAGGTGAAAACACGCAAGAGATAAATCCAACAATTGAGAATAATACAGTAATGAGGTTGACTTCTCGAGGTTGATGTCGTACTCGACATTTTTTTAAGACGCTATAAGCAGCTGTTATAAAGGCCCCCCTAATAGGTGTGTCAGTAAAAAGTTTCGGCACCTAGGGCCCTATGAACGCCAAAGAGCTGAACAGTTGATCATTTTCACATCTGTGCGGTAAAATTTCCGTGAAACTGGTGTTATATTTCTGTTTCGTTGTGATTTGCATGCATGACTCCGTGCTCAAAATGGGTGCAAAATCTGAACCTGAACGTAAGTTTTCATGACAGGTAATGACAGTAAGCAAGGTTAGTTCTAAAAATACTGTCGCTAACACGATTGATGTCCTTGATATTCGTGAACTACTGAAACCCAAAATATGGTAAAGTAATTAACTCTTTAGCAAGAGAGGTAAATCAACAGCTGAAACCTCATGAACGAATTCATTCAGCCCTTTTATGAGATGGCCGCTGAAAAAAATACATTTCCATCTCTTGTATTCGACGTGTGTATTTAAAAGAATAGTGAGCTCTGCGGTCGATGCTTTATCAAAATGTATAGTGTATATACCAAAAAGAAATTTTGATTTTGATATCTTTGGCATCATTCGACCTGAACTAGGAAGATCAAGCTTGCACGCATACGTTCTCCGTACCAAGACTTGATTGTCTCCCTCAAAGTAAAAATTAAGGTAAGACTCGTTGGCTCCTATTATATTCATTTGAATAAAGATATCATTTGTCTTGCATCATAAAGCGTGCCTTCAATACCTAGAGAATTTAGATTTACTTAACTCTGAAAATGATCAGGCCCCGAAAACCAGTCATTTTACTTGCTTCTGTGGTCTGTATTCTTGTGGTTTTTGGAATTGTAAGCTCTCGAAATGAGAAATTAAAAGCAGAGATACAAGAGGAGGCAAACCATTTGCTTTATCAATGGGAAACTCTCGAAAAGACTTCCAAGTTTGTTCACAAGCAAAACTATACAAGTGAAATTTCACCCGAACCTTGTACTGTGATAAATCCCCTGACCAATCAATTTTTTGATCTTCGACCTTTAGGTGCATTGGGAAACGATGGGCTGGTACAGGCATGGAATGCACGCGGCTACGATTATGGTCGAAACTTTTCCATAGGTATTTGTTCGACCCCATTAAAACAGCCTCAAAGTCTTCCAGAGTCAGATTTTGAAGGTGTCACAAATAAAAGTGAGGTTGGTGGTTATTATACTGATACAACAGGTCACAAAAAATCCATAGGACAGATATCAACGACTCCAAAATTCAGAGGACGGAAGCTGGTTCTTGAATACACAGACGGTAGTGTTTGTGAAGGCTTCAAAAATGATGGCTCACTAAAAAAGTCGACCATTTTATCGTTTGTTTGTGATCGGGAGATTATGACAAAAGCATCGATCTCTTACGTGGGTTCCCTACATGATTGTTCCTACTTTTTTGAGGTGAGAACTATTCATGGGTGTCCGACAGCCGCAAAGAAAGACGACAAGGCAATAATCTGGATTTTCCTTTTCATTTGCTTGTGTGCTGTTGCGGTGTTCTTTGGGGGAGGTTTTATTTATTCACTTTTCAAATATAACCAGGGCCGTCAATCAGTTTCTCACTGGAAACGCAATTCTTTCACAGCTGGAGTGAAAAACCTTGCTCAGGTAAGTCAACGTGAGGAGATTTACAAATAACTAGATACTAATATCGACTCAATCGGCTATAGAGGGAATTAGTGCACAATCAATATCGTGATAATGTGCCAGAATTCAACAACTTTTTCAGCTCATTTTCAGGAGATGAAAACGAGTTGATTGATGCACTGGATGCGCAACAGAATGAAAACTAATAGACCATTTAGCAGTCTTTATCGAAGGTGAACAATTAAATTAAATCTAATTACCCGGCATTAACTTCCGGGTAACCAAACTTTAAGGCCGAAAATTTTTGCGATGAGGCGAATTGAATAAGGTGGGAATTGACCTGAAAAATTTTCTTCAGCAGCTTTTTCAAAGACTGAAAACTACAAAATGGGTAAAGAAAAGACTCACGTTAACGTCGTTGTTATTGGTCACGTCGACTCTGGTAAATCTACCACTACCGGCCACTTGATCTACAAGTGTGGTGGTATCGACAAGAGAACCATCGAGAAGTTTGAAAAGGAGGCTGCCGAGCTTGGTAAGGGTTCCTTCAAATACGCTTGGGTTTTGGACAAGTTGAAGGCTGAGAGAGAAAGAGGTATCACCATCGATATCGCTTTGTGGAAATTCGAGACTCCAAAGTACCACGTCACTGTTATTGATGCTCCAGGTCACAGAGATTTCATCAAGAACATGATTACTGGTACTTCCCAGGCTGACTGTGCTATTTTGATTATTGCTGGTGGTACCGGTGAGTTCGAGGCTGGTATTTCCAAGGACGGTCAAACCAGAGAGCACGCTTTGTTGGCTTTCACCCTTGGTGTCAGACAACTGATTGTTGCTGTCAACAAGATGGACTCTGTTCAATGGTCTGAGGCCAGATTCGAGGAAATTGTCAAGGAAACCTCTAACTTCATCAAGAAGGTTGGTTACAACCCTAAGACTGTTCCATTCGTCCCAATTTCTGGTTGGAACGGTGACAACATGATTGAGCCTTCTTCTAACTGCCCATGGTACAAGGGATGGCAAAAGGAGACCAAGTCTGGTGTCGTCAAGGGTAAGACTCTTCTCGAGGCCATTGACGCCATTGAGCCACCTGCCAGACCATCTGACAAGCCATTGAGATTGCCATTGCAAGATGTCTACAAGATTGGTGGTATCGGTACTGTTCCAGTCGGTAGAGTTGAGACTGGTGTCATCAAAGCTGGTATGGTTGTTACTTTCGCCCCAGCTGGTGTTACCACCGAAGTCAAGTCCGTCGAGATGCACCACGAGCAGCTTGCTGAGGGTCTTCCAGGTGACAATGTTGGATTCAACGTCAAGAACGTTTCCGTCAAGGAAATTAGAAGAGGTAACGTCTGTGGTGATTCGAAGAACGACCCACCTCAAGGATGTGCTTCCTTCAACGCTCAAGTCATTATCTTGAACCACCCAGGTCAGATCTCTGCTGGTTACTCTCCAGTTTTGGACTGCCACACTGCCCACATTGCCTGCAGATTCGACCAACTGCTCGAGAAGATCGACAGAAGAACCGGTAAGAAGATTGAGGAGAACCCTAAGTTTGTCAAGTCTGGTGACGCTGCTATTGTTAAGATGATCCCATCTAAGCCAATGTGTGTTGAGACCTTCACTGAGTACCCACCATTGGGAAGATTTGCCGTCAGAGATATGAGACAGACCGTTGCCGTCGGTGTCATCAAGTCTGTTGAGAAGACTGCTGCTGGTGCCGGAAAGGTCACCAAGGCTGCTCAAAAGGCTGCCAAGAAATAAGCAAGTAGCTTCGAATAATATCTTACTTCAGCGAGCTAAATAGTTCCAATGCTGAGTATGGTCTTCATCATGGGCTCAATGCCAACGTAAAATTCAAGTTCAAAGTTTTTACTTGATTACATGTTTGTTCGCTTTTTGCCATTGAATCGACTGATCAAATATTATAAACTATTACTAGGTGCTTGTCCCAAACCTCTGGCAGAATTAATATTGTCAAGAATAGTTTTGTTAGTGCGGTTGTTTGTCTTTGAAACCAACTGCTGACTGGCGATTGAAGAACTTGAAGAAACAGTGTTTTGTAAATTTGCAGTCTTCGAAAGTTCGTTGATATTATCATCGCCAGAGGATAATGTCTGATTTTTCCTAGGAGCCGTAGGTACCACTGAATATGCACGCTCCCTGAAGGAGATACCAACTTGCCTCATCCTCTTACTGTTTTGTAAGTTGTTTGGGTCTAGTTCGTTAAACCAGTTTGTGTTTTCGTCAAACTCATAAATATGGTAATCCACGCCAAAAGGTTTAGGTTCAAACATGTAGATTGTATGCAATGGCACATCCAAGTCCCCCACAGAGTTTTTGTTCAGATTCAAAAAGTATGCAATCAAAACCCTTGCCACAACTCTGTGTGTGATAATTAATATATGATTCGTGGTCCTCTCCAGCTCGGTTATCAAAGGCTTGAGCCTTGCAATCACGTCCAAGTATGATTCGCCACCAACACCAGGATACCTGTAGGCCATTTTGTTTTCCAACCTAGACTTGAATTCTTCGGGAAAACGCTTTTGAATTTCTTCATATGTCATACCGTCAAATTTTCCACTTCCCAGCTCGTCTAACATACGCATTTCCTTGATATCATAGAAGTCATCCGAAAAGTATTTAGCCGTCTGTACGCTGCGGCGGAGCATCGACGTGAAAACCGAAAACGATGGCTCCTCAGGGATACTTTTATTCAGCTGAGAGCCCGAAACTAGACTAGCGTTTCTTACACTGAATGCTTTTAACTGGGCTTCCCTAAATTGACGCTTTTTGAAATCCATGAATTTTGCAAGAGCCTTAGCAAAAGCATGTCCTCTCGGAGTTAAATTTGAATCCCCACCAATTCTCCCTTTGACATTATCCTCTGATTCACCATGTCTGGTGATGAATATTTGTCTAGGACTTAAATTAAAATTCAGAAAATAGTAAATGATTTGTGATGCCAAAAATCCCCGTATATTACATGCAATAACCTTACGGCCGACATCGATCATCTTCACATATTGAAAATTTTTGTCCTTTTCTTCTTCTTCATCAATAGTTTCATACGCAAGTTCATAATTCTTCAATCTTCCGAGGAAATCCTTGATTGCAAGTTCGGGTTTCATATTCCGGTAATCAGGCCCTTGTAATTTGAGCTGAATATTATCCTCCAGTATTGTCCTATCATTACAAATACTCTCTAGAAAAAGAACTTTGAGTTGTCCCTTGCTCTTTTCCATGATCATATCAAGGACAGTTTTGCGCCTCTGCTTGGTTGAATTTGTGGCATCAAAAACGCCAACACACCCGTCTCCCTCCAAAAGATAATGCAGTAGGTTATCCAAAGTTTCTTTAGCCCACTCCTCTCTCAGAAGGATGTTGGATTTGTTATCGGGAGAAAAGAAACTGGCGTCATGTAATGTGCCAATCTTCTTGTCGGGTAAGGGTGAGTTTTCTGGTCCTACATTGGCGGCCTTTGCTCTTCGTGTAGATCCAACGTTAAATATTTTGGCATTAATTTGAAGCCAATTCAAGTATCTGACAAGCTTGTTGCTTAGATAGGACTTGCCTCTGGCTGGTAATCCAATCATAACCACTACCACCCTTTCACTTGTATTAACAATTGTCCCATCCGGGGATGTCTTTGACTTCGTCTGGCCGGGGATATCAAGGGTCGTTTTGGCAGGCCTGATCGAGCTAGAACCCATTTTGTAGGGCTCCAAATGTTGATTGCGATCAGTATTAGGTTTCGTGCTATCATCATTTATATGTTTGCTAGTTATATCATCCTCATCTTCACTTAAATCAAGAGGAGACATTGCCATTCCGGCACGTGGTGACGCGGTACCACTAACTATAGGAGTATCGTTTAACGGTCTTTTGTTGAATGCAATTGTAGGGTTGGGCCCCACTCCTCTTGAGCGTTGTGCAAGATCATATTTCTGAAGTTTTTGGTTGAGTAAGTCCAATTCGGGGTCACATGTTGCGTCATCTGCCCGAGTATGACAGCCAATCATATCTTCCTCATCACTAACCAATGCTGATTCTCCATCATTTGTTTCATTATTTAAACTCTCTTTCACTCTTGATAAAAATCTGTCACTTTTTGATGGGAAAAACGGAGGTGAGGTGGAGCGGTCGCTTGCCATATTAACGCCAATGACTCAGATCAAAATGGTATCTCTGGCTGTTCAATGCTGTTGTGTATATATTTTTGCCCCTGAGTTGTTTTAGTTATGGCCTGATGGTGACTGATTATTGGGAGCAGGAGAAGCAGTAAGTGAGGCGATTATTATCGAACTGAATTTGCCCGCGAACTTATTATATACAAAGTTTTTTTCTCAAGATATGGAAGGGAAATCTTCGGAGCCCAGTCAAACGTACGAAAAGAAAAGCTCTTAATATTAATTCGTTACGATCCATATGCTTATCAGTCTAAAAGCCTCAAAACATACTCAACAGTTGTGAATGTTGCCGCGCTACAAGGTATAGCCCTCAGGAGAGTAGGGCCGATTCCTTTCCAAAATCCTAAAGGTCCCTCGTGTCTCATAATGTGCTTCACGACTTTGACAGCTGAACCCTTGTATCGCGAGCTTTTTCCAAAACCGTCACTTTGAAGCCGACTCTTCACCACATCCAAAGGATAAGAGCTAACCCACAAAGCATCTCCGGCAACAGCGCCACAGATGAGGAGTTCCATCGTTGAGATGTTCTGACGTTCAATTTCATGGAGCTGAATGAATTTGTTGATCAGGTACTCGTACGTTAAGAACCAAATGCCATAAGCTTGTGCTTCTCTCAACAAGGTCACCACCCCCCCTCTGAAAATTCCTCTCAAAAGGCCTGCTTCCTTGTAGATTTTTGATATTGCATCTTTCGGGCCATTGTATATTCTTGAATTGTCTTTTTGCACCTGCAACAAAATTCTGATTTGCTCAACTGGAGAGGTGATTGGAGCGTTTACAATGCCAGCAAATGCCCCCGCAATGTAGAACTGCCCCAAAGTCAAATACTGCTGTTTGGGATTTCTCTTCAGAATTTGTCTTTTGGCCTCATGAAAACCGTAAAATTGAATAGAAACGCAGGCTCCAACTCCAATTAAAGGTGCTAAAGTTCCTTTGTAAAATGCTCTCAAACCTTCGTTTCTAACGGTGTCCGAAAGTGCAGAAATCGGTGAGCTGTACTGTCCGGTTTGGACTCTAACCTTGATCAGGTCAAATGGCTGACCGACTAAAACCTGTACTCCTCCACCCGCAAAACCGGCAAGCTTTTTCGTGTCAGTTAGTTTATTTGCTTCAAGGATATCATCCTTACCGTATCTTTCACTTTGCGAGACCAGCTATGGTCTACACTCGTATTCAGGTCTGACATTGAAGACCTTGCCGATCAAAACAAGTATAATTAGGTTTGTCATTGTAATCTCTCAGTACAGCATAGCTGGACAATGATGAATGATCACGTGATAAAAAAAATCAACCTTACAGAAACAATAAAAAGGTAAACGTAGCTATAATGAATAGGCGTAGCTTGGCGTCGGCTTGATCATTTTCGATCCCTATCATCCAGCATTCTGGAAACAAGTTCATCAAGAGGACCATAATCTTTAGAAGTGAGAATGTGGAATTCAGAGCAAAATAACACAAAATGTTTCAGGGATGTATTCAAATGTGTTTGCAGCCCAAGCTCGTTTATCTCATCAAAATGATGGCAGTACATATGAGCGTAAACACGAAACAATCGTTTCATAATAGTTCGCACTAAGGACGGAAACTGTTTGGGAAATACCACTCCCATTTTCGTTGGAAAGATACTATCATCATCTAGAAAACCTTGTATCCACACCATAAGCGCTTCAACATAACCTGGAGCAGACATAGATGTTGGTTTGTTGCTACTTCTGTTCATAGGGTCTTGCCACAAATATTCATACTCTTGGGTAGCTATCATTCGGGGACATGTGATGGGTGAGCAGAATTCAGTAATGGTTCCGTATAACATGTTGACCTGGTTATAAAAGTCAACAACATGCACAGCTAACCACTCGTTAAGATCTTCGTCTCGTGGTAGTTTGACAGCCTGTGCTAAGGCAGATCCTGATCCAAGTGTTTGCTCGGCATATGAGCGAATTTCTTTGTGATTCGATACTTGATGCTGAGCCTGCTGCGGTTGGGAAAAATAGCTGACTGGCTGAGTCTGTAATTTTGCCGTGTTAGGAGAGGCCGGACCACTCTCGGGATTTCTTCTAAATACTCTAGCCGACCTTATCGTAGGAATACTAGAAGAATTGAAATGATTGTGAATGAACGACATCTGAAATCAAATGTAATACGATGTACGCAGAAGTCAGCGGACCTATCTGAGAGAATCAATCAAATCCAAAATATAATTCTGCGCCAATTAGCAAGATAAATAAGCCTGTTTACTTTTTCCCAAAAATAAGACTTCAATGCAAATTTCAGTGTGTACAACGAAAAAACAAATTATTCCAAGTAGTGTAAGGGTGTAGTTCTGTTAAAGTGAAAATCTGTAGTCAATTTGAGATTCACCACCTGGCTTCTCCACAAATAAAGAATTCAATTACGAAAGATTGTCGTTATGTCAGATTTAATAAAGATCACACAGTGTGATGTAGAGGATGCTCATGCAAACACCGACCAAGAAGTGATCTATGGGAAACTGATATCGGAAGCTAGATGTCAACGGGATCCGGAGACTGGAAATACGTTGAGACCTTGGAAATTTGAAGTTGTGCAGGGCTTCTTTAAGCAATCAGACGAGTCCACTGACGAATTGAGCTTTGACTTAATAAATGATAATTTTGGGCTGGCTTTGAGTTCTTGGAGTGCGCTGAAAGTCAAACTCCATGAGCTAAATCTTAACGCAAGACCGAATGAGTCATACAAGCTTCTCATATGTGCTCGGCATGGGCAAGGTTATCACAATGAAGCAGTGTCGATATTTGGGATCGAAGACTGGAATAATCACTGGTCTCATTGCACGGGGACTACTTTACCGGATGGAAGAGAGATTGTATGGGGACCAGACCCAATGTTGACACCCTTGGGTGAGAGACAGGCTGACGAATTGAATAAAGCATGGAGAAAACAAATTGAGCACGGGGCACCAATTCCCACCAAATATTTCAGCTCTCCATTCACTCGATCTTGCATGACGCTGGTTCGCACTTGGAGAGGCATTTCGATCTGTGAAGAAAATGAAGATCAGAGTAAACTTCTCTCCTCCGAAAGACATTTTCCTATCGTCACGGAGAATTTGAGAGAAACTATAGGCTCTCATCTATGTGATAAGAGGTCTCCAAAAAGAATAATTGCTCAAAGATTTTCTAGATATGGTTTCACTTTTGAGAATGGGTTTCAGGAAGAAGACATTTACTATAGAGACGACTGGAGGGAATCTTTGAGCGAACAGAGCCTTCGAGCTGACGCGTTTTTGCAAGATGTATTTGAAAATTATCCTGACGATATATATATCAGCTCAACTTCACATGCAGGTGAAATTCGTGCTATAATCACAGCACTGGGCCACAGAAAGTTTGCGATTCCCACAGCCGGCACTTTACCAATAGTTGTCAAAGGAACTCGAATCCAAGAGGACTCGGGTTTTGAATCAAGAGAATAGACAGGCCTTTCCTCAAAACTAGGCCCCCAGATTGTATTTTATCTTGCTTTGGAATGTAGAGAGATTTACACTGCCAGATGGATAACGCTGAAATTGACATAGAAAGGACCCACATTAAATAAACCGGCTTATTCCCCTAATAGCTCATTGACCGTACGCAGACTGCTTTCAGCAAAGTATTTAACATCAGTATCTTCGTCTGAACAAAGAAGCTCCAGTGTGGGCTTGATTTTGCTTACAGCGAAATCACGATCAGTCGAGATTACCTTCTCTGCTAAAACAAGCAGTGACTTCGCGACATTAAATCTGATGTTCGGCACATGGTCATCTTTTAGCTCATCAATAAGTGGATAAAGCTTTGACACAACCGTTTCGCTCGAAACGACTGGGATCAACTTTGTGTAGGCAAATAAACATGTGATTCTGCATATGAAATTCTCATAATCCTTGGTTTGTTTCTTGACCTCGATTCTCTTGATTAATTCCACTTTGCACCATTCTTCACCAAAGAACCTTGTCAGACTCTGCAAATTTAGAACTGCCGCTTCCCTGATAGAATAAACAGGATCCCATAACCACTCCATACAAAGCTGCCCCAGAGCTTCATCAAAAAATGCAACCCCCAGTTGTTCAGCCAAAAGGGGAATTTGTTCAATAATGGCTAATCTGACTCTCCAAAGTTTATCGTTAGCCAATGCCGTGATGGCTGGCAGTAAAGATTCCGATAAGAGCTGTATACCTATGACCTCGTTGACAAGCTGAAGATTAGAAATGATATTTAGTCTCACCTCGCTGTAATCGTCTTTCAACATCTCAACAAAAATTGGCAACAAGTGTTCTATAGTAGCATCTTTACCGAGAATAGGGGCTAATCCTGTAACTTCGCTCGCCAATGCACTTCTCACCGTTTCTGATTCATCCATACTGAGCTGAGCAACAACGGGAACAATTTTTGTCAACACAATTGAGGGGTCGCATGAGTTTGCCAACTTACAAACACCAGGGAGCTGTTTTGCAATCGCTTTTCGAACCTCAGCTTCATTGTCCTTCATCAAGGAAATCAAGTTTGAAACCAATTTTAACGTATATTGTTCATCATTGAAGCTAATCACCAATTTTTCGAATCTATCTGCGACCATATATCTGACTCTCCAACTAGGATCACTGGCTAATGTGAGCAAGCTTTTGAAGAGATCCTCATTGTGAGACGCTTCATTTATCTCACTCAAAAACGCAAGAATTGCTATCAAAACATCAACAGATAAAAATTTCACAGAGTCTTGATTGTCGTTCACCAGGGATTCATACATGGAAGTGACAAGGTCCCAGTGAAACTCATTGATGTTTTCTGGAGTCCTAAAATGTTCTGCCAAAATATCAATCAGTTTAGGCAAATGCGTTGCTGCGGCTTTCCTTACCATAGGAGAATCGTCCTGAATCAGCTCGTGGTAAAGGTTTAGCAATTCTAGTCTAGTTTCCGAGGGAACTCTGACAACAACACTTTTGAATAGACCAGTTGCTGCGATATGTAAGGAGAACCATCTTTCCTTCGCTAACCTCTGAATCAATGGGATGAACTCCTGTAATATTTGAGTTTCATCTAATTCCTCACTTATAGCATTCAGGGAGTCAACGGCTTTGTCTCTAACTATTGGCTCCTCACACGCAGCGATTTTTTCGAGGACAGGCATTAGTATAATGGCGTGTTCGCGTCCACCGACATATGGTACAAACTTTCCCAACTCTTCTGCAGCGACGGCAATCACTTCATCCTCATCTTCCGGAATAACGTCATCCAAGAAGGGAATCAATTCTTTGCGAGTCCTCTCCTGTCCTAATGCAATGGCAATCGTGTCCAACCGTTTCATAGCCTGTACTCTGCTGGCAACGTCATCATGCCTAAGCTCATCCATTAATAAAGCAATCGGATAGAGCTCTTCTGACGTAGGTTTGAGAGTTTCTTGATTTGGGGAATCCATAGTTTCAGAAACTGATAAAATGCTTTCGTGTTTTTTTTTCAGAGATTCTGAATTTAACAGGCTCTGAACTCTTGACAACTTGGGAAGGAGATTTAATGTCAGCTGTTGAGATATAAACTGAACTTTCAATCCCCGATGTAAATGATAATTAATTGAAAGCAGGACTGATCTTATAGTTGAGCGTTATTTAAAGGCAACCACACTCGTTCAGTGTTTGGCGAAATGCATGAGAGGGCTCCTAATGTTACGGTGTACAGGTGTAAAGATAAATCAATGATACCTATATATAAGTGATTTTCAGTGCCATACCCAGTGTCTGTCTGACTTTGATAAAAAGCCATAACAAACGACCTCTAACTTGGGAATACTTCTGATAGGAAAGTATAATGATACCCAGAATAAACATCAGAAAGGTTCCTTGAAAGAAAACTTTCTTGAAATCGCGTAATCCCTGCATTGAAAGTGCACTCTTCAAAATTCGATAAATACTACTTTTTCCATCTGCAATCATCTGGGAATTATCGTCGAGATGTTGTTCAATCCTTTTCCCACGTCTCCTTTTGCGAGTCTTGGGCCTTTCCTCATTACAGTCAGTTGATGGTGCTTTTTTGTCGCCTGCCTTAAAGTTGGTAACCACTTGATTAAGCATCGAGAGGCAATGATCTCTTTGATAATCATCCTCGGCAAAGATGCGCCTTATGAGTTTTTCGGATCTCTTGAACTCATTGAATTTGGGGAGGATATGTAGAAGGTAAAACTCGGCGATTTTCAGCATTCCTGACGACTTTACCGTTTGATTTATTTCGTCTGAAAGAATACCAAGGAAGTTCAGATACAATTCCAATTGGGCTCTCAGTTCGATCAAAGGAAACCCGTTTGAAAGCTCGACTATAAAGCAAAGTAGTAATAATTCAGGATCTATGCGATCGTATTCTTCATTGTAAATGTTTCGAATTTGTATGAATAAATCTCCCTGTCGAAGGCGTTCGGAGTATTGGGACTTCATGAAATCGTGTGAATCTCTTGTCTCCCTTTTGAGTTTCAGATCGATGAGCGACAGATAGAGTTTGTATATTTTCACAAGAAGCGGCTTTTCGATCTCATTTCTATCGTAAGTAGTTTCAAGTAGATTGTCCACGATCGGGGCAATCAGTGACCAGGCTTTGTCAAAATTTCGATTGAGATATAATTTGATAGCTAGTTCATATAGTTTGCGGTATCTGTATTTATCACTGGTACATTGAGACTGAACAGTGTCATTGGCCACGATATTTGAATTTGCTTTGCCGTGCAAAAGTTTTGAACCGTTGACTGTAATCTGAGACATTTGACTCAAGCAGCTTCCGGAACGTCGCTTTTCTTGTCAATTCTACCTCCAATTAATTTAGGCTATCAAGTGTATGACTAAATAATTTGTTAATCATAACCGGTCTGCGTGTAGATTGTCAGTAAGACTTTGATCATTTATTTATGAAGTTCCAGGGTTCTTTGGAAAATTTGCTAAGGTGGTCCAAATCGCATGGTGCTTACTTTGATAATGTTGAGTTTGCTATCGATAGAGATAAAGGTGTCCACGGTATTTTGAAGAATGAAATCAGTTTGGATGAACCTCTCATTATAGTGCCTGAAGCCATTTTCATTACTCCGGAATTGGCGAAAAGAGTTTTTGGCCTTGACAACCCCATAGATGATCTCAGCTTATTGTTGTTAGCAAAACTTAAATTTGACAAGAAAGAGACGCTTATTGATGGTAACAGCTTGTCAAAAATGTATGAACCATACATTGCGTTTCTTCCAGATTCCTGTTTAGAGATTGGGCTACCATCATTCTGGACTGATGACGAGCAAGAACTACTAAAAGGTACAGATGCCTACCCAAGATTGAAGCGAACACGAGAAGAGCTTTTTGAAAGATGGAACTCTCTCATGTCACTATTAAACGAGCAGAAGAAACTGGATGTTGTTATGCAAGAAGCTCCTCTGTGCGAGAACTCTTTATCTTGGAAGAGCTTTGAAGCATTCTCGTGGGCATACTCTATTTATTGTACGAGAGCATTTCCCAACTTCTTGCGTAAGCAGAGTGAAAGAAGCATCAATGGAGGTTTCTTATGTCCAATAGTTGACCTCCTGAACCATAAAAACGGCGAGAAAGTAACATGGACGTGCGAGAATAACAGTTTTGTATTTAAGGCCTCAGCCAAGCATATCAGATCTGGAGAAGAAATCTATAATAATTATGGAAACAAGTCTAATACTGATTTGCTTCTCAATTATGGGTTCGTACTTAATGATAACGAGTCGGAAACAACAACGTTGACCTTAAAGGTTGAAGAGAGAGTGATTGAGGCTGTGAATAAATTTGGCCTTAAATTGCCCGAGGGTTCATCCGCCAATGGCATATGTTTCAACCTTTCACTTGTCACTCCTCTTCCAAAGGACTTGTTACGATTTATGGGTTTCCTTCATCAACTATCAAGCGAAAAAAATCAGTATACTTTGAGGATGCATCTTGAAGGAATCTCTAGATTACGAGACATCCTAGCTTCTCGTATAGCCACCTTTAGATCCTGGAAGGTCGGCGAGCACGGGAATATCAATAAAAAGACTATAGAGCTCGTTAAGCGCTACCGGTCTTCTCAAAAATCACTATTTCAAAGAGCGTATGAATTGTGTGATTCCATCGAAAAATCACTGATACAAAAGTACAAACCACTTTCTTTGCAAAAAGCTCTCAAAGTAGACACTGAATTCGCACAGCGACTGACATTCATTTTCGGAACTAACAAACTCGACGAAATTGAAAAGAAAGGCCTCTCCGACCAAGTGTTACTATTGTTCATAATGAGATGCAGGAATCTCAGACCTGCTGGAGACTCCCCGCTCCGATTCATTAGTGACACATATGAGAATGTTAGGGCCACTATCAAAATAACTAAGGAAGATGTTTTGGAATACTCCGATTTATATCACTCACTTTTCCCTTATCTTAGCCAGAAGATTCCTGAAATATTTGCGGTTGGAGATTATAGTGCCAGATCCATGATCATCGCAGGGACTGTAGTAGACAGAATTGTGTTCAAAAGAAAGGTGAATGGGGAGCTCTACCTGTTACAAAAGGTCATATTGGAATAAATTGTCCTGTCTTCTGAATGGCTGATATCTGCCAACACTCTAGCTGGTACATGAATGAATATAATAAAATATTAAAAAACTTGTTTTCATTTACCCTTGTGCTTTTTTTTAGACGTTAGGCCATGAGTAGTGCAACAGGTAACAACACTGCCAGGATACCCACGTCTCACACTTTATGGTCACCATATGACACTGTGAGAGACGCGGCCGAAAGCTTAGGCCTTTCGAGTCAATTAACTGAGGACGTGGCAAAAAACTTGGCCATGGACGTTGAGTACCGTATTCATGAAATTTTGGAGCAAGCATTGAAATTCATGAGGCATGGCAAAAGGAAAATACTTACGGTATCCGATGTTGACAGGGCTATGAAAGTACTGAACCTTGAACCCTTGTACGGCTATGATGTTTCGAGGCCCCTTGTTTTTAAAGAAGCAATGGTTGGCCCTGGTCAAACGCTGTACTATGTCGACGATGACGACGTCGAGTTTGAAAAGTTGATCAATCAATCACTTCCTAAAGTTCCAAGATTCACTTCATTTACTGCCCATTGGCTCGCAATTGAGGGCGTGCAGCCAACAATTCCTCAAAACCCAAACCCCGTGGAGATCAAACAATTACCCCCTAATCAGAGAGGTTCGGTTGATAACATACTGAGCTTGAACAATGACGATATATCTTTGTCTACCAATCCATCTAATGGATTGACAACAGTTGAGCAAAACTCACAAGGAAGAAAAAAAGATCTTGATGTGAAACCACTTGTCAAACATATGCTTTCTAGAGAGCTTCAGCTATATTTTGACAAGTCTGTTGCTGCACTACTGGATGAGACCAATGAAAGCCTCCGAGCGGCTGCTTTGGAATCTTTGGAAGCTGATCCTGGATTACACCAACTTGTCCCTTATTTTATTCAGTTCGTCGCTGAAACAATAACACACAATTTGAAAAATCCAACGATTTTGACAACAATGTTAATGGTGATATATTCTTTACTGTCCAACAAGTCAATATTTCTTGACCCATACATTCACGCTATAATGCCATGCATACTCACTCTACTTCTTGCTAAGAAAATAGGAGCACGGTCAGAATCGGAAGATGACAGAGAACAATTCAGAATTAGGGAGCTGGCGGCTTCCCTCCTGCAGAGAATCATGCGGGAGTATGGTTCTTCCTATACAACTCTTAAACCTAGAATAACTAGAACGCTTTTGAGGGCGTTCCTTAGCAGCGCCACAAAGAGTTCAATTGGAACGCAGTTTGGCGCCATGAAGGGCATGAAGTCTTTGGGTAAAGAAGTGATTCGAATTATTATGGTGGGGAACCTTAAAAGCTGGTCTACCTCCATTCTAGAAGGCCTTGATGAAAAGTCCACTAGCTACAAAATACTTATTGAAAATGTGATGGATTGCCTTAATACAATGACCGACGACGGCAAGCTTAGCAAGCCATCGACAACTGAAGGTGACAATGAGAGCAATCAGCATGGGCTAGGGGATGACGAAATGCAGAAATTGAGAGATCGTTTAGGTGACATCCTTGCGAAGGAAGTCGCTTCCCAACCAAACGCACGAGAGATATACGGCGGCATTTTCTTTGGGGAATTATGAGACGTCTTTAGCGGACATTAAAGTAACTTTTGGATCTTGACTTGTGACACAGAATAGCGAGCTCAGTCGAAAGTCAGCCTTTTTCTAGGATTACCGTGCTCTTTAGCACCAAATAACTCCGATTGCCGTTGCAGGTTTAAATTCTGTTTTGGTGATGATTGAGGTAGAACAGGTCCTGATTGGGGTGATACACATGGTGGGAAGCTATCAGGTTTTTCGTTTGCAAAAAGATCACTTGATGTTTCAGCGTAGTATAAGCTTTGATCAGCGCATGACGAAAGTGAAGTTCTAGACGGAATTTCAATAGTTTGTATGACGTTCTCTTTTGCCTGATGAGATTTTAGGGGAGTAGCGGTGACATGAGTGTCCGACACCATGCTAGTCTTCACTGGAGAGATATCATCGGGAGCAGTCTTAAGGTCATCGGGAGATGCGAAAATCTCCAAGGAAGCGCGTGGTTTTTTCACAGGTGTGGCTTCTACCTCCGTATACGGGTTAGCTTGCACTTCCGAGTTGTCAAGATATATTGAAGCTGCGTTCCGTTTTCTATGATTGAAAATTGAAGAGGTTTCAATCGCGGATATTTTGCTTTTGATGCGTGTCTTACTGAGACTTGATTCAGTATGCGACCGGGGCTGTAATTCAAGTCCAGTTGGCGAAGTGGACAATTGTTGAGTTATTGAAGTACTTTTGATCATATCGAATGTCTTTCTGGATAAATTTTGTGTCAGTCCTAGATTGGATGCTTTACGTTTTAGCTTCAAGTGCGAAAATTCTAATGAGTTAACGAGAACTGATGTGTCCGATTTCGCGATAGCTCTCAGCTTCGGTGATGGAGGCGAAATTGTCCTTATATGTTCTGCATGTGAATTTTTTGATTTCCTAGAAGCTGAAGGTCCTTTAGCTTTATTTATTAGCTCTCTGAGTAGCTTCGGATGTGACTTCTGGAAAAAGGGAACGACAGAGCTTATTAAAAATCTATAGGTTGAATCATCTTCGTTCAGTGATAATCCCATTATAGCATCGTGAACGCATAGTTTGTCCATCAAGGCGTTGATGTTTGTCTTCAAGACATTTGAAGTAAGTTCATTCGTTGAGTTATCTTGAATGTTTCTTAGGTCAGTGGTAAATTTTGCGTTAACAGAAATTGCAGTTCCAATTAATGTAGGTATCAGTCTTTTTTTGCGACCTACCAGCGGCCGTTTGGTATAAATAACCTTCGATCTCCTGGGTGTTGGTACTTGATGGTCCTCCTCACCGTTGAGCAGCCTTAGCAAATCCAGGCAAAGGAGTACTTGTAGTTTGGCCTCTCTCAGTCTGAGATTGTCCAATGACTCTCGAAATTGTTCGTCAGATTTCGTGGCGTGATTACGAAGAAAGTCAACACGATAACTGAGTTCATCATCGTTTAGTAGGTTCAATGAGGAGGTACACGATGAGCGACCAAAGTCAAAACGCTGATTGAAGTTTGTCATTGAACGAATGATAAATGAAGAAATAGTGTCGCGAGCTAACTGACAGTTCGAACGGGAAAGCACATGGACTCTTGGAAGGGCAGTCTTGGCAAAATATTGTAAGGGGGTTGTGCTCTGGTAAAGGGTAGAAAAATATCTTTCTGCTAGAAACGCATGGGGATCCACATGAGAAAGCTTTGAAGATGAACTCAAACTTGCTGACAGCTTGACGTTAGGAGGACTCATGCGTAAAGAAAGGCAACAACTAGAGCTCTTGATTGCTAATACACTCTTTTTGACTTTGGGGAAATGGTAAGATGATGTTGGAGTCGTTGACGCTAAAGGACTCCCACCATACTTTCTTAATACTCTCTCCTCTATGTGGGCATCATCAACCAGCTTATATAGTGTCCAAATATTATGTTGAATTCCAGGGGATAAAATACCAAAGGTTGGCTTTGATGCGAGGTCTTGATTTGATGAATGGACAACTACAAATGCCGAAGAATATTCGTCCCCTATTTTGAAGCAATCAAAGTTCTCTACCAGAGCTTCCCCCAAAATCAAATCCAATGAGCTCTGTATTTTGAAAAAACATAATTCCGCATTGGCGCTAGTTATTGCACAGACTGCTTCAACTTGAGTCTCAGTCACGTTTGATTCTGTACATTCCCCAGGCTTGATTCGAAATTTGAACATTGATTTTGATATAAGAGGAGAAAAAGGTTTTATACTTTCAACTCACGAGCTCCTTCAAGATGTAAAAGGCAGATTAGCTAACTGTTTACGCCTAGATTCAATAGTTGTCATCACATGACTCAAATCACGATACAATTTTTACCGACGCACTATTCAAAAGTTTCCGACGAGGAAATCCAATATTTCCGGTTTTACCCGTAATTGAAAATCGTTGAAGGTGTTTCAATTAGATATGTTTGGTTTTGTCATTCATTCTCCTCTTTTCAACATCTTGCTATTTGACAGCTGCTTGTAATCAGGATGATGGTTAGGAATCAAGCTTTTTTGCAATTGAAATGATGTAGATTCTTGCCATCATCTCCATATACACGGCGCCATGTTCACTATTAAAACTTAATCTCCGGTAATGGTTGACAGTGGGGTCAGCAATTAACGCTTTTTTTGTACTGGTATTGTGGTTATCAATTAGCAAAACCTCAAGGGACAACACCTTTGATTGCGTAAAGAATTGGGCTATACATCACAAACAACCGTCTCTTTGCTATATTATCCTTCGTACCTTGAGTATAAGAAGGATTGTACGTTGGAAGTCATCCCACACCTTCCATCGTATGAATCGTAGTTGAAGTTGTGGCCGATTAAAGTCGAGCTCTTCTGATACTGCTCGAATCAAACCTCGTACCAATGTTTAGATCTTGGGCAACTCTCAAAAGTGTATAATTGGCATGTAGATTTGTGGCCAATTTGGCAATCAAGTGCCTAATATCCTGTGATCAAATGCATAAGCCGACAAGTAACAGCGAACGTGACTTATTGTGCTGATTGGCCACAGAAATACTGGTAAATGTAAAGTTCTGAGAAGGTTGAGATGTCTGCTTTTCTGTTCAATTGCACAAGGGCCATTGTCTTAAATCAGCCCACTTTTACATAGCAAACAGCACAATGCTCATAATCTGATTGGACATTCGACACCCTCCAACAGGAGACAGATATTAAGAGGTTTACCCTTATATAGTGTGTCGGCTGCAGGAGCAAAGAATGAGTGAACTTTCACTGGATTTGACATAAGCGGTAATATTAACATTCAGGTAGGATATAAGCAATGAATGCTATACAACATATGAAATGAGCTGAAAGCTAAAGCAAAATTGCAATTCATTCATACGAAGAGAGAGTGTGCCCCTAAATTTAAGAAATAATGGATGGAATTCTGCAAAATAAAACGCCACGGTAACCCCGTCGATCGACGTCAATCAATACATTCAAGGTTTTTTTTAAAAGTAACCAAAAAGGAGCATGAAAGCTGACTTTGATCAAAGATTGACAAATGGTATCTTTCAGAACTCTTCAGTTTTCACCAAAAGCAACATCAATTAGGCGTATTAAGAAGGTATTTGAAGAAAGAAAGTACGGGTATTTTACGACAAACGACGCCCTGGACGCACAGGAAAGTTCCAAATATCTCACTTTGAAAAATGATCTCAAGCTCATATACAAGACTACAATGAGAGCCATCGAACACAAAGCCAACAAGGCTGCCCGAATAAGGAGGAGCTATGAGGAACTGGGTTTCATACCGCCAGTATTGCATTTGTCAAGAGATGAAAAGCCTCTCAGTGAATCTGCAATTTGGTCTCATTTTTCTAATCTCAATTTGAGAGAGACAGAGGAAGCCCACAACTCTCCAGAGAGTTTGGTCTGGGTTGGAAAAGACAGCATAACATTGCCACCCACTCCGGGAGGTATGGCATCGGCGATAAAATGGAATGAATTCATTCAAAAGCTAGTAGCTTTCAACATCTTTAATGCTCGTTCATCTCAAAGTCAAATAGATAAGGCTATCGGGTCAGCAATCAATAGTGCGGGAGATAAACTTACTTTGGTATCCTTTAACAAGATTTTGCTCCACTTCTCTCGGAAATACGACTTAACGACTATGACAGAGATTCTAAATTCTATGACCACGGCTTATGATTTAAAACCCAACATCCAGACGTACAACATTTTTCTCAACACCATTTTGCGGTCCCGGGCTAAACATAGAGTCAGAAGATGCATAAAGATTCTGACTATGATGAAACAACAAGGTATTGCCCCGAACAAGTATACCTGGAATATTATATGTGGGGGATTGAATGATGTACCTGTAATTTTACAATTTCTTCGTCAATTATACAGGTTTCAGATTCCCCTACTATGTCAAAAAAGTCTTGCTAAAGCTGGTGTCCAGTTCCCGATAATTAAAGAACTTTTTGATCCGTCTTCCAATATTGACTACGATACCGCATATGATTTGATGTCGTTCGGTATCAAGGTAAAACTTCTGGGAGACGGTCAGTTGAGAGAGGCGTTTATTTACATGCAACATGTTTGCACTCAAAACCAATCTAATGATTCTTCTGCATTTGTGCTAACTCCAAAATTCAATATTCTAAAGCTTTTCATGGATTACATTTTGTTTGAGTTACAGAATTTGCCTTATGCAATAGCCTTTTTGCAGTATTTCGAAAACTCTTACCCGAGTGTCATGGAACTGGATGACAATAGAATTCAAATATATGCAACCTTATTGACTTCGATGAGGCAGTTCGAAGATTCGCCGATGTGGGAACCTTTAGTTAGGTATTTTTTCCAGAGGACGATCGATGATCACGGAAGAACCATTTTACCTACTAGCATAATTTCTCAACTCAAAGAATTAGGAGAGCGAAAAATGAAAGATCACTTGCAAAGGGACACCGCTGGTACCTTCAATATTACTGATAGTCCCACTTTGGTAGAAAGAACGACCATCAACAAAATTTTCAAGCAACTTCGATGGCCTGGCTCAGCATACGGGGAACAACCTATATGGGAACTGGAAAAAAATGCTCCTTCATTTCGCCAAGCTTGCAAGATGCTGGGCTACTTTGGGAATACGAAAGTAGATGGCCCCGAGGAGAAAAATACAAACACAGAAAGCTTTGATATTTGGCAGGGTTTCGAGCTCCCCACAAGAGAAGCTTTTTACGATTCGCTACCATTTGCCGTTTCGAGATCGGAAGAGTTCAATAATACCAGTAAATAAATTGTACTGCCCAGACGATCCCGAGATTGAAAACAAAGTTGAAAGAATGCCGGATTCTTTCAAAGTCATTACACAATGCACTCCATCAGCGGAAGTTCGTATTCTTTTGACAACTTTCATGCAAAAATATACTAAACCGATTCAGTCATAAATCCTCACAGTAAGTAAATCTGGATTAGTGGTGAGGTACCCATGGATAGACGTGAATATATCAGGACGGAATTTATAATGCCAATATCGCATATAGGTTGCCTCTCCTGTCTCATTTTGAGAATATTATGATTCCCCATCTGATATATTCATCAAAACAGAGAGGAACAGGAAACTTCCAACGGATACAATTAGCAGGATTCAAATTTAATCACTTATGTGAGTGTACGTCTATTTATTTACTTTATTGACCTCAATATTCAACATGCATCTTATCAAAAACCTGCGACGCGCTATAAAATGTTTTATTGTACTTTTCGTGCATCGCACAAAATTTCCACGCGTTGCTGTGAAGGAACCATTAAAATCAAAAAGTAAACAAGCTTGTTTTGCATTTGAACTTCTACTCAGTGTTGTTGAACTCTGTATGAAGGACAACTCAGAGAGCTATATAGATTGATTGCAAACATCAAACACGTTCACACTCAAACAATCAGTTATACTTCAACGGTCAGGTTTGAGGCTCTAAAATGCAACAGGATAGCCCGTTGAGTCCCAAAAAGCTATTTATTAATCAACAAAAACAATTCCAGCTGAATGATGCGAGCGATCTTAACTCCTCAATGATGAACTCAACCGGATTTCCTTTGAATACCAAAAAGCGGACACTCTATTCGCCATCGAGCGATTATTCAACGCCTCAACTGTCAGACAGACTCAAATCTTCGATCGAAAATACCGATAGCCCTTCAAACAGAAATAGCCGTGAATTACTTCTGAGAACCTTCAAAAATCCTTCGCCTCCATTTGCAACAAAAAAGGCAGCTCTGCGGAGAAGCGCTGGCGTTTTAAACCTATCCATCGAGACTAGTCCTCGAAAACAACTACAGAAAGAGCATGAAATCACCAAATCCATAAGTGATCTGGACTTTGGAACGGATGTCACTAGCCCTTCTGGCAGTGCAAAGACATCACGGAGTACCACACATTCACGACATAAAGAACCTACATCTTCGCCAAGTGAGCGCAAACTCGAAGAGTCTGAAAACTTCAGGCCTACAGGAGGAGAAGTATCATCGCCAAACTCACCATCTCCATTTTTGAATCCATCTGTGGTCAAAAAGATGACTGCCACTTCCCGTTTCAAAAAAATGTTCACCAATAATCACTTTAACGACGTAACTGACACTCTCATGTGCGACACGGCCAATAGACCATCGCCTGATAAGAGAATCAGTCCGATTAGTCTCCACATGAAAAACACCGCTTCCAAACCTACCAAGGGCTCTTACACAGACTCGCTCTCAAAACCTGACAAGACTGGGTACGAGACCAAAAGATCGGAGGCGCTTCAGGTACACTTCACTCCAAAAAACACAAATGGATTTGTGACACCGGCGTCTTTCAAATCTGTGAAACCCCTACAAACAGCTTTTGATTCTACTGGGCTACAGAGTAAAAAATCCATCACTTTGGCCTCCAAATTTAAAACCATGCCCGAAACACCTTGTAAAAGACCACCTCTGGGCACTGTCAACGTTAATGAATCTTTTGAAAGTGCCATGGTTAATAACTCATTTGAATCGTCCAATGCATCAACCGTGTTAAATTCCTCTGCTCACAAAATGGCCACTTCGTCAGTAGCCAAATCGACAAGAACTGGGAGCAGCTCATCGGAGATAGTATCTCCAGACTCTTCCAAAATGTCGCCGATTTCAATTGACGGGATCACCAGAGCTGCTAGAAGTAGTGGTGGTTCGAATGGAAGCGGACGCCCTGTTTCAAGAAGTCAAAAGGCAATCAACACATCTGATTTGGAAAGCTGTATTTTGAGATTCACCAACGAGTTTGATGATTTATATGATGATGAAAGTCACCACAGTACAAGCATCTTTCGAGATGGAAGTGAAACAAAGGCACATTCACCAGCGACTCGAACAGAGAATACTTCTCCCGATGGCTGCAGGAGACCATTGCAAGGTTTGAGCAATACGAGGAATGCTTTTAGCGAGTTTGGAACTCAAAATAATTCTCATAAGGGACAAGCATTATTCAACCGCCATAAATTGTCGAATGAATCATCCCATGAAGATTTTATGGATGAAGACCTTGATTTGGAGAATATCGACGAGATGAACTTTGATGGTTTTTCTGAGTTTGGATCGCTGGAAAATTTGCCTCCCACTCCTACTCGTTTGGGTGCGCCACACAGTCAACATGGTACCAGAGGAGCACACAATTACTTAGACGGAAGTACGCCTACGAAACACAATTCAAGCTGGCACACGGCTTACTCTCATTGTTCGACCCATAACATGTTCAGCTCGGGAAAAATGGGAGAACGTATCAATATGGGTCCTCCAAAACTGTCATCCGTGACTGCCCATAGCCCCAAAACTCCCGTGGATCCCTCATTCACTCAAACATTTCAGAGTACACACAACTCGGACTCGCATGCTGATCTAACGTCGGAGAGTTCATCCACGTTCTCACTTGCGAACTATGGAGCTCACACTCAGCCATTAGCTTTCGATGAATCCTTGGAGAAAAAAAACCAAATTGACTACCACTTGATGTCAAAGTTTGGAAATTGTAGTTTGATAGGGGCAGGAGAGTTTTCTGTGGTGTATGAGATACAATACGAAGGTATCAAATATGCAGTCAAGAGAACAAAGAATCCATTGGGGGGCCCCAAAACCAGACTGCGCAAGTTGGAAGAAGTTGAAATACTGAAGACCCTTCAAGCAAAATTCAGGTCTTTAGCAATGGAAGCAAATGATGAGAATCTTCCGGATACTGGTGACAACCACGAAAATATTTTGAACCTCATCAATTATTGGGAACACAACTCTTTTCTATACATAATGACTGATTGCTGCGAAAATGGATCGCTGGACAAGTTTTTGGTAGAGAATGGGAAAGTTTCAAAGCTAGATGAGTGGAGAGTATGGAAAATTTTGAACGAAATACTAATGGGATTGAGGTTTATTCATAAATGTGGAATATTGCACCTTGACCTGAAACCTGCGAATATATTTATCACTTTTGAAGGATCTTTGAAAATTGGGGATTTTGGTGTTGCTTCCAAACTCCCTATACCTCCTTATTTTGACCGTGAAGGAGACCGGGAGTATATTGCCCCAGAGGTGATTTCAAAACACATATATGGGAAACCAGCCGATATATTCTCATGTGGTCTCATCATGGTTGAAATCGCGGCCAATATAGTCTTGCCAGACAACGGAACATCATGGCAAAAGCTGAGATCAGGCGACTTGACAGATGCAGGGAAGTTGTCGTCCAGTGACCTGACCGACTTGGAAGGATCGATCTTCTCCAGTGCGAACACCTACTCATCAAATCTTACGAATACAACGATGACCACTGGCATATCGGCGTCACCTACGGAGTTAACTAAAGCAAATCACTTGAAAAGAATGAGGGTTCCTAGTTGGGCACCATCTTGGTTTTGCGATGGCAGTTCAGCCCTTGATAAGTTGGTTACATGGATGATCGATCCAAATCCTACAAATAGACCAACTGCGGAAGAGATTTTGAGAAGCTACGAATGCACTGTGGTAGAATCCAGGAGGAAATGTGGCGCAACAATATATGAGGGGGATTTTGGACCCCAGCCCGATCACGAGGATCTACTTTTAGAGAAGGAAGTGACGAGTTCAACATCCACTTATAAAATCGCTAACCTTTGTGGCAAGTGGAATCGGAAGTCCTCGATTGATATGATCCTGGAATGAGTGGAAGCGTACGAATGTAACGATAATGTACAATTATGAGATATGCGATAAACTTCGTAATCACAAGATTTTCGCGAACGCAGAACGATGCTCCATTTCGATACATACCCTTTTTTACTATAGATTTTACTGAGCCCTGTTAGAAGTCACATAGAAATGTTTCGCGGATTTCGTAGATAATAATTTTCAACTAATAAACTTTAGTATATTTTTATCCGCAAAATAATGAACGCGGCTTTAAATATTTAAATAATCATTTGTGAGTGTCGAAATATTCAACCCCTTGATGCATACAAATATGCCCAGTTCCGAGGACATCAGTACTGAAATCAATGAGCCGTCGATTACAACAACTCTTGACACTACTCTGATAAACGAAAACCCACCGGAGTCGACTATGAAATCTCAAAAAAGGCGAAATAGGCCATCATTTGTTTGTATCAACTGCAAGAAAAAGAAGATCAAATGTGATAAGAAATTACCATGTTCTAACTGTTTGAAGTCACATTTGGCAGACTCATGCCATTACCGTCATTCCCCTGCCAAATACCCCCGGTTGAAAGATGATTTAGGCCGGGAAAGTCCCTTTGAGAAACAAAATCCGCTTCAGAGGGGAACTTTAACCCAGCAACTGCCTTTGTTTCTAAATTATTCCAGCAGCCGGTCGTCCAACGTTTCGTCAGATCTTGAAGCTCTCCGAGAGTCCAGAAGCTTACGGACAGGCCGAAGGGAGGGGCCGTCTTTGCAGACTGACGTTGAAGAGCTGAAATCTAAAGTGGTTTTTTTAGAGGAAGCCTTGCGTAACAAGAATGAGCAATTGCACCGGGACGATTCGTCTTTGAACACCGAAAACGACGGATCAAACTCTGTTTTTTCAATGAAGTCCAGCAAACTAAAATTGAACTGTATCTATGCGAAAAAATCCCGATTTCTAGCGTTTGGATTTGCTTCCTTCAGAACATCCATCGCCCACCAGAAAGAAATGACCTTCTTTTTACATCAATTCATCGACAGATTGACCCAGGAGAGAAAACATTGGAAGAATAGCCGCAGAATACCATCAAAGTCCACAATATTTGGTTTGAAGGGAGATGAAAAGAGATTTGCTCAGGAAATTGAGGCTAAAATATTGCGTCATTACACTGCTATGCTTCATTTGATTGATTATTTTGACCAACATCTAAACAACTTTTTGATGAATCAATTAATTGATATTATTCAAGTAAAGTCCCATTTTCATACAATGTTTGTGCGCGATGAGCATGGTAAAGTTCATTTTGTGAAACCGGAAAAATCTTATGAGTACCCCAATTTAGCTATTATTTTCGCAATTGTTAAAATTTCAGTTATCTTTATCAATTACAAGGAGTTGAGCGAACACAGAGATAAGCCCCTATTTGATCTCAGAGAGTCTTCCACAATTTTTGATGAATGTTGTCAAGCTGCTCTGAATCTTTCTCGATTTGACCAGAAGCAAAATATTAATGTCTTGCTAGCATTGCTTTTGCGGAGATTATCTCTATTATATAGTGCAGTCGATGGCGATGGTGGCGATGGTGCAAATTTGCTCCCTGTTATTCATACTGCAGTTTCTACTGCTTTACAGATGGGATTGCACAGATCCTTGGATTCCATCAATGCAATTAGTGGAAAAGAGGCTTCCGCCATGGGATTTTCACATTCACCAAATATTTGGTGCAAAATTTGGGCACAGCTGAAGTACCTTGATGCACTTGGTTCACTAACTGTTGGGGCCCCGTTTCTGGTGAATGACGATTTTGCTGACAATAGGGATGCACAAGACGAGCACCAAAATTATTTTATGCCCGAGAGGGACAAGATTACTCGTGATCTTACAGAGCTATACCGAGAAGCCTCGTTGGTGTTTAATTCAAATCGCCCTGTCTCTTTGAATGATATGGTATTAACGATTATGAAAATCATCGAATTTCATGAATCAATTGGCTCGTTTTCGGACTTGATTATGGTACCAACAGAAGACTCGGACATTGTGGCCTGGAAAGTGAACACCAAGTTTAATCTTTTGGAACTGGTGCAAGGTCTATGCACAAATTTGAGACTAGTTGTGTCAAACCAAAAATTATTAAAGCAGGAGTTGAAAGGACGAGATTTACAATATAATGAAATCAGACTCTTAGAATTGTTGGATCAAAGATTACTCACAATCTCACTGAAGTGTGCACTTCTATCGTATATTCTTATGAACAAAATATTACGTGGTGAGTCAGAAATTTCGAAACCCAAATACGTGGTTTACTTCAAGCCTCAACTGACTGCTCTCCTGCTCCGAAGCTCGTTGACATTTGGCACATCGATTTTTAGCACTAGTACAAGTTCTACCCAGAATATTGATGCATCTGATCTCATCAGGTTTGACAGCATCGACTATAATGCTCTTGAATTGAGCCTAACAGATACAATACATTGTGATTCATCGCTCAATGATATCATAGCAAAGTTCCAACATCCGAAACAGCTTGTAAAATGCCTTTGTGAGTTTTATCAGAGCGTTTCGGATATTGATGAGCTTGGCACAGATTATGGCTTCTTCTGCTGCTTCAAGCTCACTTTGATGATTTGTTTCGTCATTGAGTCGACTAACAAACTGTATATCGAACAAGAGAAGAGCGACAAAACACAGGAAAATCCAAGAATCAACATAACAAGCATTGCAAAAAAGACCAAGGAATTGATTGATTCTAACTTGACTTTGGGAGCCACCGAAAGAAACTTACCATTCTTTCAAAGTCAAGAAAGTCTTGACACATATATAAACAATTTATTCAGTTCTGATGTGAACCTCAATTGGTCCTCCGTTGATACAGGTCAGGAGCTTTACGGATTGCCTTGGAATGGAATTAATGATGATACTCAGAAAACCACTAATAACACGGGAGACCCAATCGGAAACATATACGGTCAAAGTGTTGATGATGCTGAATTCAGTAACAGATCATACCAGGTCTTTTTCTGAAATGATACGATGCAACTTGTACCTAACGTGTACCTTACTTTCATCAATATGATACACAGCTAGTGGATTCAAACTCGACTATTGTGATATGATCTTTTTGTATTACAAAGCAAGCAGAACATAAGTAAGTTTGTCTGAAGTCAGTAATTTTTGATGAAACTCACATCAGTGAATCACAAAAGAACACAAACTATGAGTTGTCTATTACTGGTGGTAAATTTCAGATAAAGTAATAGTTGCAATTCAAGTTACGGCCTCCTCGAATGGAGTGATTTGCTTGCAACGAAATTCCCTCTGATCCCATTAAGTTCCATAGGCTAACTCTATATGACGATATTCAAGGCTACTTTCAAGATCTATAATTCATGAGGAATATACAATGCGATCATAGGCATGAGGATTGACGATCCCCATGGAAAGAAAACAGAAGTCAAATTCAGCATGTGCTGTAAGGGAAATTTGAGGTTGCCCCGACAGCTTAAATGACATTCACTAGAACGAAGAAAGGGAAATCCATTTGGTAAAATTGAGGACGTCTGATTATTACCGTTGTGGGTGGTGAAGCAACACGGTATAACAGACTGTGATCTTCGGGCAACCATGCACTAACAGGAAGTTGTATGTTACAATTGTGAGCTACCAAGATTTTTCCTTTATAGATCTGCATTCGAATCTCGGAGATAGTTCATGCTTCAACTAAAGGACCTGGTAGAACAACTACCTGAAGTTAGGAAAATTGGATGGAAGAAGCGGGCGATTGCCCACAGGTGCAAAATGCCCGATATCTACAACTAGAGTAATACTGGCCTTTCATACGACTTTCATGGAACTATGTATTTGATCTCAGTTCCAAATGGGGACACAAGTAAGACATATTGCCGCTGACTATCAGGGTTGTGATATATGTATCCTGAAAACATAGGACATTTTGATAGATCATCTTTGATGACGGGCAACCAGAGGCTTTCGTGTGTTCACTTCCCGTACATTCAATCATACCGGAAGTACGCCACCCAAAAGGGCCCCTTCGAATAACATCAAAATCAAAAGGTTTGTGTTCTATAAGCTTCCGTAGTGCGACATTACACAAGGTTTTCTTACTATGCATGATGCTCCATTTAATAATGTAATTTGGTTTTTACTAAGATGCCCTCAATGCACAGAAATCAATCTCATTTCAGAAGCACCACAACTGACCACAGGCTGATAATCAAGGCTACTTTTCAAAATCATAAGATCACGTACTAAAGGTGCATTTTATTCAGGTCTTGCTAGTGACTTAGAGAAAGAAAGAAAGCAGCTCTGAACTTGTTTCCACCAAATCATGATGACACGAAATGTCGTTGGGCTTCTCCAGGCACAAACAAAACTGTTACCATAAAGGATTCGATGCCAGGTTGTAAATTCCAGCGGATCCGATGATAATAAGGCCGTTAAGACCTTTTGGTGCTCTCTGGCTAAAAAACCGAAACAAAGCTGATGCCAGTTTAGACTTGCTACAAAACAGTATGGTGGATGCCACAATGAGAGAAATGCCAAGGGATTTCACGTATTGAGGCACCCTGGGATAACGAGCCCCAACAGATAACGTATGGTTATCATGAAGCCAGAAAATCTTTTACAATCCGGTTTTTGTTTCGCAGTCCGTCATTATAGGGCAGAGAAATATCCTTGACTCACCAGGTTGACTATCAGAAGATCTTTGCCTTATATTTACCCTGCTGGGACATCTTTCCCAGACTTAATCGCCTCAGAGAAATCGGCATTCTTCTCAAACCCAAAAGTTTAGACAGTAGGTTTCGAAGGTTGCTTATAGTTGTGTCACGTATTGACACATGCAATGCTACATTGCAGTTTTGGCCTCCTCTACAGTGCTTCGTACGACGAATCCCTAAACTACGTATTAACAATAATCCTGTTTCGCATTCCCACGTAATAATTGCCAAGAAGATTAAAGCGTAGTCAGATAGATATATATGAAATCAGGGAAATTAGGGAGCAAATACAAAAATCTAATGTTTTTCGACGTGACTTCAAAATCTTCAATCGGGGAATAGAAATTATAATTATAAAAAAATCCCTCATCCAAAAATATTTTATCCGGTAGCAACAGCAGGCGACGATAATCCTTCGAGCCATTGAAACTCTCAGCTCCCATATATAAAGGGACCATTTTTAATGAGCAGATTCTTCCCCCTAGCTATTTGCCTAAAACCGTAATTTCCCTAATATACTATCCATACGCCATTTTTGCCGCCGAGAGGGGATTGGACTTCTGTGCTGCGTATTTGTTGCACGCTTTTTAATGCTCTTCTGGAATTTTTCTTTTATTTTAGAAAATCCTTATTTAAGATACTGATCGCCTAAAAGAGTCAGGTTGTATATAAAATTTAGGGTAATCAGTTGGGATTTCGCTTTTAAATTTTTCTAATAATTTGTTGAATGAGAATCATTCACAAACGGTCAGGTAATAAATAACTGTTCCTTGTCATTGATCACGAGCAAGCAGAGACAGTTCATAGGTTATTGCCTTCCAGTGCCCAGAGACTCGAAAACATGGCAGACGGTTCCGAAAACCCCAGTCAGTTAGTGGGAGAATCGCCACAAGCTGAATTGAAAACGACAAACTCGACAGCTTTTGAGAGCAAAAATTCTATGATAACATCGAAGAAATTGAAGTCCAAGCCAACGCCCAAACGATTGAATGATGTTAACTCACCCGCAGTCATTGCTATGTCTAATCTGAGATGCCCTTCCCCCCCTCCTATTCTTCAGCATCCCGCTCTGGCGTCTCAAGTAGATCAATCAGTACAACCAGCATCCAAAGAAGGAGAAAACCTTTCTGGGGTGACGTCGAAGTCTTCAAAGCATGACTCGGTGGACTCCTTGCCTCTGTCCGATAGCGCGTCTGCAGCAGTTGATTCTTCGGCTGATAAAAATAGCGCATTAGGATCAGGCAGGACTACTCAAGTTCAAGAGCCAGCTCTTAGTGTATCCAAATTAACGCAGTCACTCAGGAAGAATTCTGCCAAATATGAGGGGCTGCGATCCAACTCACCAGTAGTGAGGCACGATGAAGACGATATCCTTGCAATGCCTGCTCCACAACATCAGCGAACCACATCTATGCATGCTCACTTCTCTGTTGAGGATATCATGAAACATCCCAATGCGCGATCGAGATCGGGTTCAGCATCTACTAACGATTTAGAGGCCCCTCATCATATAGCACCGCCAATTCCTCAAATAAAGCCGAATGAAATTGCACATCCGGCAACATCTGTACCGACAACTTCAACAGATGTGCATCTGAGATTACCTCAGGATGATGGCAAACTTCATATCCTTTTTGGTGCTTGTGGGTCTGTCTCAATAAAGAAAACGAGGCTGATCATCAACAAACTTGAACAAATTTACAAGGACAATGTCTCTATTCAGTTAATACTGACAAAAGCTGCGGAGCATTTTGTATCCAGAGGTGAATTCCCAGCCAATGTACAAATATGGCGAGACAAAGACGAATGGTCCGTTTGGAATAGCCGGACCGATCCCGTTCTTCACATTGAACTAAGACGATGGGCGGATGTTTTGATTATAGCTCCTCTAAGTGCCAATACTCTGTCCAAGATTGCAATGGGTTTATGTGATAATCTTTTAACAAACGTTGTTAGGGCATGGAATACCCAGTATCCAATTATTCTCGCACCAGCTATGGTTTCCTTTGCGTACACATCTCCTGTCACTAAAAGACATGCCAAAACAATCAAAGAAGACATGAAGTGGATAGAAATTTTGAAGCCGACAGAGAAGGTGGTGAGCAGTTACGGAGAAATAGGAATGGGTGGAATGATGGATTGGAACGAGATTGTCGATAAGATTGTTCAAAAGTTGGGAGGATATCCTGAAGATGAAGATGAAGATGAAGATGAGGGCGAAGATAATGTTAAAGGTGGAGAAGACGAAGAGGATGAAGGAGAAGAGGAAGACGAAGAAAAGGAAGATGAAGATGAAGACGAAGATGACGAAGATGACGATGATGGCGATAATGTTGAGGAGTCAGAAGAGCACAACGAACCACCGTTGATAAGCGGCATAAGAAAGCTAACAGTTGCGGAAGAAGATGAACTTAGCGAAGCGATAGAAAAAGGCACACATTCGGGCCCATTACACAACAAGGGCACTCAGTAATTGGTTCGTTGGTTATTGTTAACATTCTCATGTTAATGTATTGTTAGCCAGCAGCGGTGGGCTTTGTATAATAGATATGTAAAGTTGGTAGGGTTATATGTTTGATTACATAACTTGGATAAAATTCTGCCCAAAGGAAAAATAAATTAAAGGAGAAAGAATCTTCAGAAAAGGGATGGCTGAAGGCATATGAAACAAGGCATGTCTAATTGAGAGGAAAATTAATATTGACCAGATAAATATCAGCAACTATAGATATACTTGTGAAGAACTTATATCATCAAGAACTCTTACAGAAACTAATCAAGAAGATAAGTGAATCTCTACGAACGTTTACTGGTAATGATTCAAATTTCCACATCTTCTCCCACGTCGGCATTCGGCTCGCGCTTGACTTCAACAGAAAGTCTGATTGTGATGCTTTTAAAGCTCAGCACACATACGATTACAAGTGGGAATCATATGGACGCTTTTACCAATAAAGAAAACGAGCCTATTACATTGGCTAGCAAAGTCATGGAACACTTACCTCTTAGCATCCAGCTGCTATTCTCTATGCTACAAGGACCATATAAAGAATCAGTGATTTATTCCATGAAGAAATCTCTAGAAAATATCAGTGAGATACGGTTTGTTGATCACCGTGATACTGAAGATAGTGAAGTTGATCTTCGTTCTGATGCTTTCAAGATCTTCAAACAGTTTTTGCTAGACGATAGGAGATATGAAAGCTTTAGGTTTGAGGAAGTCTACATTTCGGAATATGATGATATTGTGAAACTCAGCTGCTGGAAGAGGGTGAAAATAGATCTCTCGAGAATCAAACAATTTTCTCACGTCTGGTACAAGGTGTCAACCCTTGTGATTAACAGTGATACAAAGATGGACGTGATAGAGAGCTATGATCTATCACGCATATTGCAGCTTGAAATTGTTGGACTACCACTTTCTTTTACATACATTCAGAGGATACTAGATTTATGCACCAATATTCGAAAATTGGTTTACAAAGATCTTGTATTGGATGAGGCATCAAGAAGTGGTGTTCTTTTGTGCCCAAATAATGGAGAGACAGTATTTGATTTGCTCCTCAATTGCTCTACCAATATTGAATTCTTGAACGAGATTGGGATGCGCAGCGTCAGAAACCTCAACCTTACTATGACTGACAGAAACTCCAGAAATTTTGATTTGAATCATCATTTAGCCTGTTTGGCTTCAGTCCGGACAATCACTCTTAATTCTTTATTGAGTCTACCTTATCTGCGGATAACTTTCGACTCTGCGAGCTCAAAAGTGCAGTATTTGAATTTTTCACATTGTGAGTTTGAAAACTGCGACTTCTCGCCTTTATCTCGACTAAGGGAACTGGTTTTACTAGACTGCATAATCGACTCAAAGCAACTAAACACTTTAAGGAATCTACCTCAAATTTCCTCTTTGATACTCATCAATTGCATGATAAACTGGAATCACTTTTGGGAGCTTCCTCCAAATTTGGTCAGCATCGTCCTTCACAATAATGACTACGAAACTTGCAAAGATTTGATCTTCTTGAATCAAAGTCAAAAATGCAACAACGAAATGAAGTGTTACAGACGGACCTTTAGCATGGACGTGAATTCTGTTAAATTCCAAATTAACTGCCCGTTGGACAGCATCTTATCAATGGCAAAATTTGACACAGTCAATATGAAAATGCCACAAGTGGATTCAGCTGAAATTGAGCTGGTTTCGATCCCAAATTTCAACGGCTTTGATTTCAGCCTTTTCGATTTTGGAGACATTGAAGTTTCGAACATGGTCATCAAATTATATTCATTTGGTAACGTTTTCCATAAGCCAAGAAACGTTCCAGCAACTCTTCGCTGTGAGTACAGGTATTACAATTTTAACTTGATAGATTTCACCGGGCTCAAGCGATCGATGGACTCAAAGTCCGAATTGGAATTTGCAGACATCAATGAAATATCTGATTATGATTCTGAGGGACAGCGCATCGACAATGGCTTTTACGATTCTTCTGAATTTTCAAATAGTGAAAGTGAACAAGATCTCGACCAAAAGAAATCTGCTCGGACAAGGTCAAGAAGGCTGCGCACTACTCGGATTTATAAAAAGACCCATTCCGACGAGGCAGTCACTGAAGACAGCGAAGAAGAAGAGAAGAAAAGAAGCAAGCTTATCAATACAGTGATATCATCGAAAAACATCAAGCCCTCAATCAATCCGAAGGACGCTAATAAACCTTTTGAATGTGAATTTTGCTCAAGGGCGTTCAAACGAAAGGAGCATTTGAGAAGGCACTCATTGACACATACAAATTATAGACCTCATGTATGTTCTAATTGCAGGCGCGGATTCAGAAGATCGGACAACCTGAAAAACCATGAAAAACGTTGCCTGGCGTCAGGAAAAGCAGGTGGTACTGGTTATAAGTTACGAAATGATCCAAATCGACTTGATGCCGAGGAGATTGAAAGAGTAAAAAGTATTGAAATGGCCAAGAAAGAGAAGCTCAAGAAGTTGAAAGAAATGGGCAAGAGCATAAAATTAGCAGAATTCTATGAGTCTGATAGGTATCAAAGCCCAGTTAGTCAGCCCAGATCTGACTCACTGTCTTCAGTCTCCGATGATATGGACCACCAATCGGATGATTACGCTCAGACACACGATATAGACCACGACACGTTCGGTGGAGACCTACATCATCCCAAATCCAAAGTTTCTAAACCTAGCCGGCGGAATCTCCTTGATGGCGCCTTAGAGACCCCTCCTGCGACAGCAAATGAACCGGCACTGCAGCCTGGAGATATAACAACCACAGAATCTAAACACAGTATAAGACAAATGCTGAATCTGAAAAGGCCGTATTCGTCGACTCAAATCTCAACTGCAGCTATGTTGAACTCACTTGCAGACAGGGACTTAATAAGCGATGACTCAAGTGAGCAAATGGAGCCCAAAATTGGAGACAGCGAAACAAAATCACTAGGGGATGATCAAGCCGATGAAGATGCAACTGATGATTTTATTTACACACACTCGAAGTTTGATACTAGTGACCCAGTTAGATTGTCGATCAAGCAGCAAGTCAGCCAAGAGTTTGCACGCTGTGAACTGATGCCCAATAATACTTACAAATGCTCTAAGTGCTTTCAGTTGTTTACCAAAAGAGGTAACCTCAGAAGGCATTTAGTAATCCATTTCAATCTAAGACCCTACGTTTGTGAATGCGGTAAGTCATTCAAGAGATCCGACAATTACAAGAAACATGCTAGCCGGTGTAAAACAGTTCTTTGCAAACGTCAGAAGGTTGAAGAACCGAATGAAACGGTTTTGAAATCAGATACAATCAGATTTGCAGAATCAATAGAGTCAACGGAAGCAAAGGGCAACCATGATTTGGGCTCGCTATCTTCGCTAGCAAATCCGAGAAATGCAGACAATGGAGAAATAAAACCTGGAAAAGACGAGACTGTGCATCAAAACGACAATTCTGAAGAGAGTGATAACGAGACTCATGTTTCTACAAAGGCTGATGAAAGAAAGTTTGAGTGTAGTTTTTGCCAAAAGAAATTCAAACGGAAGTATCATTTAAACAGGCATTTGATTGTCCATCAAAATGATAACATGCGACCATTCAGTTGCCTTAGATGTGGCACTGCATTTAAGAGAAATGACCTACTAGAGAAGCATATTCTCTACAACAAATGTAGACAAGCAGCTACATAATTTTACTTTTCAATAATATGTATAGTAATCTTTTCCCCCCGAATAAAAAAGCAAGTATTTGTCATTATGTTAAAATCGTTTTTCAAAACATCAAATCTGTCTTCTCAAATACTTCAGTTTTCACGTAAAATGCACATCGAATATTTGCCAATGAGATGGGGGTCTGGCGATAATTACTGTTATATCCTCTCAGACGATGAGACTAAAAAATCTTGGTTGATTGATCCTGCATATCCATCTGAAATATCGTCGTATTTAATAAATCAGAACAAAACAGACGTGGTCGCAATCGTCAACACACATCACCATTATGACCATGCGGGTGGTAATGGAGAACTACTCAGGTCTATTTATCCCGGGGTCGACGTTATCGCAGGGAAAGATTCCCCACATGTTAATCGAATCCCAAAAGATGGTGAAATTCTGGAGTTAGGGAAGAATATTAAAATTAAGGCAATTCATACTCCTTGCCACACTCAGGACTCTATTTGTTATTATGCTGAAGATCAGAAGACTGGACAAAAAGGAGTTTTCACCGGAGACACATTATTTATTTCAGGATGTGGTCGGTTCTTTGAGGGCGATGGTGCTCAAATGATAGCAGCATTTGGAAAGCTACTTGAGCTTCCAGAAGATACTAAAGTTTATCCTGGACATGAATACACGAAGTCAAATGTGAAATTCTCAAAGATAGTCTTGGGGTCTAAGAATGAGGCGTTGAATAACCTGGAGGACTATTGCTCCAAGCACGAGGTCACAACTGGTGTCTTTACTATCGGAGACGAAAAACGCTTCAATCCTTTTGCTAGGCTCTCTGATCCTGAAGTTCAGCGCTCGACTCAGGAAACAGATCCGGTCAAGGTGATGGACACCCTTCGTTCAATGAAGAACAATTTATGAGTATATAATTATACCGTCTGGATCAGTTCCAATAAGTTTTGAATTCCAGTTAATATGGATTCATCATTTCCTTTTCCAGGCGTATATTTCGTATGAGCAAAATCAATCAATTTCAGCAGACTCAATGCTCGGGGGGCATCTTCTTCGCTAGAGTCCTCATCAATTTCCATTTCATTCACTAATATATCTTGATTACCAAGCTCTTCCCAACGACCTTCATCATTTTCATACACTAGCAATAGTGATGCGCTAATCATTCGAATCTCATATTCGAGCAAACAATTATAGAGAAGTTGCAATCGGCGTATGGTATTCTGGAGAACGATTGCTTGTCTCTGAGGTGAAAGATCGTTTCCCCTGAAAAATAGTAATAGAGCATCTTTGACAGTGTCTGACGTTAACCCTTTTCCAAAGTTCTTATCAAACAACAAGTAACCATCATCTTTGCGCGCCGTTTCCCTCGGATCTGAGCCCTTGATATTTGTCAAAGATTTGCCTGAATCAACAATTTTCATTCCACATATACGATAATGTAGAGACCCTGAAGTCGTAGTATTCGAAACCTTCTTCATCCTTTCAACCTTATCTATGCTTGCATTTTCGTCGTAAAGAATGTTTCCAAGCTTGATGTCGATAACACTCGGTTTTTTAAAACCGTATACCACATTCTCCAGAACCAAGTATTGTTGTCCGCTGTCGGGCTGGGACACCTGTAGATCTTGATATCCTTTGCTTGCTTCTGGGTTTTTCTCGTGTAGTTCTTTACTGACTCCAGGAGACATTGTTCCATAAAAGACAGGCATCCAATGGAACAACTTTGATCCTAGCTCAATCTGATCATCAATATTTTGCGCTTCAGCCTGCGTTGAAGTATAAAATTGTAGCTCTTGTGCATTAGTGGGCTTTATGAATAATGAACCGTCAAGGGATTGCATTGCTCCATCATGTCCTGCAGCCTTGTGCTCAAGGGGTACGAAAGACATTGGAATAATTTTACTTACCTTTGAAGCACAGCCTCAAAATTTGTTATCATTTAAAACTACAAATTACTTCCTCCCTTTCTTCTTCGAGATGAATTCACATACCTCCCTCTTCCCACTCTCACATTGACCGGTTTGATGTGATCAGTTCCAGTGAAAAATGGAGAAACAAAGTTATCCGCCGATCCACCACCCACATATTCTTGCATTGCTTTCTCATTTTGTCGAAGTTGCCATTTTGCATTTTTCAATGCTTGTTGGTATTCCTTCTGGTCTTCACGCAGGTAAATGTTGTCGAGGTTCGGATTTCCACGATGCTGGTATCCCTGTTTGCCATACTTCTTCGTATAGTTCTTAGAAAGCGGAGATGGCAAAGAATACCTGTCACCCTTTTTGTGCCATTCAAAATTCTTCTTCAGGTGAGGAACAACCTCTCCCTTGGAATTGACTGAAACCGCACATCTCAACAAAGTCGCCCCTCCACAAGAGGAACAGAAATGTTTTGGTGTGCCATCTTTCGGAATTGGAATCATGGTGAAACACGCATGACACCTGAGCATGTAGTTTCTGACTCTTTGAATTTGCAGGCCTGACATTGCATTCATCAAATTCAACCCCATTTGAAGCGAAACATTCTGAACAGCAAAATCACCAGTTGCTAGAGCGACTTTAATTTTGAACGTACTTTTTTCTGCCTCGACTTGTTCATTTTCGTCTTTCAGCATCTCTTCTACTATATTGTCGGGAGTAATCCACTCTCCTTCGTCTTCTGAATCCGAATATGTCTGTGAAAGCTGGCCATCAGTGGAAAGGTCTTCTAGTTTATCTGTGATTTGTTGCACGGCTGCATTTACATTATCATCAATTTCAGCCTGTTCCTTAAAGTCTGCCTCACCTTTCTCTTCGTTGTTTATCGGTTTCTTTCTGTGCCGTTTTCCACCTCTTCTTACTTTCTTTTTTGTCTTCTCAGTTATATTCGAGACCACCAAGTTTTCTAGTGGTGCCTGCGTTTTTTCTTCCTCAGATAAAACTCCTACATCCTTAGTTTCTTCTCTTTCCTTCCCATTGTGCTTCTTTTGACGCTCTTTTTTCTCTCCTGGATACGATCTCAGTCTCCAAGGACCGTTATTTAATTCACATTCAAGTTCATACGCAAGGGCCAAGATATGAATATCATTTTGCGATAACACCACATGGTCACCCGTGAGTTTAGCAAAATCTGCCACTGCTTTGATTGCATCGGACTTGGGTTGTCTTACTGTTAATAGTTCACCCCATAAAGCAGCTTGTCTTCGTGCATGCTCATCTTTCAGCTCGTTGTAAACTCCTGGAGTTGTAAAAAAATTCTCAGCATGCTGCTGCAAGGATGACGCTGACTGGGTGATCAAAGGACCCGCATCCAACACTAGCGTGTTGACTTTAGACATGGGATTAAGATAAAGGAAAAAATTGAGTTGAAAAAAAAATATATTTCAGGGCTGTGTTCCTGAAGAAATCAAAAGAACTTCGTCTAGCGTATTATCATGCCAATTGGTACTCAGATCAAAGAGGGAGAATTAGCCTATGAGAAAGATGACTTGGCTACTGCATTATTGAAGGCGAATTCTGCACTTCAAGAAAATCCGAATTCATTCAAAGCACTTTTACTCAGAAGTCGCATTTATTTGAGATCCAAAAAACATGATCTTGCTTTTGAGGATGCTAACAAACTCGTTCAAATAGCCCAAAATAGTGGCAAACGGGAAGAACTTGCTCTGTCCTATAAACAGAAAGCAATTGTTTTGTATAGACGGAAACGATTCCAAGAGGCAATGGAAAATATATGCAAAGCTCACAACCTAAATGACAAGGACGCCGAAAGCTTGATGTTTAAGAGCATGATAGAGAAAAAACTTCAAGCAGGTGAGAAGATTTCAAGCGAAAGTCCTGCATCTTCCGAAGAACAGCCATTATTGGCCCAACAAATTTCGAAACAGAAACCGAAAGTGGACTGGTATGATTCCAAAGACATGGTCAACGTTTCAATATATGTCAAAAATATACCTCCCACGACTCTGAAGGTAGATTTCCAGGACACTTCAGTGAATGTTTCTTTCAAAACAAGTCAAAACACCGACTTTAATTATTGTTTGGATCCATTGTATGGCTCAATAGTTCCCTCCAAATCATCATTTAAGGTTTTTGGAACTAAATTGGAATTATACCTTGTCAAGGAAACAGAAGAAACTTGGAAATCATTGGAAAAAGTAGAATCGGATACTATTGCACCACAGGAGACTTCTCTCAGCACTTTGGGCTATCCAAGTTCCTCTACAAAGAGAATTAATTGGTCAGAATTCAAGGTGGATGATGGCGAAGAAGATTCTAGTCAAGATCCGGACGCTTTCTTTAAAAAGCTTTACGAAGGAGCAGACGAAGATACCAAAAGAGCGATGATGAAAAGCTACTTGGAGAGCAATGGTACGAGTCTCAGTACAGACTGGAAGGAGGTCAGTCAGAAGAAGGTCGAAATTGCTCCGCCTGATGGGGTGGATCTCAAGAATTGGTAAACCTCTTGTTTCATATATCATACACGACAGAAATCTAAAATGTTTCGGTATCCCAGTTCATGGCAACGTCATTCAAGAGCATTTGCTGAGCTTCTCCATGTGATTTGTAAGACCTGGGGCTAACGTTCTCTTTGACTTCTTCACTGTAATCAATCAATGAGTCGCTTAGTTCAGCAACAGGCATAGCGTTTGATGTATTAGGGCTGTCTGACTGTCTTACTATGCTTCCATTAATGCGCTCATGACTCAAAGATGACGATGGGGAGGGGGCCTTGAGCTGACAACTCAATGGCTTAAGACTAGTGCTTTCAGCTGGTTTTTGGAGAATTGCGTTTGAAGGTAGTACTCGCGTGGGTGACAAACTCGGTAGTCGCAAATGTGAGCGGGTGCGTAGTTCGGATTCAGAATTTTGCCTGATAGGAGATCCACCCTTGATTACAATTGGCTTGTTGGATATAGTCGAACCTGACATGAAGCAAACTGATCTGACTAATGATGGGTCGGCAGGACTAGAGAATACTGGAGGCTCAATCGGAGACATGAATCTCAAATCTGGCGTTATGTCCTGAAGTTGTGAAGCTTTCGCATGTTGGCGAGAATGAACCGTTTTTCTCAAAGGAGAACTTTCCCTTGAATTGAACGGATTTCTCATGGTCTCAGTGTTCTGTCTTCTGATAACGGATCCGAAACTTGCTGGTGATTTATAGACGTTTGAATTCACTGATTGCGATAACCGCTGAACAGTGGAAGGCAATTTCGGTTGCATGCCAAGATAGTTCCTTTTCCGTATGGCGGTTTTCGTTTGTTCCCGCTTATATACTCTGCTTGAGCTGTTGGGAGGCAGGGTCTTAATGGGGGACTTTCGAAAACTACGTTTTCGACAAAGTTCTGATTCAATCTCCTCCAATTTTGAGATATATGGTTCTCCGTTTACTTTGAATGCGCGGCCTCTTTCGATCTCAAAGCTGCTTAGTTTCAACTTTAAATCTTGGATGGTCGATGGTAATTGTCTAGCTAGCTTCTCCCTTATCTTTTCTTCATGCCTTAATATTTTGAATGAATCTCTTTTCAAAAGTCGATTTGGATCCTTAACAGCCTCATCCAGATAGCTTTTTTCTTTGAGCAGATCATCTAATTTGGTAATCGATTCAAGAAGGGGCTTGAGTTTATCAACTTCTGCTCTCAATTTCGCAATTTCTCGATTATGTCGATCAAGCAAGTCCTCGTCAAAATTGTCAGCGTCTTCGTCGTAAAATGCTTCAAACTTCAAGCGGTCTTCCTCATCGTACATCAGGAGATCCCAGTACCCAAGAATTCTCATACGGCTTGTTTGAATGAATTTTGAAATGTTTTCTCTTTTCTCCTGTTCTAGCTCTTCCACAAGAGCTTCAAAATTACTGATCGACGCGCGCTTTATGTTTCGGTTCACTTTCAAAAACTCCTGAATCGAGTTATCTTTCGGTCTCAAGACAGCCCACAAATCTTCCAGTCTTTCCATCAAATCATCAAGCTGTCGTTCCCTATTGCTTTTTTCCTCCAGAAGAGCTTTCAGTTTATTATTGTATTGTTCAAAGCTCGCTTTTTTAATACCGATATGCTGTATCAACTCTTCATCGCAATAATGCTGAAGGTCTAAATCAATTTTTTTCTCTAGCTCATTTTCAAGCAGTCTCAATCTGTCCATTGTATTTCTCATCAAAGAACACTTCTGGCTGATAAAGTTTTCTAGCTTCTGTTTTTCTCTTTTTATCTTCTCTTCGAGCGCAGGACTTGAGCGACTGAAATTGGTAGACATGATACCTTTGATATCATCGACCTCCTCTATTGTAGAGTACTTCAGGCTTTCCTCTGGAGATGGAAGTTGCTCAAGAAATTTTGGATTATCATATTCGTCCACAATCTCCAACCTTGAGTAAAAACCTCTTATCTCTTTTGAAATCCCCACAATCTTTTCCACAAGCATCGGTTTCAGTTTTAGAATTCCATTTTCAACCTCTCTATTAACTTGGGACATCGGTTCTGCCTCGTTACAATACTGCGCCAGATTCACAAACTCATTTTGTCGGTAGTCGTCTATCAGTTTTTGAATTCTGCAGCTCAGTAGGGAGCCATCCTGTGCCTCCTTATGGTAATTCTTCAAAACTTGAAAGATTTTAGCTATGGTATCTAGTGATTTTGTGAACTCCTGATTCAAGCGACGTTCCTCCTTCTTCAGCTCTGAATAATAACTAGTAAGGATTATGTGAATGGACTGAAACCATCGCTCTAGCTTGCCTTCCTGCCCTCCAATAATTAGACCCAACGTTTGGATGTCATGTGAAGCCTTGATGATATCCTGGATGTGTAACTGCAACAGTGGTTTTGGTTTATTTCTTTGTACGTCGCTATTCGTTTCTTGAATAAACTTGGCTATGGATCCCAACTGATCTTCAGACAAATTATCCAAAGAGCGAACCATATCTTTCTTAAGTTTCATTACGTTACTAGTGTTAACATTCATTCATTAAGCAACTGTTAAATTATTGAACAATCTTGTGAGCCGTCGTGTTTTAATGTTTACATCAAAATTACTTGGTTTTGTTATTTACAAAATGCCGAAAGGGGTAAATGAATTACATTCGAATTTTACAAGCATCTGTATTTTAGCAGCACAACTATGATACTTTGATTTGTATTAATCGATCAACAAGTTTGCAAGGTAACAGGCTTGGGTGTCCAGCAATTAAGCGTTCTAATTTACAGTATGTTTCCCTGACAAACCTTCTCAATCTATGTCGTCGCAGATTTGAGGGACAGTTTGGCACACAACTAAGCTTTCTGCTGAGAATGTGTTAGTTGTGAGCTCCTAGTAGTTGTAATTTTACAAATGGTTATCGTGTTGGCCACGCAAGAACTCATGCGCTACATCAATAATGTAGATCTCTTCGAAGAGTTATTTCCCCTTATAGTAAGAGTTTCCATCCTCTATGCGAATTGCATGCCTTGTGTCAACGATAATGAGGTCTACAGCTGACTCGTTAGGTGATAGGCATCAGCTTGTTGCTGATGCCTAACCTGCGAATCTTCACGTGTAACCCCACTTGTAGATCAACTGCAACATTAAACAATGTCTATGGTTGTATAGTGTAGTGGTTATCACTTTCGGTTTTGATCCGAACAACCCCGGTTCGAATCCGGGTACGACCTCTCTTTTTTTACATATTTGAAATTGTTGTTTTATCGATATTTGGAGTGAATGAATATACAATACATTTATTAAGCCTTCTTTTTGAAATAATAGATAACTTCATCGTAATATGCGTAATGGGTTTCATCATCATCATAGATATATGCCACACTGGCAATATCCAGAGCAGTTTCCAATGGTAGAGTCCTGCCTAGTTTGAGCAGAGCTGTCTTGCAGAGAATGGCTAGCTGTTCAAAGATCCTGCTTTCAAAGTTGGTGGTAGTGCTGGTTTTGTTCACTATGCATTTCGTTCGATTCTCTCTCCGCCTTTTATAAGCTGTTTCATGCTTTTTTAGCAGTTCATGGTATTTCTTAATCAGGAGCTTTGCCAAGTCACAGAACCTATTTGTTAAGAACACATTGGCATAACTTATCAACGTGTGAACTACACCTAATGCTGAAAATGCCAGCTTAGGGTCATCATTAGTAACAAAGCTGGCTGCTGTAGGCCAAATGGAAGCAACAATAGGAAGAAACTTCGTTTTCTCGGTTGCCAAGATGGGTATCAGTTTATTAATCAAACCCAATGCAATGGCTGAAACCTTGACAGAACGGTGCTTGCACAACCGCTCGCTGTACTGGAATATTTCTGCTAGAACTTTATACTGTTTTGGTGAAATTGGCGACGTCCATTTTGTGTCGTCTTCCGGAGACGAAACAACAGAAGTCGTCTCGGCGTCTGATTCATCATCGCTATCAACATCAAGGATTTTCTCCTTCTTTATTGGCTCCTCAATTACTTCACCGGCAGTCTCGTGATCATAGTCCAGAAGCTCAACCTGCTTTTCAACGAAGTCAAAAACCTGCTCGAGATTCCTCAAGCCCCATGGAGCAGGATAAATCACGTTCACATCTTCATTGATCTGTTCAATATCTTTCCAGCTCACACTCGAAAGAACATTGTTATAAATCTGATCAATAATTTGATCAAACACAAAAAAGAAACCTTCACAGAGGGTGGCATATTGATGATAGACATCAAGAAGTGTGAATATAGTGGCTATTATATCGTCCAACTGCGAGACAAGCTCTATCCCTCCAATTTTTACTAGGACCCCTATGATCATGGGGGTTCGAGGCGTGATGGTTTCGCCAGTCATATTGATTGAAAGTTTGTCGGTTAGATAGTCGCAATTTTCTGAAATGAGTCTTTCCACTGAGCCCTCGTATAGCTGGTCCGCAACCTTTAATATCACTTTCTGTGCTTGCAAACGAATCAGGTCATTGGGGGATGCAAGGCTGTCCACCACAGGGTAAAGGTAATCGATAAGTTCTGAATGAAAATCATTTCCAAGTATGTCGCACGCCTTCTCGATACATTGCAGCCCAATAATTGTTGCCTTGGTAAGAGCAGGCTCTTCATGTATAGCAGCAAAACTCAAAAGCTCCCCAGCTTTCTCCAATAGGCTGTAAGTGACTTCAGTAGAGCTGTCATCTTTGTACTCACTAGCAAGATAGTCATCGTGATGCACAGCTGTCTTTTGTACTGATCTCATGACAAGCCATAAGCTCATGGACTCTGCCAGCGCCGAATCAACCGAATCAGGCGGTGGCAAGTCAAATAATATATATTGTAGGAAGCTTGCGCCTCTATGCCCCAAATATGAAAGCATGTTCGTCAGCGACTTCTCGACTTCCACGTCGAGGATGTCATTCAAGGACCACACTCTTTCGGATACTTCGAAATCAGAGGACAGAATTATTGAAAGCAGTTCATCACCATAAGACACTTGAATCGGCTTTGGTTGTTTCTTTTTTCGATTGAGTAGCGTCAGCTCGTTTCGGAGGGTATAGATCAATTTTTCACCCAGCACGGAATAATTCCCTCCAAATTCTAATAGGACCGAGAAGTAAAAAGAAAACTTGTTAAAGAGTCCAATTGCCTTAGAAGAATCGGGTGATCTCAGAGCCATCGTTATTATCCCAATCCCCTGATCCAGCTCATGTTCAATCATTTTGAGGATTTCTGGAACATGAGAATTGAAAGCTAGGACTTCTGTAAATTTTGTGTAATATTCTTCGTCATTGCATACTTGCGCTAAGCAATCAAGGATTTGCGGCATCAGTATTGAACAAGATATAAAACACCGGCTCAGCATGGAAGAACAGAGTGTGAAATATGGTTCCTTTACATCCATTCGATCATCTAATTTCAAAATAATCCTGAATGCCTTTTGAAGTTGATATACGGTAGCCTTCAACCAGCTAGTAGTTCTGTGCAGCTTTTTATCATCAGAGGTAGTAATTGTAGGAAGAACACGATGTTCAACACCCATGTCGTGTGCTTTGACATCTTCGAGGGTTTCTCCTTTATCAGTCGTCTCAGTTCCCAGATCGAAGTCGTCAAAAACAAAGCATAGAGCGGTGGTCAGCAGGTCCAAAGATTTTGCAGTCACCTTCTGACGCGTTTTCCGCTTCAAAACTTTAGTGATAGCTGAAACAACTCCTGGTAGCATAAAGGATAAAGTTTCACCATCATGGAACATCTTGAACAGATCATTTAGAACCTCCAAGCTTTGAACTTGAATATTTACCGACTGTCCTTTTTGCACAAACATCAGCAAAACGGTGACCATATGTCCAACAGAAAGCATGCTTTTGGAATCGTTTAAGAATTCATCCGAATATTTGGAACCTTGGTTCTTGATACCACCTAGCAGATTTTGGAGACAGTCGACTCCATTCGAGATCGTCTCATCAACATGCTCAGGAAGTTCATTCACATTTAAGTTTGGCTTTCCACCAATGAGATAAGTAATCAATGGCAGAAGCTGCTGTGCCAACTCCATTGGAAGGCTTCCTGGAAATGCCCAACATCTTTTGATAAGAGTATTTATGATGGACAATGTATACTCCAATTCCATCTCCTCAATCACGGGACGCTTTAGCAAGTATGCTATTGGTACGAAGATGTAGTCTGCAAGACTCGTGGAAATTCCGTAGGATTCCGTATCCGTTAAGCTATTAATGACCTGAGTTAGTCTGGAATCAAGCTGTTTGAGAGCATCCACCAGTTCCCTAGACGTAAAAGTTTCTGGCGGCGCAAAAGTGATTTGTGAAAGTGTTATGCAGCTTTGCCTGATTTCCCTGAAAATGGAAACCTCTATGTCATCCGGATCGGAAGAACCAGAAGGCATGATCAACAGCTTATAGTAAAGGTATTCTTTTGCATCTCTACACCGAGAGATATTTTGTAAAATTCTCGTCGAAAAAAATTTTCATCTTCCCATCAAAGAAAGCAAGTAAAGAGTACGTAGATCACCTCTTATTTGCAAGTGTTCAGATTGGTTTTACATCAAGGCAAAAAAGCAAGCTGGTTCAGAAATTCTGGTTTCTTTTGGGTTCTAACATTGGGTGTGCTGAAGACAATGGTTCAGTGCTCTTAATGTAAGTGCAAAAAAGAACCTCAACACTCTGAAGCAGAAGGACGTGTAGTTGGTGATACAACCACGTTGAGATGCTCATGACTCCACAGGGACACTCATGCAGCTTTTATTGGGTTTTTGCCTGGAACGTACTAACTTTTAGACTATGACTAGAACCTCCGTTTTGGCCGACGCTCTCAACGCCATCAACAACGCTGAAAAGACTGGAAAGAGACAGGTTCTTATCAGACCTTCTTCTAAAGTCATCATCAAGTTCCTCCAGGTTATGCAAAAGCATGGTAAGTACCTTACTCACCGGAATGATAACTGGATGGCTTGTCGGTCTCAGTCCCTCGCTGTCTTTTAAGTTTCCGGAAGATCGACGCAGGAAATGCTTCTTACACAGCATCGATACTTGGTTATCGACGTCTGTTTACTTTTCCTCAACATTCCACTTCCTTCAAATACTAACTAGCTTAGGTTACATCGGAGAATTCGAGTACATTGATGACCATAGATCGGGAAAAATAGTTATTCAACTGAATGGTAGATTGAACAAATGTGGCGTTATCAGCCCAAGATACAACGTGAAGATCAACGACATTGAAAAATGGACTGACAACTTGCTTCCAGCTAGACAGTTCGGTTATGTCATTCTCACAACTTCCGCTGGTATTATGGACCACGACGAAGCCAAGAGAAAACATGTTGCTGGTAAGATTTTGGGTTTCGTGTACTAGGTTAAATAGCTTTTGTACGTATAGTACCTTCGAATTTGTGATCGTTATGTAACAATATTGGCTGTGCAGAAAGTCTTATGATCGGAGAGGATCAGCGTTTATCCTTTTTTTTAAAATTTGTAAGACCTTCATTATACTCTCTTGAATATATGATGTTTTGCGGTGCTAAGGCGATGTTTGCATCCTTGATTGCAACTACCGTACTTTGTGCTGTTCACCCCATTGAGATTAGAGAAAGGCATTTTTATGATTCGGTTACTGGAAAACCAGTGAGTATTCCCGCTCATCATTAGATCTAATCGGCCAGTTTTTCATTAAAGGAGTTGATTATCAGCCCGGTGGATCCTCAGCTGTCAATCATATAAGCGATCCACTTTCAGATGTCAGTAAATGTGCCAGAGATATCGTTTTATTTCAAATGTTGGGAATCAATACTATTAGAGTCTATTCTATCAATCCTGATTTGGATCACGATAAGTGTATGACACTATTGGCTGCAGCCGGTATCTATCTTGTACTGGATGTGAACTCACCACTTCCAAGCCAGCACTTAAACAGATATGAACCCTGGTCCACATATAACACCGACTACCTTTCTCATATTTTCAAAACAGTCGAGGTCTTCTCAGGATATAATAATACGCTGGCTTTCTTTGCTGGGAATGAGATCGTTAACGACAAGCTGTCTGCCAAAGTCTCACCAGCTTACATCAAGGCTGTTGTCAGAGATCTCAAAGATTACATTAGTTACCAAGTGCCTCGCAAGATTCCCGTTGGCTATTCAGCAGCGGACGACTTGAGCTACAGGATATCGCTAGCCAAATACTTGGAGTGTTACGAAAGCAGCCCTTCTGAGAGTGTAGACTTTTACGGCGTCAATACTTACCAGTGGTGTGGGGAACAGACTTTCCAGTCAAGTGGCTACAATATTCTGGTCAACGATTACCAAGATTACAGCATTCCAATCTTTTTCTCCGAATACGGCTGTAACGAAGTTCTACCAAGACAATTCACAGAAGTATCCAGCATTTACTCAAGCCAGATGTCCTCTGTGTTCTCTGGTGGCCTTGTATATGAATTCGCACAAGAGCCGAATAATTATGGGTTAGTTGATTACGATAAAGATGGGAATGTTCTTCTCTTGAGTGACTTCCATTCTTTTAGAGAACAGATGTCTAAAGCAATTGATCCGCCAGCACCCAAAAGACCTACTCTGCAGACTCAAGGCAAAAGTGATAGTGGACTATTTGGCAAAGGTAGCCGCAATAGACATCAAAAAAGTAAAGTCTGTGAGGTGCAATACCAAAACCTTGACATCACAAGTGGTGTTCCTCAGTCTCTTGGGGCGGACCTTATCAGCAATGGGGTGAGAAAGGCATCAAAGGGCAAGTATGTGTCAGTCACAGAAGAAGACATGACATCGAAATATAAAATATTTGATGTGGATGGCAAGCTTATCCTGGAAAATGCAAAAATCAAAGTGGTGCCCGAACCACGGGTCGAAACCAATCCTGTTATCTGGAATAACCGTAAGTTAAAATTACTGAGTCCAAAGTGGGACGATTAAGAGAGCTTTTTGGCTATTCTTATAGTTCTTAATCGCAAAATACTGACTTTAATCAGGAGCTTCTAAAACTAAATTGTCGTTGCTTTTGAGCGTTGTTTGTGTTTGTCTGACGGGATACTTCGCGAGTTAACTATAATTCCAGCTTTTTGGACATGGTTGATAGATCTATGTCACCGCTTTTACCTCCTGACTTCTTAACAACTCGACAATCACTAATACTCATCATTTTGTCGACAGCTTTGCACATATCGTAAACGGTAAGCAACGACACTGTTGCACCCGTTAACGCTTCCATTTCAACGCCGGTTTTCCCATTACAGTGCACCTCACAGTTTACTTTGATGCAGTTCTCTTTCTCGTTGTGAATCAGGTCAACCTTGATTCCAGTGATGCTGATTGGATGACAGAGAGGAATCAACTCGGCGGTCTTCTTCGCAGCCATTATCCCTGCGACTCTCGCAATTGAGATCACATCTCCCTTCTTGTTGCTTTCTGATAGCAGCAATCTCATCGATTCTGGGTTGCTGAACTTTATTGAACCCTCTGCAATAGCACTTCTATGGGTGTCTTCTTTTTCATGAATTGCAACCATGCGGGCTTCGCCCTTTGAGTTAAGATGAGTTAATTTTCGTGAAGTAGAGTAATTTCGTCTGGCAAGCAAACACGGTTTCGAGACTTGACATGTTAGTATTTCTTAACGAGCGAGCAGTCAGCAGCAATAAATAACTTTCAAATTTCATTCATCCTCCAATCAAAATCATGGGCCTGTTGGGTTGATCTCCCAATACGTCAATCCCTGCATGTTTCTCCTTCTTATTTTTCACGGCCTCACCTATGCGCTGCATTAATTTATCGTCGCTGTATCCAGCACGGAGCATATCTCGCAGAGATACTTCTGTGTTATCGAACAGGCAAACTTTCAAGTTACCATCAGAGGTAATCCTCAAACGTGTGCAAGTACTGCAAAAGTCCGAGGTCATGGACGTTATGAAACCCACTTTCCCCTTGAATCCGGGAATTTGGTAGACTTTGGCCGTGTCCCCGTGTTTATGGGGGAGTCTTTGGATATTCGGATGTCTCACTTTGATATTGGAAAGTATGTCCTCATATGAGACCAGCTTATTCGTAGACCACTTGTTTCCATCGAAAGGCATGTACTCTATAAAACGAACCTCGACTTTATCATGTTTGCTGAGTTCAACGAAATCCAGTATTTCGTCTTCGTTCAGATTCTTCATTACTACCACATTGATTTTCACCTTGGGAATGTCCAATTCAAGAGCCGTTTTCAAACTTCTCATTACTGCGCTGAGTCCGTTGCGTCGCGTTATTAAGAGAAACTTACCATTGATAAGAGTATCAAGACTCAAATTGAGCGACGTCAACCCATTCTTGAAAAGATCGGGTAATTTTCGATGGAGCGCTAGGCCATTGGATGTCATACAGATCTCTTCAATGCCTGAAATTTGATTGAGCTTGGACACAAGCTCAACGATATCTTTTCTGACCGTGGGCTCTCCGCCAGTCAGTCTGACCTTCCGTATTCCGTGCTGAGCAAATATTCTGGCCAATTTGACTATCTCCTCTGTCGTAAGCATATGTTCTGGTGGCGACAAATCAACGCCTTCCTCAGGCATACAGTAAACGCAGCGGAGATTACATCGTTCGGTAATGGAAATACGAAGATAATCGTGCTTGCGCCCATACGTGTCTGTCAGAAAGTCTTTCAAATGTCTTACTGGCAAGCCTCTCAGTCTTTGGAGCCGTGGAAGGTGCTGTGAAGTACCCGTGGAATGGAGCCGCCTCAGCAGTAATGAGGATATCATTGATAAAAAAAAAAATTGCCAATTTCAGAAATAAATGAAATGACTCGACGTCCGTCAAGGCTGACCCTGCTGGAAACGTCTGGACAAAAACTGGATATCAGAGCTCATCAGCGCACTTATCAAGGAGCATATATTCGGACCTGTCTCGGATGTTTATCGTTCTCGCTGATTGTGCTCAAATTATTTACTGCTCAATTTTACCATATTGGACTAGTGTTTAACTGTTATGGGCTGCTTATCTGTGGCATTGCATATTTAAGATCGAAGAACATGGACTTGTACTTCCATAGACACACAAGAGAAATCGAATGTTTCAAAACGAGTGGAAACATTGTTTTATGGCTTACTGCAATAAGTTTAGGATGTTATATAACTTTGCTTACGCTAATCTCTAGATTGTAATGCAATCCGTTTGATTCGCAATTACCTACTCTTCTTTAATTCCACCAGTGCCGCTGATTTCAGCTTTTTCGATGGATTCCTTGTCCGTTTTTTGTTGAGGAGCACCAAGTCCGCCAAACAATCCAGCACCAACTTTGAATGGTCTCTTGAGATCCCCGGTTGCAGGCTTTCCGAAAACGTGGATCTGGACCAAGTTTGACTCAAAGGCACTCTTAAGAGGAGAAATTGATTGCATAAGCAATGGGTTGGCATATTTCATGTACAAGTGCATGAATGCCATCATAGCCACACCAGTGAAGACACCTTTGATGGCACTTTGCAGTTGCTTCAAATCATAATCCTTGACGGTGGTAACGACGAGCTTAGACTCCGTCTCTCCTTGCAACGTACTAGGAGGCTCCAAGTACTTTAGAGTGGTGAGGTCGTTTTTCTTGATGATAATGGATCTCGTATAGAGATAAACACCCAGTGTCAAGAGTGTACAGGTAACGTACAAGACTCTGACGTAGAAAAGGATGTTTGGGTCTTCGAAGTCAAGTCTACGAGAGACTTGCATCATACCTAGCATGAGAACAAGGTTGGACACGGCGGGATTCATTCTGAAGGCGAAATGTCGAGGTGGACAAAAAAAACAAAATTTTCAAAGGCTGTGAAAGATAAGAGAGAACTAGCGCAGATTGGGAGAACAGACAAGCCTAGTAAACAAACTTTATTAATAGGTTATTTATTTATGCTACGTAGCCAGACGGTAAATACCCGTAACGTTGTAAAAAAAGCGATGAGACATATCTTGAGATCAAGTTATGTGCCATTTGCAACAGGCTCTCAACGGCTGTGCATCTGCCAAACAGCGTGCCACTAATGATCAAGCATTTTTTACACCGAAGAGGGCAAGATAGGGTTTCAAGTTTTGTACTCTTTTTGGAATCCGAGCTAAACTCAACTTATTGGCCTATCAGGTATTGCTCACTGGAAAGGGCCACGAGCAGGCATAAACGATTCGAGGAAGCTATTGGTCTTTTCCATTTGTTTGCGAAAGACATCAGTGCTTAGACGCTACCTTGTTGTATACAAAACTAGATTTCAAGTTTTGAACACGGCACCACTCATCTACTTATTATGGGAGACTCTGCACCTACACACATTGCTTCAACTGGTCCTGAATTGTCAAACTTGCATCCAGCCCCGCCTCCAGAGGTAAATCCTTGGAAGAAGTCATCGAGCTCGCCACACTTAGCTCCACAAAATGAAAGCATTAAATTACCTGACTCTTTGGCCATACCAGTAAATGGAAAGCCGCAAGTTCAACCTGTTGTCGCAAAGGCCAAGAAGACGGGGAAACAAAAGTGGGTGCCTTTGGAGGCCGAAATTTCGGTTTCGTCTCCTTCCAAGACGAAAATCAAATCAGCCAATGGCAATTCCAAGAAAAAAGACACAAAGCAAAACCAAAGTAAACGCACTAATCGCAAGAAGGCAACATTGCTTTCTGAGCAGCAAGAAGATAAAGCTGTGGTGCATGATACGACCACGGTTACGACAATTTCAGATATGTCCATCGCCACAAACGAGGCCACAAATACGTCAGATGAAAAGACACTGGCGAAGCTTGCTTCCCAGCTTACCATAAGTTCCTCTGAAGGGCCCGAGACTGCACCTCCTACTTCCGGGTCAGATGCCATACTGGACAATGGCTTCACAGAAGTTGCAGCCAATCCTCGAGACCAAAACTCAGAACACTTCGATGATCCGCAATTTCAAAAGCATCAACGAAGGAAAAGCTTCAATAGCAACAACATGAGATACACCAAAAAAAATAGAAGTTCGTATTCACGTTCATCAGCCAACTTACCTTCGCTTCCTCCCTATCCAATTCTTTCCTCGACGCCCTATTACATTCCCTATTACATGCCACCTGTACCACCTTATGGAGTGTCCATGTCGCCCTCTTCATCGCGGAGGAACAGTCAATTGAATTCACAGGCTTCTTCTAGGAGCTCACCCAAATCCATCGATGAGCTAAGAACTTCGGCAACCGGTGAGCGTATTTCTCAGCATGCAAGCCCTAGCTGCAGCCCGGAAACAGTTTCTCCATCAATATATGGAGATCCAAACTTGTATTATGGCGTGATGCCTGGAATTCCTCCTCACGCTGGATCCCCAGATCCAAGTTCCCCAGTCCCATATTTCGAACCCTATTATATGCCCCCTCCCACAACAGGGTTCCCACTGTACTCATCGCAAGCTCCCTATTCCCCAACGTATCCAGGTGTTGCTGAAAACTCTGGAGATAATAAGGTGGGACGCTTAACGAAGCAGCTGGAGTACTACTTCTCCATGGAGAACCTACTAAAAGATATTTATCTCAGAAAACATATGAATTCCGAAGGATATGTGAGCGTTGCGTTTTTAGCAGGGTTTTCCAGAGTGAAAATATTGTCCGAGGGGGATTTCAATTCGATTCTACAAGCTTTGAAGAGAACGGATTTATTGGAGATGACTGGCTCAGAGAAATCTGAGATGGTCAGGTTGAGAGAAGGCTGGGAACGATGGGTTCTTCCTGAAGATCAGAGGGAACTGTAACGGTACAAATCACAAAAAATGCTTAATGTGCATTTCCAATAAAGTACATGCGAGAGTCAAGAGAATATTCTCTTGTTTAAAAGTCGGAGTTCTGTCAAGCGACGGTAATGGAAGTCTCGGAAATTTCGTGATTTCAACACTTTAGCGTCGTCTTCGGTTTCCAATGAGTATCGATACTTCGGTTTCGATTTATCAATTCTACTTTTCAGCAGAACCAACTCTTCGTTTCGAAGGATATCGGAGTCAAAAACACCATTTAGTTTCTTGAACAGAAAAAAGCTTTTGGAGCTGGCTAATATCTCAAAATTAATGTGCACTAACTGGTCCTCGTTGTTTGTTGATGTTTTGAATGTTTCCTTGTTGATCTTCGAATAGATGCATTTGAAATTCTCAATGTCGAGAAAATGGGCGTGCTTGAAAATATCAGTATAGGTGCTGCTTATCGATACCAGGGTTTCGGACACCGATAATCTCAAATTAGAGAGCACAGAGTTTCTGAAACAACTGCTAGAGACCGATCCGACCGTGAAGTTCACAAGTCGCCTGGTATTGAACAGTTCCTCAAGAACCTCAAGCAGTTTATGATGGTGGTGTATAAGTACAAGCAAAAAGGATGTATTCGAAAGGGAGTCCATGAGCTGTAGGTTGAAGTTGTACCACGTTTTTAGTTTCAGTTCGCATAAGCTCAACTGATCCACCAGAGGTGATTTACCACCCAACTGTGCGACAGACTGGAAGGTACGTGGTTGCACACTGGGAGGATAATCTTTTGGGGTAATAAGCGACATTGTGGGAATCGAAACGGATACAAATGTCTTCAAGCGCAATTAGACTTTTCAGATGACTCACGGATATTTAAAGGCACCGCCCAAAAAACAGAACACTCGGTTATAAAGGTTTATTTTTTTCGGCGCAGCCACCCCGCCGCTCGGTTGTCATGTGACAAATGGAGCCCGTGACTACAAATTAATTTCTGTAATCTGACGTTTGAATGGAGCTGCCTACAAAGACCAAATTAGGGGAACATTTCAAACACAATCTGAATGCTTCCTCCAGATATAGGAGGCGATAATCTGTAGTTCTAGTTTGAGTATGGAACTGGATAGTGAGAATAGAAGGGTGGACAGACTTGTCGTTTCCCAGCGCAGAGGTAGCTAGCTCACGAGCACCACCGATCCGTTGCTAGACCAAAGTCTACAGGAGGAGCCCAATTTAGGGCAAAAGCTTACTATGAAGGTTACTTAGCTTGCTTGCTTCATGTTTGTTGCATTGCAAGTTGATGAGGAAGTCTAGCTCAGGTGGTTGCAGACAAATTACTATAAGATTTGGGTCTTACCAGACATGGACAACAACGGGAGCATCTTGTTTTTGTCGCTTTTCATGACAGTGAGGTCACCTCGCGGCTGATTTACAAGAAATTGGGTGTCGACCAGTGGGTGCCATTTTTAGATGGTTTCAGCGTCTCTAGTAGCGATTTTACAATGCTAAGTGACCAATAGGCATTCTTTTTACTTTACAGGTGCATTTCTACTTTTGGAAGACAGGTTTACTCCGGAACGGGTCTTGTGGATGTCTTACTTCTTTACTTCTAGCGGACTTCCAATCGGGCTGTCCTACTTTTGAGCAGTTTTGTCTTTGACTCAAATTTGCACAGCAATAATGATTTCAGGAATTTTGCAGATGCGTGGTATGCTGGGAATAGCAGGCTGGTAATGGTTTTTTATTATTGAAAGAGTTTTCATTCTTGTCATCGCTCTGATGTCTGTCCTGGTGATAGCTCGCTCCATGGAGCAAACCAAGTGGTTCTGGAACAAAAAAGGGTGACTCACAAAGCGAGAGAAGAAATTCATCAACAGGGTCCTCAGAAACGATCCTCGAAGGGCGACATGAACAAATGACAAGTAGTTGCCACCTCCAACCTGGTATACACTCTTTCGAACTATAACATGTACCCGCTTTACATGTTTGGAATTCTGGCCACTATCTCTTGAATTTGCTGACAAGCTATATGGCTTTGGTGGTAAAACCTTGGCTTTACTACCCTGAACGCCGTCTGGCTCACTGTTCCTACAACTTTATACAAATATTTTTATTGACTGCAATTAGTTGGCTCAGCGAAAAGGTGAACGAGGAAGCGCTCTTCTGTTGTCTGTTCGCGTCTTATGAGATCTCCCTTGTTGGCGTGCTGGCCTCTTGGAAAGACTCGATGGTGAACAAATGGGGAACTTGGGCAGTTTGCACCCTCGCTTTGGGGATATCTTATATTCAGGCCATTTGCTTGAGCTGAGTCTTGCGAAACGCATGATCTATAGGTGGTGATAATCAATTCATTTATTCCGTTGTAAATTATCTAAGCACAATTTAATTTACTATCATTATTTTTCACTTTATTCATGTCCTCGATATCTATTCCCGCCACAGATGTCGAATTGACACTCGAACAGCTTATGAACGTGAGCTTGAAGAAGAACTACACGCCCAGTGCATTTGGAAAGCTGTTTCGTGAGTTCAAGCACCGCGTGGCGGCCAACAGCGACGAGGAGGTCGATCTGCAGTGTCTTCTAACAAACTGCGCTCAATCCCCCCAAAAACTCCGTTATGTACACGAGATTCTCGTGGAGAGTGACTTCACAGGTGCGGTGGATGGGCTTACTACGCTCTTTGGTAAGTACATGGCGCGCATCGGCGAGAACGATGAACTGGCAATTCTAATATGGCTGAACCAAATCTCCGGCAAAGTGCCGTGGAAACAGGCCATCGAGAGTCCTGAATTTGTCGAGCAATTGACTTCCTTTGTCAGAGCCAGTATGCAGCCGCAAACAAGCCCCAAAAAGGCCCTGATGGTCGCAAAGTTGATGGTGCAGATGCTAAAAAGCTGTCCGGGCCCAGACAATTCTTGCACTTCCTTGGTGCAGCAGTATCTCGAATATCTGGAGAAACACCACGACACAGCTTACCGCTATTTGAATAGCTTTTTCCAAGGTTACAATCTGTCAACCATGCAGAAAGACTACGCTATGCCTGCGCAGGAGCAGACGGGCCGTGTGTCGAGAAACATTATCAAGGTATCGAGACTCAAGAAAATTGTCTGGCTGGCGCACCAGATTACCGTGGTTTTTTCCCCCGTGAGCGAGACTTTTTTGCAAGGTTTCAAGAGCCTGCTGAATCTGTCCTCGGTGGCCACGTCCACGACGAACGTTTCGATCGCGTTCGAGCTCACGGTGTCTCTATTTGACGGCCTCTCTCTGAGCACGTATAGAACCCAGCATATATGGAGACACTTCATCGTGTCGAAGCTGCCGGAGGTGTTCAAGCTGCTGACCATCAGCCAGCAGAACCTCAAGGATACTCTGACGAACGCATTTGAGACGATTAAAGATCATGACGAACTCAAACAGAAGCTGATGACGATTTTGGCCGAGTGCGAGCTCGTGGCTGGTGTGGAGGATGTGCTGCCCGCACAGGATGATCTGTTGCGGTTCCAAGAGGTGTTTGAGGACGCAAATCCGGAGTTTGTGTCGCTGGAAGAGTCCGGAGCGTGCGAGCTTGTCAACTCCGTGAGCACGCTGGCTAGTGGGCGGCGGCTAGCGCAGCTTGTCACGGACGCTGTCACCCGTTTTGTCCATGAGGATGACCACGCGCGGTTGAAGCGGCTACTGTTGGCACTTACAAGCGTGCCGCACGTACTAGACGTCGTGGTGCTGCACAAAAACCCATACAGCTTCCTGCAACCCCTGGTAACTTACCTCGACGCGTCGATCGACCGCGGGTTTGCCCAAGACGCCATGGACGTCGACGGCGACTCGTCCAACCTACAGGACATGCATGCGAACTTGGGCGCCCTACTGCTGTTTGTGGCGTACTGCGGTTTCCGGTATTCGCTGGATCTCAAGCGTGAGCACGCCGGCTCTGAGGCCGTCAGGATAATGGCAGACTGGGACCCTTTGCTGGATACGACGCTCATGGAGCAATTGCAGGACCCGCAGTCGAGCATCAACGCGGTCATGGGCGACTGGATAGCCTCGCTGTTCGACACCAACAACACAGACGGTGTTTCCGACGAGCTGCTCAAAAAATCAGCCTCGGTGCGCGAGTACTACGTCGCGATACCGTGCGTGGTGGGGCAGGCTGTGCGTGCGTGCCAATTGGGGATGATTCAATTTGACGACCTTGTCAGTGGTCTTGAATACTGCCACCAGCCGTTCTTGCTGCCAACTTTCTTGAACGTTCTACGGCACCTGACTGCGCTCATGTCGACTGAGGCAAGTCTCGAAGGGTCGGTATTTGAGCAGGTGTTGGAGAAGCTTATAGGAGCCGAGCTGGCGGGAGAGCTGCGCGTGCTGCACGGGATGGCATTGGAGATGTCGAACGACGACCTGTTTAATTGCGGCATCAGGGCGTCTCCGGTCCAGCCGCCAGCACCGGCGACCAGACTCGACGCCCTGATTGCGTTCGTGATCGATTCCGACGCCTCGCAGACATTCGAGCTTGTCGAGGTGTACAAGAATGCTGCTGGACAGCAGCTGGACTTTTTCTACCATGAGCTAGGCCGCTTGCTGCAGGAACAGGCACAGTACCAGCCATCATTATTTGAGCCGTTGAGCTACGAGCTGGTGGCCACGTTGATGATCAACTATGCTTCGTGGTGCGCCCCGGAAACGCTTCAGAAGTGGATGGTGGCGTCCACAGATGTATCTGCCATCTACAATCGCACGGGTCGCGCAAAAGTCAGAATTGATCAGTATCCAGCAGAAGACGAGATGAACGATGCGAATGACTCGAACGATAAACTCGGCGACATGGCGTTTGACGCAAACCTGTTTGGGTTTATCGAAGAAGCAAAATTGGACGAGCCTGAACCTCAGGAACAGCTTGAACAACACGGCCCGGACCTTTTCCAGGCCAACATAGCGGTCATTGCGCAGGAGTCCAGCACGCTCGTTGCAACAGTGCTGAAAAACCTGGCTGTGCGGTACACGCACGACCGGGAATAAATAGGCTAGCGAAAAGAGATAAAAGACAAACTAATGACTGTTGCTGCGATTGCGTTCCCAGAAGACGCGGGGCCTGTGTCGCCGGCGAGGCCGCACGGAACGCTGCGGTATGTGCTACGGCTGCTGACGTTGTCGGGATATGGTCTTGCGACATTTTATGTTGTTGTTTTGCTGGTGGTCAAGCCGATGCTCAAACTGAGCTTCGAGCGGCGGCGAGACCTGGCTAACCATTGTTTTGGCCATCTGCGCGCCCTTTATGGGGGACTTGTGGAGAAGGTTAAGTTTGTGCCGTCTGTGGAGCTGAATTATCGGGGCGTGCTGTATAAAGACAGCATGTGCTCTACAGAGACGGATGAGGACGACGTGGTCGTGCAGGAGGAGCATACTCGCGGGGTGCGTTTTGACGACGAGGTCTCCAGGAGGGATTACAACGAGCTCAATTTGTCGCAAACGGTGATCTTAGGCCAAAACCTTGACAGACTAAAGGATACGCTCAACAAGATTCGAGTGAGCAGCTATCATCACAAAAACAGTGTGCCCTCATTTGGCGGCAGACTCGCGGCCAGCGACGTGAGCGAGATGCAGCCGCTAATTTTTCAGGTGAAGCAGCTGAAGAACTGCGTTGAAATGGTGAGCTCAGACCACCCTCGCGAGTATCTATTCAAAAGAAGCCTCAACTACGCCCGAGGCCCCAACAGACTGAATCTCGTGGACGACCTGCGCGACGAGTTGGCCGATCTGCGCAAAGTGGTCCAACAAGCTAGAACTAAATAATTAATTGATGATCGTTATGTACATGCGCGCTCTAAATATCGTGCTCCAACTTTAGAGCTGGGGCTTCTTTTTCTCTCTTGACTCTCATTTCGTTCAGATGGTAGAACTGGTCCTCCAGGTCGTTGAATCCATGCAAATTCGCAAAATCTCGCAGTTCCTGCTTGAAGAAGTACGGCAGCTCTAAACCCAGCTCTTGCTCTTTGGCCTCGAAGAACTTTTCCAACTGGTTTTCCAAAAAGATCTTGCGCCGCAGCTCTTTACCACGCTCTTCCCATTTTTTCTCCTTGGCTGCCCTCTCGTGCGGCTTAGGACTCCATTTCGACTTCAAGATCTTTGCCACGGCAACAACTGGCACTTGGAAAAACTCAGCCAGCTTGTGGCTCGGCAATTCGTCAGGGTACTTGGAATGCAACACCCGGATTCCTTCAATGGCTTGTCTGGATAATTTCTTCGTTTTTGTAAGGTCCATCTGCGCCGCTTTTTCTTTCAGTGCATACTTCTGCCTCATATACAGCGGCAACGATTTATCCTTGCGCCATCCCGGCGGAGGCAGTTTTACTTTCGGTTTCGGTTTCTCGGCCTCTTCTTTGGCATATATATCTGTGTTCCTGGCAATGTGCTCTTTCCAGTCTCGGCGGTTATAAACTTTTCCTCGGAAACCTCCCGGAAGCTTTTCCAAATCTGGGAGCTCCCACTTGTCAGTTCGCTTCAAGGGCGCCACAAAGCTGCTAAAACGGCGTAGGAACATTTATGGGCAGGGAATTTTTTTATCTGAAAATAATTTTAGCTACTGGTGCAAGGTTGGATAGGGAAAGCGACATGGACAAACAGACCAGAACACAATAGTCAATCAATTCCCATCCAAAAACCTCGAGACAAACAAGCAATTACAACTATATATCCTGCTGGATCCTCTTCCACCCCTTATGTTGCCCAGTTATCTCGTAATAGATTCCTCTGCGTAGCGGTATCCTGATATATTTGCCCTCAAAGAAAAAAAATATAAACAATCTTTTGTTCCATGAATATCATTAAAAGGCTGCTGTCCAATGCGAATCAGGCCTCAGCAGATGAGCTGATTCTGATTCCTTCAGGCCAGCTATATTTGATTCGGTCTCCGAAATCCCCCAAGTCCGAAAACGAGTGTCTTTTTAGTGACGTAGTTGTTTCAATTAGGGAGACCTCTTTGCCCTTCAACTATCAGTTAAGCATCAATAAGACTGGAGAGGAAGGCCAGGGGATTTTGGATGACGATGAATTGGATGCGTCAGACAATGAGGAAGAGTTTGATACAGACACCAGTTCACTGAAGTCGTTCCTTATTGACGAAAAACTCAAGATCTGTTTGTTTCAGAAGCATGGCACTTACGTCATTGCGTGGAAGGACCTGGATGGAGACATTGGCGACATGTTTGAGTTTCGTATCGACCCCTCCGTTTCTGTGGAAAGCATCAACCAGTTCATGTTGGCAGTGTACAAATGCGAGTACGAGAGAAAGTATAAAAAGTCGAGCCTGAATCTCAAATTGGAGGATCTACAGGAATTTGTTTTCGATAGAGAGTCTTTGTTTGACGACGATCCCGACTTATTGTCCACTCTACGCACATCTGCCAATATCCACTCCAGCAAAGCAGTGGATGACTCTGACTCTGATGACAACTTTGAGGACGCTCTCGAGGTTACCGACCCAAAGCTTTTGTTTTATACCAACGCAGACCTTTTACTGTACGATGAGGTCAAGAATGATTACGAGCTGAAGGTATCTTCAGCATTCGCCAGAATATTGCAAAATGATGTCTGGAGCTACAATTTAGAAGTGATTTCTTCGGAAACTAAGAAGACCCTGGTGGATGTGAGCATCACCAATTCAATCGACGCTGCTTTTGACTTTGACTCGCTCTCGCTCACATTCAACGTGGACTCGGACTCATTAGTGCTCACTTGGGCGCTTCAATTCCCCAGCAGAAAAAGCTACGAGGACTTCCAGCAGTGGTTCATGAAATGCTTGTACGAAACCAACAACAAGGCCAGCTGGGTGACCTTGAGAGACGATGAGCAGCAATTCATGATTGACGCTATCAACAACCTCAAAATAGATGAGATGGACGTTGACGAAGACGAATCGGAAGATGAAAGTGACGACGAAAAGCCGTCGAACATTCGAAACAACAAGCTATTTGTGTCTGATAGCGACAGTGACGAAGATGACGAGAACGGATTAATGAAGCGTTTCCGCGCCAGCGGAGTCAATAGCGGCATGAAGCTGGCGTACAAAGATGAGTTGGCGTTTGTTTCGCGTGGAGACAAATTAGGAGTTTTCCGAATGGACCAAGATTCGAAGCCCCAGTTCTCCACAGCTATCGAAAACATATCCAGTGCTACGAAGAAGGGTAAATCGATTAATCCAGGAAACATGATGCTGCAAAAAGGTGATACCATCATGATATTACAGGATAAAAATGACAAGGACAAATTGTACAAGATGGATTTAGAATATGGTAAAGTGGTAGAAGACTGGGAGTTGAAGAAGAATAATTCCGAGCTTCCGGTGGTCAACTTCGCCCCAAATGAAAAGTTTGGAGAGCTTACTGAAGACCAGACATTTTTGGGACTGTCGCATCAGTCGCTATTCAGAGTTGATCCTCGTTTGCGCGAAAAAGTGGTTGACAGCGAATTCAAACAGTACAAGACCAAGACCAATTTCACACAAATTGCAACGACTGAAGATGGATACATTGCTGCATCCACCAAGAACGGGGAAATCAAGCTGTACGACAAGCTGGGAAAAAACGCAAAAACCCTTATCCCAGCCCTCGGCGACGAGTTTGTTGGCCTGACGACATCCGACGACGGAAGGTTTGTGTTGGCAACATGCGACAAGTATCTTCTGTTGCTAGATGTGAAAATCAAACAGGGCAGAAACAAGAACAGCCTCGGGTTTGAGAAGTCGTTCGATAAGGACTCCAAACCCGTCCCCAAGAAATTGTCTCTTAGACCCGAGCATCTTGCATATTTCCGCAATGCCACTGGTAGCGAACCTCACTTTACCAAGGCCAACTTCAGCATTAATAGAAACACCAAGAAGAAAGAGCCAACTGCGATCGTCACATCTGTGGGTCCGTTTGCCATTATTTGGAATTTTAAGAAAGCATTGCAAAACGATAGCGCTTCTTACAGCATTATGAGATACGACTCCAATATCACTTCTGGAGACTTCAAGTTCAACGACTCTAAGAAAGTGGTGTTTGCTCTTCCAAATGATGTCTCGATGGCCAGCAACAGGGCTTTTAAAAAGGCCTCTGAGCAATTCAGCGTGGTAGATTCACGGTATTAGTCTTCTTCTGTTTCCTATGTATAGTCATTATGTAAGTCATTAATCGATCCAGAAGCTTAGCGCTTGAACCCAAAGCTGTGCTTCAATTCCTGCCAGAACAGGCGTCGAAAGGCGTTGATCTTATGTATCGTCGTAGGAGTATAATTCAAGACAGGTTGCGAATCATGTCGGCGAGGCCTCGGAAGATTGTTCAAATATGCATGGACACTGCGTACGAAATGGTGAAAACCTTTGGAATTGATGAGCTGGTGTTAGTCGTCTCAGCAGTAGAACTTACCTTTTTGTAAAGCCAATCCTCCAACATGGAAAATTAATATTTTTTAGGAACTCCAAAAACGTGATATCACGGATTTGGAAAACTAGAGTAATTAGTTATCAGATAACAATTAGCATTAATTAAAATGTTGATTGTACCAACGGCCAGATATCCGGAAAACTATGAGTATGCGTTGGATTTCCCAAAGTTCCTACTCATTGGCGACTCGATCACGGAACGATGTGCGAATCCGTTCCCTATCTCTGATTTCTTGGCAGACGGATACGATAAGAACGGCAACTATACTGTCGAACATAATTCGCTTGAATTTTGTTTCATGGGCCAACTTCAACACGACTATGCTAGACGCATGGATATCATTAATCGCGGGTTTTCGGGGTACAATTCACATTACTGGAGACACATGATCGAAAAGGTGCTGCGCATAGAACACGACCTGTCGTATAGTAAATGCAAAGTGGCTACACTGTTTCTGGGGACTAACGATGCCGCATTCGCAAAACCTGATGGTGTTCCCTACGATGAATTTCTAGACAACATGGAGTTCATCATCAAACAGATCTTGAATAGAGATATCAAGCTGGTGGTCATCGGCCCCGGCCACCATTATCCCGACATTTGGGAATCGTTGAACCCAGGAGATGTGGAAAAGGGCATCCTGCGTAGAAACGAGGAAAACTTGAAATACTCAAATGGTTTGAAGCAGCTTGCCGAGAAATTCCAGGTTCCATTTGTGGATTTGTACGCAGCACATGAGGAATACGCCAAGAATAGCGTGCTAAAGAGTTCCCAAAACTTGATTCTGGACGGGATCCACTTCACTGGTGAAGGATACCTGCTTTTGTATCAGCTGCTCAAGAGCGCATTGGCAGAAAACTACCCGGAAATGACTGTGCCAAACTTAAAAATGAGGCTCCCTGACTGGAACAATTTCGATAGCGCCAAAGTGGAAGAAATTGAAATTCCAGCTCTAAATTGACTGTACCACTATAAAAGAATAGAGAATAGTAATAGAGACTAGTAATCAGCTCAGACACTCAAGCAACTCAGAAGCAGACAAAGTTATCCCTTTCTTTGGGGGTGGTATTTGTAATTGGGATAACATTTGGCATGAATTTTCTTCTCAGATTGTGCTAACGAAATAAATGTCTTCTTCACACTGTTGAGTTCGGTTGACCACATAACAGCAACTATCTGGATGAGCAGATGGTGGTTGTATTTGTGAATAACACATGCTTGCCTCAACTCTTGGGCAAGAGACTCGGTAAGGTGGGAATCAATCATCTTAAGATATTCCAATTCCGCTTGTGGATCATAAGATGAATATTGCATCTGCAATCTTTCGAAAACGAAGGACGATAATGAGTCTATTAAAGAGAGTAAAACAATTGCTTTCACCATCGATGTCCGGTACAACATAAACGAATTCAAAGGTCTCTTGATATAAATTGTGCTTCCATGCTTACTGTCATGTGTCAATCGTGATTTGCCTAATCTCTGCTTTTTCCCTCCTGCAGATGGCTTTTTTGTTTTTGATTCCGTATCATTTGGCTGCCTGAAATAGATAGCAAATTCCTTGATATTCTTGAAATATGAAATGATCGAATTCTCAATTATTGAGCAGCTATCCTCATGACCAGCATAAGTTTTAGCGAGGATGCTCAAGCTTCCATCTTTGGATTCAGTCAAGACTAGCCCCTTATCGTTGGTGTGTTCGGGATAAAAGTTTTGCTCCTCTCTCCTCTGACCTAAAACCCTGGCTAGCAGTCTAAGTTTCAGATCAAAGTTGCGCAGTTTGAACAGTTTGAGAACGTCATCAACTTGGACCATATTTAGATTTTTATTTGCTGCTAATTCAGTAATCTTTTCGTATCTTGACTGTGAAAGTGGGGGCAACGGGATTTTGATTGATGATTTGTAGTGGCTGTAATCTTTGTTCTCCAAATCATACACCAGTGAATCGAAAACATCGTCGAATTCCGTTTGTGATTCTGTTTTCTCATCTCTTTCGGCGAAAAGAGTTTTCTTGGCAACCGTAGAGTTGGGAGGTGTAATGGGGGCAACGGAAGCTGAACAGGATTCCGTTGGAGAACAACTGGTTGGTGTCAATATTGTGGGTGTATCTTGTTGGGCAACCTGTGAGCCACTAGCGTGAGAGGCAAACTTGGGAAGCCCTTGCACCCAAATTTTCTTTGAGTTGCAACCAACATCGATCTCCCGATTTTCTGGTCTGGAGTCATTCATCTGTGGAGGACTCAAATATTGGGATTGCGCTTCAATCATATCTGTGTCATCATTATAGTATTCGTCATCGTCATCTTCATCAAAGTCGTTACTTTCTGGGTCACTCACATCACTGATTTCATCCAATTCGAAGAAAGAAGAAAATTGGATCTTTGATGTGTCAGTTTCGCTACAGGAATGGGTTTTTAACGAAAAAGGATGCATTGGGGGCGAGGAAAGCGTGTTCAAACACGTTGTTGAACTGGATTCGTAAAGTGAAGGGTATTCCACAATTGGGTCGGAAGCAGGCAAGTTGGGAAGCGAACAGCGGTTGGTGCTGGAATCCTCATTGGCGAGAGGATGGAAAAGATAGTGGCTATGTTGGCTGGGTTTCTGCACCCCGGGAGACCCAGGATCAACCGAAGTAGCAAAGTAGTTACTATTGCCAATCAAGTCATAGTTTTGTGACACATCCAACGTATCAAGGTCGAAATCCGGGAATACTGAGAAGTTTGTAGGAGAGTAGGAATAGTCATCATAATTGATCAGACGGACGGTGCGAGGAGTAGTTTGGGTAGGAGATCTTGCAGAGTGAGATTTTGATTTAGGGCTTTCAGGGCTCTTCGATTTATTGACCAGTTGTTCCTGTGTGTACTTAGGCCTTGGGCCCATGCGGGTGATGTAACGGCCTGATTCGGAAATCTGGCTTGAAGATAAGGCACCGTCAACACGAAATTTAGCGGTGGAAGATAGTGGAAGATAAACGGGTGAGGATGTCATTGTTCGATTTGTTTCAGATTGTATCATGCGGCACCAAACAACCAAAACGGACAATATTCTCAGAAAATCTGGTTATACACTAAGCGGAGTGTACACAACTCAAGTTTAATGGAAAAGGGTAGAATAACATGGAACTCCCAGAGCTTCTGATTTTAGATCGGGAGCAGTACCTTAGGAATTTATACTTTTTTCCACCATGTTCGGTCGCCCAATCATATTGAGCTTTATGACATGCCATGCGTTGACATGCGTCCTGATAGCAGCAAACAAAAGATTATAAAAGGCCTGAGTTGGAACAAAGAATTTGCGATATCATTCGCATATCAGGGAGACACAAAATTAATAATTTCACAAATCTACACTAGGACGCAAGATGTGCTATGCATTGCATACTGGGCCTGTCCTTCTTTTTGCAGGAAGGGATTGACTTGTGCAGTTTAACGAGCGCATGAAAGGGGAAGAATCTGACGAATTCCCGGCCTATCAGAAACTGTGCCCTTTTACCTATTATCCCTCCTTTTCACGAGCCCTTAGAACCAATATTGATTTATCGCTGAGATCCGGTCAGATCTGGGGGACAATTTTCAAGCCTAATTATGCGGGAGCTAATACGTAAGAAACGCAAGCTTATGGGAGATCAACGGCGTGTGGGTTAAATGCAAGTAATTTATTGCCTTTTATTATTAGCAACCCAGAGATCAATAAATCCAAAGGTAACTTTACTTCCTACCCTTTCAATCCTGCATTTACCCACACCTAGCTAAGGCCAACCACAAGTTACCATTCAGCAATGCCATAAAATGTCATATCCACAATTCACGCAGAACGTTCACTGGCGTTCATTTCACCACAAAACACCCCCCGGATCGGGTTTACATTTTTAACGCCATATTGTCATGTGGGGCGTATCTCGCTACAAATTTGTAGGAATCTCCTCCTCGTATCTGTGTCGTTGTTTGCAGATTTTTTGTGTACGCCACAACGTAATTATTCTTCTATTATGGGCAAAGTAATTGTCGAGCTTATCATGCAACAAAGTCTTTTGTCGTGATTCAAGATTCATATACGTTGTGCACATGTGCACTCCTTTTATGCCAACCCAATAAAAAAATAGCCCGCGAATTTTTCCAAAATTACGAAAACTTGTGCAAACACATCGCCACCATGTCCTTTGTTTTCAGAAGAAACTTGACCACTTTAATCCCACCAAAGGTTGCTTCGGCCTCCAACCTGGGTTCCAACCCTGCAGCAAAGAGAATGCAACACATTGTGTCTTTCTACTCCAAGCTTCCAAGAGGTGAGGCCTCGTTCCCAAAGGCTAAGAGTCCATTGGGTCTGTACAGAGAAAAGTACTTCGACACGGGCTCTGGAGCTCCATTATTGCACGCCTCGCTTTTCTTCCTCGCTGTCGGTTACGGGTTGGAGTACTACTTCCACTTGTCCCACCACAAAGAGCATTAGAATGATTAGACTTTATAGCAATTGAATTCATGAGCCATCGTTACATACACTCAGCATTGAGTGGAAATCTGTGAGCTTGCGGCCTTGCGACCGCTCATACTGCTCGATCCTGAGCCAGTCGTCCCAGCTGATCGCTTTCACATTTCTTTGCGTGAGCAGCCTGGTTATGGCTTCTCTGCCTTTTTTAGCCGTGTCCTGAATTTTGCTCAAGTCGGCCACTATGTGGCTAGCAACCACGCTGCTGTCTGCGACTGTAGAATTGATCGACCCGCGGGATGCGTTGGCAATCCACCCCACGCAATACGACCTCTCCACACCTTCGATGCGGCCTTCGTTGTTGGGAATTGCTCCACGGTTGGCGTCGAAAGGGATATTCAGCTCGCCAAACTCAGCCAATGCATCGCCCTTGTAGCCTATGCACAGAATCAGTAGCTGGTTCGACACCGAATTGAGCTCTTCGGCGGGCACAATCTCCCCTGACGGCGAAACTCGGTTTTTCCGGAATATGGTTTCCTTCAACAAAGAAGGCTCTTTCGGGTCAACTTTGATCCCAAGGGGCGTCTGCAGATAGTCAAGCCTCCACGACTTGCCCTCTGCAGCAGGTTGACAATATTTCTGGACCAATTGTAGCCTTCTTTTTTCGACGCGTCCCAATTTCATTCCTGCCAGAAGCGGCTCAAAAGTTTCGGCATCCCACCCAGTAAAGGCCACACCGTACTTGTTTAGTTCCAGGCACTCTCTAAATTCCTTGTTGGAAAACTTGCTTTCCAGAAATCCACGCCGCGCGCTCACCGTGACCTTTCTCACGATGGATTTCTGCAGCATGTCAAGTGCATATGGAGTTATATCGGTATTTTCCCAATGTTTGGCAGGCGCGAGAAGAATCCTCACTATATCCATAGCCACGTTTCCGTTTCCTATGATTGTGACCTGCTCAGCCTTATCCAGCGGCGGATTTAGATCCTGATTTTTCGGGTCTCCATTGTACCATCCCACAAAATCTTTCGAGTTGATCACTGCAGGGTGGTCCTCTCCCGCGATGCCGAGCCTGTTCTCCTTACTAGACCCATATGCATAGACAACGCTGTCATAGTTGTCGTAGATCTCCTTCAGCTTGATATCGCGGCCAATTTCCACGTTTCCGAAAAATCGAAACCGTGGATCCTTGCTGGCATCATGGAACCGTTCCTGACAGCTCTTCACCTCCGGGTGATCGGGGGCAACTCCGAACCGGACCAGTCCAAACGGGCACGGCCTTTTTTCAAACATGTCGATCTGCACAGGAATGTCGTATTTGAGGATGTCGAGTGATGTGTAGAATGCTGCAGGGCCAGAGCCTATCACGGCAACTCTAGGGGTCGAAAAGAACCTGATCAGGTGAGGCCGAGGCAACCTCATAACTGTACTATGAGTGATTATAGAGTAATAATTTTTTCAAGTTATATACTCAGTTTGGCAAACTCGCGCTCGACCTTCACCACGGGCAGTCTTTGCGAGCACCAGTTAATGTCACGCATCATCTTCCGCGGGTCATTACCGGTACATAGACGGAATAACTTGTCGTACTCGATCTCCTGCTGTTTGAACTCGCGGATAACCAGGTCGTTCTCAAAATCAATGTAGACTCGCGTGTCGAATATCCTCAATAGAACGTTGTCGACGCGCACAAATAACCGCTGCAAAAGGAGCAAACACGAATGCATGACTCGGATTTTGATGCTGAGCACTGAAATGCCGTTATCGCCCAGCTCGTCTTCGTACAGCACCATCTCATCAAAAAACAAAATCGGGTCCTGTCGCTGTAATTTCTCCAAAGGAATCTTCATTTCGTCGTCACGTGTAAATGCCGTCCCCGTTACGGTGCCCTTGTATGTGGTTGTATAGGTCCAGTCGAAGGGTTTGTACATTTCGAGCACGACATCCGAATTGTTGTGGTGTTTATGTTGGCGGCTTTTCACCCATTCCGAGGCGTAGCTGACCTGTATGAGGTTTGACGGGTTTGACTCCACAAGCTTGAGGGCATCCAGCGCGCAAAAATCGATCTCGAGTCTAGGGTGGCTTATGCGAACTCGGTTATTTCCGAAGATCATTTCAGGAACGGGCAAGTTGAGAATTGACTCAAACTCGTCGATCTCGGTGGCATTGAGGATCGGGTGGCGAGCAGTATATATCTTGAACTCTCCCACCTTGATGCTCGGGGTGTCTTTAATGGGCAACGTGGCCACAGGGCCCGGAGTTATAACGGTACCGCAAGAGGCGCAACTGGGAGAATCTGTCGAGACTGGCAGTTTGTGCTCACGTTCGGGCGTCCTGAGTGCCGGAGGACGCATTGGCACTCTACTGCTAGTCGTAAGCTGGTGCATCTGGCGAGCAGCATCAATCTGAAACGAGTCGATGCGGTTATATTTGGGGACTCGATTTGACATGTAGATTAAATCAAATTTTAAAAATCCCTAGAAATAATTATCATCCACATACCAATGAACATCTCACGACTTTTGCGGTCTTTCAAAAAATCTCCAGGCGTGGTTTTCGGCACCGTGGTAATCTTGGTGATACTGGTTATTGCGGTTTCCAATAACTCCTTCTCGGAAAGCCACCTCGATGCCCCTGTGCCAATCTCGCAGAAGACACAGCCAATCGACGTCAAAGACACGGTGCCATTCATGCCCAAAATGGCCAATGAGACGCTCAAAGCAGAGCTAGGAAACGCGTCCTGGAAGTTATTTCACACCATCCTGGCCAGATATCCAGAGACGCCAACACCCGAGCAGAAACAGCATCTCGCGGATTATATTCGCTCGTTTGCCCTTGTGTACCCCTGTGGAGACTGTGCCCGCCACTTTGCTGTGCTATTGGATAAATACCCTCCACAGCTCAGCTCGCGAAAAACCGCTGCGTTGTGGGGCTGCCACATCCATAACCAGGTAAATTTAAGACTTCACAAGCAAGAATACGACTGCTCCACCATTCTAGAGGACTACGACTGCGGTTGCGGCCAGGACGAAGCCGAGGAGCTCCAGGAGAAGGACACTAAAGAGCATCTTGCAAGCATCAAGCTGGAGTCGAAGGAACAGATGGTAGGGGGTTGAATAAGGGCATTATTGCGCGGGGGGTTCCGAATTGAACTATTTCCAATTCTATGTTGTATAAAGTATGCAGCTGTAATAGTGGTTACGAATACTACGGCATGTCCCTAAAACGGACGCACAACACCCTCGATAGGGCAACACACAGACACAGTTTGATCCACGCAACCACGTCGCAAGCCGCACAGCCGCGAAATGCATTGTTTTGGATGCAAACCTGATACAAGCTAATTAGGTTTGTTTAAAGTAATTATATTAGGACATACAAAGTACGATACAGTCGCAACGATGGATTTGAACGCGCAAAGAAGCCCATTCAAAGCATCAGGTAACTTCACAGATGCAGAACACGAGAAACTGCTGAGAATCGTCCAGCTAAACAAGATGAAGACCATGAAGCTGGAGAGACTGAACCAGTACAACAACCGGCTGAAACAAGAGCTTGCTCGCGAGCGCATCAATGCTTCCAACAGCTCGCTCATGATCATTAAATATACCGAAACTACACGTGATGGACTCATCCCAGAGCTGTGGGGGCCCCCACAGAGCAGGTACTCTGAAAAACAGCAGGTCCGAGCCACCAAACAGGACTCCCGATGTTGCGCCATCGTCTAGCCAATGAGTGCAAGCACTTCCCGGACTCTCCCCACATCGGTGTCGTTTGTGCGGCCTTCCACGATTTGCTCCAGCCTGTTTCTGGCAATAGCCTCCAGCTTTTTGTCTTTCAGGTCTCTCGCAGCAGCCAGCAGACCGCACCAGCTGCGCGTGTGGAGCTCGCAAAGCTCGATCGCACGCATAAAAGATCTCGTCGCCTGCTGCAGGACCTCTTTGCCGCGTCCGTCGCGAAGAAACATCAGCCGACAAAGCTCTCCTGCACGACACCAGACCACGTACGCGGCAGGAACGCCCACCAGCACCTCCTGGACACAGTCGTATGCTTTTTCGTATTCGCCAAGAGCAACGTATTGTTCTGCCAGCTCCATCCACGACTCGTAATCCAGCGGAGTATCGTTAATATATTCAAGCAGGTTTTTGATGTAACTGGCTGGCGAGTCGCTTTTGAGCGCCACCTTTCGCTTTTCAATCTGCCGCAGGTCTTTCTCGTGGTGCTGAACAGGCTCTGCCGTCAGACTCGGTCTTGTCTGGATCAACGGCACCGCCGCCTTCTCCAGGTAATCGAGGGCGTCCTTCTTGCCGAGGATTTCGACGTAATAACTCTTGAGAACAACCAGTTTCTCACTGTCCTTGGCTTCAAACCTGTCGCTGAACCTGTCCAGCGCCGTTTTTGCCTCTGTGTCCCTTGTTGTCAGCAGACAAAGGAAATAGTGCAGTTCCAGGAGCGTGTAGTACTCTAATGGGTCCAGTTTCGACTCATTCAGCCGTAGAAACGTCTTGGAAACCTGATACACTTTTTCCAAGTCTTCGGGCGACAGTTGGGCGTATTTTCCCGTGCGGAACAGCAGCAACAGGCGCTCTTTCACTTGTGCAAACATTGAAAAATAAAAATAATTTAACTAAAATAACTAGGTTAAGAAGACTCTACTTGTCATGTAGCAGAGTGAGGGGGCAGAGATAACCACACACGCACAATGCCTTGCGATTTGGTATAAAATGAGAGCACTGGCAAGCAGGCTAGGGGGTACTGCAGGGACGGGTGGGGCATGTTTGTTGGCTGGCTGCGAGGCCCCACAGAGCAGACATCCAGCCCCCCTGAGCCGTTCCTCTACGACCATCCTGGATAGAACACAAGCTAGCACCTTCTCTGCTCCCCCCCCACGCAAAAATAAATTTTTCCATATTTGCTCCATATCAAATATCTTCTCCTTTGTTTGTTTATTTTTATTCGCGTATGAGAAAGAAATACGTCTCCGTGAAAGAGCGCGAGGCGTCCTTCGACGGTGTCTATAAGGCCGGTGAGATGGTCTACTGGCATTTGTCGACCCCGTCGGGTGAGACCATGGCGATCAATGGGTTCTACTTCGACCCTACAAAGACTCACATGGACAGAGTCGGGTGCTTCGCTTGCAAGGTGAAAGAGTTTGGGTGGGCTCCGGGCGCAACAGAGCCTCCTTCAGTACGCCATCTACGGAATTCGCCAGACTGCCCGTATTCCAGGGTGCTGAGCAGCAGGCATTTGCACGAGAGCGAGGGCCTGGGCTGGGACCAGGACGACATGTTTGCCAGCGTGCAAGATTCGGCAGACATACGCCATCAGACGTTCAAGCTGGCGAGCTGGCCGCATGAACGGAACAAGAAGATGCCATCCAGTCGAGAGCTGGCCGAAAACGGGTTCTATTACGCTTCGTACGAAAAGGGCGACGACACCACCACGTGCATGTACTGCGGCACGAGTCTGGAGGGTTGGGAGGCCGGAGACAACGTTGCAGAGGAGCACCGCAAACGCAAGCCCGACTGTTACGTGTTTGCAGGGCGAAGGCGCAGTGGAGTGTATTCTAGAAGGGCCAGCGACGTGAACATGGATGTGGTGGAGATCTCAGACGTCTCTCTTGAGCGGGTGATACAGGAACTGCCAGAGCAGGCACACGTGGGGATAGAGGTGGAGGCGGTGGGCCAGAACAAGGAAGAGCAGGCTGTACACCAGTCGGATAATAATGAAGAACTGGAGGCTCGCGACCTCGAGAAGGTGGCACAGCCAAAGGACGTAGACGCTATTAGATCACCAGAGATTGAAGTTGAGCAGCCAGTCAAGCGGTCTGCGCCGGCGCTAGACGACGTGCTGCTGGAGGAGGAGATAATAGAAGATGACAGTATGGAAGGGGCTGCTGATCCTGTTGAGATTCCGATGTCCACGCTGAACGAGCTGGAGGATCTTTTCTATGTGGAGGATTCGCGACGGTCGTCCACCTTCTTCAACCGTTCGCGGTCTTCTTTTGGCGAACGGGCGCCAGAGGCGGCCGAGAGAAAACTCGAATCTGTTCCAGAGCCAGTGGAAGAGAACATGCCAGAACCAATCAAGGAAGAACATGAGCACGCCGAAAACGAGCCAATGGAGGATATTCCCGATTTCAACGTCCCAGAACTGGAAGTACCCGACAGTCAGGGCATCCCCATGGGAATCGAGGAGTCTTTGCGCGAAATCAAGCAGCTGGACCCTGTGGGGCCTGCAGAGGGTATGGACATGCTTGACGAGAGCACCCGTGATGACATAATAATGAAAGAGACTCCAGAGCCGGTACAAAACTCCGAAAAGCAGCCGGAGCTACAGCTGACCGAGGATCTGTCCTCTAAAAAGCGAAAGAAACACGAAGAAAAGCATGGAAAACACCACAAGCGCAAGAGGGCGGAGAAGGAGAAGGAGAAGCAGGCCGACAAAAAGAGGAAGAAGGAGAAACGAGAGAAAAAGAAGGAGAAGGAAAAGAAAAAGAAAGATAGGGCTCACAGGAAAGAACTCCGGGAGCGCGGGACCGTGGATTCTGTTCAGTCGCCAGCCCCTGTGGGCACAGTCTCTGTCCACGAGGCTCCAGAGTCCAAAAAATACGTGGAGGAGCTGGTGGAGACAGATTTCTCCGAGGAGGACATAGAGCCCAAAGTTGAACATAGAATGGAAAGCATTGAAGAGGAGGCGAAAGAGGAGGATGAAGCAAAAGTTGAGGAACCAATTCATATGGAAGAATTGCTGCCCAACGATGACGACGAAAACGATGTGTTGCTCGACGACGAGAAGGCCACCCCCGAGCTTTCCAGAGTGCCAACCGTCTCCCCCACAACACTGGTTGCGAGGGACATTCGTGTGCGTTCACGGATTGTTGATGGACGCATCATATCGTCAGATGACCCGCTTTCGTTCGGAAGAAGAGCAAAGCGAAGAGCACGAAAGCTCAAAGAGATCCCACGCACAGAAAGCAAGGACTTTGAGGATGAGAATGTTGAGAAAGCAGACCAAGAGCCAGGGCCGGAAGCCGAGCAGGAAACAAAGGCGGCTACGAAGCCCACAGAGCCTGCAGAGATGGGCGAGCCGGTCGCGCTGTACGAGCGCCATATTTTCCAACAGCGTGCTCAGATCTACGAGCAGCAAGTCACAAAGCATGACGAAAACATTGAAGAGAATAAAGACCAAAAAGATGAATTTGTTTCTGAAGTTGCCGCAGAGCCAGCACAATTGCCGGTGTCTACAGAACCCGTCCCCCAACAAACGGCCCAGGACATGGACTCGTCGCCTAATCGTGTTGTATCTGAGGGTCAGGAAAACGTACGCCAAGACAGCTTACAGCGTGGCTCCAGCGAGCCTGCTCAGTCTGCCCGCTCCCCCTCAAACCTATCGCTCAACATTGAACATCTTTCTGAGAACCAGAGCACTCCGGAGGTGAGGAAGGAGCCGCTCTGGGAGCCAATCAAGAAGCGATCGTACACGGAGGAATTCAACGAGGCCATCAAGTATACTCAGGAACTGCTGGATTCGCACTACCAGTCGCTAAACGACGACCTGGAGGGCAAACTGACGGGCTTTGTGGCGGAGATGCCCGAAGAAGAGCTCGAGATGACTCTAAAAGAGTGGATCAACTACCAGGCTGACCAGGCGGCAAAACTGGTGGCACACAAGACAGACGAGATGGTGAGCGGATTCCGCGAGGACGCTGCGCGTGCGCTGAAGGTTCTGGAGTCTCTGCCGGTGGTGGACGAGACCGATCAGGATGTAGTGTTTTAGGTAGATCTTTTCGCGTCCTCGGTGTACGGGTGTGTTTTCCACGCTAAAAAAACTCCCGTCTGATGGCGTCAATGATAAATAGAGAATTCGACACAAGGAAGATTGTACTTCACAGTCGGGATTGTGCATATTTGAGGCTATATCCAGCATATATACACACGAGGGATACATTCTGATAGCCCAGAGTGCCATACAGTCGATTGCTGATTTGTTGTGACCTGATAACCTCTTGCGGGCAAAGCTCTGAGCATGTCCGACCAACCAAACACCAATAGCTCATCGCTGGGGTCCATGTCGTCATTGGGCTCCAATCCGCTTGGAATTAGCATTAGAAAGTTGAGCGAGCGCGCTCCGGGCCCAGACGGCACGGGTAGTGACGAGGAGATGAACGACCCAGACACAGACAACGAGCAGCACGCGCGCAAGCTGCTTTTGCGGTCGAGGGCGCGGAACAGCTCGATCACGTCGGACTCGGGCTACACGTCGAGCGGGATTCGCAGTCCGATAGCAGTTCTTCCGCCAGAGATTCTTTGTGTTATATTCTCATACCTGAACTCCAAGTCGGATCTCATTTCTGTGGCGTTGACGTGCCGGTACTGGGCGAATCTGATTATTGAGCTGATCTGGTTCCGTCCGGGGATTTCTTCACGGGCCATTTTCGAACGCCTGGGCAAGGTGATGGCCATTCCACGCACACAGACTACATGGGACTATAGAAAATACATAAAGCGACTGAACCTCTCGCTCGTGCCGCATTTGGTGACCAACGAGTACCTAAGCCTGTTTTCTGGGGCCACCAATTTGGAGAGGATCACGCTCGTCAACTGCTCGAACATCTCGCACGAGCACATTTCCGAGATAATACGAGGCTGCCACAGACTGCAGTCGATCGACCTCACGGGTGTCAAGGGCATCCAGGACGACATATACTACGAGTTGGCCAATAACTGCAAGCGGCTCCAGGGTCTGTATGCGCCAGGGTCTTTCCAGGTGTCCAAGACGGCTGTTCTGGCGCTGATCAGCAGCTGTCCGTTGCTCAAGCGGGTCAAGCTGAGCGACTGCAACAACGTCGACGATGAGATTGTCGACCAGCTGGTCACGCACTGCCCGAACCTCGTCGAGATCGATCTGCATGGCTGCGAAAAGGTGACCAACCAGTCGCTGCACAATTTATTCTCTAGACTCGAGTTTTTGAAAGAGTTCAAAATCTCAAAAAACGCAAACATCACGTACGAGTGCTTCGAGTCCAAGACGGGCGCCCAGCTGTGTCTAGACAAGATGCGAATCCTTGACTTCACGCAATGCCTCAACATCACGGACAGGGCCGTCGAGAAGGTCATTAAGCTGGCCCCGAAGCTGCGGAACGTGGTGCTGTCGAAGTGCACGGCCATCACCGACGCGTCGCTCCGTGCCATCGCGACGCTCGGAAAGAACCTGCACTACGTACATCTCGGCCATTGCAGCAACATCACAGACTTTGGAGCCAAAGACCTCATAAAAAGCTGCTACCGGTTGCAGTATATCGACCTCGCATGTTGCACACAGCTCACCAACGAGACAGTGTACGAGCTGTCGCAGCTGCCCCGACTGAGACGGATCGGGCTGGTGAAGTGCGCGCAAATCACCGACGAGGGCATTCTTGCTCTTGCCAACAACGCCAGAAACAGCGACGACACGTTGGAGCGCGTCCATCTCAGTTATTGCATGAATTTAACCATATATCCTATCTACAGGCTGCTCAAGGCCTGTCCAAAACTTACACATATATCGCTCACGGGAGTGTCTCAATTTCTGCGGCCGGACATCACCCAGTTCTGCCGTGAGCCTCCCCAGGAGTTCAATTTGCATCAAAAATCCATCTTTTGCGTTTTCAGCGGTGAGGGAGTCGCACAACTGCGCAACCATCTACTGCAGCTGTTCGAGACTCCTCAGGATCCAGAAAGAGAGGCTGCCGAGCTGCTAGATATCATTGCTGCGGTGATCGAGGGCGTAGACGACGTCAACAGCGCTCTGTTCAGCGCCGATCCTATACAGAGAGAAAGACTGCGCGTGTTTGTGGACACGCTGGACCGTTTCATCAACGAGTTCCACGGTCTGAACGTGCCGCGCACGCATCTGGAGCTGTTTGGCCGGTGTGTTTTCACGAGGCTTCCTGCCGAACACGTTCCGCGCATCCAGAGATTTTTCCAATTGCTTCAGAACCACCCGCACCATCCACAGCGGGTGCGCCAGGCCAACACCGGGCTCCGTGGCAGACCAGAGCCCAGACAGCAGCTGCGGCCGCCGGAGACAGAGCTGTTCCAGACTATCGACGACGACGAGGTGATGGAGGATTTATAGCGAAGCACGGTGTTAATGTCCATATAAGCTTTCTACACTGTCTGACAAGGGGATATCCGAAATACACAGAAGACTGTTCAAAATCGGCTCCAGGCTTGTTCGCAGGAAGTTGAGCTCAGTCCAGATATCGTTGCAGATGTCTGGATCCTGCACCATGAGGCACGGCTCGCTGTTGCGGCCGTAGTTTTTCTCGAGCGTGTTTTCGAGGTTGAGCAGCCGCAGGCTGTTGATCAGTCTGGCCGTTTGCTTGGCGGTTTCCGTGACGTTTGTGGGCGGCGGCGTGCCGAACTCGAGCGCCTGTACGTGGTCCTCCACGAGGTCAAGTGCAGTGTGGCGAGCAGGGTCGATTTTGCGCAGCAGGGCGATGGAGTTGAGGATTCTCGAGTTGGTTCTTTTCTGATAAAAGCTGGAATAAAATTTTTTGGCGTATGACAGGTGTGTTTCGGCTGGCAGTGGTGGCTGGGCGGTAAACTTGAGCGTTTTGAACCGCGGACTATAGACCCGCTGTTCTGTGTAGTCGTAGGGCAGCGAGGGAAGCAGCGGAGTCACCTTGAGCAGTCTCCACGCGGTTTTCAGCGTGCAAAACTCGGCCATTGCAGTCAGTGGGCCGCCACACATGCTGGGCGGCGTCCATTTAGACGGCTCCTCGTAGGGCGTAGCAAAAGTGCCATGGTAGCGGCCGTAGCAAGAAGAAGAAGACATGAGATCGGGATCAGCTCTGCGCGCGCTTGAATTTTTTTTCCCCACAATAATTCCCGGCAGGGCTGCCCCGGCTCACGCCGAGAACGGTCGTGCGTCTACGCCACAAAATTTGGCACGGCCGGTAAAGAGAGGGAATTTTGAACAAAATACATAAAAAGAACATTTGGACATTCAGCAAACTATCCTGTTGTCTCCTATAGAATAGTTAGAAACCAACGAGTTTGTCTAGATTAGCGTCCACACAGCCTTAGTCGTCTAGAATTGTCAGCAAGCAGCGTGCTTACAGATTAAACCGAACCAATGCAACAAGGTCTGCCTTTGTTTGGAGACTTCCAACAAAACCCTAATGTGCTACTGACGCCGCCGCAGGATCCGAAGACGGCCGGGGCGCAGCAGCGGTCGGCTTCGATCGATCTGTCCAGCTTCCTGGGGTCCGAGCATGGCCTGCTCGGAACACCGGCACTGGATCCGATGAACTCGTGTTCTGTCAGCTCTGCTTCCAACGTGGGGATTCGCACAAGGCACCGGAGCGGAACACTGCCCACAAAGCTGGTGTCGAGTGCGGGACAAGTATCGTCGGCGAGCGCGGCGAACACGCCGCTGATGCCGCCCGAAACAGGCTCGCTCAACGTCAGCATCAGCCCTGGGCTCAACGCAGTGTACGAGGACCCGAACTTCCTTAGCCAGCCCGCACCGTCTCGGATCCGGTCGTCGTCCATCCAGAGCAGCATCTGGTCTGACCAGCAGGACGCCGGCTCGACGTTTTTGCAGGTTCCCCAGGAGCCGAACGCCAACAACACCTCGCTCCAGGTCCCGCAGCTCAACGTCGACCTCGACTCGATCCTCTCGGCCAGCGTTTCAAGTGCGGTGCCTACGACCCCCCCGATCAACTCCACTAATAGATTGCGGTCGTACTCGGCCAACAATGCCATGTTCAACCCGTCAGAGAAGGTGTATCTGCAGCAGTACACTCCGATCAAAGAGGAGCTAATTTCGCCTGTTCCGTTTGGCATTTTGGACGATCCGGACGTCAGACGGCGTTCCCATACAAGCGCCGTCTTCCCACACCCCTCGCCCATGCCAAAGTTGCAGGACAACCTGCCAGAAGCGTGTATCTCCATCACCTCCACCCACACGAACCCATCTCTGGGGCCAACCAACACACTGTTGTTCATCAACATCCCCAGCGACGCAAATTTCACCAACTCCATGAACTTTTACAAAATGCTCAGCCAGTTCGGCCCAATGATTTCTGTTCGGATCGTGACATGTACGGAGAACGCCGACCTGGTGGCCATTGCGGAGTTCGCCGACGTGGAAAGTGCGATGACTTGCAAGTCCAAGATGAACTACCAAGAGCTGATTCCGGGGCTGAGCTGCATAGTATCGTTTGCCAAGATCTTGTCGCTTAAAGACAAGCCAAAGTCACCTGTAAACGTGCCAACCACATCAACTAATGGCGAGAAGGACGAGCTGCTAAGCGGAGGCTCAAAAATGACGATCCTGAACGACAAGTTTTTCATTTTCCAGTCGTCGCTGAACGTCCTTCTCCAGAAAATTAACCTCACTCCAAGCGAGAGATTGCATCTTAATATCATCATCAACAAGGCCCTCAACTACCCGAGCGTGCGCAAGTCCGACCTGGGAAAAATGCCAGAGCCTGCTGCTGTGAGACACTTTGATACCCCGAAGCTGAGAGAGATCAGGAAACAGCTGGACGGAAACCACTTGTCGAAGCTTGAGATCGAGGAGCTGGCCCTGGCAATGCACAACGAGCTTCCAGAGCTCGCGTCCGACTACTTGGGCAATACCATTGTGCAAAAGCTGTTTGAGGTCTGCGATGTCCCAATCAGAGACTCCATGATCAAAAAGCTAACGCCGTATTTTGCACAGACAGGTGCGCACAAGAACGGCACCTGGGCGGCACAGAAAATCATCAACACCATAGCTACAGACAGAGAGAAGTGGATGGTTTCGGAGGCCGTCAAGCCGTACTGCACACAGCTGTTCAACGACCAGTACGCCAACTACGTGATCCACGGAGTGCTCAAGTTTGGTGTTCCGTACAACGATTTCATCTCGGAGGCAATGCTCAGCACGTTTCTGGAGCTGTCCAAAAACAGGTTCGGTGCCCGGGCTGTGCGGACGTGTCTCGAGAGCGAGAGCGTCAGCCGCGAGACGATCGTCGCCATTGCTACGTGTGTTTTGACGTGGTTCTGGGAGCTCGTTGGCGACTCCAACGGCTCGATCCTGATCACGTGGTTCCTCGACACGTGCCAGATCATCGACGACCGGCACCTGATGCTGACAAAGATCCTGTTGCAGGACAAGCGGGACGACGGTCTGGATTTTGTCAAGGTTTGCTGCTCGAAAGTGGGCAATCTGAGCGTGCTGAAGCTGCTCAACTACCGCGGCAGTCTGCAGCCGCGGGACCTGATCTTGATGCGCATTTTCGGCGACGATGTGCTGGATTACGAGGACGCGGCACAGCCGCTTGACACCCTGCGCCACATTCTGAGCGACAAGACCTCGAACGGGTCCACGTTCGTGTACAAGGTGCTATCTATGCCGTCTGTGGACGCAGAATTGCGCCGGCACATGAGTTCTCGTGTCCGGCACGTTCTGCAGGACCCCAATCTCAGCGGGCACCAGTACAAGCGGCTGTACGAGGAGGTGGGGCTGAAGACGCACCAGCGCACGTCAAGTGCGGCGCGCAAGAAGCGGTCCTCGCGGTCGCGGTCGCGGTCCAATTCTGCCAACGACAAGTACCCGACGCCGGCGACGAGCAACAGCAGCAGCGCGGACGTGGACTACGACATGATCCTGCGCCAGCAGCTTGAGAAGCTCTCTCTGGGGCAGGAGAAGCAGCTCTTTTTTTAGGCCTTGTGCCATGATACAGTAATGAAACATTATGAATGTTAGCTACGTAGCTGTGAGTTATTCTTCGTCGCTTTCCTCCTCGGCCTCGTCGAGCCACTTGAGGAACGGCTTGGCGGCCTTGCGCACCTTCTTGGACGTCTCTTTCGGCACATACTTCTTGCTCACGTGCGTCCCCCAGTTTCTAATCACGTCCTCAGAAGCCAAATCGTTATCGTACAGGGCCATCAACACCTTGGGCACAATCTTGACCAGTTCGGGGTGTTTCAGGCCGATCATTCTCTCGATTCCGCCCAAAAGCGACATCTCGTGCTTGTCTGTAGTCACCAGCTTGCCCAGCAGGCCCTTGTGCTCGTCTATTTCGTCCACAATATTTTCGTCAAACAGCACCTGTGCCAGAACCTCGATCGTCTTGGTGTCGCTGATGATGCCCATTTCGGAGCCCTTTTTGAAGATCTCCACGTCGTCAGGCAACTCATCTTGCAGAAGCCACTCGCCAAACTCCTCGTACTTGTCCAAGGTGTCGGAACTCAGCGTCAGTCCCTCCAGCTCTCTGGCCCGCGCCTTGACGGCCTCCTCCGACATGTCAACGGCCCATTCCTCGTCCTTGACCTCGATCTTCTGCGACGGAGGTGCCTCTCCGTCGAACGGCACTGCGTCGACGTTCTCGTCCTGCGACTGTTTCTGTTTCTCAGCAATCTCAGCGATCTTGGTGCCGCCACCGCCAACGTTCGCGGACGCGGTTCCGGACTTTTTGCTCTTCTTCGGTGGCGGATTCTTGAGAATGTACGTCACCAGCTTCTGGCGCGGGTCGCAGCTCGTCACCTTTCCGCACGCCTTGCAGTCTCTCATGACGTTGTCGTCCTTGGTGATGACCAGCTCTGTCTCCGGGTTCTTGCACGACGGACACAGCACAAATCGGTTGATGAAGTTGTCCAGCACGTCCTGCAGCTTGCCCGCATCGTGCTGCCCATTCACCACGAACTTCTCCTTTTCCTCGTCGATGTTGGTGAGCGCACCGAGCTCAAACCCAAAGAACTTGATCACGTACGCCGTTGGTCGCGCGAGCGCCCGCGCAACATCCGCCGCGTTCAAAACATTCGTCTTGATACCGTTTCCACGGCCCTCTGTCTTGGCCTGGATGGCCGGCATCTTGTACCGGTAGAACGGGTCATTGTTCTCTCTACAGATGTTGATTAGAGACATGGCAGGCTGAAAAATTTTAATTTTTTGGCTTTTCATTTAATGTGCATTTATTTATTCGGACTATTTTTCATCGCGTCGATCGACGCGGCTACAACGAGCGTGCCACAAGCTGCTGTGTCGTGCGCAATGCCTCAAACTTGACGTTAGTGTTTGCGCTGCTCATCAGCGACATGATCTTCGCCTTGGCCCCAATCCGGTCCAGCACCTTCACCACCTCCGGCGCCACCTTGATCAGCTGGCTCACGTCGTAGCACACGATCGCCTGGTTCAGATACGTCTGTTCTGGGTCTGTCGACGCGTCCAGCAGCTGCAGCAGTTCTTTCAGCAGCTTCCAGTTGTTCTCCTTGAACTTGTCAACGTTCTCGATCCAGAACTCCTCCGACTTGTGCGATGGCGACCAATTGAGCTTCTTGGTTCTGAGCTCGTTCTCGTACTCATCGAACGTGGTGAGCGTGGTCACGGCCTCGTTCAGGATCTCCAGCAGCGTCTCGAGGTCCGTTTTCAGCTCCTCGTCGGCCCATTTCCGCTCAATGAGCTGCTTTGTGATCTCCAGGCCCTTCACCAGCAAAAACTGTTTCACCAGCTGATCGCGGTCCTTCTTCAAGCTCAGCAAGTTCAGCAACGACCCAATGGCAAGCCGCACAATCTTCTCCTTCACCGCGTCCTTGGCAACCACGTACAGCGTGCCCACGAGCTCCGGGTACTGCGTCTCGATGTCCTCGAGCGCCTGCGGGATGAATGTCAATAGCCAGATCGACATTGTCACGTAGTATTTCATCTGCAGCTCGCCGCGTCTCTCGGTGAACACCTTGAGGAGCGGTGGGAACAGAGTTTCGTGGTTTTGCCAGAAGAACGCTCTATATTGCTTGATGGTGAGAAGCTCCTTCAAAAGCTGGATAGAGAAGAAGTTGAGATCCAGTTTTGTCGAGCTGAGCAGCCGGACCGACAAAAAGTCAAACAGTGGCCGCAACACCTTTTCCTGGCCGTCGTGCGACTCGCTCTCGTCGATCAGCAGCAGAGTCAGCACGTACGAGGAGCTCAGCTTGATCGACTCGTCTTTCGAGTCCAGCAGCTTGATCAGCGGCTGGTACGGAAGCGACGCGTCCAGATGCGCAATGCTGAGGATGTTCCTTGAAAAGGTCGACTTTGGGGCCACCATCGTGTCTATCAGAGAAACAAGAACAAACCGCACAATGTCGTCGTGCGGCGCCTTGGCAAGCAGCGAAATAATCTTGGTGGAGTACAAGTCTGCGTTCTTGAGTATGTAGTTAGTTTTCTCACGCACGTCCGTGAACCCAGCCACTTTCTTGAGACAGTCCGCCTCCTCGACGGTAAGGTAGTCCGCACGGACACAGCTGTCCCAGCCGATCGCACGGGTGCGCGCGTTCGAGACAATGTCGTTGATCGTGTCTCCTTCGAGTCTGAACTGCGACTACCGGTCAGTAGGGGAAAAATGGCAGACTTACCAATTGAAGCTCCACTGTCATTTATTGTATTTTACAGATATTTAAAATCTGGTTTTTGGCTGCACCTCGGCTCTACGTCCGGGTAACCAGTTTTGGAAACGGCTCCTTCTTGCTTAGCACGGCCACTTTGTTGCCGTGCGAGATGTAGCCCTTGACGAGGCCCTGGGCGATCAGGTTTGCCAGCCTGCTCTCGACCTCGTCCAGCGCGTACGGCCGGCCCGCGCTCAGCTCGAGCCCCCGTTGCAGGTCCACGAGTTTGAGCTGGTGGCTCTGCGTCACCGCGAAAACCTTGCGGGCCAGCCGCAGCTCAATAAAGGGCCGCAGCCGCAGGTATATGGAGTACAGCCTTTTTCTGAGCAGCAGGCCCTGCAGCATGCCCAACTCCTCGTCGAAGCCGGCCAGATCGCCCGCCTTGAGACTGTGGAAAAGGTTGTAGAAAACCTGCAATTGCGGATACTGGGCCCAAAGTCCGGCTGCCGGCAGTCTCTTTTCAATGAGGAACTTGATTGGCAGCAGTACAACAAGTATGAGCTGCTGATGTTTGATGCTTTCCTTGGGACAGTGAGTTAGCGCAGCAGTCATGTGTTTGTTGACGGCGACGAGATCGTCGTTCATACAGCACACGAGGCCGTTGTAGTAGTGGAAATTGACCAGGTGAGATTTCGGCGAACGGTCCAGCGCGGGCAGATTCGGCGCCTTGCTGAGCACCTTAGACAAATTGGAGGCAGCCTCGTACTTGGCGAATTTGAAGTAGCAGCGCAGCACCTCGTTGGCGAAAAAATACACGTACTGTTTCTTGGACCGCGCAAGCGTGTCGGACTTGTCTGTGAGACACGTTTTGAACGGTTTTTGCAGCACGTCCACGAGTCTTTCGTCGAGCGGCACGGTATCGTTTTTCAGGGTTATTTCGCCCTTCTTCATGTTCCAGTACATGCATCCGAGCTGGCGCAGCTCGGATGTGGCCGTCATGAGCGGCACACAGATCCAGCCGTCCTCTTTTTGCGCGATTCGCACCAGAGACAGGACCATGTTGATGGCCTGCTCAATGGCGGCTTCCAGGTCGGAGTCGACCAGAAAAGCTTTCACCACGAGCACGTACGCCTTTACGAGGTCGGCCCAGCTGGCTTGCAGGTCCGTGTCCGGTATTTGGAGCATGCTAGCGGGCGGCATCGAGACGAGAAAAGTGTGGTAGTCGGCCTTTTTCTGGAGCACTTCTGGCTGGAGCAGATACGAGATCGACGAAGCCACAAGTGGACCATTGCGGGAGAAAATGGCCGCCCGCAGCAGTCCGAGAAATTCCAGGTACGACATCAACTGTCAGCGTTGGTGGTTTATTGCCTTTCAGCACAGCCAGCCTTTAAATTATTTGGTGAAAAATTACCGATTTTTATTTTGGTATTGCCGGTTTGGGAGCATCGCTCACAGCACTTAAAACGAGCACCTGCCGCAAAAAGCTCAAGCATGAGCCAGCTGCGCAAAAAACAGTCGCTGTCCATACTGTCCGGATCGCATCTGAACCAGCTGAGCGGAGCGACAATTGTCGGCTCCGACAGACCGCTGAAAGAGAGAGTCATCAGCGAAAGCACGGGGCTAATCAAATTCGCACTGCGCCAGAGCTCCGACAAACACAGCCCAGACGACGAGGCCGACAAGCAGGGTCTGCCAATCTACATTCCAATCGAGGAAAACGTGAAAGAGGCCCACGAAAGGACTGAAGAGCTAAACACGCTCATGTTCCAGCTGGCCTCGAAACAGCGCAAGGCGCTCGAATTGAGGGACGAGCTGGAATCGGTCGAGTCAGAGGTGAGGAATTTGGAGCTGGCGTGCAGAAAACTGATGGATATCCCCGAGGAAAGGAAGTTGGCAAAGAAACAGTCCATCATGAAATTTGCTCCGCGGACCGAGAAACTCAACCAGGAGCCATATACACAGCTGACGAAGACGCTCAACACTTTTACCAGCAACTTAAGCAGCAACATCAATGCGAACGAGCTGCTGAATAAGGGAAAGACGTTTATCGAAAGCCTGAATAAGGAGAACGAGAAGTGGCTTTCGGATTTGCAGAATAGAGCCACAAGCTTCAAGAACGAGGAACACTCGATGCTCAAAAAGCTCATGAGACAGAGAGCCGAAAACTCGCCGCTGATCCCGAAGTTCAGGTCGTCTCTCAATCTGTTTCACGCGTCCGAGCCGGACAACGAGTCTGAGTTCTCGGACGACGAACACTACGGCGGCGAAACCTCGCCATACATTGCATAGTCCCAACACACACACACACACAACCTTGCACCGCGAGCAGCTTATCGGGGCGAAAAATATATTAAAATTTTTAATCGCGCAGAGTCATTTATTCCTGTAAGAAAAAAAAAACCACGGAAACCGGAAATTACTCTTAATGACTCTTCATTATCTACTTTTATCGTTTACACTATTTCTTTTTCACCCTCAAGCGGACTGTCTTTGGTACTCCTTGGTCATGTCTGCGTCAGGAATGGAGCCGCAAACAGTCTCGACCATGATACCCGTAACCAGGTAAGGATCGATGTTGGAAGCTGGTCTTCTGTCCTCAAAGTATCCGTAGCCCTCGGCCTGGACAGATCTTGGGATTCTGACAGATGCGCCTCTGTTGGCGACACCGTAAGAGAAGCTCTCCATGGAGGCGGTCTCGTGGCGACCGGTGAGTCTGAGATCGTTGTCGGAACCGTAAAGAGCAATGTGCTCCTTGTGTCTCTTGGAGAGTTTCTCGATGGCCTCCTCGATGGCCTTCATTCCGCCAGGCTTTCTCATCGAGGCAGTGGAGACGTTGGTGTGGCAGCCAGCACCGTTCCAGTCTCCCTTCAGTGGCTTTGGATGGAATGTCACCTTGACACCAAACTCCTCAGCAACTCTGTTGAGCAGGTATCTGGCGATCCAGAGCTCGTCTCCCATCTTGATTCCCTCACATGGTCCCACCTGGAACTCCCACTGGGAAGGCATGACCTCGGCGTTGATACCAGAGATGGTGATGCCGGCGTACAAGCACGCTCTGTAGTGCGCCTCGATCACGTCTCTGGCGTACACTTTTCCGGTACCCACACCGCAGTAGTATGGTCCCTGTGGAGCTGGGAAACCTCCCTTTGGCCAGCCATAGATAGAGCCGTCCACAGGGTCCAAGAGAGTGTACTCCTGTTCAAGGCCAAACCAGATATGTTCAGAAGCGTGGGCAGTCATGAGCTTGTTGCACTCGTGTCTGTGGTTGAACTTGTTTGGGGTACCGTCGTTGTTCCAGCACTCACAAAGAACAATGATGTTATCGCCCTTTCTGAATGGGTCTGGGTAGTAGGCGACGGGTCTCAGGTACACATCCGAGTTGTCGCCGGGAGCCTGGCCGGTGGAGGAGCCGTCAAAGTTCCACTCTGGCAGCTGGGACAAGTCTGTGATCTTCTTGGACAGGGTTCTGCCCTTGGATCTCGTTTCTCCGGAACTGTCGATCCAGACGTATTCGGCGACGATCTTTCCACGCTGATCCAGATCCAAATACTTGGACAGGATGTTGGTGTGTTCCAAAATCGAGATTTCTTGAACCATTGTAGTTTGTTTGAGAAGAGGGAATGAGCTAAATTATCTCGTTGTAGCGGATAACAGGTTATTTTTATACGACTGCAAATTTCTGTTAGCTGTTGGAAACAAGTGGTATATGCACACGACCTTTTTATTGCTTGCGGAATAGGGAAGGGAGAACGGAAATGGCCGAAAGGTGGATCCGGAAACAGGGGCCATAAGCCTTGTGCGCTGGTAGGCTTCCTATTGGCCGAGAAGAGAGCCAAACGACCGCCTGTGTGCTCGCTTCAAAGCTGTGAATCTTGTGGCCCTATTCTGCAGACGCGAAAAAGAAAAGATGATAACGCCCATTTTTTTTGTCATTCGACCGCTTGTCTGGCCGGCTCTCCATCCTGGTTGGGGGAGTCCTGTGGTGCAGCGGGGGATTGTGATTGCCCGACGCCATGCATTCAACTGCCTATTTCGGCGTGTTACATATCTGTACTTTATCATTGGCGATTAACCCATTTCGCGTCGGCACCGTCGACAAGCCAGTTGCAAACGACTTCACGTCGAGAAAACAAAAAAATACACCTCTCGTCGACACTCGTTCTTCTTCCGCTTTTGGAAAGAGAAAAACACTGAACATATATATTTCGAAAAGCCCCTATAATTCACTGCGATGACCTCTACGGACGACATTTTCAAACTGGCCAACCAGTCGGTCGACGAGCTCTTGCGAGAGATCAGCTCGCAGGCTCCACAAAACCCGAGCCTATCATCTTCCCCCACCACCGAGCCCTTACAAATTGAGGATGTAAACATTGACAACAACAACAACATCAATACAAGCGCAAAAGAAACCCCTGTTTTCAATGGCCCCCGTGTTCTTGAACAGAGTCCCATCAAAAAGTCGGTGCTTGCCTTTGAGCCGAAAATCGGGCCAGACGAGCTGTTTGACAGACCACTGCCTGCTTTGAAACCGTCGGAGTCGGACTATTCCGTCAAGTCGATGCCCAATCTGCCGTCTGCAGCGGCCAATTTGTGGGACTCGCCGTCCGCGCGGTCCAGCGCGTCGGCAGACTCAGAAAGAACCATCGCCGTCGACGAGAAACGGCCCGGCAGTCCTCAGAAGAATTTGCGCCAGCAACTGCAGAATGCCCCACCCGAACAGCCTACGCTCTCCCGCGCCAACTCTGCCGGCTCGCTCTCCATTCAAAAAACCAGACCCACCCCACATAATAACGCTCGCCACGTATCTGTGCAGAGCACCGCCTCTTTGAGCGAGAACGATTTCGTTTCTGCCGAGGAGGGCAGCTCTTCCGACCGCGGGTCGGAACCAGACAGCGACGCAACGGTCGATATCGTCGACCAGACGGCCGACGACACAATGAAGACCCACGACAGCGAGCACGGCCCCAAGAAAGCCCTGTTTATGGACGATCTGTACGAGTCGTTTGAAGGCCCCGAAATCGCACTGCCGCAGAAACGCGTCTCGTCCGCAGAGTCGGCGGAGCCCGAAGACATCCTGGCGATCTGGTCGACGCAGCAAGACTTCCAGAAAGTGCACAAGACCCAGCCGTCGTTCCAGAGCGTTTGCGACCCGAAGAAGTACGTGGTTAGCAAGGACCATTTCAAAGAGATCAAAATCGGCAGTCCGCTGCTGGCGAGAGACGACAACGAGGCGGACGACGAGGAAGAGGAGCAGAAAGAAGAGCAAAAAACAGGAGACCAAGCGTCCAGCCACGCCAGCTTTGCCGCTCCAGAGGTGTCTCTTGAACGAACATTCCGCAACCCGCTGGATTCCATCCAGGACACCGAGACTTCAAAAATGTCGCTCGACTCGATCGATCTCTCGGACCTGCTCCAGGACGGCGAGGACTCGTTTCTGCGGGAAATCGAGGCCTGGGAGCCAGAGACGCGCGTGCAGCCGGCCATCACGCCTGCTGCCAACGCAGAAACGCTCTCCAACGTGTGGCGGCGCGGAACACTCAGCAGAAAGCCTGTGTCTGCGAAAATCGACAACGAAAGCGTCCAGATTCCGCGGATGTCTGCGAACGAGGTGGAGCAGCTCATGATTCTCAAGAAAATGACCAGCAACGAGTTCCAGGTCAAGGAAGCCAACAGCAAGCTGACGCTCGAGAGCAACGGGCCGCACCTGGAGCAACGCGTCCAAGTGAGCGACGCGCGAAGCGAAGTGACAGAAGACAAGGCGTCGGCGATCGTGCCAGACCTGTCGATTGCCACGGGCCAGACAGCACCCAAATACGGCGACCTGGAGCGTGCTGCCCCGCTGAGCACGCTGAGCGACGAGCAGATGAACTCGCGCATCAGCTCGATCCAGTCTGCTGCCAAGCGGGTGAGTTCTGCGCTGTCGTCCTCGACAAAAGTCGACGAGCCCGCGCCGCTCGTTCTGGGCGAGCAGGGCCGGTTTTTCCTGCGCGTGATGGCCGTGCGGGAGCTGAACTTGCCCGAGCTGGGCGGGCGCAACGCGCAGTTCCAGCTTGTGCTCGACAACTCGATCCACCGGCTCACGACAGACTACTTCCCGATCGAGTCGGCGCAGTTTGTGCCGGTGAACAAGGAGTTCGAGCTTGTGGTTGGAGCGTCGCTCGAGATCGTCCTCACGCTCAAGCTGCGGTACGATAAGCCCAAGGACCAGCTGGTGGAGGTGGTGGAAAAGCGCAAGGCAAAGCCGAAGAACGCGCTCGCAAAGCTGCTCGGGTTCAAGGACATCGTCACGTCGACGCGATACGTGACCTGGCCGGCAGAAAAGGACCCGCTCGCGCACACGCTGGCTCCGGACGGCTCATTTGCAAAGCTCAAGATCTCGTTCGACAACTTCAAGGAGCACGTCACGTGCGAGTCCAAGATCTTCAAGCTGGATGGGCTGAACGAGTGGCAGACCGTGGGCGGCAAGTGTGCTGCTCCACACAAAGTGTGTGCGGTCGACTTCAACATGCTATTTGTTCCGCGCACTAGCGAGCACGAAACGCTGCCAACAAGCATCAAGAGCGCGTACGAGCAGGTCGAGCAGGTGCGCAGCACGCTAGCGACGCGCCACGAGGGCTACATGTACCAGGAGGGCGGCGACATCGAGGCTTGGACGCGTCGTTTTTTCAAGCTCGACGGGTACCACCTGAGCGCGCACCACGAGACCACCAAGAAGCTGCGGGCGCGGATAAATTTGCGGCGCGTCGTGGAGGTCGAATACGTGGGGAAGACGGCCACCGAGACCCAGAGCGGCAGGCGTGTGTACAGCGACCGACTGCTGCTGAACGACGCTTTTCGGCTGCGGTTTTCGAACGGCGAGACGATCTACTTTGGCTGCGACAGCAAGCGCGAGAAAACAGAGTGGGTGAGCTTGCTGGAGGCCGTGGTGGCCAGAAACTCTTTCCGGCGCCAGCCGTGGGTCAAGCAGATGCTGGCCAAGTGTACTTAATATACAGTTTTTTCTTCATTTTCTCCCCGCGGACAGGGTGCCGGCCCGGGGTCCGGAGTGCGGCGCAAGCGAAAACTCGGCCACGCCGAATTGCCATCTAGAGTATCTTATCTTTGCGTGTGCAAGGGTGTGTCCATGCATGCATGAGCGCAGGCCAAAGTATATAAACCCAGATAAGGCCCTGTCACAGGCCACACACAAGATGCCAGAACAAACCAGTATTGAATTTGTGCCTTTGGACGGCCAGCCTTTTGGCGCAGAGGTCCGTCTGCCCAGCTACACCACCAACCCTGCCGATCTGAATGACGCCGACTTCCAGAAGCTCAAGGAAGGTCTGATGACCTACTCCGTGCTGGTGGTCCCCAACCAGGAGAACCTGTCGCCGGAGTCGCAGCACTCGCTGACCGTGCGGTTTGATCCAACCACCAGCAGCGGCTACGGCCACGATCCGAGCCTGTTCCACTCGGCCAAGTCGATTCTGGCCAAGGACGGGCGCTCGGTGCCTACCCGGCCTGAGGTCCAAATGGTGGGCAACGGCTCGTTCGAGGCGGGCCACGAGGGCATGAAGGCCTTCACGCTTGAGCATCCGACGCACCACCATTTCCACAAGGACATCCTGAGCGACGAAGAGGTTGCGCGCGGCCAGACCCGCTTCTACAGATGGCACATCGACGCGGCGCTGTACGAGCTGGCGCCGCCCGTGGTGACGACGCTGCTGGGGCTGGTTGTCCCGTCCAAGAACGAGATACAGAAGGTTGTCTACGAGGACACCAAGGAGGTCAAGGAGCTTGTCAAGGGTGCCACCGCGTTTGCGTCGGGCAAGATCGCTTTCGACCTGCTTTCCGACGAGGACAAGCAGTTCGCGCTCAACCACTCCGTGGTGTACGCCCCGCACCCATACATCTTCATCAACAACTGCAAGGCCACCTCGGACGGCCTCACCATCGTTTCCGAACAGCCTCCCAAGGAGGTGCCTCTGGACGAGCTGCCACCATGGGAGCAGTCCAAGGTTAAGAAACTGCCGATGGTGTGGACAAACCCAATCACCAAGAACCAGCATCTGCAGGTGCACGGCTGCTGCGTGTACCAGCTGGTGAACTCCAAGACGGGCGAGGTGGTGGCCGAGCTGGAGGAGGCGCGCAAGATTGTGCACCGGTTTATGCGGCCCGCCATTTCGCCGCAGCACATCTACTGCCACGGCTGGAACAAGGGCGACCTGTGCATCTTCCACAACCGCGGCGTGATTCACAGCGTCACCGGCGAGTTCGAGCCGCACGAAAAACGGCTCATGCACCAGTGCAACGTGGCCAGCGGCGAAGACCCTGTCCTGCTCAACTAGGTTTATAGGGAGAACTGAATTATCATTAGTGTACACAAAGTATCTAGCGCCGTCTTCGCCTGCCACCGCCGCCTCTCTCGTCGCGGTCTCTGTAGCTCTGCTGGTGCGAGCCTGTCTCGAAGTCTCTGTCAGCCTGGTCGCGCTGGCTGCCCTGCACCCTGCCCGACTTGTTGCCTGGCTCGGGCGTCGAGTTCGAGGCCGGCCGCGACGGCAGTTTCGAGCCCTGCTGCTGCTGCTGCTGCGCGCCGTCTTTCTTTTGCCCGAACATGTTGGGCATCGCCATGAACGGAGGCATTCCCATCATGAATGGAGGCGGCATCGGCGTCTGGCCGTTTGCACCGGACATTCCGCCCAGCAGCCCGCTCAGACTTGGCGGAATCGAGCCGCTCGCTATCAGGTCGTTGATCAGCTTCGATGGATTGAACTCGGCCCGCAATTTGTCCTGTTTCGAGCAATACGCCAGCCACGACAGCTCGTCAAAGCCGTAGTTGAAGTAGTCGGAAATGTCTGCGCCCGGCAGACGCCACGGCTTCTCCTTCAGTTCCTCCAGAGACAGCTGTGTGATTGGCTGGCCCTCGTACGACGCCACCTGGTTTATGTCTAGTCCTGTTGTCTGTGTGAAAATTGGAACAGAGGTTTGTTCTGGGCCTGGCGTCGGCTGCTCTTTCGTCTTGTCGTCCAGGGCCACCGCCTTCGACTCGGACGAGCCAATGATGAACTCCACGTCCGAGTCCGAGTCGGATTCCTCGCTGCTCGACTCCTCGATCGCCGCTTTTTGCGCCGGTTCCAGCTCCGCCCCGTCCTTCGCCTCGATCGTCGTCTCCGTCTGCTGCGCGTCCCTGTCCTCCGCGGACCCGTACAAAAACTCGTCGTCGTCCATGAATAAATAAATAAATATTTTATTAGGAGTAGAAACACTTATTTTTGGAGGGGAAAAAGATTGGTCGTGTGGCCGCGAGAGGGCCAGCTGGCATGCGAGCTGCCACCCGCGCTGCCCGCTGTGAACAGCTAGACAGCCCTCAAGGTCGCCGCCATTTGCATGCGCCACACACACATCTGTCTTGTTGCATGCGCCACAGCAACCTACCCGCCCCGTCACGTGCCACGACACAGGGCTCGAGAATATAAAAAATTTTAAACCATTTTTCAAACTATCCAAACTACAGTATCCAAGATGTAGGTATAACACTTCACATGGCGGGCCGAAGCCTGTGCCAATACTAACCAAATAGGTCGAAGAGAACTAAGAAGGTTGGAATCACCGGTAAATACGGTGTCAGATACGGTTCTTCCCTGAGAAGACAATGTAAGAAACTCGAAGTTCAACAACACTCCACGTACGACTGCTCGTTCTGCGGAAAGAAGACTGTCAAGAGAGGAGCTGCTGGAATCTGGACCTGCAAGTCTTGCAAGAAGACTGTTGCTGGAGGAGCCTACACCGTTTCGACTGCTGCTGCCGCCACCATCAGATCCACCATCAGACGTCTGAGAGAGTTGGCTGAGGCATAAGTAAGACTAATAGCAGATACACAAAGAGGAAAAACAGTAGACAGAGAGTGGATGTTGTTCGGCAATCGGGTTCTGAAGAAAGGACGATTGCACGTCGATAGGCTGCTGGAAAAAAAAAGCTTTTTGCAAAAATAAAAATTTGGTGCATGCGGGGTTTGAACCCGCGACCATCGCGTAACTTCGTAATGAAACGATGTGTGACGTTAGTATAGACGTCTGACCGACTATAAGCACGATGCTCTTGACCTCTGAGCTAATGCACCATTTTTTCAAAAAATTTTGCTGAGCAGCATTGGCATAGAACAGGAGGAGAAATAGAATTTTACACCACAGCGTATAGAGGCCAGCTTTTTGGGCACATCCCAGACGTTTGTGTAGCACAAGCCTCTGGGCAGCCTCTGGACAGCCTCTGGGGGCTGTAGGATTTTTCCTTGAATTTTCTGACCGATTAAAGGGTCTATTCGCTCTGGTGTAGATTGTCCACATTCAAATAATCCGCATTGGGCCACCTCTTCTGGACAGAATCCTTTATTTTGGGCCGTCCGAGGTTGGCCAAATGTAGCTTTAGTCTATCAGATCAAACTGTAGATCTGATTTTTATTTTTTTTTTTTTCCATGAGAGTGCAAGCGTTGCGGCTGGTACGAAGGGTGAGCTTCTTGCGCGGATCCACGCTTGCAGACTATGTCCAGCCCGTGCCCCACCCAAACGACCAGATCGTGGTTTCGATGTCATCCGGCGTCGATTCCTCGGTAGCTGCACTGATGTATGCCAAACAGTACAAGAACGTCAAGGGCATCTTTATGGCAAACTGGTCGCCGGATTCCAGGGGCGGCGTGTCGAAGTGCACCGTGGAAAGCGACTGGGAGGAAGTACAGACGATTTGCGACCAGATCGGGATCCCCTGTGAGCGCGTGAATTTCGAAAAAGAGTACTGGTCAGACGTCTTTGAGCCCATGCTAGAGATGTATCGCAAGGGTCTGACGCCGAATCCGGACGTGGGGTGCAACAAGTACGTCAAGTTCGGCAAGATGATCGAGCATCTGTCTATGAAAATTCCACAGGATAACTGGTGGCTGGTGACCGGGCACTATGCGCGAATCATGAAACACAGAGCAACGGGCGAGTCGCATCTTTTGCGAGCTTGTTTTTTGCCGAAAGATCAGTCGTACTATCTCAGCCAGATGCCTGAGTCCGTGTTCAGCAAAATCCTGATGCCTATTGGCCACTATACCAAGCCAGAGGTCAGAGAGCTGGCTCAGCAGCATGGTCTGATCTCCAAGGACAAGCGCGACTCGCAAGGGCTGTGCTTTGTCTCGCAGCACGGCAACTTCAAAGATTTTCTCGATGAGTTCCTGCCACCAAACCCTGGAGACATCGTCACGGCAGACGGCCGAGTTTGGGGCAGACACAACGGGCTCTGGCACGGCACCATAGGCCAGCGGTCCGGGATCTCGCTGCCGCAGGGCGATCCGGATATGAAAGGTGTGTGGTATATTTCCGGCAAGAACTACAGCAAGAACCAGCTGATCATCTCCAAAAAGACCGACCGCGCGGCTTTCGAAAAAGACCGGCTCAAAGTGGCCGACTGGCAGTGGATAAACTCATCACTCGATTTTCGGGATTTGGATCCCGCAGAACTGACCATTCAAGTCCGGTCGCTGGAGTCGCCGCGCGCGCTCAGAGCGGTGGTGGCCGGCATCGATCCAGAGTTCCTGCTACAGGAAAAAATCGACGGCGTGGCACCAGGCCAGAACCTGGTCCTGTATAGAAACGAGCGCGTTCTCGGCGGCGGCATCATCACCGAGGCCTACTAATGTACATAGCTATTTACCCTGTTTCTGCTCCACCAGCTGGGTGTACCGACGGAGCTTTGTCTCCACTTCCAGATAGAAAGTCGCCTGCTCAAACGTATCAACCATGTACGTGCGCATAAGCCAGTTGGACCGTAGAACAGCAGCGTAGAACCGTTCTTTCAGCGCCACAAGCGCGTCCATCACCTCGGCCACGTTCCTCTTATCGAAAACCATCAGTTTCGCAGCAGCCGTCCGTGTCTTGGCGTCGCTCATCAAATCGTCCCATTGCTGGAGACGCAGCTGCAACTCGTCCAGCTTGTTCACCTGGTGCTCCATCTCCTGCAAAGACGCAACAACAAGCCGGTATTTTTCCTCTACAGACATTGCGTCGTCATGTGACACTGGGCGAATAGCCAGCAGTCCCTGTGTCTGTGCCTGTTCCAGCACGCGCATCAGGTCTGCGTGCTCGGCAAGAAGCCCCTGAAACTGCTGCAAAACGCGCTGCAGCTGCCCGCAAACATTAGAGCTGCCCTCGTAGAGCGTCTCCAGCACCAATATGCGGGACTCGATGGTGTCCAGCAGCTGCCGAATACTCATTAGGAAACTGAAGCAGAATAAAACGCTGACATAAGCACGGCCATCACGAGCTTGGTTTTTTTTCTGTCGCCATCCCAAAAGCTACGTACTACAAAACAAATAGACAAGTCAAGTTAGATAAAATGGTAAGTTGCCAATGCCAGAGGCAGCATGTGCAAGTGAACTAACATTCCTAGTCAAGATCTGGGTAAGTCAGCAAGAATTGTGTCCATTTGGAGTCGCTCTAACCCTAGTGTTGCTGTTTCCGACGAGGCCTTGAAGGCTTTCAACGACCTGAAGCTCGGCAAGAAGTTCAAGTCGATCATCTACAAGCTCAATGACGCCAAAACCGAGATCGTCGTCGACTCCACCTCCACAGAGGACGCCTACGACGCTTTCGTCGAGGACCTGCCTGAAAACGACTGTAGGTACGCCGTCTACGACTTCGAGTACGAGGTCGGCCAGGGCGACGGCAAGAGAAACAAGATTGTTTTCTACCAATGGTCTCCAGACACCGCCAGTGTCAGAGCCAAGATGGTGTACGCATCTTCCAAGGACGCCCTGAGAAGAGCCCTGAACGGTATTGGAACCGAAATCCAGGGCACCGACTTCAGCGAGGTCGCATACGAGAGTGTTCTGGAGAAGATCAGCAGAACCACTGGTCTCCATTAGTGTCCATAGCTGGTGTATACTTAAGTTCCCCCCCTGTTATCCGTGTTACCCGGCCGTCTCGATTCTATTTTGGCGTACAGCCATTCCTGAGGCCTGTAATTTCGGGACTGGAATTTTGAGGGTTGTAAATTTAGGGTCCAGATAACAAGGCCTTCCACCCCAGCATGTCCCCTGCCGTCAACCGCAAGCTGCCCAGAGCAAACTTGGAGCAGAAGATCATGATTCTGGACCAATTCCACAACTCCAAGCGTCCGCAGAGCGAGATTGTTAGCTATTACCGCAACCAATTCGCGATCTCCACATCCAGTCTTTCGGAGTGGCTGAAGAACGAGGACGACCTGCGCCAACGCTACCGCGAGACGCAGCAGGTCGACAGCGCCACGTCCAAGTCCTTGCGCACGTCCAAGCGCAAACTATCGTTCAAGTACGAGCCCATCAACAAGGCCATGTACAAGGTGGTTGAAGAGCGGTTGGCCCAGAATCTGCCCATTTCTGAGCCGATCTTACGCGAGTACTGGGTTAAATTTGCCAAGCAGTATGGTGTTACCGACCCGAAACGGCTGCAGTCGTTCAGCCACGGCTGGCTGTCCACGTTCAAGAAACGGCACGGTTTGAACAATATGATGAGCCGTGACGGGAGACGACAGAACGAGTCCTCGGTTGCCGACCAGACCGCGACGTCGTCGGGCGTTGGGGCGGCCAGCACGACGTCTGAGTCGGAGCTGTCGAACGTGATGCCTGCGCCAGAATACTCGTACTCCAGTGCACCGCCACAGAGCTACGATCACCAGCTAGCCCAGCCACAACCGACGTTCAGCAACACGAGTCAGCAGCAGCAGCAGAATCGCCAGGGCCAGGGCGACAACCAGGAGTACCTCATGATGGACTCGAACAGCGCACAGCAGCATGCTGCGCCACATAACGTCCAGAGCGAGAGGTACCACCAGTACGACGTCAGCCACCTGCTCAATAATCCGGGGTCTGGCACCCCCTCGAGGTCGCTCGCTCCTCCGCAGAGCACTCCGGGCGCGCAAAAACACCAGCTCTCGCACTCATTGACCCCACAAAACGGCCCAGTCAACTCGCCCGTGGCACAGTTCCAGGCTCAGGTGCAAGGATATCTTCCCGTGGACCACCGGTTCCCTACAATGACCCCAAGACAGCAAAGACCAGAACCGGAGCAGGATATCACGGTGGATATCTCCGACATGGAGAAGTTCATTTTCGTCTACTCGGAGCGATTTTTCCAGCAGTACGGCTACCAATTCACCAAGTCGAAGGAAATATTTGACGCATTCAAGACCAAATTTATGGAAGAGAAATTAATTTATAACTCGAGCGCACTCAAGCCGGGACAAGCTATGGACGACTTCTTTCTACGCAGGATGAGATGAAATAAATCATAACCTAATTAGAAGCCTCTATTTGGAGCAGAGCCCGCAACCTAGTTCATGTCTCTGACAGGTTGTCCAGCACTCTGCTGATGTTGCTGCTGTATCATTTCTGCTTCATACTGCTCCTGCTGGACGTTGCTGCCGTTCAGAGCCTCGGAGCTCTCGATCTCATGGAAGTCCAGAATCTCGCTGTACATCATTATTCTCCAAGTATCAAGTGGCAGGTCTGCGTCGTTGAAACTCCAGTCAAACTTCTCCTCAGCGGTCGGCTCGTCCGAAGGGTCGTGGTATGGGCTCAAGTACGGGTGTTCCAGCGCCTGTTCGGCAGTGACCCGCTTGCGAGGATCGAAAACGAGCATCTTGGAAAGCAAGTCGACGGCCTCAGGCTCGACACCCTTAAATCGTTCAGACAACGGGACTGGCTCTTTGTGAGGAAGCGACTGGACGAATCTGAGCGTGTTTTCCGAGCAAATGGTATCAATAACGTCTGCAGGCGGGGATCCCAAAAGCTCGGTGATGATCGAGAACTGGTGAACGTGGTCTTTGCCGGGGAACAGAGGCTTGCCTTCAATCATCTCTGCAAAAATACACCCTGCAGACCAGATGTCCACCTCTGTGTCGTACTTTTGCCACGTGAGCATGATTTCCGGTGCACGATAGTACCGAGTGGAAACGTAACCCGTCATCTGCGGGTCTTGAATCCTGGCGAGGCCAAAGTCGCATATTTTCAAATCGCAGTTTTCATTAATTAGAATGTTGCTTGGTTTCAAGTCTCTGTGGATAACCCCTGCAGAGTGCACGTACTTGAGTCCGCGTAGGATTTGGTATAAAAAGTACTGGATGAACTGTTTCTCCAAAGGCCTTGACGTCAGCAATCTGTGTAAATCCGTTCCCTGTAGCTCGGTGACAAAGTAAATGTCTTCCAGTGGCGACAGGAAAATATCGTCAAGCGAAATCAGATTTTCGTGTCTGAGATGGTTGAGCAGTTTGAGCTCGCGATACGTTCTCTTTGCCAACACAGCTGTGGAAAACGGCTTCATAACCTTCTTGATGGCAACGTTCTGTTGCGTCAACTTATCCTTCGCAGAGCACACCAGACCAAACGCACCCATCCCCACAGGGTTCAGCTCCGTGTATCTGGACGTTGTTTCGAATACCGTTCCGAAAATCTGTGTTCTCGTAAACTCTTGTGTCATGGGAACATACAATAATTATTAATGTTTTTTGTCGGAGACATCTCTGCACTGTTGGTATAAAAAATACTCATAAGCACGGTGGATACATACAAGTGCACTTCCTGACACCGTTCGAGCGTCCTTGGTCAATGGGCCCTATGCTCAGCAGATAGAACACCTGTGCACATGCGAGTTCCCGGATAGTACCTGCACGGCCCCGTGCTGGTTCTGGTTTGCCGTCGCTATCTTGTTGTCGCACCCTTGCACCAGAAAAGTCTAGTTATCAAATCTTGATTTTTTCTTGTTCTGAACATACTCAAGTGATGGTCTCTGACGAATCTGCCGCCCTGGACGCACAATACGAGTGCCATGCTGACGATTTCATTTTTCCAACTTTCCAGTCAATGGGATTGGATGGCCCGGCCGACCAGAAAGTGACATATCTCTGCGGGAACTCGCTCGGACTTATGCCCAAAAACCTCCCACACGCGGTCAATGCTGAGCTGGACGCGTGGGCTGCCCGTGCTGTGGAATCTCATTTCAGACACCCGCACGAAAGTACCGGGGGAGTTCCGTGGATGGATATCGACCTGCCTGTGGTTCCTCTGCTAGCACCAGTGGTTGGAGCAAAACGAAGCGAGGTGGCGTGTATGGGAACGCTGACGATGAATCTGAACTCACTATTGTGTGCGTTTTATAAACCCACCAAAGTAAAGTACAAAATAGTGTTTGAGAAAGGCGCATTTCCATCTGATTACTACGCTTTTCTCAACATGGTGAAATTACATGGCTTTACGGACTCCGCCTTGATCCAGCTCGAACCGAGACCTAATGAGTTCACTCTGCGGACAGAAGACATCCTTAAGACGATTGAAGACCAAGGCGACAGCATTGCGCTGGTTTGCTTGCCAGGCATCCAGTATTATACGGGACAGTATTTCGAGATCGAGAAGATTACAGCGTTCGCTCACGCAAAAGATTGTGTGGTTGGCTGGGATCTTGCGCACGCCGTTGGAAATGTGGACCTGAAATTGCACGACTGGGACGTGGACTTTGCTGTCTGGTGCTCGTACAAGTACCTCAATTCGGGGCCTGGTGCAATTGGTGGCATCTTTGTTCACGAGAAGCATTGTAGGCCGGACGTGCCGCGGTTGGCCGGCTGGTGGGGGAATGATGCCGGTGAGCGATTCAAGATGCTCGAGCAATTCAGACCAATCGAAAGCGCGCTCGGCTTTAGACAGTCCAACCCAAGTGTACTGGACGTTGTCTCGTTGAAAGCATCTTTAGAAACTCTGCATAAATGTGGTGGTATCGAGAAATTACGAGCAAAAAGCATACAGTTGACAAGCTTTCTGGAGAGATTGCTGCGCGCGTCGCCATACTACCGTGACTTCAGCGAGTCGAGCAGCACCACCGATCCGCATTTTATCATTCTGACTCCAACTGACCCGAATCAGCGAGGAGCGCAGCTGTCGCTGCTGTTCAAGCCTGAAGATGCAATGGAAAAAGTCTTTGTGTACCTGAACTCACACGGCGTTGTCTGCGACGAAAGGCGGCCCAACGTGATCAGATTGGCTCCCGTGCCTTCGTACAACACGTTTGCCGATTGCGTCAAGTGCGTTACCCGGCTGAACGAAAGTTTCGAGGTCGCTTAGGCAACTGTGGTGGCATCTACGGTGGCTCGATTGTGCGCCCTTGGTAAACAATGAATTGCGGCTCAGCGGCGATTGTAAAACGGTGGCACCTTTTTAACTGCACGTGACTAGATCTAATTGTGAAAAAATTGGAGAGCTAACGTATGCTGGGCGTAGGGCATTTTTGGAGGCTGCCTTGTCAAACTTCTCTGCGTATAAAACTCCGGACATTTGACAGGAAATTTGTCGCTATTGCAGATCTCGATGTTCCAATCCAACTTCGAAAGTCCAGTTGAAAACGGTCGTCCCGAGATCGAGTACCAGACTGCAAGTGTGGCGTCGTCCCGGGAGTCCGTGGCGAATGTTGTCATTGAGGAATACAACGAGGAGCCTGTTCCCGCCTTTGACTACGTCAAAGAGATTGTGGCAAGTCCCGGTTCCAAGGTCGCCAGCTACGTGAAGTCCCTGTTCCCTATTCTTGGGTGGATTGGCCACTACCCGTTCACTCCTTCGTGGATCTACAGTGATTTTGTGGCTGGTGTCACGGTTGCTATTGTGCTTGTTCCTCAGTCCATGTCGTACGCCCAGCTCGCCGGCTTGTCCTCCGAGTACGGTCTCTATTCGTCGTTTGTTGGTGTGCTTATTTACGCCTTCTTCGCCACATCCAAAGACGTTTCCATCGGTCCCGTTGCCGTGATGAGTTTAGAAGTTGGTAGATTAATTGCTCGTGTGCAGGACAAGACAAACAACGCCTACGAGGCCCCGGTTATTGCCACGATGGTGGCACTATTGTGCGGCTCGATTGCTCTTGGTTTGGGTCTTCTGAGACTCGGCTTTATCGTGGAGCTCATCTCGCTGCCGGCCGTTCTCGCCTTCATGACCGGCTCGGCATTCAACATCATCGTCGGCCAAGTGCCCGGTCTCATGGGATTTGGCAGCCACGTCAACTCCAAAACAGCAACCTACAAAGTCGTCATCAACACACTGAAAAATTTGCACCGCACCAAAGTGGATGCTGCATTTGGCTTCGTGTCACTGTTTGTTCTCTACGTCTGGAAGTACACAACTTCTTATCTCTACAAGCGCTACCCAAAACAGAAAATCTACTTTTATTTGCAACAGTTGAGAAGCGCAATTGTGATTATTTTCAGCACCCTCATCAGCTACCTGGTAATTAGACACCACAAGACTAAGCACAGTTTCAGTGTAAACGGAAACGTGCCTTCTGGACTGAAACACGTGGGAGTCATGGAGACGCCTTCGGGACTCGTGGGCCACATTGCCTCGGAGCTTCCGGCTGCTACCATCATTTTGGTTCTTGAACACATTTCCATCTCTAAATCGTTCGGAAGAGTTAACGACTACAAAATCAACCCTAACCAGGAGTTGATTGCCATCGGGGTGACCAACCTCATCGGTACATTCTTCAACGCTTATCCTGCCACCGGATCTTTCAGCAGAACCGCTCTGAAGGCCAAGTGTGGAGTCAAGACTCCGTTTGCAGGAATTTTCACCGGAGCCTGTGTGTTACTCTCCATCTACTGCTTTACGGACGCTTTCTACTACATTCCAAAGGCTTCGCTGTCGGCCATCATTATCCACGCCGTGGGAGATCTTCTTGCCTCGTACAAGATCACCTGGAACCTGTGGAAAATCCAGCCATTGGACTTTGCCATTTTCCTCATCGGGGTGATCATCACTGTGTTTGCTACCATCGAAGACGGGATCTATTTCGTTGTTTGCGCCTCTGTGGCTGCAGTTCTATGGAGACTGTGCAAGCCAAACGGCACTTTTCTCGGAAGAGTGCGTGTTGTGGAGGTTGTCGACCCAATTTTGGCCAGTGCTGACACCCAGCTCGAAAACGATAGCAACAAGAAGGGCGATACCAACGTCGAGAGCAGACCTGTGTACAGGACGCACTACAGATGGGTGCCGCTCAAATCCAGTCCCAACAGCGCCACGCCTGTGCACTGCGTCTACGTTAATGACAAAGTTGCTGTGTCTGCTCCACCTCCAGGAGTAATTGTGTTCCGTCCAAGCGAGACGTTCATGTACTCGAACTGTTCCCGGCAAGTAGACGCCGTTCTGGACGAGGTGAAGAGAGTCACGCGCCCAAAACATGCCAAAGTTGAGAAAACGTTCAACAATCCAGGACAATTGAACATCAAGTGGCTGCACAAGATCACACGCTACCAAGAGCCTGAGGAAGACAATAGACCGTTCCTGAAGGTCGTCCATTTCGATTTCAGCCAGGTGACGTTTGTCGATGCGACTGCAGTGCAGTCGTTGATCGATCTGAAAAAGAGTTTGGACCTCCATGCGGGCCACGAATACGAAATCCACTTCTCGGGAATTATCAGTCCGTGGATCAGACGGGCTCTCATTGGCGGCGGATTCGGCCGCAGCGTGCACGATGAGTCCGACCAGGAGCTCAAGAACGCAGATTCTTCGGTGGAAGAACTGGAAGAGGACAAGCCAAAGTATAGCGACCTCGAGAGACATACCCTGCATGCCGGTCTTGGCGTGGACTCATCTCATCTATATGCGCTTTCGGGAACAAATTACCCATGTTTCCACTTCGATATTCCATCATACACGTATCTGGACGAGTGACGCTTGTTTAGAGTTGTATTTATAGTGAATGATATTAATGATGCGATAAAAAATATATATTTAAAATATTTATTTTTTAAATTATGCATCAATGCACGGGGAAATACTGCTGGTTCGACTTTCCGACCTCTGTCCGTCTCTCGAGTCAGCACTGATTGATGTTATCAACAGGGGCTACAACAAGCCCCGATACAAGTACGGCGTGATTGACACACCGAGGATCAAGTACTCGCTGCTCCGGGATCTGAATATCAAGGACCCAGAGCAGTCGTATATTGCGCTGTTCTTGGCTCCAGCAAGCGACATATCGATAGAGAAGGACGATAGTGCGGCCGAGGTGACTAGAAAGTTCATCAGCAAGTTTCCGGAAGTGAGTTTTTCAACACATCGCAGCCAGCTCGACGACTACTCTGACGTCGAATCGCGCATACTAGGAACAGTGGGGATCAAAAAAATAGACAGGGGCCACGAATTGACCGCCTTCACGTCGTTCTACCCGCAGCTGTCGGGGAAGATGATGGATTTCATCCACGGGGTTGGCAAAAAAGTCGGCTCAAAAACAATCATTGCAGACGTGATTGCAGAGCACGATCTGGTGAAGTTTTACGAAAAACACCAATATAGAGAAATACGCCGCACGCCGTGCAAGATAGACAAACGGACCAAGCTGGTGATTGGCTCTGTGATGGAGGATGGCGTCAAGGCCAAAAAAGACTTCACGATGGTGGAGATGGAAAGAGTGTTGTAGAATGCGGACATGACTCTTCTGGCGGTGCTTACATCAGCCGGACGAAAAAAAATTCTATTTAGAACGTTGATGTACAAAACCTGGTTTTCAGGCTTTAGAAACTATTCGAAAAAAGTTGTACGCACTCGCAAAGGACTGCAAGTCAAGAAAATGAGCAGTGAATTTAACAGAGAGCAGCTGGAGTCGGTTTTGAAGAGAAGATTCTTCTACGCTCCCGCTTTTGAGATCTATGGAGGTGTGTCTGGGCTTTACGACTACGGTCCGCCAGGCTGTGCTCTTCAGGCCAACATTATCGATACGTGGAGAAAGCATTTCATTCTGGAGGAGGACATGCTGGAGGTGGACTGTACGATGCTGACCCCGCACGAGGTCCTGAAGACGTCTGGCCACGTTGATAAATTTGCCGATTGGATGTGTCGGGACCTCAAGACCGGCGAGATCTTCAGAGCAGATCATCTTGTTGAGGAGGTTCTGGAGGCCAGACTTAAGGGCGATAAGGAGGCTCGTGGCGAGAAAGTTGAGGACGTGGAGGAGGATGAGCAGAAAAAAAAGAGAAAGAAGAAGGTCAAGGAAATCAAGGCCGTCAAGCTTGACGACGAGGTTGTCAAAGAGTACGAGACCATTCTGGCCAAGATCGATGGCTACTCTGGCCCTGAACTGGGCGAGATCATGGAGAAACACAAGATCGGAAACCCTGCTACCGGCGAGCCTTTGGAGGCTCCTATGGCATTTAATTTGATGTTTGAGACGGCGATTGGTCCTTCTGGTCAGATGAAGGGCTACTTGAGGCCAGAGACCGCGCAGGGCCAGTTTTTGAATTTTTCCAAGCTGCTGGACTTTAACAACGAGAAGATGCCATTTGCGTCCGCGTCGATCGGAAAGTCGTTCAGAAACGAGATTTCTCCTAGATCTGGACTTTTGAGAGTGAGAGAGTTCCTGATGGCCGAGATCGAGCATTTTGTCGACCCGGAAAACAAGCTCCATCCAAACTTCAAGAGCGTCGAGCACGTCGTTCTGAACTTCTTGCCAAGAGAGGTGCAGCAACAGGGCATTACCCAGACGTCCAAGGTCACTGTTGGCGAGGCTGTCAGGTCGGGAATGGTCGACAACGAAACCTTGGGATACTTTTTGGCCAGAATCTACCAGTTCCTGCTCAAGATCGGTGCCAACCCTGACAAAGTCAGGTTCAGACAGCACATGGCGAACGAAATGGCCCACTATGCCCAGGACTGCTGGGATGCCGAGTTGCAGACGTCGTATGGCTGGATCGAGTGTGTTGGCTGCGCCGACAGGTCTGCATACGACTTGTCTGTGCACTCTGCCAGAACCAAGGAGAAGCTGTGTGTCAGAGAGCCTTTGGCAGAACCGAAGGTTGTGGAGAAACTAGAGTGCGAGATCGACAAGAAGAAGTTTGGTCCAAAGTTCAGAAAAGACGCTCCAAAGGTCGAGCAATGGCTGTTGTCAAGAACAGAGTGCGAGCTCGAGGACTTGGCCAAGGAGCTTGACGAAAAACTGAAAATCACCGTCAAGATCCCCGAAACCACAGTTCCAGAGGTCGAGATCCCTGCCGAGCTGCTGAAGATCTCCAAGGTCAAGAAGACAGAGCACATTAGAGAGTACATTCCAAACGTGATTGAGCCGTCATTCGGTATCGGCCGTATCATCTACTCTGTGTTTGAGCACTCATTCTGGACCAGACCGGAAGATTCCGCCCGGTGCGTGCTGTCGCTGCCGCCATTGGTGGCCCCAACCAAGGTGCTGCTCGTGCCGTTGTCCAACCACGAGACCTTGCTACCAGTGCTGAAACTGGTCAAGGACAAGCTAAAGGTGAAGCAGATTCCATTCAAGGTGGACGACTCCTCTGCGTCGATTGGCAAGAGATACGCCAGAAACGACGAGCTGGGAACTCCGTTCGGCATTACCATCGACTTCGACTCGCTGAAAGACAACAGTGTCACCTTGAGAGAGAGAGACTCGACGTTGCAGGTGAGAGGCTCGATCGACGACGTGGTGGACGCCATAGTCAGGCTCACCTACGAGGGAGTCGACTGGAAGGAGGGCACCAAGAACCTGGAGAGCTTCGAGGCCAAGGCTGACGAGTAGAGCTGGAGCTGGCCCCATAAGTATATATAAAAATGCGCCCACACCTGTGCACCACCCATATCAGCAGTAAAGAAAAAACAAAATAAAAGCTGTTTTCAGGCGAAAATACATGAAATTCTCTTGTTGATCGGCCGAACCAACGTACATCACTGGCTGCACAGAAATGGAGACACACGAGATAGGCGAAACAGGCACGGGCCCGGGGATAGCCACGCTGCCGCGGTACAAGGCCACGTACAACGTGAGTGCACTAGCGACCGATTCTGCAGAAAATCTGGATTTGCACGGCACAGAGCCCGCAGGCCGCGTACAGGACCCTGTGGACGAGTTTGAGCCGCTCCAAGAAGCCCCTGCGACTCCCGACTTCTTCAAGCCCAAGATGGCGGCCAATATACCAAACACCAGCACGGCGTCGTTACCTTCGCAGGTGGGCGAGTATGAGGGACAAGCGTTGCAATTGGACACAGAGGTGAAGGTGATGTCGATACCCAGCTCGCCCGTGCCGAAACTGCACCACAAACACGGATCAATTGGAGACATGCTCAGCGAGAAAGAAGATCTCGGAGACAAAGCTGTGCGACAGTCGGTGACCACAGACAAGTCGAACTACTCGCAGATCATAGAAGGATACCAGGAGAGTGCGCACTCCTCACAGAAACAAGATCTGCGAACAAGGACAGAGCAGGATCAGGGTTCGAAGTTTTGCGACGGCTCGAATCTGGCTGCTCAACATTCAAACGGCTCTGTCAATGTTACACACGTGCCTGACACACTCCTCAAAAAAAACGTGCAGACACCTAGCCGGTCTGCGTCGTCGTCGGTGTCGTCGACGCGCAAGGCGAGCTCGAACGTCACCACGCCGTCGTCCGAGGTAAAGAAAACTAAGACCAAGACCAAGAAAATGTTTGGCAACCTCACGAGTTTCGTCTCGAGTCTCACACCCTCCGGCTCCCGCTCGGCATCGCAATCCAGAGTCATCTCCGAACCATACGACTACGTGCGTCACCAGCACGTCGAGTACGACCCAAACTCGCAAACGTACATTGGACTTCCTGAAGAGTGGAAACGGGCATTGGCAGCACAGGGCGTCACTGTCGAGGACCAGAAAAAAAATCCCGAGGCTGCCAACCAGGTTATTAATTTCTTCAACTCGAACTTCAACGACGAGTCGAACAACAAGTTCATGAAGGTCCAGGGCCACGACTCTGACCGTAGCAATGACAATGACAGTTTGAGCGAAAGTGAATATAAAACGCCGAATATCAGCTCTTCCACGCAGTTTGACACCACAGACTATGCCACACCCTCCAGTCCCGCAAGCCCTGGCTTTCAGCAGACGCCGATCGCCCTCCAGAAAGAGACGTTTCCCACGCCGGATGGGGACAACGAATTCATTCCTCGAAGACACGCTCCTCCTCCGCCTTCCTCGACAGCCTCCAAGGCTGCTACCACGCTGGCGATGTCTGCTAAAAGCCCGTTGAGCTCGGTGTCGCGGATACCTTCGGGCTCAAAAAAAACGGCCGCCTCGTCACCATCATCGCTCATTGGCAGTATATCTCGTCGCTTCGGCTCCAATCATTCCAAGTCGGGCTCCACTCGATCAGAGAGGCCGCAGATATTGCATCTGGGTGAGTTTCTCCCAGTTCCTACGAGTCCGAAGCAACTGGCCACTGGAACACCACCTCAGGAAGATGCATTTTCGAAGCCAGAAGAGAATGATACACTGCTCGCTGCTCCTCAACGCCTACCTCCTGTCCCACCACCAGTTCCTATAAAGGACGTCCAACTGCCACAGAAATCGGACGAGTCAGTCAAGCCGCAGATGCCGCCGGTTCCAAAAGGGAAACCAAAAACTGCCAAGATACCGTTGACAGAGGACGAGCAGGAGCGCAGACGCGAGCTGCGTAGAGCTAAAGAGAGAAAGTATTTGCAGCGTTTGTTGGAGATATGTTGTTCTGAAGATCCTAGCGAAAGATACCAGGGACTTGTCAAAATAGGGCAGGGTGCTTCTGGAGGAGTCTACACGGCCACCGAGATCGAGACGAATACTTGTGTTGCCATCAAGCAGATGGAATTGGAGAGACAACCAAAGAAAGAGTTAATCATCAACGAGATCCTTGTGATGAAAGGGTCGAAGCACAAAAACATTGTTAACTTCATTGAAGCGTACCTGCTGAAAAAAGATCTCTGGGTGGTGATGGAGTATATGGAAGGAGGTTCACTGACCGACATTGTAACCCACAGTGTCATGACAGAACGTCAGATGGGTGCTGTTTGCAGGGAAACATTGCAGGGTCTCAAGTTTCTACACTCCAAAGGCATTATACACAGGGATATCAAATCTGACAACATTCTTCTCTCTTTACAGGGAGACATCAAACTCACAGACTTTGGGTTCTGTGCCCAGATCAAAGATTATTCTGCAAAAAGAAACACCATGGTGGGGACTCCGTACTGGATGGCTCCCGAGGTGGTCACCAAGACAGAGTACGGGCCTAAGGTTGATGTTTGGTCTTTGGGTATTATGACCATTGAAATGATTGAAGGCGAGCCTCCGTATTTGAACGAAACTCCTTTGCGGGCCCTCTATCTCATTACCACCAATGGGAAACCTACATTGAACGATCCGGATTCTCTTTCCGAGGAGCTACAAGAATTCCTAGACAAGTGTCTAGAGGTGAATCCAGACAAACGTTTCGACTCTGCACAGCTCTTGGAATTGCCATTCATTAAAAATGCCGACGACAATAGTTCTTTGGCGCCACTGGTCAAGCTGGCCAGAATGCAAAAACTCGCTGAGCTTCCCGATGGTGAAGATCATTCATAGACAAGCATGTACCTTGATCAGGCGTAAGCATACAATTTCTATTGTACAGATAGTGTAACACAGATAATTACTTGGAAGCCGTTCAGATACTTTCATCGTCGTCTTCGTCGTCGTCGTCTTCGGGCGAGCTTACCACCACGTACTTGGACTGGACAAAAAAGAGCTTCACCACAGTCTTGCCCTTGTTATCGAATTGATAGAAATTACCCATTGGCACTTCAAAGGAGCATCCCGAAACCACCACAAACGGATTGTGCGAGAGCGTCACTTCCAGCACTCCTTGGATCACGAAAAAGATGAAGTAGGTGTCGTCGTTCGACTTGATGGCTTTGCGAGAACCAACGGGAATCTCAATTATGCCACCGCCGCTAAATTCGCTGTCCTGATCAAACAAGGTGGCAATTCGAAAGAACTCCTCGCTGTTCTTGATGATGGAAATGTTTTTCGACTTGTTGGGAGCCCAAGCAACCGTTCTCTCGATCTGGTTCTCAGAACCCGGACCCTCAAAAACTGGAATTGTGAGCGAATTCTGCTGCAACCAGTCGCTGCCGTCCAGCTCACTGGCGATCGCTTGCTCCTTCTCTTTTTCTGGCTGCTCAGTAATTTGCGGTGGTGCTGTGACTGGCTGTGCCCTTTCGGTTTGCTCACTTTTCGGTGTTCGACTACGTCTTCGAGCTTTTGTCAATGGTGGCGCTGAAGACTGCCGTCTCTTCCTGGTAGGCTCTGCGACAGGACGGTGGATCACGTCCTTGATTTTCTTCACGTAGGTGCCGTTTTCGGTTGTGGTTTCATAGATGATTTTCTCGTTTCTCCACCAGGCAACAGGGGAAACCCTTCTTCTAGAAGACCTTCTCACTCCGCTTTCTGACATAGGCGTCTCTTCTTTCGGCAAAACCTCCTCCACCGACGCATCGATGTCCTTATCTTCTGCTTTGTCGGTGTCTTCGGAAACGCTTACCACTTCAGGACCGGAATCGGTTTCCTCCTCGAAATCTTCATCTTCGTCAACATCAGCGTGTTCTGATGCCGACTCATCTGATTCCGAGGGAGCTGACTTTTTGCCTCGTGGTTTCTTTTTCGGACTTGAGTCAGTTGACTCGTCGTCATCAGAAATTATCACTTTGCCCTTGTTCGACGCCTTCTTCTGGAGCGCCATATTCTTCGTCACAGCAGCAAACTTACGAGAGACAGCGGAGGACTTTGGTTGGGATTTTTTGGTCCGCAAATCTTCTTCTGATTTGTCCTCGCTGTCTACATGCAGAACGCTCTCTTCAGTGGTTGGCAGGCTTTTCTTCAAAGGTGAAGGCTGCAGTTTTTTGGGCGAGCTTGCAGGTCGACTTTGCGAGGAGCGAGGAGAGCCATTCAAGGAGGCTCTACGGCGCACATTCGGTTTGATTGGGGAACCCATTCGCGTTGCTGCGCTAATTATTTTGTCTGCATCCTCAGAGTCACTTGGGTCGGGACTTTCTTCACTGGAGGAGAGTATTAGACGAGTTCCTTTACTTTGTGGTTGCTTGCTGTGGCTAATTGGCGAGCTTCCTGGAGCCCGCTGGCTTTTCAGCTGTTCGTACCTCATGGAGAGTCTTTTGTTGGGAGACGTGTTGACACTCTTGTTATTAGGACTTTCGTACTCGTCGTCAGAAAGAAAGAAATCTTTGAGATCTTCCAGCCCATTTTCGTTCCTTCTGGGCGTTCTCGTAAGATAGAACCCTGTTTTGCGGCCCACTTTACCAGGGGGCTCGAATATTTCGCTTTTCCTATAACTCATCCTTTTGTTATGAGTTTGTGTGTATTCAAAGACCGCGGTACAATTGCAAAGGCTAGCGGCAGTTCAAATGGTAACCAGGTTATCAGCTCAAATGAATGTCGATCAAGACGCGTTTCCGATGGTACCACAAATAATTATTCGCACCGCTAGTTTGTAAACATCAACTATAAAACCAAGATTGATTTGTTTATTCTAGATGTAAATCGACGCGATATAAAACAGGTTTTTTTTTTACGTCGATCGGCCCGATACTTTTACATTACAACTGGTAGCTCCCAATGTCCTCAATTCAAAGGTATCACCTCTCCAGACTCTCCATCGTGGTAAGCGCGCATCTTGACTCTGAAGTCCGCGCACGCCACTCCAAAAGTCTTCAAAATTAAAGCTTGTCTGACGTCCAGCACATCTCCCTTCTCGACCACCTTATAAGGTTCTGGAAGAGTGATTTTACCGGACACAATCTTGGTTGGCATCTTGAACTTATTGCGCAAAGTCGGCTCCATGGAGTGCGACATCGGCACATCCTCCTCCTCAGCAACCTGTCCCCCACGCGAGTAGACAATTCCTTCTGGAATCACGAAAGTGATTGGCGACTTCGACTTTGCTCTAGGGTAATCAGATTTCACGTACGCATTGAAGTATGCCTTGACCGTCTCTGGAGTCTCATCTGTGAATAGCAGACCAATCAGTCCTTCGATATATTCTCCGAGCTTATGCAGGTTGTCTTTGTATTCTTCCTCAGGAGTCTCGCCCAAGGCCTTCTCCAACACCTTTCTCTTACCCAAAATGAGTTTCGATCCGGTCCAATCTTTGCGAATATCTTGAAGAACAGGGGTTCTCACATCGTCCAATTTGAGGACCCAGACGTATCTGTGGGCATCCAGTGCAGATCTGACCTCGTCAAAAATCCTGGTCTTATTTTCGCGACCTTTCTTGTCGGTCTGAGCAAGCGTAACGAGCTTGGATCTCTTGGAGCGAGGCATGTTTGACCGATCCTAAAATTTTTCAATCTAGATATTTTTTACAAAAATATTTTTTTCGTTCCATTTTCAGAAACGGCATGCGAAGATTAAATAATCTTTTTTGAAGGCAAAACGAAATCAAAGGTGATAAAAGGAATTGAAGGTGTTTATTCAGGGATTAAATTTCAGCGGAAAACCAAGTTTTAGGCAATCTACCTTCACGTGGAACACTTAAGACACTTTCTAATGACACGGAAAGCTGAATTGAAGAAGTCAAGAAGTCATACCAGAGACTCTCAAGAGTCCTCGGATCCTGAGGTCAGCAGGTTTGATGAGGATATGGCGGATGCAGACTTTGACTCTGATGACCGGGAGGAGGAGAACGCAGTCCTTTCTAGGCTTGCGGGAAATTACAGACGGTTTTCGGAGTCTCAGAACAGAATACGACAGGAGGAGTCTGGAGAAGACGAGTACTCTCATGACCACTACGGTTATGACGAGGAGTCAGAAGCCCAGGAAGACGATGATGACCTAATGCGTTCGCTGCATGGGGTTTTGGGCGCTAACAGAAGCAGGACAGGCGCGCCTTTACAGCTCTCTCTGGCCAATGCCTTAGGCAGCTCTTCTCGTCCGCGCGAGTCGCGTGGCAATACAAGCGGCAACGCCGAGGAAAATGACGGAGACCAACAAGACGCTGAATCTGGCATGTTTAGGAACGCGCTGGGGAGAATGTTCCAAGGAGCAGGGTTCGGCGAAATGTTTGGAGGCGTCACCCGTATTTCCGAGCTGGCAAATGCTTTAAAGGAACACGAGGATCCATATATGGTGTTGGAGACACTCAACGAGTTATCTGAGCGGTTGCTAATGATTAACGGGATTTTAGCAGAGCGAAACCTTCCCACTTACAGACTGGCACAAGCAATCGTTTCGGTGATTGAGAATCCTCTGTACCAGGAAGACCTGGAGGTGCAACTTGTCTCCTGTCGGTGCCTATACAATTTACTCGAGGTGAACATCGACGCAGTACATGATGCCGTTGCCGCAGGAGCAATCGAAGCGCTGCAGTCAAAGCTTCTGGAAATCAGCTACATCGATCTGGCGGAGCAGGCTCTACAGACTCTTGAAATGATTTCGCGTGACTGTGGCAGAGACATACTGATGAAAAATTGTCTACCAGCGTGTCTCATGTACTTGGACTTTTTCACTATACATGCACAACGAAAGGCCCTTTCCATCGCAGCAAACTCTCTGAAATACGTGCCAAAATCCAAGTTTGACGATATACGTGAAGTCTTCCCCATCATCGAGCGTGTTGCCATTGAGTACTCGGACTCCACAAGTGTGGAAAGCGCCTGGCTAGCGATTTCGAGAGTTGTGAAAAGCTTCGAAAAGGAACCATCTTTGTTGGAGTCGTTGATCAGTGAGAACTTACTCAAGAGATTACTCACTCTCCTCCCAACCTGTCTCGGTAAAGGCTCACATTCCAACAACTTGATCAGTTTCAACTCCTGCTTAAAACTCATTCAGTCTCTTTCGATTATAGCCAATTCTTCTCCGAAACTATCACTGTTGCTTTTGGAGAATGGGGAACTAAGCCGAATGATCCTTATATCATTGGCAGGATTTGACCGCAACACAAGTGACACGGGTCCAGAGTCTTCCGTACCTCAGGTTTCTGTCGAGGCTTTGATGGCCACTCCAAAAGAGCTGATTCTGGCTATGATCAACCTCATTGCACCAATTCTTCCATTTGGGGAACCAGACGGTGACGCACAAGGCAAAATTGACGTCGGAAATTTTCGTGGGACCAATCACTCTCAAGACCGGATAGAAATGAATAAGACAAGACTGTCACTCTATAAAGACGGTGATAATATTGGCAAGTTTGAGACATTTGTTAGCGACCTGCTTCCATTGATGATAAATATTTACACATCGACTGTGGATTATAAAGTTAGACGTCTGGTGTTACTTTGCATGCTTCGCGTGGTGTATGCGTCCACAAAGGCTCAGCTGGTGAACCTTGTTCAAAGCTGCAATGTAACCTCATTACTAGCATCAATTGTTATTCATGGAATCCACGTCCTAAGGAAAAGTGACCAATGTCGCTCGTCGACGTTCGAGATGAGACCTTATGTGCTGATGTACGGAGCATTGACAATTACGGATATTCTTTTGCTCAAAGCACCAGAGGTGTTTGTAGCAGAGTTCGAACGGGAAGGACTCATAACACACACTCAACATTTTATGAACGACCTTGATCAGGATGAAAGAATACTAAAGACTCTGGAAACACAGGAAGATTACATGGACGAAGACAAAAGCGAGGACGAGAGACCGAAAATCAGCTCCGATGAAAGAACACAGGAAGAAGACCCGCACAATGATGAAGAGAACAGCGAGGATGAATCAAACGAAGACGAGGAAGAACCTGCAGATACCCAAAGTGACGACGAAGAGCTGTCAACCCGGTTGTCGACCCGTTTTGTTCGTGACTATACGTTAGATAGTGACGGCACTTCTTCGATCACAATGGAGTCCCTGCTGCTAGAGCTGGCCAGATTGTGCAAAATCTTTGAGCGAGATTACAAAGCTCTAAAACAGACAATGCCAGTTTTCAGCTCTTCCCAGGCCGTAATGCTGACCGAGATGAAATCCATTTTCGACAAAAGTCTGAGCTTAAGTTATCAAGAATGGGCGGACGTTTGGCGCAGGTTCGCAGAAACCTGTGGATTTCTTAACAGCGAACGGCACATTTCAAGCTTTGAGCTGATTGCTTCTGGTATGATTGCGTCTCTTTCAGACCTCTTCCGTCGAGAGCTGGCAGAGGAAAACTCAAATTGCGTGAAAGCATTCCAGCATCTGATTTGTTCAAGCTTTAGTCCTCTAGGAAACGGGGAACATCTTCCGCTGGTGTATTTTGTCAAAAAGTTAGAGGAAGCTTTGAGCAGGACAGAATCTTTTGAGATCATCAGCTCGGGAGCCAACTGCTATGCATCCGGCGTGAGCGGCCCTGCCTCTTCGATGGCTAAACAGATCAAGATAAAGCTTATTCCCGACGACCCAGAGCATGGTGGGAGACAACTCATGCTTATGGTCCATGCTATTGCCACGTTCAAATCGATCAACGGCTTTTTGAAGCAAAGAGCAGATGGAATGAGAGGTCTAATGAGGGCCATAACCATGCCAGCACAGTCTGCAGAGGGGGAAGCACCTTATCATATTGAGTTCTCGATTAATGGTGAGGTCATCCCGCACGGAACAACCATTTACGGCGCCATTTACCGGTCTTTCCAAAATGAATTCAATGATATTGTGCCATCACGGAAGATCTGGACCAGCGTTCCTCATGAGGTCCATTATCGCAGAGTGGAGGGTGAGTTGCCTGTGTATGAAGAGGATCTTTATCCACCTGAGGGATCTGAAGATTCTTTGGAGTCTCTGGGCGACATCTCTACTGCCCAGATTTTGGAACTTCTACAAATGTTGTACACAATCAACAGTGCCACTCAACACCCTGGAGCCACGGACACGCTATTTCTGAACTATAAACTCACTGCAAAATTGAATCGTCAATTGGAAGAGCCTCTGATTGTGGCTAGCGGAACGTTGCCCGACTGGAGCGTGCACATCACTCGACAAATGCCGTTCTTGTTCCCGTTGGATACAAGAGTCTTCTTTTTGCAATCGACCTCTTTTGGATACTCTAGACTCATCAACCTGTGGCAAACTCGCTCCAATCAAGATGAAGAAGCGTCTGGATCTGGAGGAAACAGTGCTTCACAACTGGGACGTCCTGTCAGGCACAAGCTGCGTTTATCCAGGAAGAAGCTCTTGCAAGGCGCCATCAAGGTAATGGACTGCTACGGCACGATACCGGGAGTTTTGGAAATTGAGTATTTCGACGAAGCTGGCACTGGTTTGGGGCCTACGTTAGAGTTTTACGCCAACGTATCGAAAGAATTTGCAAAAGCTAAGCTGAATATGTGGCGGACGAACGGCCGCACCTATTTCGATTCTACCTCCTCATCTGATTCCGAGAGCGAGTATGTGAAATTTGAAACAGGACTTTTCCCTCGACCAAATGCCAAACCCAGCTCAAAAGTACTACATCTATTTTCTGTTTTGGGAAAGTTTGTTGCTCGCTCGCTGTTAGACTCGCGGATCATTGACTTTGAGTTCAACCCGCTATTTTTTGAGATCGCCAAAGAATTGGACACCAAGAGCCGGAAAAACTTGTCCAGGAAAAAATCCATTGAACGCCTGAGCAGGGTCGATGCAGACCTTGCCAAATCTCTCAGTCATCTAACCAGGTATTTGGACGCTTATGCCGAGGTGGAGGAGTCAGAAAGGTCCGAAATCTTGATTGACGGCTGCAAGTTGAGCGACTTGTCTCTTAATTTCACCTTGCCGGGCTATGAGGACGTCGAATTGTGTTTGAACGGAGAAGAAGTGGAAGTTGACCACACGAATTTGGAACGATACGTGGACAGTGTAATTGACCTTACCATCAAATCGGGCGTGCGCTCCCAGATCCAATCTTTTGTGCAAGGCTTTTCTGCTGTCTTCCCCTACTCATCCATGACCATTTTCTCCTCTGCGGAGCTTGTGAAGCTGCTTGGAAACGGTGAAGAAGACTGGTCGTACGAAACACTGGCAAGTGTCATCCACGCGGATCACGGCTACAGCATTGATTCTCCAAGCGTGCAGCGTCTGATGGAGATCATGAGTGAGTTCAACGCCGACGAACGCCGTAAATTCCTCCAGTTCCTTACTGGATCGCCCAAACTCCCAATTGGAGGTTTCAAATCCCTGAGTCCAGATTTTACAGTTGTTCTCAAACACCCCGAGGACGGTCTGAAGCCGGACAACTACCTACCGAGCGTGATGACGTGTGCCAATTATTTGAAGCTGCCCGACTACTCGTCCAAGAGCGTCATGAAACAGCGGCTACAAACCGCAATGACCGAGGGCGCGAATTCATTTTTACTTTCATAACATGCTAGATAGTACTTAATTTCCACGGACCCATCCGTTCAGCTTAGAGAGCCAACCTTGAGCGTGCTCATGAGAGTCGCTCAGACCTTCCTTGGTCTGTTTGATCAGTTTCGAACTTCCGTCCTTGACGTCCTGCTTGGCCTGGGCCAAATAGTTATTCAAAGTCTGCTGGGCAGAGTTTTTCTTGCTCAGAAGATCGTCGTACTCTTTCTTGGCAGCGTCCTGGGCCTCCTGAGACTTGGCCTTTCTCCACTTGAGCCAGCTGCTCTGTGTCTCATCGTACTTCTTTTTGGCCTCCTTCACCTGTTCATCGTAGTAGTCGTACAGTTTTTGAGCCGATTCTCTGGACTTTGCGGCCAGAATGCCGGTTTTATCGTCCAAAGCACGCTTGTGCTCTTCAGCGACTTCTCCGGCCAGCTGACCAAAGCCAGCAACTGCGTTGTCGGCTTCCTTGACAAAGTCCCTGTCGTTGAGGTCTCCCTTGAAGTTACCGAGGAATTTCTCTGCGTTCTTCTGCTGCGAGTCGGCAAACTGAGAGCCTCTCTTTTTCACGTTTGCAGCCCACTCGGAAACACGCTGCTCGGTCTCCTTAACAACTTCAGAGCCCCATTTCGACAAGTTCTCGCGAGCACCGTCTAGATTCTTTTTGGCCTCGTCCAATTGCTTGCTAGCGTCATCCTGCTTGGCCTCACCCCATTGGAACCATCCTTTCTTCTGCTGCTTGGCCTTGTCCTCAGCCTCGCGGTACTTCTCCCACGCGGAGGCGTAGGAGCGCTGTGCGGACTCTTTCGACGAACCAAAGAAGGAACTCAATTTGTCCTTTGAACTTTCCAAACGATCAATCACCTGAGAACCCGCAGAATTGACGGTGTCCTTGAGCTGGCTGCCAGCGGTGTTGGCGTTCTCCTGGATGTTGGAGTTCTTCTCATTGATCCATGAGCTGGCAGAGTTCTTCAACTCCTCGGCACGCTGGACCCCCGAATTGTACAGGGATTCACTGAAAGGCTCGATTTTTGGTGGCGGGTTCCAGTTGTAAAGACCCCATTGATCGATGGTCTTACCATGGTTGTACTGCACATCGTAGATGTACAAACCAGTCAGACCTGTTGCGAGAGCAAGAATATATTTGTTTGGGATTTTACTTGAAGTCATTTTGCAATTGGAACCTGAGGAGTGACACTGTTATTGCTATATATATATTGCTGAGCAGCAACTTTGCTACCACAGGCCGCCCCGCCGCCGCACAGCTCACCAAAGATGACGTAATACACGTGAGATGTAGCAAAACCATTTCCAGAAATTACAGCACAGAATGGTGCAGGGATGAGCGATGGGTTCACGGGGTCACTCCTGGGACCCGGTGCGAGGGGGCGACACGACCCTGGCAAAATAGACCAGATCTTTTGTAAACACTCCAACTAGGTCAACAGGCTTGTGTCGCATATATAAGGGACTCCCGTTTTATTGTGACACGTTTTGTGAAGCAGTCGTATGTACTCTGCCAAATTTCGGCCGGCATCGATACTGTTGAATATAAATACTTCGCGTCGTGTGTGTGGGAACATTGTTAGAGCACCCTCTATTTTCTCTATCAGATCTTCCAGTACGCGCAAAATGAGTGACTCCGACTCGGATTTCTCGCTTTCTGGCGCTCCAACGCCGCAGACACAGAAACGAAAGCCTCTGTCGAACTCCACGAATACCACTAATGGCAAGAAATCGTCTGCCAGCGACCAGTATCAGAAACTCTCCCAGCTGGAGCATATTTTAAAGCGTCCAGACACGTATATTGGGTCGGTGGAGAAAATTGAATCTGAGCAGTGGATATACAATGAGCAGACAGAGTCCATGGAAAAGAGAACTGTCAATATCGTGCCAGGTCTGTTCAAAATCTTCGACGAGATCTTGGTGAACGCTGCTGATAACAAAATCAGAGACCCCAGCATGAAAAAGATTGATGTCAAAATTGACAAGGAAAACAACGTGATTTCTGTGAAAAATGATGGAAAAGGTATTCCTATCGAAATCCACACCAAGGAGCAAATCTACATTCCAGAGCTTATCTTCGGTAACCTTCTGACATCCAGTAATTACGACGATGACCAAAAAAAGGTGACTGGTGGTAGAAATGGTTATGGAGCTAAATTATGTAACATTTTCTCCACTGAGTTCACTGTGAGAACCGCAGACAAAACCACTCAGCTGCTGTACACGCAGACGTGGAGAAATAACATGTCTGAAACAGGGAAGCCAAAGATCTCCACGATGAAAAAACAGGAGGAGTACACAGAAGTCATCTTCAAGCCTGACTTGACGAAGTTTGGCATGGAGAGTCTCGATGATGACATTTTGGGCGTTCTAAGAAGAAGAGTGTACGATCTTTGCGGTTCCGTCCGTGGTGTCAAAGTGAGCTTGAACGGCCAACAACTCAAGGTTCACAATTTCAAGCAGTACGTTGAACTGTACGTCAAGGCTCTGGAGAAAGAGAAGGGAAATCTTCCTGTTCCAGTTAAAACAGAAGATTCGGAGGATGGATCTTTAGCGCCTGCCCCGCTGTCCCAGCCATTGCCAACGATCGTGCACCAGGTGATCAACGATAGGTGGGAGGTTGCGTTCTCGATTTCGGATGGAACTTTTAATCAAGTGTCCTTCGTCAACTCTATTGCAACCACTGCTGGAGGTACTCATGTAGAATTGATCTCAAACATGCTCGTTACCAAGATCATGGAACAGATCAAAAAGAAGAGCAAAACTGCCATCATCAAACCAATTCAGATCAAAAACAACATGTTCCTGTTTATCAACTGTCTTATCGAAAATCCGGCATTCACGTCTCAGACAAAAGAACAGCTCACCACGAGAGCTTCTCAATTTGGAGGCAAGAAGTTGGAGCTTCCGGACTCGTTCGTGAAGAAGGTGCTGGCTTCCGGTATTCTGGAGAGCGTGATGGACATTGCACAAGCGAACGCCGACAAAGCGTTGAAGAAAAATGACGGTAGCAGAAAGAGCAGACTGACGGGTTATCCGAAATTGGAAGATGCCAATAAGGCAGGCACTAAAGAGGGACACAAATGCACTTTGATCCTGACAGAGGGTGATTCGGCCAAGTCTTTGGCTGTTGCTGGATTGGCTGTGGTGGGCCGAGATTACTATGGGTGCTATCCATTAAGGGGTAAGATGTTGAATGTGCGCGAAGCCAGCACTGACCAGATAATGAAGAATGCTGAGATCCAAGCCATAAAGCAAATTATGGGTCTTCAGCACAAAAAACGCTACGACTTATCCAATATCAACAGTTTGAGATATGGTCACATTATGATTATGTCGGATCAAGATCATGACGGTTCGCACATTAAAGGTTTAATTATCAACTTTCTTGAAACATCTTTTCCTGGTCTCTTGGAAATCCCAGGGTTCCTTATCGAATTCATCACTCCAATAGTCAAGGTGACTATTTTGACAGGCCCAGACAAAAACAAAAAGATATCGTTTTTCAACATGCCAGAGTATGAGGAGTGGAGAGACACAATTGGAAAGACGTGCTCTTACAAGCAGAAGTATTACAAGGGTTTGGGTACATCGCTGCCTACTGAGATGAGAGAGTATTTCAGCCAATTGGATCGTCACTTGAAGACGTTCCACACTTTGCAAGAAGAAGATGTGTCACTGATTGATCTTGCTTTCTCCAAAAAGAAGGCAGATGATCGTAAAGAGTGGCTCAGAGGATTCCAACCGGGCACTTTTCTGGATCCAAATCTGACAGAGATTCCAATTTCTGAGTTTATCAACAAGGAGTTGATTCTTTTCTCGATGGCCGACAACATTCGTTCAATTCCTTCTGTTATGGACGGATTCAAACCAACTCAGAGAAAGGTCCTATACGGTGTCTATAAGCGTAACCTGACGACTGAGATCAAGGTGGCCCAGCTGGTTGGTTACATTGGTGAACATTCTGGCTACCATCATGGTGAGGCATCATTGACTCAAACGATCATCTCCCTCGCCCAGGACTTCGTTGGGTCCAACAACTTGAACATTCTCAAACCCAATGGTGGTTTTGGTTCCAGAGCGTCTGGTGGTAAAGATGCTTCTGCCGCAAGATATATTTTCACCGAGGTCACTCCGATTACTAGAAAAGTGTACAACACACTGGATAATCCGCTGCTTAACTATTTGCAAGATGACGAGCAAACTGTTGAACCTCAATGGTATGTGCCAGTTATCCCGATGATTCTCGTGAATGGGTCAGAAGGTATTGGGTCTGGATGGAGTACCCAGATTCCTCCATTTAACCCCGTCGATATTGTCAAAAATATCCGCGCTCTGATGAATGGTGAGGAAATGGTTGACATGATTCCATGGTTCAAAGGGTGGGAAGGCACTATCAGCAGAATTGGGCCTGATAAATTCAGAATGGAAGGAAATATTGAGGAGATTGACGACACCACAATCGAAATAACTGAACTGCCTGCTCGTATGTGGACGATCACCATGAAAGAGTTTCTGCTCCAGGCAATTGCAGGTTCTGACAAGCAGAAGCCATGGATCAAGGATATGGAAGAACAGCATGGTGTGGGAATCAAGTTTGTCGTGACTTTATCCAAAGAAGAGATGGAGAAGACCAGAAGAATTGGACTGAAAGAGAGATTCAAACTGATCTCCATTATTAACACCTCCAACATGGTTGCTTTTGATCCGCAAGGAAGAATTAAGAAATATGATCATGTCAACCAAATTATCGAGGACTACTATCTTGTCAGATTGGATTATTACCAGCGGCGGAAGGACTATATGGCAGATTTGTTTTCCAACCAGTTTGAGAAGCTCTCATACCAGGCAAAGTTTGTGAAAATGATTATTGATAGAGAGCTGAACATCAACAACAAAAAGAGGGTGAATCTGGTTAAAGAGCTCAAACAACTGGGATTCCCTGGCTTTGACAAACAGAACAAGCCAATCAGACCTACTGAATTGAAGGAGGAGGACGACGAGGAGGATATAAACGAGCTAGCAGCCGATCCGACCGCAGTGGTGCAGGAGAAAAAGACAGCAGTTTCAGCGTATGATTACCTATTGGGCATGCCCTTGTGGTCTCTGACCTCTGAACGCTATGAAAAGTTGCTGAAGCAAAGAGACGAAAAGGAGGCAGAGCTGAATGATCTTCTCAGAAAGAGCGCCAAGGATCTTTGGAACGAGGATTTGGACGTGTTCCTCGAGGAATGGGATAAATTCCTCAAAGAGGATGAGGAGAACCGGTCTTCGATGCAGGTGGGAGACCAGTCGAAGAAGAAGCGGAAGAGAAGAACTAAAGCAGAGCTTGCTGCCCCTGCCAAGAAGAAAACAGCAGACAAGACTGCTGCCACCAAACCTGTAATCAAGAAGGAGGAACCTGAGAAGCCAGTTACGAAGACCGAAGGGCCTGTGTTCAAGAGTGTATTTGGTGGGTCGGGCTCGAAGTTCAATGCTGCTACCAGCATCTTCAGCGCTGGATCAGACTCTACCGAGTCTGACGCGTCTGCTGCTCCATCCAAAGCGTCCTCTTTCTTCACCAAAAAACCCTCCAAGAAGGCCAAGAATGTGATCGACTCTGACGAAGAAATCGTTGAGCTTTCTGATGACGATGCTCCCGCGCCAGTGAGCCGTGCGTCTTCCACACGCAAGAAGACCACCAAGTCGTATGTGCTTGACGACGGTTCCTTTGAGGAGCCAAGCGATGATGAAGATTATGAGGGATAGATCCGCGTATATATTGCTTAGAGATATGTTATACGATTTAAACTTTTCTATTCGGTTGCATAGGAGCCCATTTTTCAGTGAGCGACTCTGCGGAGGCACCTTTCAGGCTTTTCGGTTTGCTAGGCACGATGGGTGAGATTTTTTCTGGCCGTTGCGGTGCTGGAGCCTGTTCTGACGTCTGAACTTTCCGCGGAGGGGGTGGAGGCGGCGCAGAAGAGCCTACTGGGCCTGGAGAGCTCGTGGCCGAGCGCGTGGGTCTCATGGCCTCGAGTGAGTACTTCTGTTCTGCATCTGCGGACGAGGACTTAGGCTTCAACACGGTGTGCAAAGACGAGGACAGACCTGGGACCAACATGGCCGTGGTCTCGTTTGCATCGTACGGAGGGGGCACACGACGTCTCGCCGGAGTGGTGAGAGTGTTTTCTTGCGATTGAGGTGGCGAGCGTCGTGGCAACGTAGGAGCAGTGCTGGAAGAGTCTCCAGAAATATCGATCAGTGTTGGAGCCGAGGCTGTCGACCAGTTCGAGGACGCAAACGACCTTGACTCCGAGTCGTCGACGTCGTCATCTGGTTCGTTCAAATCCATCAATTCGTCGGACTTGACTGCAGAAGATCTGTACTGGGTGTACAGCTTATCGAGCAGCTGAGACTTGGTTTTTTGGTCTATGAGTTTCACTTTCGAAGTGAAAACACCATAAATGGGCTTGTGGTCCGAGTACACAAGGTCCACAACGGCGTCATAGTGCAACTGCGAAATGGACCTGCCTTTATAGAGAATTCTATCGGTCCATGAGGGAACGCGCTGTTTCTCGCTGGTGTCGTAGTTGGTTGTTCCTTTGTCGAACTTGTAGGTGGGGATAAACTTGATGGGCATCTCCTTGAAGCCTTTCAGTTCTGCGCGCCGTTTGAGCTCGATCTTGAGCTGGTCGTATTCGAGCAACGTATTGAGGTCGTTGGATGACAATAACATTCTCACGTCGTCATTAGCCTTGGATATACGGTAGTTCAAATCCCCAAGCCATATGATGTTGTCGTGGTGCTTGATCTGGCGATTTCGTGAGAATCGGATGGCATTCCAGGTGGTGATGAAATCGTTGTATCTCTCGTCAATATTGGTGGTTCCTGCCGCAAGATGAGAGTTGAAGAAACAGAACGAGGTCGAACCGTAGTCGAAGCGGATGGCCGCCGAGCCCTTGTTGGCTGTCATTCCGCCGAGACCTGTTTTCTTGGATTTTCCTTCCACCTGTGTGATTTTCGAAACAGCGTCGGCTTTCACGTACAGGAGCAGGAGAACAGACGACATGTACTCTGCCCGCAACATGACGTATTTGTTGGACCCGCCGTCATTCAGCTGGTGCTCGATGGCCGTCTGCCAGTATTGAGAAGGTGACGAATCGTTCTTCAGGATGTTGGACGCGTTCAGCTCAATCACCTCTTGGAAGCCAACGATCACTAGATCTGGCGAAAAAGAGCGGCCTCCAACTTGACGTGGGAACAACCACGATGTGAGGTCGCCTGATATAGTGTTTCCTGCCAGATTGTATGATCCGACGTATATAGTGATGTCCTCGTGCGAGACGAATCTGCTTTCGTATTTTTTGCACTCCTCGTTCACGTAGTCGGTGATTGGATCGAAAATCATCACAGGGACCTGGCCCGAGTTTTTGCCCAGCAAAGTGTCTGTCACCGCCTGCTTACCCTTATCAACAAAGTTGTTTATGTAGATTCTGCTGATACTCTTGGTGGCGTCCGAAAGCGCGCCGGCAAGGCCCATTTTGCCGGAGCGAGAAAAACTGGACTTGAGCGCATTTGTGCCGGTGTAGATCTGCGAGATTTGGTCGCCGTGGTCGGCCCAAAGCGTGCTGTGTTTCAGATTGAGGTCGTATGTGTCGCCTTTGCGGAACGCGTTGATAAACTCTTCCAGAGCAGCCATGGATATAACCTGCTGCACAACATTAGTACGGTCTAGACAGTCGAGACAGTTGACTCTGAACACCCCGTCTTGCTCTAGAAGAACCTCTTTCGTGGCCTTGTTGTAGCAGTAGAACCCAAACTTGTCGAGCGCAAGCTGGAGATCCGACAAAATTTTGGTAGCATGAGCGTACGTCTTGGCTGTTTCTTGGTGGAAATCGAAATCTGTGAAATAAACAGAGTCCGGCTTTTTCTTGCTCAGTGCCTTGAAGTGACGCTTGTACTCTCTGTTGAGCTCCACTTCGGAGGATTTTGTTGACGAAAGCAAGTTCACAATGTTGACGGGACCATATTTGCCGTTGAGGTTCTCAAAGTGTTTCTCAAAGACTGGCTGTGTCGCCTCGAAACTTCTTGTAATTTGCACCTTGGGCGAAATCAGCGCTGTGTCCTGCTCCCAAAACACCGGAATGGAACCCCGGATCTGCGTGTACGCAAACACGTGGCTCTCGTCGTTGTAAATCAGCTCTGTCTCGACAAAATTGGCAACGTTGCCGTCGTCGTCGACGCCTCGAACATTGAACCGAGTTCCCGCCCGTTTCCACGACTGCTTGGAGATGATTGTCAGTCGTGCACGTCGACCGCCAACACTCACACGGAGAGTCTCTGCAAACCCACGAATCACAGTTGTCAGATACTTGTTTTCGTCCAATATGCGTTTCGGGACCTCGTCGAGGTTGTTGCGGAACTTGATCACCTCCTCCATCATGAAGGCATTCCACATGTAGTCAAGATGGTACCTGTCCATTGAGAGAGAGTGTCGCGTATCCATGCCTCTTGTTTGCAACGTGCTGGTAAGATCAAAGTCTGTGCTGTAAAAGAAAGAGCCGTCCGTGAGTAGCTTCCGCAGCTCGTAGCATGGGTGCTGCTCATACTTGGAGGGGTATCCGCCCGGCTGCGACTCTCCGTCGGCCTCAACGGGGAACCCGTTGGCGTTGAGCTCGAGGAAGTCCCAGGTGTCGCTTGTCAGACAATGGAACTCAACGTCCATGATTTTGTTGATAATCTCGCCGTCCGTCGGCGAGGCAACGTCGACTTTTCCTGTGATCACGGCCAGAAACACATTTCCGTTCATCTCTATGAGCCCCAGAAACCCAAGAGGCTTGTGTCTGGACAGAGACCGGAAACTTCTCTGGTGGAATTGATCCTTGGCCACGAGCTCAATCGCACACTTACCGGTCGCGGCGATATATCGGAACAGCAGCACGTGCGTTTCGGAGGCCAGCGCAAGCGTCCGCTGTGTTTTGTTACTGATTAAAATGCGCATCGCAAACTGACACTGGATTCGACTTCAAACAAATAATCAGCTTGGATAATTTTAGCAGAGGCACACGACGTGGCCATCATATATAAATGTCACGGAGAGCCCATTTCATGTTCTCGTAGACGGCAAAAGTGACGCATGTGGCCGGCACCACGCGTATCAGATTTGCGAACAGTCCTTTATAAAAGCCAAAGAAGCCCTCGCGCTCAAACACCTCGGTGGCAGCAGAGACCAAACCGTATCGACCTCTGTTGATCTGGAGTCGCGATCGTATCACCTGCAGCGGGTAAAAAACTATTGTGGATACCATTTTCGACACCGCGCTCGCACACAGGTACTGCGCAGCGCTCATGTGCGACGACGTCGTTAAAATATGGTTTTTCACCGTGTCGTAGATCGAAAACTGCAGAGCACCCTGCGAGACGCTCAACAGAGCCGGTGACAACCCTCTATAAAACCCAAATATGCCCTCGTGACGGTAAATCTGCCTGAACCCGTCCACAATCGAGATATAGGCCCCCGGTGTCGTGCGCGACGTGGAGATCATTCTCGTTTTGATCACCCAGATCGGGTTCGTGAAGAAAGATGTGGTCCATCCGGCAGCAAAGGCGCACAGCAAGTACTGCGACGAGCTCAGCGACCGATCTGCATCGCCAGAGCCGCCAACGTACATGCTGAAAACCATATTTTTGTACTCTCTGTAGAAGCTAAAATACAGACCCCAGGCGGTGGTGCTCCCTAGCACATTCGGTCCGACTCCGCGATAGAGGTTCCGGACTAGCTGCGACTGTTTGAGCTTTCCGTTGATCCGGGAATCCTCCAGCAGCTTGTTTTTGATCGCCCGGAAGCTGTCGACCTGGTTCTTGGTTGTAGTGTCCAGCTGCAATCGGAGCTTGAAAAAGTCGAGCGGATGCGAGATGAGCGTCGTGATAAACCCAGCCGTCAGTCCAGACACGGTCTCAACAGATCGCGACGTCAGAAGTCGGGGCTCCTTCACGTCGTCCACGAGATTGAGGGACCTGTCAGACATGGAGGGAAGAAGGGTGTGAAAAGTTTTGTGGCGTCGATCGGCGCGTCGAAGTAGAAGAAGTCATGCCCGGGAAGAACGCAGTGATCAAGCAGCATGGGGGGGGGGGGGGGGGGCTAGCCGGCTGCAAACTGTAGCAGTGTACAGTACCAACACCCATTGTCGACCGTAGCGTGCTCTATCACAATCTATGCTGAGCTGCCAAATATTTGGTCATGGGTGCGTGCTACGCTGTTGCCGAGTCAAATTTTCGTGTTCAAAAATTACAGGAATACAGGAAAAATATTGATCCAACTTTTTAATTAGCACCATGTCGGATTTCAAACGTCTTAAGCTGAACCTTGTGAAGCCAGTTCCCTCGGACTACGAGATCTCCAGAAATCAGACTCCCAAGCATATCAGCCAGGTTGCTGCTGAGTGCGGAATCACCGAGACTGAGATTGAGCCATATGGAGCATACAAGGGTAAGGTCAAGCTCGATGTGATCGACAGATTGCACCACCGCAAAAACGGTAAATACATCCTGGTGACGGGAATCACTCCAACTCCGCTAGGAGAGGGCAAATCGACCACCACTGTGGGATTGGCGCAGGCTATTGGCGCTGTCCTTGGCAAGAAAGCTTTTGCCAATGTGAGACAACCATCTATGGGTCCCACGTTTGGTGTCAAAGGCGGAGCAGCTGGCGGAGGCTTTTCGCAGGTGATTCCTATGGACGAGTTCAACATGCACATCACGGGTGACATTCACGCCGTGGGCATGGCCAACAATTTGCTGGCTGCTGCGCTCGACACAAGAATGTTCCACGAGGCCACCCAAAGCGACAAGGCTCTGTGGAAGAGACTGTGTCCTGAGAAGAAGGACGGTTCCAGAGACATTCCTATTGGCTTGCTGCCTCGAGTGAAGAAACTGGGTCTGGACACCAAGGATCCTAAGAAGTGGACTGACGAGGAAGTTTCCAAGTTTGTGAGACTCGACGTCGACCCTAAGACAATTACCTGGAAGAGAGTGCTAGATCTGAACGACAGGTCGCTCAGAGGTATCACCATCAACCAGGCTCCAACAGAGAAGGGTCTGACCAGAGAGACTGGTTTCGACATCACGGTGGCCTCTGAGGTGATGGCAATCTTGGCTCTGTCGTCGTCTTTGAAAGATATGAGAGAGAGACTTGGAAAAATGGTGGTCGCCTCGTCGAAATCGGGCGAGCCAATCACCTGCGAGGACCTGGGATGCGCGGGGGCCCTGACTGCCATCATGAAGGATGCCATCAAGCCTAACCTCATGCAAACTCTCGAGGGTACGCCTGTGTTTGTGCACGCGGGTCCGTTCGCCAATATCTCGATCGGTGCCTCTTCCGTTCTGGCTGACAAGATGGCCCTGAAGCTTGCGGGCACAGAGCCAGGCCTGAGTCCCGAGGAGGAGAGGGAACAAGCCGGCTACGTCATCACAGAGGCCGGCTTTGACTTCACTATGGGAGGCGAGCGGTTCCTGAACATCAAGTGCAGATCGTCCGGTTTGTCGCCAGACGTGATCATCATCGTGGTCACCGTCAGAGCCCTGAAGGTGCACGGTGGAGGAGCCGAGGTCAAGGCCGGCGCTCCATTGCCGCTGGAGTATACTACCGAAAACGTCGAGATGCTCAAGGTCGGCTGTGCTAACCTGCAAAAACACATCCAGAACGCCAAACAGTACGGCGTCGATGTGATTGTGGCCATCAACAGAATGTCCTCTGACTCAGACAAGGAGCACGAAGTAATCAAGGAGGCTGCTCTTGCGGCTGGTGCTACCGACGCCATTGTCTCTAACCACTGGGAGGAGGGTGGCCAGGGCGCCCAGGCTCTTGCCGAGGGCGTGATCAAGTGTGCTCACAAGCTGTACCCTTCGCAACAGGGACAAACAGAGTCGTTCCGCTACCTGTACGCTACGGAGGGCTCGTCGATCGAGGAAAAAATCGAGGCCATCGCCAAAAACATGTACGGTGCCGGCTCTGTCGAATTTCTGCCCCAGGCCCAGGAAAAAATCAAGGAATACAGCTCGCAGGGCTTCTCGAACCTGCCAATTTGTATTGCCAAGACGCAATATTCGCTGTCTCACGACGCCAAGCTGAAAGGTGTGCCGACAGGATTCACCTTCCCAATCAAGGACATCAAGGCCTCCATCGGTGCAGGCTATCTGTATGCTCTTGCGGACCAAATCCAGACGATCCCTGGACTTGCTACCAAGTGCGGCTTCATGAACGTCGAGGTCAACGACGACGGCGAAATTGAGGGCCTATTCTAAGTCCGCTAATAACCTTGTCTTTGTTCAACACTGTATTAGAGTAAAAAATAGATTTCAACACTTGGTTTCTCGATTCAGCAGCCCCTATACTGGTGGCTCCCGATTTTCCTTTTCGCTGTTAGACTCTGTTAGAATGGCGTACTTGGACCGTGTCCGTTTCAGCTGCTGCAGTGCGTCTTGGCACTCGACAAGAGTGGTTTTCGTGTTCTGTTCCTGTATCTTTACGCTGGCCTCCAACGTGCTCAGCGCCTCCTCGAAATGAGCCTGTTTTCTTTCGTACGCAGCGGCAAGACGCTCACTGCACACCCGGGCAACTTTGTAGCTCTCCTCCAGGGCTACATTGACCCCTCCCATGCTCTCATTATTTTTTTCCAAGCGGGTGCTGCTCTCCTGAATAAATAGCTTCAACTGCCGCCTCAGATCCCCAACTTCCATCTGCGTGCGCAACTTGTACTCCTTCTGAGACTCCACAACCACGTCGTAGGATGCGCGCAGCCGATCGGCTTCAACAGTGCTCATGGTCTCCTGTTCCTGTATAGCGGCCAGCTTCCTTCGCAAAGATTCCTCCTCAAACTTCCACCGATCGGCAGCAGAACAGGCCTCTGTGAGCTGTGCCTCCAGATCGAGCACCTTGCGCTCTTTGCGAGCCAGTAGACTCTCAGACACCTCGTTCTGGTGTCTCGCGTTCGACAGCTTTTCGGTAAGCGTCTCGTTCTGTTTCACAACAACAGACAGCTTCCGCTTGTACTCGTCCAGCTCCGCCTGTGTGTCATCCAACTTGTCCTTCAGCCCGTCGATCTGTGAATGAAGGCTCTCAATGACCTTCGACGTGCCTCCATAGGACCCCGTGAGCCGGCCGGGATACTCTCGAATCATGGCACCGAGATGAAACAATTAGATAGAAAAGCTTGTATTTAATGTGCATCTGACGCTTAACGAATCATGGCTGTGCAGAAACGGGACGGGGTGACTTTTTGGCTGTGCACCCGGCTTTTTCCTTCGCCCAGTGTTTTCATTAGGGTCCCCGCGAATGAGCAGAACTGGGAGAAGCGTGACAACTTCCATACATATATATATTGCATCGGTGCATTTCTATCACCCAATATTTTATTTACCTCTACGATATTGAATGTCTTGGCTCTATGATGCCCGATACTGGCAACGATTCGAAGTCAGACACACAAGCCATATTCGAACGAAACGTTCAGCCTCTCACAGGCTGCCCCGCGCAAACCTGCCCTCCCCACTGGATTTCTGACAACTATACATGTCCCGTTTTGGATTCCACCGTTGAGCTTCTCAGCGATCACTCCAGTCTGGATACAACAGAGATTGTCGAATACCCGCATTCTGTGAACCTTCCCTCCTGCCGCAGGAGCTCCAAAACCAGCATTTCGGAGCAGACACTCTCGCATTCCCCATCGCAACTACATCTCACGCAATCTCTTCATTTTTACTCCTTCTCTGACCTTGTGGAGTATGAGCACCAGAACCAGAGCGAGGAGCGTGTTTGCTCCGCCACAACACTGCTCATGACAAGGCAGAGACAGCTCTCTGAAACGTCCTTCTATATAGCATGCTGAGACTCTTCCGACGGCTTACATAAGTGTACGAGTAATATAACAGGTTTTAGGTGTTGGTGAAAAATAATTCCATGAGCGAGACTTTTGGCGATTCAAACTCCATGACCAAGTCGCCCGATGCCTGCGCTTACTGCGGCATATCTGAGCCTGACAGTTTGGTGAAATGCAACACGTGCCAGAAATGGTTTTGCAACGGGAAAACCTCGGGGGCCGGTTCCCATATAATCACCCATACTGTGCTCTCCAAGCACCAGTCTCTCAGTCTCCATCCGGACTCGGAGCTTGGAGACACCATGCTAGAGTGCTACAACTGCGGCAACCGCAACATATTTGTGCTTGGGTTTGTTTCTGCGAAAACAGACTCCGTGGTTGTCATTCTGTGTCGTCTTCCTTGTGCACAGTCAAAAAACGTGGAGTGGAATACAGCAAACTGGCAGTCATTAATCGAAGACCGCGCGCTGCTTCCGTGGGTAGCGAAGCCGCCGTCTGAGGAGGAGAAGCTGGAAGCACAGCCAATCACCTCCTTACAGATAACAAAGCTCGAGACCAAGTGGAAGCAGGACAAGGACGCCACTCTTGAAGACATGGAGGAGGCCGAGATGGAGGAAGAGCTGGAGCCCATTTTGATGCGCTACAGCGACGCATTCCAATACCAGCGCTCGTTTGCGCCGCTGGTGCAGTATGAAGCAAACTACGACAAGCAACTCAAGCAGTCTCAGAGTCTTGAGAGGCTCACTGTGGCCTGGAGTCTGGGCACTAACGACTTGCATCTAGCTACTTTTGCACTGCAGTCGTACGATACGCTGGGAATGAAGCTTGCAGTTGGAGACCAGATGATTCTGCGCTACAGTGGGTCCGAGCTTGCAGAGCCGTGGGAGCAGTCTGGATTTATTGTGCGGATCCCCAGTGCTACTCGCGAAACTTTCACATTGGAGCTGATCGACTCGAAAAATAAAAGCGTGCCAACGCATCTCCACACGGGCTTCACTGCCGAGCTTGTGTGGAAGGGAACGTCGTATGCAAGGATGCAGGACGCGCTGAAAAAGCTTGCTGTGAACAAAAAGAGCGTTTCAGAACACATATACTATGCTCTGATGGGGATCGATGCTCCGTCGATCGAGTTCAGAGTGAAGAAGAAAAAATCATACTCAATACCCAACTTTGCCAAGCTCAACGCGTCGCAAGAAAACGCCATCCACAACGTGCTATCTAAACCGCTGTCTTTGATTCAAGGTCCACCGGGAACGGGAAAAACCGTCACCTCTGCCACCATAGTGTACCAGCTGACAAAGCTGCACAAGGGCCAGATTCTGGTGTGTGCGCCTTCCAACATCGCAGTCGACCATCTGGCATCCAAGCTCGAGCAGCTGGGGCTCCGTGTTCTGCGTCTGATCGCCAAGAGCCGCGAGGACGTGGAGTCTTCTGTGCAACACCTCTCGCTCACGGAGCAGATGCGCAAGCACGCGTCTAAGGACCTCAAAAGACTCCTGGCTCTTAAGGAGAAGAACGGCGAGCTTTCTGCATCACAGTACAAGCAGATGGCGTCGCTGCTCTACAAGGAGGAGGCGCTACTCATGAACAAGTGTCAGGTGATCTGCTGCACGTGCGTGGGTGCTGGCGACCGGCGTCTGGCCAAGCGTAAGTTTAGGACGGTGCTGATCGACGAGAGCACGCAGGCTTCGGAGCCCGAGTGTCTGATCCCGATCGTGAAGGGAGCCAACCAGGTCATTCTTGTGGGAGACCACCAGCAGCTCGGCCCAGTGATACTGAGCAGAAAGGCCGGCGATGCAGGACTCAGACAGTCGCTCTTCGAAAGACTTATCTACCTGGGACACATGCCGATCAGGCTGGAGGTTCAGTACAGAATGCACCCGTGCTTGTCTGAGTTTTCTTCCAACGTTTTCTACGACGGTAGTTTGCAGAACGGTGTCACTGCAGAGAGCAGATCTCGTCCCGAGAGTACGTTTCCTTGGCCGATCAGAGAGATTCCTATGATGTTCTGGGCTGTATTCGGCCGCGAGGAGCTCAGTGCGTCGGGCACGTCATATCTGAACCGGACAGAAGCCATGAACTGCGAGAAAATAATCACTAGACTGCTGAAGGAAGGAGTGGACCCGGGCAAGATCGGTGTGATTACACCATACGCCGGCCAGGCGACATTTATCGTTCAGTACATGGAGATGAACGGCTTGATAGCAGATAAGTCGAGGTACTCGGAGGTGGAGGTCGCGTCGGTCGACTCTTTCCAGGGACGTGAGAAAGACTACATTATCCTTTCGTGTGTGCGTGCGAACGACAACCAGCTAATTGGGTTTCTGAGTGATCCAAGACGGCTCAACGTTGCTCTGACGAGGGCGCGGTTCGGAATGGCAATTCTTGGCAACCCGAAGACGCTGAGCAAAAATCCGATGTGGAACAGGTTGCTCATGCATTTCAGAGAAAAAGGGTGTCTGGTAGACGGGTCGCTTGAGAATCTCAAGCTGTGTAACATCCCACTCAGCAGAGGCGGCCAGGCCACAAACGGCGAGTTTGGGCTTGCGCCGTCCACAGCAACCGGCAGATCGCAATCATACGACACAAACAGTCTATTTTCATACGGCACAGGGTCCAATCTGAGCCAGCAAAATATGCATTTCCAGGACGCAGCAAACAGTCTTTGGCCGAAGCTGGGCGGTCGCCACGAACAGCAATCTATGGCGTCGACCAGCGTTGCCTCAAGCCGGCGATCTAGCTTTATCAGCGTAGAAAATGACGAAATTCGAAATCTAGCAAGGCAATTCCGAAGCCAAACCAGATTTTGATTGCGCAACCAAGGCTAGAAAATTATATAAATACCAGTGTGCGTAATTAGTTTGAGTTGTTAGTTTGCTCAATTCGTAATGTCTATTTTGCAAGAGAAGATCCAATTGAACAACGGCACTTCAATTCCGGTCGTCGGACTAGGCACAGTGACTCCGGACGACAAGAAGCCTATTTTGCGCGAAGTTGTCAGGGCAGCAATTCTCGATGCTGGTTACCGTCACATCGACACTGCCTGGTACTACGGTGTGGAGCCAATTTTAGGTGAGGTTTTAGAAGAGCTTTTCAATGAGGGAAAAGTCAAGAGAGAGGACATCTTTATCACCACCAAGGTCTGGCCTGCTCTGTGGAGGAACCCGCAAAAGTCTCTGGACAAGTCACTCAAGGATTTGAGACTCGATTATGTCGACCTGTGGCTGCAACACTGGCCATTGACATTCAAATCTGACGAAAACGGCCAACCACCCGTTCCTCGCGACAGCTCCGGTAAAGTCATCGAGGACGACGGCGATTTTCTGGACACTTACAAGAAAATGGTTGATATCTACAAGCATTCCAATAAGGTGAAGGCCATCGGAGTTTCAAACTATTCCATTGGCAACCTGGACCGACTATTAAAGGAAACTGACGTCGTGCCTGTGATCAACCAGATAGAGCTTCATCCACAGCTACCTCTAAACGATCTGGTGGAGTTCTGCAACAAACACAAGATTGTCGTTGAGGCTTACAGTCCATTCGGATCTAACGGTGCCCCGGTCCTGGAGCTTCCTCTGGTGAAGCAATTGGCCGAGAAGTATAACGTCAGACCTGCAGACATCCTTGTGAATTATCACACGGCTTCTGGACGCGTGGCTTTGCCTCGTTCTTTGAACCCAGACAGAATAAAGCAGGGCTATAAAAAGGTGCCTTTGACTAAGGAAGATCTCACGAAATTGTATGAGATCGGTGAAAAGGAGCCTAAGAGATACATCAAGGAGGACTGGGGCCACCATATTGGACTGCCATTTTGGGATTAAGGACATCTGATGCCTCCGTTCCAGATCTCGAAGATACACTCGCGTTGGCGCGCACCCGACACAAGAGGACTGAAAACAATGAGCAGCTTTCGCTGAGTCTCAAAATTATAATTGGCCAGGTAGTCGTTCGACATAAGCACCTCTGCCACAGTTTTGCGCTTTGATTCAGCGCTCGAGTTGCCGTTTTCGTCGTCATCTTGTGAGCGCAAAAACGACGAGTCGATCCCCAGGTCTTCACTGAACTCCTCTATCATCTGCTCGTTAAGTATTGGTTTATAATCTTTGATCAAAGATATTCGTGCGTCAAGAAAATTTAGCCAGTCCAGCCCAAGGGCAGGCACAGTCTTGATTTTAGACACTTTGTTTTTGTATTTGGACTCAAACATTTTCTTGCGTTCCGTCTTGAGCTGGTCCCAGATCGGCGTCGAGCTCCTTTGAGATATTTCCTGCGTGCTCGAGTCGGCAGAATAATCTGCATAGTCAATCTCGTCGTAGGTGTCAAAGTCCTGCTTGTTGCGCGAGCACAGCTGGCGGTAAACAACACCGACCTCGTCCCACCCGTAGCACCAGCCCAGCTGGTAGTCTGCATTCATCTTGAGAAACACCTCGTCACTAATAATATCGCCCAGGGGCTTGTCGGTCATCTGATTCGCAACGACCACGGTGACACAATAGTCACTGCACAACTTCCGCAAAAACCGTCCCAGTTTGATAATATACGACCGTCGCTGGCTCACAGGAAGCTCTGCTCGGATATGGTGTGTGACTGAGTCCAGTATGACCACCTTCACATTTTCATTTCGCTGAAGTAGCAACGGTAGCTGGTAAAATATACATCGGTCCTGGCGCTCGAGGTCGGAGATAGCAATTGAGGGAGTAATCACGTTCTCCATCTGTGGGTATATCGTACTATCCTGGATCCCATTTGCTCGAAGAAGCTCTTTGTAATGGCTGGATATCTGGCTGAGTCGTCTTGTGCTCAACGCGCTCTCGGTAGGTATGTACATGGTTTGAACGGGCTTTCGCGTTTTTTCAAACAATGACGGGGCCAGTCCACCAAACTCTAACGGTAGCTGGCTGGTCATGCTCAACGTCATCAGGAAATTCGATTTTCCTGTCGCAGAGCCTCCGCTGATCTCCACGAGACACCCGCACGGAATACCTCCATCAAGGGCTTTGTCTAGTTTTTCATCGCCAGTGGTAAAATAAGCTTGCTGTGGGATGCAATCATCGATCTTTCGTGGTTTGGGGAGCTCTTTCTCAAGATGCAGTTTCATATCCGAGACAAGGTTCTTCACGTCTTGTTCAGGGTGTCCTGTCTTCTTAGCTATGTCTTGCATAGACCACATCAAAAGTTCCTGGGAGGTTATACCTTGTATCTCAAAGGCGTTCAAAAGCGGCTCAAACTTTTCATCGTCCAGAAGCGGAAAATGGCCTACCTCGTGAGCGAGATCCATACTATCTATCTTTTTTCCCTAATTATTTTTCGTTTTGCGCGTCACCCTTACACAGCCTTGTTACCTATAAGCGAGCATCTACTCTAGTTCTATATCGCCGGTTGTTTTCGCGGAGGATTGATCTTCGTCCTCATCCATGTCATCATAATCGTCGTCTTCAAACACGTCTTCGTAGATGGCTTCAGAAGATCCCTCGAGGGAATATCGCAAATCATACTCTTCTTGCGTCTCGTCGAATTTACCAGCTTCCTCGTCCAAAGTGCCGACCTTGCTAGTCCTGCGATACGTGATCGCAGTGTCTGTGTCCTGCAACACTGTAGCAGAAAAACTGATAAAGGCAACGCGCTTCTTTTTCTTGTTGAACGCAAAATACATGTTGCACCATAAGGTACCAGGCAAGTCATTCAGAAACGACTGCGCAGGCTCATACTGGAAACACGTGCAATCATCTAAATCCATGTGAGTATTTATTGTCTGCCATATCCAGCCGAGTCCGGACGACTTGCCGAGCGATATGAGAAGCGAGTTTATGCGTTGTATCAGTTCCGCGGACGAAGGTATGAGCGTGAAATTCGTTGGCTGCACATTCGAGAAATCGTGGTCCGGATACACCGAGTTTAAAATAGCAATGAGGTACGCAAAAAGGCGTCTGGACGATTGTTGGCTGAGAGGACCGAACGGGGAGTACTGATCGTCCAACATGGGTATTTTGTCAAGCTCCTCGTTCAGAAGCTTATCAAAGCCATTAGACTTCGGCAGAGATTTCGGAGGAGACATATATGGCGAGTGGAAAGAGCGAGTGCGCGACTTGTTAATTGGGTCTTTCTGAATGAGCGAACGCGCAGTCGGTTTTGGCGTCGGGTGTGAGTAGCTCGAGGAGCGTTTCTTCAACCGAATAAATTCTGGAGAGATATACGACACGTCCTTAGGCGGCGAATTGCTCATCGAAACATCGCTATTAGCCCTGCTTTTCTGTTCCGTTTGTCTATCTTGCTGTTCGCTATTGCAGTACAAGCGGTCGATAGTTTTGTACAATTTGCGGTCTGAGCCAATTGGCTTCGTGGTGAAGAGGTCAACCGTTCCTTGGATGTGCATATCAGTTGTGTCAAAACTGAGTGCTTGATTGACAAGCTCAATGTCAAACTCGTCAATGTACTGGGCCGTTAGCTACCGAAAACGCGATCATTGCGTGCACACTTACCTTCATATTGTCAGAGGGTTGTGATATATCTTGTACAACCACTGCGCCAAAGTTCGGTTCCTAATTGTTTACGGTGACGAAGGAGTTTATTATCTTATCTGTTTATATTGACAAGCACGTTGACTTTCCGAAAAAACTCAAACAAAGTTTGTGGGTTGGCTGTGGCGATGGTGGCTGGTGAATAGAGTTTGCAATTCGGGCACCTGGAAAACATCCGGACACCAGCAAACAGGAACATTCACCTGAAATTCGTGTAGCATTTGCTTAGATTATCCTGCAAGTGCCAAGCAAGCAAGAAAATTGACTTGCGTAGGATATTGTTTATCGAGCTGCTACCAGGCAAAGTATGGCCTAACTAAGCAATAGAGAGGGGCTCGAATGCAAACGTCTGCCTGTTATTGCAATAGGAATGGAAAGTTTAGTCCTCTAAAAGGCGTCCCTGACAGTTTTTCTACAATGTTTATGACTATTATGCATGGGAAATCTTTTCAAAAAAAAACTACTTCCTTGCATAAATTGAGTGGCTATGCAGAAAATTTGGTGCAAACCGGTGTCCAGGCGTCAGGCGACCTTCCTATTATCTCACATCCTTGTTTGCGAACTACTTGTGAATTTCAGAACAAAAGTATTGCTGCGTAGTTTCTGCATGGTTTCCGTTTTAGAGCCATGCAAAGCAGCTATTGAGATACTTGAATTTTTAACAACAATAGAACATGAGATTTCAACAAGGTGGCTGGTAGGCTAGCAGTAAAATCAATAACAAAACCTTCCTATATATTTTCATACAAATCCATAGCAATCTTTTTTTCGCTTAATTTAGTTCAACTTCTCTCCAACAGTCATGGCTCAATCAAGTTCGTCCGTATCGGCCTTTGTGTCTGCACTGATTTTGAACTTGATTATTTTCGCTGTTTTCATTACAATTTTTGTTGTCTGCAAGGACAAGTTCAAAAGAGTGTATCAGCCAAGATCAACGGTTGACACTGTTCCTAGCAGACTCAGGGCAGATCCGCAGCCTAGAGGCGCGTTTGCTTGGATAAGCTTCATTCTCTCCAAACCAGAGTCATACGTCATTGAGAAGAGTGGTGTTGACGGCTACTTTTTCCTGCGCTACATATTAACCTTCTCGTCGTTAGGAATTGTCGGCGCTTTATTCATATGGCCAGTCTTGTTTTCCGTCAACGCCACTGGAGGTGCTAACCAGCAAGGGTTTGATATCATTTCGTACGCGAATAACGCTGGAAGATGGAGATCCTTTGCCCATGTGTTTTGCTCTTGGTTGTTTTTCGGCCTTGTCATTTACACAATTTACAAAGAGTTGATCTACTACACTAGTTTCAGACACGCTTTGCAGACCACTCCACTGTACTCGTCCTTGATTTCTTCCAAGACCCTGTTTATTGACAATGTTCCAGATTCAATGCTAGACGAGGACACTTTGCACAGACTGTTCCCAGCTGCTGTGAACGTTTGGTACACAAGAGATACCAAAGAGCTGCAAGAGCTTGTCAAGAAGAGAACCAAACTTTCTGATAAGCTTGAGAACAGCATTGTGAAGGTTGTTGGTAAGGCCATAAAGCTTAGAGCTAAGGCTTTGAAAAAGAACAAGCCAGTTCCCGAGCCAGCCAACGAAATTACCTCCTACATTCCAGAAAAGAAGCTTCCAACTTACAAGGATTCTAAAATTCCATTCTTCGGAAAGAAAAAGGCTCTGTTCACTACTGGTATTGACGAGGTTGGCGAGTACAACAAGAAAATTAACGATGAACAATTGAAATACCCGGACGGTTTTAAGAAGACTGGGTCTGTGTTCATTGAGTTTGCCAACCACTTGGAGTTGCAAAGAGCATACCAAGGTGTTCCATACTCAAAAGAGCTCAAATACTCGAGAAGATTCACCTCCATTACTCCTGACGATGTTGTTTGGGAAAACTCCGGTCTTACGGCCAAGGTGAGAGCAGGAAAGCGGTCTATTGCAATTGCGATTTTGACCTTAACAATCATTTTCTGGGCCATTCCGGTTGCCGTTGTCGGTGCTATTTCCAATATCAACTACTTGACTGAAAAAGTGCATTTCTTGCGCTTCATCAACAACATGCCTACGGCTCTTATGGGTATCATCACCGCTTTGCTCCCAACCATTGCTCTTGCCGTGCTGATGATGTTGCTTCCACCATTCATCAGAAAGATGGGTAAACTAAGTGGACAGATGACAGTTCAAGGTGTTGACTTCTGGACTCAGCAATGGTACTACGGCTTCCAAGTGGTTCAGGTTTTTTTGGTTGCGACCTGTACCTCTGCTGCTGCCTCTTCTGTTTCTGATGTGATTATGGATCCATCTAGTGCTATGCCTTTGCTCGGTCAAAAATTACCAGCTGCTGCCAACTTCTACATTTCGTACATGTTGCTGCAAGGGCTGTCGATCAGTTCTGGTGCTTTGGCCCAAATCGTTGGTTTGATTCTCTCCTTTTTCCTTGGAAGGTTTCTTGATGGCACCCCAAGAAAGAAGTGGAACCGCTACAATACCTTGGGAACTCCATCGTGGGGTACCACATACGCTGCTTTCGGTCTTTTCACGGTCATTATGCTTGTTTATTCAATCATCTCGCCGATTATTATTGCCTTCACTAGCATCGCCTACTCTCTCATTTACATTGCATACCTTTACAACTTGAACTACGTTCTCGATCGCAATGTTGACAACAGAGGCCGCAACTACCCTCTAGCCCTGTTCGAAGTCTTTGTTGGCTTGTACCTTGCCGAGCTCTGTTTGATTGCCCTGTTTGTCATGCCAAAGAACTGGCCATGTGTGGTTCTGGAGGCACTCATGCTGGCCGTTACCGTTGCTGCCCATCTCTATTGCAAATGGAAGTTTGAGCCGCTTCTTGACACCGTTCCAATCGGAGCTATGAAAGAGGCCAACGGAGGAATTACGGGTGCATATCCAATGAGCGACCAAGGTCTGCGTCAAATCCAGGAAGAGGGCGAGACTTACTTTGTCGCTGACGGCTCTGATTCCTCTAAGTTCTCTGAGTACGGCGGAGGTGCGAAGCAGCACTCGTTGGCGAGCGACAGCCATACTGCTGCCACCGACTTGGAGAAAATCGGAACCCTGGACAACGAAGAGAGGCCATTCAACCAGGCTAACGTTACCGAAGAGCAGGTCAATAAATTTGATGTTAAACGCTATGCTAGTGCGTCTTACGTGAAGGGATACGTGAACAGATACTTCAAGCCAAGAACGTACTTGAGCTTCAACTACGTGAGGTCAATTCTTCCTGTCTCGTGGCAAGACCCAGTTCCTGACCAGGGTCTGACGTTTAAAGACCCAGCTGCCTCGGTGGATGAGCCATACTTGTGGATTGCACGTGACAGTCAGGGCCTGAGCAGAAGCTTTGTGGAGCGTTGCCAGGGAAAGCTGCTGATCAGCGATGAGAACGCCGTTGTGGAAGACAACGGAAAGAACAGGTACACTGGTCCGCCACCAGACTATGAAGATATCCAGAAAGTCTGATGACGCCACAGTTAACTTTCTTTGTGTTGCTGAGATTTAATGTTTCTAATCTCGCTATGTGTATTAATGGGGAGTAATTGAAATTTGATTTTAATGCCTTGCTGCTGGTGTGAGGTGTAGCTTCGTCGTTGACAGTGCTTGTTCGAGAAAAAGACAAGTTGTAAAAATTCGACACTAAGAATGACATACTCTGTGAGACAAATTGGTGCTGCCAACACCTTGGACTACAAAGTGTACCTTGAGAAGGACGGAAAGCCAATCTCGCCATTCCACGACATTCCATTGTATGCTGACGAGAGCAAGCAAATTTTGAACATGGTTGTTGAGGTTCCAAGATGGACCAACGCCAAACTTGAAATTTCCAAGGAGCAAAAGCTAAACCCGATCATCCAGGACACCAAGAAGGGCAAATTGAGATTTGTGAGAAACTGTTTCCCTCACCACGGTTACATCCATAACTATGGTGCCTTCCCACAGACCTGGGAGGATCCTACTACGGTCCACCCAGAGACCAGAGCCGCTGGTGACAACGACCCACTGGACGTTTGCGAGATCGGTGAGGCTGTCTCATACCCGGGCCAGGTCAAGCAGGTCAAGGTTTTGGGTGTGATGGCTCTTCTTGACGAGGGCGAGACCGACTGGAAGGTGATCGTCATCGACGTCAACGACCCATTGGCTCCTAAATTGAACGACATCGAGGATGTTGAGAAGCACTTGCCAGGTCTTTTGAGAGCTACCAACGAGTGGTTCAGAATTTACAAGATCCCTGATGGAAAGCCAGAAAACCAGTTTGCTTTCTCTGGTGAGTGTAAGAACAAGAAATACGCCGAGGAGGTCATTGCTGAGTGCAACAACTCCTGGAAGAAGCTGATTGCTGGCGAGAGCTCTGTCAAGGACATCGAACTCACCAACACCACCTTGAACAACAGTGCTACCACCGCAGACGCTGGCATTCCTGCTGCCGACCCTAAGCCGGCTGCTCCTATCGACAAGTCGATTGATAAGTGGTTCTTCATCTCTGGTTAGTTACATAGTCACTCTATATAGTTGGCAGTGGCGATGAAATGCCTAATTTTATCGAGATCCTTCACCCCGTCCGTTTCCACTCCGCCGCTCACGTCTACTCCTAAACATCCTTGCACCGACAACGCCAGGCGCACGTTTTCGGGCTTGAGACCGCCTGCCAGCAGGTAGACGCCCTGATATTGCTTGCTGAACTCTTCAGCGTCGTCCCAATTGATGACCTTGCCCTCACCTCCGAGCTCTGAGTCCAGCAACGGAAGTATATGTAGATGTGTTCTGGTAGCCTCTGCAATGTTGGGCTTGTTAAGCACGTATCTGGCGATCACGGGCAGATCGAGATGATTGATGTAGAGCGGAAAATCCTCCGACCCGTGTAGCTGCACGAAATCTAGCTCCAGATCCTGCGAGAGCTTCATGACCTCGTTTAAAGGCTGGTTTCTGAATACCCCGACCAAATACGGCCCGTTTTCAGTAATCAGCTGCGCACACTGCCGAAACCACTCAGGCCCCTCGGAATCAGATTTTCGTACATGCTCGAGCAGCTTTTTGGGGTCCACAAACTCACGCCCGAGCGATCGCCGTCTCGCCCGGCACAGCCTGCTTATCTGTCTCGCCTGCTCAGGGTCCACAGTTCTTGCTCTATTTGGTACCACAATTACTCCCAACAGATGCGCCCCGCTGTCAGCTGCCACTTGAGCCTCAACGACAGACCTGAGTCCACAGATCTTCACTACCTGACTCATGAGAATTTTCTGCTATATTTTAGGCTGTGCGCGAAATATTAATATGCAATTGCACAGCCGTGGAAGTTCTCTTGCAATGCCTCCTCCACCAATTCCACCACGCGACTACCAAGGACAGCAGACTGCGGTGCAGAAGGATCAAAAAGATTCCAACAGCCTGTTTGTTCCCGTCTCCTGCGATCCTCCGGCCGTTCCCTGCGGATCTGTCCATCCAGTGCCGCTCCCCAAATTCTACAAGCAGGACAAGCCAGTCCAGACAAACAACTTCTATGGAAACTTGCTAGTGGGCGAACAAACGCTTCCGGTGTGGACACATCCATACAGCGTGTGGTACAGTAAGGATCCGGACTACGTCGGCCTCGGAATTTCGCACACCGCCAGCTCCCAGAAAGTGTTTGGTGACGACCCGAATGCCAACCCTGTCAAGTATTTTTTCAGTCCGGTTGGCATTTGCTCTTTGCTCTTGACCTCACAGCAACTTCAGCATGGCCACGAGCTGCTGGTCGGCGAGTGTGAGCGGTTCAGTTGCGGTGTCAGGTTTGATTATTCCGGCAAAAGCATGTCTGTCAAGTTGGTTCAGGGGATGGGGTTTGTGACGGCAGTTTACGATGGTCTTAGCCCTATGATCAAGAGCAAGGTTGGACTACAGAACTTCCAGCAGAAACAGGGCTCAGAGCTCAAAAAGTATGTTGTTACGCTGTTTGATCAGACAAACTGGGTGATCTATTCCTCGGGAGACCTACAACTGGCCGATGCGTACACAGTTGTCGGAACGACGCCTGGACTCGTCCAGATTGCTAAACTGTGCGGTGACGAACAACCATACGACGCTGCGGCAGGGGCTTACGTGGATGATATGACACTTTCGGGTAGTGCTGATAGCGTTGGACGGTACTGTTTCGACTACAAGTTGAACGGTCGCTCTGCCAGCGGGAAAACCATCCAATGGGCCCTACCGCACCAGTACGCTGTCTTTGACCAATCAACCGCTTCAGAAGCCGTCAACATGACTCTGGACTCCACATGTAAGGGCCCGATGAAAGCCTATTTGACGAAGCAGTTTGTCATGAACGAGGAGTTGCCTCCGGCAGAGGTCCAATTCGAGCCCTGGTCTCAGCTGCACGGCTTCACTGGCTACTCCCAGGACAGACTGGACTGTATCAGACAGATTGCAAACGAGGAAGTCGACTCTTTCGATGTTGTCAATGCCTCCAACACCGACTCCATGTACACTGCGGGTAAAATCCTAGACAAAGGAGCGTTCATGCTGTACGTGGTGGCGTTTGTTCTGAAAGATGCCCAACTTGCCAGAAAACAGCTTGACAAGATGAAACGTGCCTTCCATAGATTTATATCCAATCAGCAGCAGGCTCCCTTGGTCTACGAGACAAACTGGAAAGGAGTGGTATCCACCGGCGGTCTGAACGACGGGAACTTCTATGTCGACTTTGGAAACTGCTTCTACAACGACCATCACTTCCACTACGGATACCATATCCACGCGGCCGCGCTTGTGGCTCTGGCTGATCAATCCTACGGAGACGGCTCCTTCCTTAAGTTTTCGAGAGCCTGGGTTGACACACTGATCAGAGACGTTGCCAACCCGAGCAAGGAGGACTCTTATTTCCCTGTGTTTCGCTGTTTCGACTTCTTCAACGGCCACAGCTTTGCCAATGGTCTTTTTGCTCATGGAGATGGAAAAGACGAAGAAAGTAGCAGCGAAGACTACCATTGCTACTACGGAATAAAACTCTGGGGTCTAATTACCGGCAACAGCCAATTGGAAAAGCTCGCGTCACTTATCTTGGGAATCGAAAAGCGAGCCATAAACATGTACATGTTGTACAGGTCGGACAATACTGTTGTTCCTCCGAACTTTAAGGCCAACAAAGTTTCGGGTATACTGTTTGAGAACAAAATCGACCATGCCACGTACTTTGGATTGAACAAAGAGTACATCCACGGGATCCACATGCTTCCAATCACCCCAATGTCGTCATATTTCCGGGATCCGCAGTTTGTCGAGGAAGAATGGAATGAGCAGCTAAGCTCCGTGGTTGGTAGCCTGGACGACGGTTGGAAAGGCATTCTGATGTTGAACAGGGCTCTGTTCGACCCAAAATCGTCCTACGAGTTCTTTGCAGCCCCAAATTTCCAATACAAATGGCTCGACAACGGAATGTCCCGTCTTTGGGCCACCGCATTCAGTGCTGGTATCGGGGGCTGAAAAACTGTTTTTTTGATAAGCATTTACATAAGATAAAAAAAATATACATCAGATCCAAGGGCGATTTTTTTTCGCCATTCGAAGTGTCAGAACTCCAAGCTACTGAAACTAAAAAAGTGCTCTTGCGCAATTGACATCCGTAAAGTGATTACTCACTAGCACTGGATATATTCTGCTGTTTTTTCGTTTCTCAATTGCACGAAACCTCAAACTACAGCTTGCAAAATGGCAGACTATAGTAAAATAAGGAGTTATCTCATGAACTCTCCTCGGGAGAGTTCTCCTCTTTCACGGTCCGTCTCAGCATCGAATATGAACCGCGTAAATTCCTCTATGCATCACGTGTTTCCTGACAGCAGGAAGAATACAAGCGTTCCGGGACTTTCTAAGCCATATGAGACATTTGATGATAACGAAACACTCGTCAACTATGGCTTGGACGTTCCTTACGACGACGATGAGACCATTAGGCTTCAATTGGACGATAAATCGCCATTTTTCGCTACCAGAGTCGAAAAGGATCTCAACCCAAAAAAGCTGCTCCCATACAAGACAGAGAGCATTAGAGATCAGTACCAGTACTTGAGTCACATAGTGAAGCATTTGTACATTGCCATTGAGAGCGAAGATCTCAAAGGGAATCTGAGCATCAGTGTTTCTGATCTCGAAAAAGCAAAATCCGCGTTACTTAGTCACAGCAACAACGATGAAACGACGGAGCACGAAGAAGATTGTTATGAGACTCTGAACCAAACTGAAAGCGAGCGCGAAGATGCAGGGAGCGATGAAGATGAATTTTACGAGGACTACGATGAAAGTTATCCTTCAGACGCGGAAGGTGAGCAATTTGCATCAACACCGGTGCCGAATGTTCATATCAAATCTGCAGCTATTATCAGCCTCAAACATTGGACCAAAGAGCTCAAGAACCTGCTTAGAATGGGTCTTGTAATTCCTGCATCGTTGAACATTGCCCTGGTCAAGGTTTTTTACGCTGTGATCCTCTCTCGAGGACAGGAGATCAACATACCGTTTTACGTGAATGTCGTCTTCCTCTTATTGAAAGAGAAGGACATATTGTACGAGAAGGGTCTCCGCCTGGATTGGAAGCCATTGTATGAAGAACTTAACAGCATCATGCCTGATGCAAGTGGCTCCTCTCATTTCAGTGACGACCGCAGGTTTGGCCACCTGGTCAAGTTTGCTGGTAAGGTCAACGTTTTTTTCGACGAGAATAGCGTTCCTCAGATTATGGAGAAGATCATGTCCAGATACAATAACCAGTCGGTATCCATCTCTTTCGTTCAAATGGCAGTGCTGGTTCCAATTGTGCTTGAGAAGCCCATCGTCAAAGAAGGACGTGTCTTTTATGACGAAAGAGATATCAGATACTACTTGCCGTTCTTCTTCTCATGTTGGACGTCTCAACGTCTTACTCCAGAAATTACCTCTCTGCTAAATGTCATTGCCAATATATCTGATAAGGTGTTAAAGGTTCAATCGAGCGATCCCAGTTTTGTTATCATGGGCAAATACGGTATTTTCACCGAGGAGCAGTTTAAGTTCATTATGAACCAATTGTTATTGACCTCCAGATCGTTTAGAAAAGATGAGAGAAATTCACAGTACATCAAGCTATTGATTGAAATGATTATCAATTCCATGACCTCGAAACACGCGCTCGAAAAAGATGGTGTCATGGATTTGCTCAAAACATTTTGGGGAGCTTTGCACACTCTGGTTCACCCATCGAATTCAGGCGGATGGTCTGTTATTTTATCCCAGGCTGTGAAGAGAATGGCTGTTGTGTACCACATTCGACTTTTGGAGGAAAACGAGGACAAATCGCTTCGATATTCATACTTGGATGATTACTCTAAACTGCCGGAAGACGTCAAGCTCTCGCCTCAGATCACAGAGCAATTTATTGACATGCTGTTGCCCCTAATACACTTTGGAGTCCAATCAAAGTCTGTTTCGCAGAGAAAGAGGTATATCACTGCTTTGGAAATACTAGCTTTCATTAACCCGAAGAAAATACTGGACGACGTTTTATTGGACATTTATAATTCTTTTGAGTCTGTCAACTCTACTCACAGAATCAATGTGGTTCTCCACGAGCTGACAGTTTTGGTAAGATACATGGCTCAATTGCCTGTTTACCGTGTCCACATCCCGAGACTTTTATCGATGCTTGTTCCCGGTATCGACTCCAATGATCCTGAAAAAACAATTCTTACTCTGGAATTTATCAAATCCGTTGCTGCTGTTGTGCCTATTTCGGATTTGAGCCAGGGCCAAGGTGACGGAGGGCTTGTGGCACTAGACTTTACAACGCAGCACCTGGCATATTTGGAGGCAAAGTATTACAAAAATGCTCCGCGCCAACTATATTACGGTGAAGATATACCTGACCAGTTTATATTTGATCCTGACATTGAGCTGGAAGCTCTCAAGTCGAGCTCATCTTCATTTGGAGAATTTATTCGTCAGTTCGCTGAGAAATGCTACAAGTATCTGGAGCTCTCGCCTAGTCTCGAGGATGATGGCCAAGTGGAAACACGTGCAAGCGTTTACATTTCACAGACGTTTGACTCGTTGGTTGAGTCACTGTCTGACGAGATGTACAATATTCTAGCCGACTCTTTTTACCAATATATCAGCAACAACGTGCAACATTCGGTCGCCATTGTTTTCTTCAACATCATTGAACTCATCATCAGAAGAGACCCAAAGAACCAATTTCCCAAATTCTATCAGTACTTGGTGGAGCATGTAAAGGAGGAAATTGACCATGGTGCTGGTGCCACTCGTACACAGGAAATCCTCGCTAAGGACGCTCGGTTAACATGGTATCTTAAGCTTCTTTCTGGCTCTCTCCTTGGGGCAAACGGGCTCGATGAAAGAACCTTCGGCGAGATGAGGGATCTGATCTCCAATAAACTCATTAAATTGAGAGGTGAAGCCGCTTTTGCAGCCACCACAATTCCTGAATCACTCCTGGCAGGTACCACATTGACAAGACTCTTAGAGCGCAGGCTGATTCCTCAGTCTTGGATTGATAAGAATGGGCCTGTGGATCATCGTTGCTGGGGAGGGTTCCAATTTGAAAAATCTAGATTCGATTTGGACCACCTCAATTTTTCCTGGTATGTTCCTTCATCGAAGAACGTAGAGCAGGCTGTTGAGTTTTTTGATTTTACGTCTTCCTTGGCTATTAATGAGATCGACGAGTTTGTGCAAGCGTTCGATGCAGATGAAAAAATCTCTCTTGCTGTTTCTGACAGAATTGAGTTCAACGTGAACCTGCTAGAAAGCTGCCTTGCTGGCATATGCACTTTGTTTGATCCGAACTTTAGTATGGACTCTTTCAGCGCCAACAAACTGATGTTTAATGGTTTTTCATCTAGCGCTCTTTCATCCTCTGCCTCATTGGTATCGCTGGACAGCGAGAAAGTTGACGTTGAAACTGAAAACTCTCCAGAACCAATGGAGCTAGGCAGGGATGTCGCCGGTGACTTGATGAAAGAGACGTTTGATCGTGATATGGATCACGAGTCAAATGAAGAAGCTATGGAAGATACAGAAGGCGAGTACCGCTTGAGATCAGAGATGGAGTCTAACAGTCCTCCAACAGAGTCAGAGTCCCCAAGCGGACTCGTGACCCCTGCTGCAGTTCCTGATCCTGAATGTCTAGCTGGCTATCTCACTGAAAGACCTCCAGTGCTCTACAGTTTTGGCTACCATTATGAAGGACGAGATCAACTCACAAATCATTGTGACGCGACATATATGAAGTTGCATCGTGCTCGAGAAAGAATTGGTAAAAGCTTACATGGCTTGATCAAATGCCTAATGCAACAAGACGGTGCTGTTGAGCTTTGTCAACAAGTTGTACACTGTATCAAATGTTGGCTAGAAAATTGTGGTAATTTTGGATCGAAGAACCCCATTTTCATTGACCACATCCATTTAGTGGACCTTTTGAACATTCCGCACGTGAACTCACCGTACACAAGAACGGTCATTGGTGCCCGTTTGGCTATTTACCATTGCAACAGATTGTCAATCTCGCGTTCTTCAAGGCTCCCAAGTGATACGGACAAGCTGTTGATCAAAGATCTTGTTTCCTTGGCTGCTAGCAGGTACAATGAAACTGCGCAAAATGCTACCATGGTTCTAGGTTCGGCACTCAACAAGATACTAAATTGCACGAACCTCGTTTATGGAATTTTCAAAGAGTGGGAAGTGGCGTTGCTAAATGAGGACAGAGAGAGGCTCAAAAATGTGATGAGGTTCTTTTTGGTTAAGAAGTTCAAAGGTTTTGCAGAACGAAGCCTCCACAATTTTGCCAAATATGAAGATCTTTTGGCTCGTTCGTTGGAAGTCAATGATTCAGAGGTCAACTCGTTGGCAATGAAGCTTTATGGTTCCATGAAAGACCATATTCTGGTTCCAAGTATTGTCTGCCTGATCGACCATAGCTTGGTTGATTCAATAAAGCCGGCCTCTTCAACAGTCTCACTTCAAGTGAAAGCTTTGAGGTGTGCCAAGGATCGCAAGAGACATTTGATTATGGACCGCCTCAGGCGTTTGGAGCTTTCCGTGCTCAGGCGTTCTCAAGGAGAGCTCCATTGGAAATTTAGACTCAAAGCTTTGGAACTGCTAGCTGACGTGCAGTCCAACCTTGAGATTCCTTTGGACAAAGAGATTCTTGTTCTTCTTGGGAAGTCAATCAATGGAGTTCATCCAGAAATCACCGAAGACTGCGTTCTTTGGCTATCTTCTATTCTCGATGCAACACGGACACGGGCAGCGATCAATTATGACTTGAAGCGATTTTTCTCCCCCTCGTTCCGTTTGGCTAACGTTTGCGCTGTTTCTGATATTATTGGCATGGACCGACCAGAAGAGTTTTTCAAGGAAATGTCAAACTTTAAAGATCCAAGGTTTTTCATTGATAACAAACTTTGGATATCGACTTTGTGCTGGAATGATGAAATGGAAGTTGTCAAGAATGAGTCTGTTGAATCATTGAACCTCAATCCGCAAGACTCTGCGACAATCAAGGCCTTTGGCGATTTGGTCACTAAACAGTGGATCCTGGATATTCTGAGATTGCACATGGACGAAGGAGAAGCAAACGCAGAGTTCCAGCCAGATCTGGTTTATTTCTTCTACTTGATTATCCTCATATCTTCATACGGCTACACGCCCAACATGAATTATTCAGAATGGTTTGAAGTTTGTAACGAGGTCTACAACAAAGAGGAGAAACAATCCCATGTGGCACTAAGTGAAGTGTATTGTGCTTTGCTGCTAGCCAACAAATACAACTCTAAACACCTGGAGGAAACTGATGAGTTAATTTCGGCAAAGCTAGCTGAGATTTTTAAGACCGGGATTACCCAGTCCACGCATAAAATCTGGAAAGTGTTTTGTTGGTGGCTGCCTGCTCATTTTGATTGCCGTCGGGTCCCTAAAGTTGTATCTGTCATATGCGACTTTGAGGTTCCTTTATCAGGTGACACTTCCCCGTTCAATATTTCGTCCAGAATCGGATTCCTCAAGTCGTACATGTCTTCTGTTCTGAACCGCTACCATGACTTTGACGGGGTCATTCGGAGATTTTTTGGTTCGCTATCGCACCCGTACCAAATTGTTTCCGAAAGATCTGCGGCTACCCTATTCGACGCATTATCATACACTTCCATCAAGTCGTTCAACAATAAAGAGAAACTGCTGGAAGAATCTTTTCAATATCCAAATGGAATGGGCCTTTTACCCTTTGAAATGCCTCCTGTGTTTGACGAGTGTCTAACTTCATATCTTGAAAGAGTAAAACAACTAAGCACCACGATCAAAGGTCTGTCGACTCAGGAAATTGTGGACTCAGATTACATGTTTCATGTTCGGGGGCTACATACACTGCTGCTGTATGTTCTGAAGACCTCGTACGGAGTTTTGCTTGTTCCATACCTCAAAGACTACATTCTGCCTCATCTCTTTGAACTCGATACTATGAAAGATGTATGTCAGTTGGCGCATCTCAATACAAATGTGATGTATTTCTTGATTGCCTCTATCCGCTATGATGAAGAACAGACCAAAATGTTTATTGATTTGATTGTGAACGACTTTGGTTTGGAGCATCCAAATATGGTGCAGAAAGAGCATTTGTTGACCATCGTTCAGAGCTACTACACGGTCCGGTACCTCACCATTACTTCTGACCAACGGGCTCTACTAGTTGAGAAAGTTGTCTCATTCCTGTATTCAAGTCCTGTATCTGTGAAAGAACAGGCTGCCGCTGTGTTCTCTGCCATTGTGCATGGTTCGATGGCTTTTGAGATGCAACCACTGATTGATAGCTACATTTCCAAGTTTACAAAGATTATCAACACACACCGTCGTGTGAAAGGTAAGAAATTGACTGCTGACGAACTCAATCTAGTCCACGGCGCCACTCTAGGTTTGGGAGCCTTACTTAACGCATTCCCCTACACCTCGCCTCCTCCCAGGTGGTTGCCGAATATTCTCTGGCTATTGGCAGGAAGGTGTTCTAGCTATGACGGTGTCATCTCGAGAACTGCCAAGACCGTTTTGTCTAGGTTCAAAAAGAACCGTCAAGACACATGGCACATCGATTCAAAGTTTTTCACCGATGATCAACTAGAGGAACTCGAGGGTGTTTCGGGCAAATCGTATTATTTATAGTTCTAAAAAGAAAGATGCTGTAATCTATGCTGAATTTTATCTTCTGTCACTTGTGGACCTGTCTCAGCTGCAATGTTCAGCTTTGCCCTGCTTGGTTCTAAACCTTGAAGCAAGATACAAGCCTTGCATATTTTGTTGGTGGACAGATATCCGCATCTTTCGCAACGATTTCCGTTGTTTCGCAAGGATACAGATCCGTCTGAGCGAATCTCTGTTTCTTGACTTTCTGTGTCAGGCTTTTTAGGACCTGGTCTTTTCTTCCTCTGTTTCAATTTAAAATGCTCCCCCGAGTAAATGATATCCAAAATGCAGGACGGCCGTACACTCTCGAGGTTTTTCATCAGCACTCTAGCGGTTCCCCTAAATGCTTCTGGTGCGTAAGTACATTCTGTGCTAAAATAGTCGAGTTTCTTGTAGTGAGCATAAAGAACGATTTCCTTTTGGTAGCAGTACTTGAACGGTTTCGATCTCTTGATTGGAGACCCTGTGGACTTTGTTGTTATGTTGGTGGAGCTCTCCAAGCGCGCGGTATCTCCCCTAAGTAAGTTCATCAGCACTGTTTCCGCCATATCATCTGCGTTGTGGCCTGTTACCACATGATTAATTCCAAGTTTCATTGCTCCTCTATCCAAAGCCTGCCGTCTTAAAACACCGCAGTATGTACATGATGACTTCACCCCTGAACATGAAACAATCTCATCCATCGTCCAGTTGTACAAGTCTTTATAAGAGACGATCTCCAAGGGCATTTCGTACTGCTGTTGGTTTCTTCTCACTGTTGCGAGAGAGTCGTCTCTATATCCTACGATGCCCTCATCAATGCTGAGAAGCACCAAATGAACTCCATAGTTGTACCTTTCGTTCAAAGTTTTCAGTATGGAAGCCAAAACTGTGGAATCCTTTCCTCCAGAAGCCCCTATAGCGACTTTCTCTCCCGGATAGAACAGTTTTTCCTTCTCTATGGTGAGATGAATTTCTGTCTCAAAAACATGAAAGAAACACTCCTTGCACAGCTTTTGCAAGTTCTTGGGCCTGCGCATCACAGCCTTATTGGCCTCGCAGCGCTGACACAAATTAGGCGTCCTGGAGGGCATCACAAGATAATTTTGAAATTTATTTTTTTTCGCACTGCCCAAATCAAACATTTATTTGTAATGCTCACCTCCACTGTTAAATTTGCCATTCTCTTGTTTGTTACGGCGGCCCTTGCTTCGGTACTGGAGCTGGATACGTCCAACTTTGATGATGTGGTTTTGAACTCTGACAAACATACGCTAGTGAAGTTTTATGCCTCATGGTGCAGTCATTGTTCCAAGCTTGAACCTGTTTGGGAGGAGCTAGCAACAGCTTACGAGAAAGAGCCAAATGTACAAATTGCTCGCATTGATGCCGACAAACACCAAAAGGTGGGTAAGCGGTATGGTATTAATGGATATCCGACTATAAAATTGTTCAAGAAGGATGACGTTCAGCATCCCATTGAGTTTGAGGGCGCGAGGTCTATCGAGGCCTTCAACAACTTCATTTCTGCCCACACTGGAGTAAAACCGCGTAGCTCTCCAGCTAGTCCAGTAATGAAGCTGACAGATTTGAACATCGAGGATGTTGTTGGCGGCAAAGATGCATTTATTGCTGTCACGGCAGATTGGTGTGGCCATTGCAAGAATCTCAAGCCAACCTGGCAAAAACTTGCACAAATCTACCAAAGCGACTCTGATATCGTCGTTATTGGGCAAGTCCAGGTTACAGATCCCGAACCATCTGATTGGATCAAGGAAAAGTTCGAGATTCGCTCGTTTCCGACCTTGCTTTACGTCAAGAATGGAGACTTGCAAAATCCAGAATTCTATGAAGGTCCAAGAACCCTTTCTGCATTCACTGAGTTCGTCAACGAACGAGCTGGTACTACAAGGGCCGAGGACGGTGGTCTTCACCCGGACGCTGGCCTGCTTCACTCCTTGGACGACCTGGTGTCCACATTTGTTGGCTCACCAAAACATGAGCGCGTGAAGCTAGCCAATAAATTGACGGAAGCACTCAACGATCTTAAAAGCCAAAACAAATATGCCAAAGAAATCAGATATTACCTCAAACTAGTCAACAGTCTAGTCAACGGCCCTTACGACTTCATTCCTCGCGAGATTGCGAGACTTGAGAAAATGCTGGGCGAAGATTTAGCTCCTGAGGCCAGAGACTCAGCACTTCTCAGACTAAACATATTGAGATACTTCAACAGCTGTATTACACCAAATACCTATAAATAGGAATCACCATGTGACGGCATATTTGCGTGCATTTCTCACCAGCTCGGGGAATACTTTTCCTTTGCCAATGGTTTCTTGTAGAATTGGCTTGACATTAAGAGGAGTACACCGCGCAAACCACACAAATTCTCCCTCGCGATTATAAATAAGCACATTGGCAGCAAACTTGTGGCCTCCAACATGATTCACAAAGATCACTGGAACCCCACCGGGTCTGTCATCTCCTGGATCTCGATATAGCTCCAGCTCACGGAGCTGGGAATCGAATTCTTTCTTCATGATAGGAGCCGTGATGCCACACTTCTTATCTCTTGTACGGTGGGAACAGAGCATAATATATGACTTACTCTGGTCTTTCTCAATAGTGCAACCATTCACTGATTCTGGAAGTGGTTTTTGACCGACAAATGTACTAATTAACTCTGTCAGAACATCTTCACAATTTTCTATGGTAATCCCCTTGCACCACACGAAATATGGCAGGAGCAGCACGTCGCATTTCTCCTGTTTGCTGTAAGCCTCGAATTCATTAGTGTTTAATGCCAAGGAAGTAGTGTTGATCTTTGTCGAGATGTTGAATTTTTTGGATATTACGCCATTGACAGTCTGAGATATTTTGGCCAACACAGTGTTTGGGGCGTCAAACGCATCGTGGCTCCAATCGGTTTTCCCTGTGGATACCAAAACATGCAAGTCAGGAGCTTTGGCACTCTCCCAAAGTGGCGTAGCGACAGCAGCGGGCGAGAGTTTGAAACAAGATTCAGAGTAACGGGTGTGACACTCGGAAGCATCGCATGTTGCAGGTTCGTTTGACACCGGCACAACCTTGGAGACGGCCTCGACTGTTGCATCAGAGCCATTGAAAAACTTCTTGAGTACAAACATTATGTCGATCTCTTCATTATCCTACTCGCCCTGTATATTTATGAGAAAAAAAATCCTTATCGTTCTGATCTCCGGCTTTTTCAATTATGGAAAACACCGAAATCCAGAAAAAGCCACACAGAAATAATACGGGCTCAATCTTCACAGTCCGCAGAAGAAAGGATGTCGTACTCATCCATTAGTGAATTGTCGTCTGCTGAATGACATGTGTCAGAAAGATCTCCGTCCACCATAACAAATTCCGGTTCCGACTCTTTTAAATTGCTGCAAGTTTCTTCCAGATGTTTTCTAGGCGCGGATTTCGGGTCAGAGACGTCAACAAGCAAAGACAGCGCATTGCTCGAATTGAAATCTAAGCTTCCCTTTGCCGCCAGTGTCTGATCCTCCCAAACTTCTAGGGTGAACCCTAAAGTGCCATTTATGGTCGAACCGGTGCTGGAAAACAAATCACCCCAGTCTGCAGTATCGAGCATCAAATACCGAGTACTCCCATTCTTGAACACATTTGGCGTAATCATGAATGTCTTCGTGACCTCTCCAATAACTGTTTTGAGATCGGGTTTCAAGATATCGCGCGCAAGCCGATTGGTAAATGCCAGCTGAAGTATCCTCGAATTCTGCTTCGTGCAAGAAACCTCGATGCCTTTAGCACCTGCGTTGTAGTTTTTCATCATATTGTGATCTTCAATCAGTTGGACAAGCAAGGGAACCTTTTCGTCCTCAGGAGCATCCACCATCTCCAAAAGAGAGTCGAACTGAGCACACTTGAAAGCCAACTCTTTTAACTTCTCGCCATTATTTGCCCCCAAATTTAGTAAATCGTTTGAAACGTTATTGTCGTAAACATGAGCTGATTCAACAGATAGCAATGGAGACATGGTGTTCATGTCCATCCCAGATAAAGTCTGATCAATCGGATTGGAACTTGATTCGCTAGCAAGGTCTATCCTTAGCAGTTGATGCTGAATCGTGTGGTCGTTGATCTCCACTTTTTTAGCCTTGCAATTCAAACATAGATCAAAATCTGCACATTGTGTACATTTGTACCGGGTGTCAGTAATGTGAGCATCGCATCCGTCACAGAAGACCTTTCTATAGGTAGACTTGAATTCAGAACTCTTGGATGTTTCATTCATTTTCAAAATGATTCTCGATAAATTGGTGTCCACCAAGCTTCCCAGGAACTTGAGAATGTCCAGGTTACTCAGATTGTTTGAGATTGAGTTGCTCAGGTTTCTGAGATTTGTGTTGTCGTGACTGCTAAATAAGTCCTCAATACGTTTCAGGATCTTCTGAACCTCGGCCGTGTAGTCAATACCTTCTTTTTCCTCTTCAGAGGCGGACTTGATGAAGACGTTTAACTTCAAGTGACTCTTTACAGTTAAACTCCTTTTCAAGCTGGAAAAATCATCAACGGAAGCAAGTTCCACATAGCGGCCTGATTTCTTACTCTTCCTTTGCAACTGGATGTTCTCTGTCGAAGAAGAGGCTAATGTGCTCTTTAGTTGAGGTGCTGATGCGTGAGAGTAAATTTCCCGTAAAATCTGTTCCTTGGACAGCAATTTATTTCTGTCAGTAGTAAAAACCAGTTTCCGTGTGATACCATCACCGATAATTGTCGCCTTGACGGCAATGTTGATACCGGAAAAATGCCCGTTATTCATATCGTAACCCATTCAGCACCAATCCCAAGTTCCTTTGCAAACCAAGTCCGTCAAACCGAGCCGTAATTATCACGTCAACCCAAAAGCGTAAAGTAAAAACTTGCTATCCCTTAATTATTTGCCTCTGTTGATAAGATTAATAAATTCCCACCCCACCGTCGACTGCCTTGTCGACCATTGCGTGTCTGCGTCGATTCTAAAAAAAGATATGTTTTTTGATCCATAAACAAAAAAAACAAACAGTCTCCAGTCAGAAGCCTATGGGTACAATCATGATTTGGTTATCATTCTTATCATACCTCCTTCTGGGGCCTGTGACAGGTCTTGACTTGGACACCACTTCACAGGATTCTGTTTGCGATGCAGCCACTTTAATCATCGATGGTATTATGGACTATTATGAAGGAATTCGCTATGGAGGAACCGTAGGTATGTTCCAGGCTCCTTATTATTGGTGGCTTGCCGGAGAAGTGTTTGGAGGTATGATCGACACATGGTATTTTTGTGAAAATGATACCTACGAGACGATCATCTACGACGCCTTATTAGCCCAAATTGGACATGATAAAGACTACATGCCTTCAAATCAGACTGCAACTGAAGGTAACGACGATCAAGCATTTTGGGGACTTGCGGCTCTCCAGGCTGCTGAGAGAAACTTCACCAACCCTTCGGGAGAATATGAGGACGTTTCTTGGATGGGGTTGGCTCAAGCAGTGTACAACACCATGTGGGCCAGATGGGATACCAGTAACTGTGGTGGAGGCTTGAGATGGCAAATCTTTACATGGAATACGGGTTATGACTACAAAAACTCTGTGTCCAATGCTGGTCTGTTCAACATTGCTGCTAGAATAGCCAGATACACTTCCAATGATTCTTATGCCGAGACAGCTGAAACTGTTTATAATTGGCTCAGAGATGTGAATTTCATCACCTTGGAAGGAGATGGCTACCAAGTGTTTGATGGCGCCAAAATTGGAACTGATAACTGTTCTACCCTGTCCAAATCCGAGTGGACCTATAACTACGGTCTGTTGATTGGTGGTTGTGCTTACATGTACAATTACACTGAGGATGAAAGCTGGTTGACTGAAGTGGGAAGATTTTACGAAGGAATATCGGCAATTTTCCTCAACAACTCGATCATTTATGAGCGTCAATGTCAAGAATCAGGAACTTGCAACAATGACCAAAGATCTTTCAAGTCAGTGTTCAGTCGCATGCTTGGAGCAACAGCCAAGTTGGTTCCCGATTACCATGACAAAATTATGGACATTATTACGGCTTCTGCCCAAGGAGCAGCCAGTTCCTGTAGCGGAGGAAGCGATGGGCACACATGTGGTATGAATTGGGCATACGGGGGATGGGATGGTTGGTACGGTCTTGGAGAACAAATTTCGGCCCTCGAAGTGATGCAAAATCTGCTTATAGATCAGCACGACGCCCCATATTCTTACTACGGCGGACAACGTACCAACGACACCAGCTCTACACGTGGAGGCGGGTCGTCTTCCATAGACGACGAGGCAGGTACCGATGCTGATGACGACTCTTTGAACGCAAACGCCATGAAAATCAATTCAAAGGATCGTGTGGGGGCCGGAATAATTACAGGAATTGTTTTGGCCATTGTGATTGCGCTCACTGTTTGGATGCTTGTGTGAAACTCAACACTTTCCCAATATCCATAAGGGAGGAAACAACATAAAACTTCTGATCGATTTGGCGCACCGTTTCTGTTTCACCAATAAGACCGGAAGTGTGGTCTCTGTCGATCAAGATAGAGCCCAGGCCAGCACCAAGTGCACAATTTACATCATTCTCCATGTCTTCGCCAACATGCCACGCTTCATCAAGGCTTATAAAATTTCTTCTTTGTACCTGTTCCAATATTAGTTTGAAAAATTCGCTGTCAGGCTTAGATATCTCTAGATCGTAACTCAGAAAAATATCCTGTGGTTTGAAAAAGTTGCCGAGCCCGAACTCGTCAATGATCAGTCGCAAAACTCTTCGATCTGCGTTAGAGGCAATACATGTTTGAACCTTTGAAGCCTTGACTGAGTTTAGGAAGGGCAGGACATCTTCAAATACATTGTAAGCGTCCCGTGTCTCAAAATGCTTGATTATGTCATCGACAAACTTGTAGTTGCCCCCATAAAGCGTAGACAAAACGTGACGCCAGAAAGTGTCTATCGGCATATGTGCCACTTTACCATAGTTGGGATATCTCCGCCATACGCTCTTAAAGGCGCTTTTAAACCTTTGTTCAAATTCCTCGGTGTTCAGAACTGCGCTGGCGCTGCTTGCGCCTGCGATACGATTGTAAACCACGGCAATTGGCTCTCGAGGGGTATACAAGGTATTGTACGCGTCCATTGTCAAAAAAGAGCATCGCTGAAGCTTGAACTTGGTGCCTTTATTCATTGCATCCTAATGTACAAATAATATAAACAATAATATTTTAGTAGCCTTTGCGCCTGCGTCTCTTTCTTGCGATACGATTTTTGAATTTCTGCTCACAGTCAGAACTGCAAAACCAGTGTTTGTCAGCTGGATCTGTATATAATCCGACACATTTGTAGTGAAACCACTCTATCGGGCAGGACGAGTTGTCGCACGCGATCATTTTACCCATACTCGGGCCACGGCATACGCAATACTGTTCTTGGGGCGGTGTTTCTGGGACTGGCAATGGCGTGGGTTCAACAGGCGACTCTGTTCCCAACTTGATAGAAATCCGAGTTTGTTTGTCATTTTTCTCAATCTTGTCTTTCCTTTCCTTCTTCTCTTTAATTGTCTTCCTGACCCTGCCATCTCCAGTGCTAACTAATTCTTGCTTCTGGGCCAATGGATCCTCATCCTCGGCATCAGAATCATCATGAGCGGTAGAGACAAAATTGCGTTTAAAGCGAGTAAAGTCCTCCCAGGTTCGCGTGTCCTGTTGTTTTCTCGAATCCTTGAGAAGGTCCATAAGATGTAGCTCGTTAGAAGATAACCTTTGATGGCGATCCAGAATCTGAGACAGTTGTTCGGCTTCGGCAACAAGTTCCCTAGAGTTGCGGACAAGCTGGCGTTTCAAGTTGGCGACTACGCGCAACGTCTCTACATTTGTGATCTTGCCTGGTCTTTGATCTCTCAAAAGTGAGTCCAGCTGATTTCGTATCTCCTCGTTCTTCAAACTCAAAGATTGAGTGACCCACAATGATCGCACTATATCACACGGTAAGTGGTCCAGAAAAGAAATAAATGCATTATTAGCGTTGACGACGGTGCTGACATTTATATCAGCAGTCATGGTCGCTTATGCTTCTTCCTGGCAAAAAAAAAAAAAAAATATACAAAATATGCCTCCTTACACCATGTGCTAAGGTAGCAGGTTTCAAATGTGAGCGAGATCGTTGCCTCCTGCCACTCACCTGCTCGTCACCTCGGCTTTGATAGGACAGAATTTTCACAATCAATGTTCAGAAGCCCCGTAGCAGTCTGTACTATACGCATATTTGTACCTCGTTTTTTCGATAATCTACGTATAGCAATCGACGCTGGTCAAGATAGTCAGTTTAGATAGATATACATAGGTTATAGACGATCAAGAACCAAAGCTCCTCAGAACGGACAATCTCATTAGTCTATAGTTTTGAATGCTGACGTTTATTTCTTTGGTGGATGGAAGGTGATCTTTCTGTGCTTGATTGGAGCCCACTTGAACTTCTTCACCCAGACAGACAGGAAGTAAAGGGAGGTGACAATGATTAATGCCTTGACACCAAGCCTCTTTCTCTCGTCGTGTTCAGGCTCAGCGGCCCAATTCAAGAATGTGGTAACATCCTTTGCCATCTGCGATGTGGTAGCTGGAGTGCCATCCTCGTACTCAACAAGGTCGTCGAACAGGACTCTACCCATGGCAATAGCACCACCTGGGAAGTATGGGTTGTAGTTGGAACCTGGAGGAAGCTGGACACCGGCTGGTGGCTCATCTGGGTAACCAGTCAACAACGAGAAAATGTAGTCACAACCACCGTGTCTGGCCTTGACAATCAGCGAGAGATCAGGAGGCAGAGCACCTTGATTGGCAGCTCTGGCAGCCTGTTCGTTGGCATAAGGACCTGGGATGTAGTCGGCAAGCTTACCTGGTCTCTTTCTTGGGTTACCTTGGTCATCTGGTTCATCGTCGTATTCGAACTCTTCAGCCATGGCTCTGGCTTCGCTCTGAGTGTGCGAAACACCAACAAGCGTTCTCCAAGCAACTCTGTCCAAGGAATGGCATGCTGCGCAAACCTCTCTGTAGACTTGGAAACCTCTTCTAATGGAGGCATGGTCAAATGTATCAAACATACCACCGTGGGACCATCCGTATTCTGGAGCGTGCAAACCGTGCTCGGCAGCAGTCATGGCCTGAGCAGTTTGGGAATCCTGGTAAAGAACATATCCAGAAGCGAGACCGACCGTAGCAATGACACCCTGCACTACTCTCTTGGTGTTGGAAGACACCTGAGTCTTTGCGGTAGAAAAGGCTCTGAGTCTCAATGGTCGCCGCAACGAAGATCCAAGTTGGGAATACATCTTAAAGCTCTATCAAGTGTCTGAAGACAAAAGATATTTTGCAAAAAAGTTTGAGGTTTCCGGCCAACCACCGCTCAGGAATTTTCTCACCACGGCCACTCTCGCACCAAGGCCAGTAAACAATTGTGCACCTACCAACTCGAAAAAATTTTAAGTAGCCAATAGAAGCCGGTATAAAAGTCAAGCTGTATGCGACCCGTTGACTTGGCAGCTGGTGCAAGGTTGCTTAACGGACCAGAAGGAAAATCTTGCAGTGCCCGCTCCCTCGCTTGTCTGGTGCAGGGATGCTACGCGTGTAACGCGAAATTTGGACATTGTATCTTTGTTATTCTCATGACAAATATCGAAGAGCAGGCGTACCTTGATCTGTGCCAGCGCATCATCAGCGAAGGAGAACACCGTCCAGATCGTACTGGTACCGGTACTTACTCTATTTTTGCCCCTCCGCAGCTGCGTTTCTCACTGAAAGACAACAAACTCCCTCTATTGACAACCAAAAAGGTGTTTTTCAAAGGTATCCTTCACGAACTTCTCTGGTTTATTGCTGGAGAGACAGATGCCAAGAAACTGACCGAGAAGGGCGTCAAAATATGGGAAGGAAATGGATCTAGAGAGTATCTTGACTCGCTCGGCCTGACACACAGGCGGGAAGGAGATCTCGGTCCAGTTTACGGCTTCCAATGGAGACACTTTGGGGCAGAATATGTCGACGCCGATACAGACTACACAGGCAAAGGTTACGATCAGCTGGCCAAAATCATTGATACTTTGAGAACCAACCCCTACGATAGAAGAATTATTTTGAGCGCATGGAATCCTCCGGCTTTCAAGGACATGGCTCTTCCACCATGCCATGTTTTCTGTCAGTTTTATGTTAGTTTCCCCAAAAACTCCAAACCGCAGCTTAGTTGCATCATGTACCAGCGGTCCTGTGACATGGGTCTCGGCGTTCCATTTAATATAGCCTCCTACGCGCTTCTGACTCATATGATCTCACATGTCGTGAATATGGAGCCAGGAGAGTTTATTCATACCATGGGCGACTCTCACGTGTATTGCGATCATGTCGATGCCCTCAAGGAACAGCTCAAGCGGACCCCACGTGCATTTCCAACACTGAATATCAATAGAAAAGTAACCTCCATCGATGATTTCAGATTTGAAGACTTTGAAGTGAAGGACTACGAACCATATGGTCCAATTAAGATGCATATGAGTGTGTAGCGCATTAATTAATCTCCTCTATACCTCTAGCTGTGCGACGGAAGCTCATGCTTTTTCTACGCTGGCGATTCAAGTTCTCTTGGTCGACATTAACAGTGGTCTCCATAAAATCGAAAACTGAATCTGCCGGGGTTTCCTCCCGATTCTGCGATTGAGCAAGCACATTCAAATCAACTTGCGACAAGGTTTCTCTTTGCGTTTTGCGGCTTCTTCTGACTCCTATAATGGTTGCACGCCGTGATTTGGCGTCTGAAGATTCTCCAATAATAGACTTCCGTCGCAGCTTGTGAACTGTGTGGTGAGGCGAAAAGGATTTACGCTTGTTTGCACGAGTGGGCATAGAGAGCGGGTCGACATTGTCTTGGTAAATTGTTGGGCGTTTTGGTTTCGGGAGATCTTCCGGAGATCGGCTCTGAATTTCGATGGCTTTCGTCTCTCTTCCTTTGGATTGGGGAGGGGTTGCTAGAAGCTCAGGAGAGACATTTGTGTCTGCAGGTGGACAATGTGTCAACTGTTCACGCACAACCTCTCCAACATCTGAAGGTCCAGATATATCGACCATCTCCTTATGGGCAGCGTTTCCGGTGTCAACAGCAGCTGGTGTGCAGAGATCATTAACAACTGGGCGCTCCGGCTCAGGAGTCGAGATCACGACAGGCGTTTGCGGGTCAATGGTTTCTGCTCGTATCGAAAGGCTTCTTCTCCGTCGTTTCCAACGTTCTGTGTTTTGCTGTTCTCGATTTCTGATTTCCTGTATCTTTGCCTCTTTTAGTTCTCTTAGTCGGCTTTCGGCTATAGTCTCACTAACTGATAGTTCGCGGCGCATGCGATTTATCTGTGAGAGTATACTCTCAAACTTCTCTATGACATCTATTTCCAGCGAGTCTAAACTTTTCCCATAATGATCCCTCATCTTGACCTCAGCATTTCGTAGAGAAAGATTTTCGCTCTGAGCAGATGCCAATTGGTCCTCCAACTTACTAATTCTTGCCATGAGCTCTGAATTCTTAGTGGCTAACACTTTATTCTGCTGAAGGAAGCGCCTTTTCACAAAATCCAGTTCAATGGAGTTCGTTGTGACTCCTGCAGTTGCTTGCGTTGTTGGCTTCGTATTCCCAGAAAGAACCCGGGATACGGCCGGATTATTAGCTAAACGAGCCATGTTAGCAAAACGGTTGGCGAGGTTTATTTTTTTATTTACATTTCACTGCAAGTCGATCGACCGCGTCGTGACTAACGTAACGCATAATGAACATTTTATGAAGTGACAAGAGCTAACTGGTCTATGCCCGTCTGGCTACGCAAACGCTTCAATTGTCTCGTGAAACACAAAACCATTCAACTATACACCTTTATTAGGCTGTAAAATCTAATTGACCTCGATCAGTCTACCTTCATATGGTTGCAGCTTGCCTGTGATGTTGTTTGCAATATTAGACAGGAGCAGCTTTCCTTGAGGGATTGGGTACTCGACTTCTCTATCAGTAAAATTCAAAACAACAGCCATCTTCTTTTGGCCTTTGTTGCTGGTCTTGGTGTAGTAGAAAATCTCCTGGTTATCGTAGTCTTGCACCTCGAAACGGCCAAAAATCAACGTCTCAGAATAATGCTTTCTGGTCTTGATGGCATTTCTGTAGAAGTTCAGCACAGAGTCAGGGTCTTCTTTTTGCGAAGCAACGTTGATGTCTTTGTAGTTGTCGTTGATTCTCATCCAAGGCTTACCACCGAAACCACCGTTTTCAGAGGAGTCCCACTGAACTGGAGTCCTTGCATTGTCTCTAGCTAGCAAATTGATGATCTTCAGCAGCTCGGCCTTCTCCTCATCAGAGTGCTCAGTCTCGTTGAATGCGTTCCAGTAGTTAATGGTGTTGATATCCAAATACTCTGAAATATCCCATTTCGGCGAGACATTAGTCATACCAATCTCTTGACCTTGGTACACAAACAGAGTGCCGGTCAAGGTTGTCTGCAACAGTGCCAGCATCTTTGCAGATCTGCTCCAAAACAGTTTGTTGGAGGTATTTCCGAACCTTGTGACACAGCGTGGTTGGTCGTGGTTCTCGATAAATACAGTGGACCATGCGTCATTCAGCTCGCCGGTCTCGTCATCAAAGATGAAGTTTGACTGGTTGATGATGGCATCTTTGAAGTCCGTCAACGTGAAGCCCTTGTATCTAAATCTGTCGCTCTTGTCGGATCCAACGTCAACAGTGTCGAACAGGAACATCATGTTCATCTCCTTTTCTTTTGCAGAAACGTACTTGAGAGCATCTGCCTTGGAGCAGTGACCCACTTCTCCGACAGTCATAGCATCATACCTGGAAGTCACTTTCTCGTACATTTCTTTGTGGAACTCGTGAATACGAGGGCCGGAGTTGATGAGTGGACCAGCAGGTTGGTATTTCTCACCTGGGAAGGTGACTGGCGCGTCCTCAAAAGTCTGGACTTTCGAATAGAGGCCGGCAGTGTCGATTCTGAAACCAGAAACACCCTTCTCGTACCAAAACTCAAGAGCAGATTTGTAAATGGCTTCACGAGTCTTTGGGTTCTCCCAGTTCAAGTCAGGCTGAGTCTCAGCAAACAGGCGAAGGTAGTATTGCTTAGTCTTTTCGTCATAAGACCATGCAGAACCAGAGAAAAAGGAAAGCCAGTTGTTGGCGTTGTCTTTCCAAATGTACCAGTCTCTTTTTGGGTTGTCTCTGCTGGATCTAGACTCCTTGAACCAAGCGTGCTCAGACGAGGTGTGGTTGATAACGAGGTCTAGAATCAATCTCATATCTCTCTTCTTGATCTCTGCAAGCAGTCTGTCCATGTCCTCCATAGTGCCAAATTGAGGATTGATGGCATTGTAGTCAGAGATATCGTATCCCATGTCGTCCAGTGGCGACGCATAGTGCGGAGACAGCCAGATCACATCAGTACCAAGGGATTTGATATGGTCTAGCTCGGAAGTAATTCCGTTCAGGTCTCCAATACCGTCTCCATTGGAGTCTTTGAAAGAAGCAGGCCAAACCTGGTAAACAACGGCGGATTTCCACCAAGGTTCTTGAGACTCGATAGTCATAAGGAATTAATATTGTCAAGAGGGATAAAAAAAAATATGGAGGCGGAAGGTCTTTATATGGCTTAAGCTTACTAAAGACATTCTCATCACTATAGCGAGCGCGACGCTTTGACACATCCCAACTTCGCGAGGATAAAATGAATATTTCCCTTTGCGTCATGGACTCCACCTCCTATGCACGTCCATAATAGTTACTTGATTGTTATCTGTACCCCAGACAGGATTCTGTTTCAGCGAGAATTAAATCACGGCCTAATTATTTCAGCGAGAATTGATTGTGGAATTTAATTCTCGCTGAAATTGCTGTCAACAATTGAGTCTGGGGTACATGAATAGAAGTGACGTAATTGACCCCCACGCTTGCCAGCCACTGCGGAGGCACCTGAACCACATGAGGGCCTGGATGGAAGCCAGAGCAATCAACGTCAAAGGGCTCTCAAGAAACCTGTGTAACCCAAGTTTTCCTTACGACGCTACAAAACTCCGATATTATATCTAGACTGCTACGGCAGAGTCTGTAGAACATACAAAGCTATCATGTCGCGTAATCTGCACAGTGCCTGTATCCTATTGCGATACTCCCGAAGATATCCCTATCCGCATACACGGAACTGTAGACAATTTTGCCGTGGATTGTCAATGTTTGTCCAACGCGCCAGAGCTCTTCTGCGGGGACCTCCATCCAAGTGGTCCCAAGCTGTTTTGGTCTGTGTTGAACTTTCTCTCCAAACCCCATCCCGAACCCCGGAAAACTGCCCGATAATTACTGCCCCGCAAATGCGGCGTGTCAGAATCTCTCAGCCTTGCGTCATAATTTAGATTTCGCATTTATTTCGCGGATTAATAGGCCGTGGGCGTGACTCGAACCTCATGCACAAAAACGAGGATGTGCCTGAGATAGAAGGTCACCAGACGACAGAGCTCACCATAGTAGTGCACAGCTTTATGGTCCTACACCAAGTCCACCTCCTCAACAACGCGGGGCTATAGGTGTTTGCAAATTTCTTCCATGCGTGGCTTGCAATAGTGCTTGCATGCTGCAACAATGCATATGGGGTAATCAAAACGAGCACTCGCGAGCATTCCATCAAAGGTGAGAAATATTATTCTAAGCTTTTTCTGGAAGCAAACATAGGCCGCGATCACGCACCAAAATTGAGCCGGATTAAGAATGGGCTTTCCCCCACTTCATATTTGTGTGGCATTAGGACTATATATAGTTGATACATTCTCGACACACTAGTGTCCATCATCATGCCTGAGTTCGTCGAAAACATCGAGAAGCCTGAAGAAGCTGAAGTCATTCCAGACATCACAAAGAAAATTAACACACTCTCTGACAGTGATGATGGAAGTGGTGCTTTCAACGATTACATCGCCAGATTCGTCGAGATTTCGACAAATGCCCAAAATAATGAGCACCAAGAAAAGCACATGTCGCTGAAGGAAGGTCTGAAAACTTTCCCAAAAGCTGCCTGCTGGTCGATTGTGCTTTCCACAGCCATCATCATGGAAGGATACGATACCACGCTCCTGAACAGTCTGTACTCAATGCAATCTTTCGCCAAAAAGTACGGCAAGTACTACCCAGAAATTGACCAGTACCAGGTCCCTGCCAAGTGGCAGACATCGCTTTCGATGTCGACTTATGTCGGTGAAATTGTCGGACTGTACATTGCAGGTCTTGTTGCCGAGAAATGGGGATACAGGCGTACGTTAATATCGTTCATGGCAGCCGTTGTGGGTTTAATCTTCATTCTTTTCTTTGCGGTCGACGTGCAGATGCTGCTTGCCGGCGAGCTGCTCTGTGGTATTGTCTGGGGTGCATTCCAGACCCTCACAGTGTCATACGCCTCGGAAGTGTGTCCAGTAGTTCTGAGAATCTACCTTACCACTTATGTCAATGCTTGCTGGGTTATCGGACAGTTGATTGCTGCTTGTTTGCTGAGAGGCACTATGACCCTGACCAGCGAGTGGTCATACAAGATTCCTTTCGCTGTCCAGTGGATCTGGCCTGTGCCAATCATGATTGGAATCTACCTGGCCCCGGAGTCGCCCTGGTGGCTGGTTAAAAAGAACCGAGACGCAGAAGCTAAGAAAAGTATCACAAGGCTTTTGAGTCCAAACACCGAGGTGCCAGATGTTGCTCCGCTAGCCGAGGCAATGCTGAATAAAATGCAACTAACCATCAAGGAAGAGTCTGCGCGCACGTCCAATGTCTCGTACTTTGACTGCTTCAAACACGGGAACTTCAGAAGAACAAGGATTGCCGCCATGATCTGGCTCATCCAGAATATCACTGGATCTGTCTTGATGGGCTATTCGACCTACTTTTACATCCAGGCAGGACTTGACAGCAGTATGTCTTTCACTTTCTCTATCATCCAATATGCACTCGGTCTTCTTGGAACACTTGCCTCGTGGCTCCTCTCGCAAAAATTGGGCCGTTTTGACATCTACTTCTTGGGTCTGAGCATAAACACGTGCATTCTGATAATTGTCGGAGGTTTGGGCTTTTCTTCGTCGACGAGTGCGTCTTGGGCAATTGGCTCGCTGCTCCTTGTCTTCACTTTTGTCTACGACTCGTCCATCGGTCCCATCACCTACTGCACGGTTGCAGAAATCCCTTCGTCGACGGTGCGTGCCAAGACCGTTGCCCTTGCAAGAAACTGGTACAATCTGTCTCAAATTCCGCTCTCCATTGTCACTCCGTACATGCTGAACCCGACTGCTTGGAACTGGAAAGCAAAAGCGGCCCTTTTATGGGCAGGCTTGTCTATTTGCTCACTGATCTACATCTGGTTTGAATTCCCAGAAACAAAAGGAAGAACTTATGCTGAACTGGACATCCTCTTCAAAAACGGTACCAGTGCCCGTAAATTTAGGTCCACTCAGGTGGAAACATTCAATCCTCAGGAAATGTTAAAAAAAATGAATAATGAGGATATTATACAGGTTGTTGATGGCGACCTGGACGCCGGTGCGGCCACTGCTAAAGTTTAAAAATGAAATGTATAGTTTCAGTTCTGCGATGTTATTACTTTACAATTGAATATGTTTCCTCGACTAATCTTTTGTAATGGCCGTAGATGTCTTTATTATTGCGTTTTAAGGGATCAAAATTATTTTATGTGCACCTTTTATTTTGCGGATCAATAAGATTTTGCGCGAGACTTCCCCACATGTTAAATGCAAATAATGTGCAATATTTTTAACTACATTTTCTCGAGACATTTTTATGCCTCTCGGTACACGTGCAAAACCCCAAACGCCTGGCCATAAATCCCATTCCAAAAGGCCGTATATCAGGCCTTGTGACGCGTGCGCGTTCAAACGAGTACGTTGCGACGCTGAGTTCAAATTGGATCGCAGATGCACCAACTGTTTAGTTAATGGAATTGAGTGTACAAACAACAGAGTAAAGCAGAGATCTGGACCCAGAAAAATACACAATAAAACCAAAGAGGCTATTAAAAGCCTGCTAGAAGGAAGTGGCGCGTTCAGCAATCTTCGATTAGCCACTACGACCCACAACTTAGGTGGTATAATCAATCCTGCCACCTGCGAGAAAAGCTCAATCTCGCTAAGTGAGATTCGACCGTACCTCACAATTTATAAATCCCGATATTATGCACTCTGGCCAGTCCTGTCTGCTGATGATTGTCTGAACATTCTCAACGAGAGCTCAGTTCACATAAACGATAGCACATTTTTCATACTCAATGCCAACAATGCGTCGTTGTACGCACTCTCATGCGCCTTGTGCGCTGTAATTGCAAGACACACCACCCTCTGGTCCCAGGAGGAATTTGATACAATGGCTCACTTAGGGCTCAAAAGCTGTCCCCCACCAGAAACTTACGTAAGGGAGGCAGAGCGAGCTATCTACATGTTTGAGCTTGACGGAATGCTCACGGAAGACCAGGTTTTAACTAACTTTTTTCTGCATATATATTTTTCATCCCTTGACGAGGACAACCTGCAGGAATTGGTCTATCTCAGACAGGCAATCAGCTGCGCGCAAATGCTTCACCTTCGAGATAACGAAGTTTTGGGAGAATCGCCAAAAGATACATCGCACAGATTTAAAAAGATCTACTACTTACTTCTCATCACAGAGAGGTATGTCTCGTTCAAAAAACAGCTACCGGTAATATTGGAGCCAACAATGCCACTTCCCAGTTTGGAAGACGATGAAGCCCCGGATCTGCTACCTGGATTCATCGAACTTGCGCAAGTATTCAGTGTTCCTGATTGCGCGTTCTTTAACAAGTACTCGCTCCGTGGCACGACAGCTGCATTTGATCCTTTCAGCGAGAACTTCGACCTAATGTTCAAAAACGAATGGATCCAGGACGTGCAAACGAAGCTCTCTAGGTCTGTCGTTCAAGTGCGCAACCAGTCTCAAAAGGTCAACATATTAATTTCTCGAACATGGTTGCAATCAATTGCCTGGTTAATGGCTAAGGATCGACTTCTTCTAACGCCTACAAGTGATCAATCCAATTTCTTTGATCCAAGATATCCGATTCATATCGCAAAAGACTTTCTGATACAGACTAAAGACTTGCCTTACGAGGCGTTTGAAACAAACGGTAGTGGTGTCATCGTGAAACTAAGCGAAGTCGCCAACGCCTTGCAAACCTTCATTCGATTGGCTCCAGGATCGCCCGAAACAGCTTTAGCGTTAGACGAGCTTGCATACATCCACGGTATCATCATGCAGCAGAACTCCAACAGTTCGCTCGAGCCTCTCATACACCCTATCACTGAAACTTTGGAATCTCGCAGGTTCAACTTCTATCGAAACGGCTGCGACGTTTCTTATCCAAAAATAGAGTCTGCAGACTATGAAGAGAACGAAAACGACCATACACCAGAAATCATTGCCTCCATGCCGGAGAACTTGACTCTGACACCTCTTTTGGGCGAGTTCGAATTTCCAAAGTGAACAAATACTGTCTCCTCTTCAACTAGCGACAAATTTCACCGGCATAATAGCATATCATCAAATAATTAGGATTGCTATTTTGTGTCAACTAAGGCGCACCAGGTGTGTAAAACGGCGAAGCATTAGGCCCTAGCTGTCCGAGAAAAAATGAAGCTGTACCCTTTGATGTAGTGGGCTCTTTGTGTGCTGTGAGAGGATAAAGTTGGCCGGATGACACTTTTTCCAAAGATGCAAATAGCGAGGAAGAAACATCCAGTCGGATACCAGATGTCTGTCTGTGTTGCAAATTCGCTCTTGATCCAGAAAAAGAATTGCTGAAAATAGCACTGTCCTGTCTCTTATTGCAGCGTACTAGTGAGCTTGAGCGTGTCAATGCAGGTTCATAATAAGCAAAATCAGAGGACAGCTCGTGACGTGTTTCTCGCAAGCCATTCTCTTTCCAAGACTCGAGGAGATTAGAGATTTTGGCGAACAGGGCTCGCGGCAAGTCCATTCCTGCTTTGTACTTCAACACCATGTCGAATACAGCCACCATGCGTTCGTAGGCCAGCTCGGTGGTTGCTGGGTCAACATAGCTTTTGATCACAATGTACAGAGAGTCTGCTATCTCCAGTAGTTTCATTGAGATATCGGGTCCGTTGCATCTAAATGCATGATCGGGGAGATTCTGTAGACTGCTGAGAAGCTCATTTGCAACTTTTAGAGGAAAGTCAATTTTGAAACATTCGTGTTCTACCGCGGTACTCTCATCAGAAACAATTAGAAAGTTCGCAGACGCAATTAGCCAGCCCAAAGACTGGAGCCAGGCTTTTGAGACAATGACATTCACTTTTTGAGCACTTGTTGCAATTTTATCCACATCAATTCTGATTTGGAGCTTCTGTTGGAGTTCAAGGAGCCAGAGCCGTTTCAACTCTGTGGATCCGTTCAAGGTAAAATCCTGAAACAAGTTGGTCTCTGGAATCTGGAACATGTTGTGGGTGCGCCCTGTCTCGAGCACTTTAGTATGAAGCTCAACATAGAATTGCTTATCTGTTGCACTGAAAATTGCACACAGAGTGGTGAACCCGTAGAGTGAATTTGAGGATTTTTCGAAATCTGCCTCAGGGAGTGGGATTGAAGGTTCAAGAAGAATAGGCAGATTAGTTTTAAAGCTGACAAACCTTTCAGTCACCACGAGCAGATAGTAGATTTTTTTCTGTCTATGAGCCTCAAAGGGTGACAAATGAAGCAGCGATTGGGGTTCGCGCATTTTCAAGACATCTGCAAAAGAAACAGCTTCACGGAGGTAAATAAGACCTTTGTGTTGTTGGCCAGGCGCAATAGCATAGTATTTATGTAGGAAGAAGAATGTCAGAAGGAGATCAATATTTGGTGTGCTTTTCAGTCTATACTCATAAACTATCCTTCTTGCCTCTTGAGCATATAAGCCAGCATTTTTGAGATCGCTCCTGGCTGGATTGCATGTCACAAAACTGTGATACTGTGCGATCGTAGCGCACAAGGCGCAACAAAGAGCATATTCTTGGGCGTTGTCCTGGGCGATGGTGATATGAAAGTCATCTAAAACAGTCGCCAGTTTGAATACCTGCTCCACATTCTTAAAGGAGTCTGAGCGTGTCAAAATTGAAACTGTACTCTGAATTGATACTACCGGCCAGATATCGTAATAATTCGAATGATATATCTCAAGGTATGGGATAATTTGTTTCAAAGAAAATGCGCACACATGAGCAGGTAGTGTAGACTGAGTGTAGATTTCGTGATTGGGATCTTCTGTGTTTTTGACTGTTCTGGTACTTTTCTTTGGACCGGACTTGTGCCTCACGCGGAGGTTGGTACATGGAACTTGATGAGTGAGACAGTTCGAGCAGATACCGCCCGTGCATATATCGATGTCGCATTTCACTCGGCGGATGGCACACGCGTCACAGGGTCTCGGCCGTTGTCGTTTTTTGGTGGTCGGCTGTGACATCTCGGTAATTAGATGAACCAGCTTGTATCCAAAATGTTGAGAAAGGGGAGTGTATGTTTTTACTGATATAGGTGAATGTCCAGAGATTTAGTAAATGGCACACCAATCTCCCACGAAGGACTAGCGTGCTACACTGATATTATACCAAACCACCGTTTGAGTAGTTCTGACCATGACAAAGGTCTTTTTTATATGTTTGGTGCCGTCGATCGACTGCATCGCGACTCGATAAAAAAACTCATTTCACGCGTTGTTATTATCGTACGAATATGGATCCCCTAAACGTGAAAGTGCAACAGAAACTTAAAGAGCTTGAAAGCCTCCAGCAGATAAGAGACTTGACGAAACACCTGAATGTTTCACTGGAAGAGTTTGCGGGCCAAATCGAACTTCTGGGTGAGGAAGCAGGATGCATCGAAACCGTGACACAAAACTGGATGAGAATCATCAGAGCAGTGAGCCTAGCCTCTAACTCTTTGTCTAACTACAAGGAAGAGGACTATGAAACGGATAGACCAATGACAGAACGCCTTGTGAGATGCAAGATAGACGAGAGCCAAAAAATCATCACCAAAAATTGACTTACTTCAATCTATCTAACCATTGTTCTAAATTGATCTTGTTGTTCAGTTCCGACAACAGATCGTTCTCCTTCAGCAAATCATCATGCAGGCCTTTATCAATCTCGAGATGATTGATATCGTCCGGATGTATCATCAAGTCCTGAACTTTAGAGGGTGGTTCTATTTTGAGCGTCGATAACCCGGTCATCATTTTGAAGTACTCATTAGTATGCACATCAGAACCGTTCAAGAGCCCATCCCAATCAGTTGTCAAAAACAACCTCTTCCATATCAAGGTTTCCAGGATTTCGTGATAGTGCGAATATCCACTCAGGTTACTAATCACTCGTGACGGATTGGAGGACTTGATGGCAGTCAACAATTTGAACAAGTTGGTGAAATTGTTGTGACTGAACTCATCAAACGTCACTAATGTCAGTAGCTGGACCATCTCAAACAATCCCAACTGTTGTTGCTTATCCATCTTTGCCACAATATCGCCGATCTGACTTTCAAAATGTGTAAACTTGTTATCAACCAAGTATCTTGAATCTTGTATAAATCCGTCTTTATTCTTTGAATCAATCAATCTCGCATAATTTGATTGAAGCTCAATCATTTGCAAGTTTATTTCTATCTCATCCAACAGATTGTCGTGGTCCTCATTCAGAGCTATCAGTGAAAGTTTGGCAATATTCAGCTCGAACTTTTTCTTTTCAATTTCCTCCGACTCTGCAGTGGAAACATATGCAATCAGCTTTTCTGCTGCCTTGAAATACTCATCGTTTTCCACGTCAAGTATCCAGGCAAATTTATAGTTGTAGATGCTTGAGTTTAAAAACATGCGCACGTAATCTGGATATTGAGGAATGTAGTTGAGGATCAACCGAATCTTCCTGGTTCTAGCATAGAATCCAAAAAGCACCTCTGCAAAACGGTATCCATACCTCTGGAAACATTCCTCAAATTTGAATGCAACAAGAGCATCCCCTTCTGAAGCTTGCTCTCTTTCGGAATCAAGGATTTCACATAAACTTTCTAGATCATTATTCTCCTCTGCAAGCTTTATTATTTTTTCTTGTTGTCCTAAAACAACAAATAATCTAACCCATCCTTCCCTATTTTTGGCCAAAAGTTCACCGTCCACTGTGATCTCGACATAATAAAGGAATAATGCTAGAGTTAAAACAATTTTGCTCACTCGTGTCTTCAGCTTGGTCTCTTCGGCAGCTTCCAAACTGTCAGCGTAAGTGATAGTGAGATTTCTCAAAATCTCATTCACGCTCGACAAAAACTCTCTTTCTCCTTGGAAGATATTGGAAGACCGCGTTTCGTTGATCTCAATTTCTAAGAAACCTTTGTTGAGTACATCGGCAAGCATTTCCCCGAAGAGCAACAAGTCTGCAGGACCTTGAAGATCCGTGGTTGCTACCAAAAGTCCTAGGAAACCGATTACGGATGGAGTTGAATCCTTGAAAAATTCATCCAGACTTTTGTACCGTGTATTTTTCCTGACTAGCTTTTCCGCAATCAGTTTCAACGGCTCACTATCGCTAAGCTTTTCGTAAAGTGCACTTGAAAGCTCAATTTCCTCAACATATTTCATAAGCTGAATCCATGTTACCTCTTGTAAATCAAAATTTTCGTTGCAGAAATGGCCTAGTTTCTTCAAACGATCGGCTCTTTTATGTAGATTCGCCTGCAAGTATGTCAAATCGTCTGGATCACTGAACTCGTTCGATGCTATTTCTTGTGCAATACCTATAACAGCACTTTCAATATCCTCGCTGCTGACAGCCAGTTTCAGGTTTGAAAGGTTGAAATCGAGTAAATTCAAGCTTCCGCTGTATTGTAATGCCTGCCTTATATGATTTTTCAAAAATTCAACACTGGCAAACTTGCCTCCCATTTTTTCAACTTTAATTTGGTAAATACCTTTCTCTGTCAAGAGTGTTATATGACCATGTTCGTCAGTGTCATGTCCATAAACTGTAATATCTTGGTTGAAGTTGATAAAATCTTCCCATCTATCATTTATGCCAGACTCAGTATCTGTCATGATGATTGATGACTCGGTTATTATACTTGCAATTTCATTTGTCACAGATAACTTTGGGAAACTATCTGTGGTATTGATGCTAGTGATTTCGTGAACATATATCACAGAAGGATTATTTTCAATCCTGACCATGGAGATTTGTAATCTTTTTCCAGTATTTCCTTGACAGGATGTGAGGACAACATAGTCATTGTTTCGCATAAGTTTGATATCTTTTATTTTGAGATTTTCGGAGTCCACTATTTGTTCAGCTAGGAGTGCTTTGAGGTTATATTGTGAGCAGATATTAATTGACCCATTCACCCAATCTGCAATGATCAGTTTTCCATCTTCCTCTTGTATGCACAATTGACGGGTGACTGTGTTCCTATTTTTGCAGTCAATAGCTATCACTTTATTTGCGTTTTCGTAGCTCGCAGCTGTATGCGAGGTCAGTCCAAGAAACATGTTCATCAATGACTTTGGCGCATAGACATCGTTAACAACAAATCTTGTTTTTCCAAGATGATCATTCACCGACAATGTTAGCACACGTCTATTGCTGGTAGCAATAACTAAGCCGACTCCAGCAAAATATTCAACAATCGTTACAATTTCACTCCCTGAAAGTTTGACGGTGGTTGTTTGCACTCCGTCAAAGATATCTAGAGATGGTGCCAGACTCAATGATTCTATGTATCTGATTTGCCCTGTAACAGAATCCACAATCACGACACTTGTATCATTATTAGTTGAGTTAGGGAAGAGTTTGACTTGGGGCAGAATGCCTTGCTCATTTTTCTCGTAGCTGAACTCAATGAATATAGGATGGATATCTCCTGATTTATAATTGTAGATTAGAATTCTCTCGCTAGTCACCAGAACAGCTTTCTCGGTTGCAGAATCGAGAGATCCATAGCAAATGGTTTCGTCAGTTTTAAGCTGGGGGAGTTCACAAGGGTATCTCGAGATAACAAATGAGTCTGTGCGCACAGTTTCTACCAGTCTCACTATCTGTGCTGACTGGTTGGAACTAGCCGGTGTCGAACTCCTTAATCTTTCGAGGTTGAAACTGAACATGAAGTAAGATTGATAAGTTTTGTTTGGTAAATAAAAGCTGGCCAGCCCCGGGTAACCGTTCCCAATTGGGGATCTAAAAAAAAAATATTTTAATATTTTTTCATTAAAAAAAAAAATATATAGCCAAAATGATTAGGACGATCAAGCCCAAGAACGCGCGTTCGAAAAGAGCTCTGGATAAAAGACAGCCCAAAATAGTTGAAAATGTGAAGACGGCTTTGTTTGTTCCAGGAACGACTTCGAACAAAGCCCTTCATGATATCACAGTGGATTTGGCTGCTCTAAAAAAGCCCGATGTTAAACGGTTTACCAAAAAGAACGAAGTGCTCCCATTTGAAGACCCATCGAAATTAGAGTTCTTCAGCGAGAAGAATGATGCTTCCTTACTTGTTTTCATTAGTAGCAACAAGAAGAGGCCTAATAATTTAACCTTTGTGCGCACATTCAACTACAAAATCTACGATATGGTCGAGCTTCTCGTGCTGAACAACTATAAACTGTTGGAGGAGTTCAAGAAGGCAACATTTCAAGTTGGTTTGAAGCCGATGTTCGTCTTCAATGGTCCAATTTTTGATACTCATCCGCTCTTCAAGCAGATTAAATCCCTATTTCTGGACTTTTTCAGAGGAGAGGTTACCAAACTACAAGACGTCTCTGGTCTACAACATGTGATTGCTGTGTCAGCAATTGAAGAGGATGATAACGATGAAAGTATTTCTAAGCTTCCTCTGGTTCATTTCCGCGTTTACAAATTGAAGACTTACAAGTCCGCTGAGCCAAAACTCCCAAGGGTAGAGCTTGAAGAGACAGGTCCTAGACTCGACTTCAAAATTGGCAGACATCAGTATCCTGACCCTGAGATGGAGAAGGAAGCACTCAAGGTGCCTAAGCAACTGCAATCAACTCAAAAGAAGAACGTCGATGTGGATAGAATGGGTGACAAGATCGCCAAGGTTCACGTTGGTACCCAAGACCTGAGCAAACTACAGACAAGAAAGATGAAAGGGCTGAAGAGTAAGTATGATCAGTTGAGCGACAGCGAAGATGAGGTTAGTGAGAATGAAGATGGAATCAGCGATGGTGATGAAGATGAGGTTAGTGATTCCAGCGCTGACCAAGAAGAAGGAGACACTGAGTTTATGGACGCCGAAGAGGAGCTGCCCGAAAGAAAGAAGAGAAGGGTTTAATCGATTATAATTGACAATATATAAGAAGTAATTAGCGAACAGTGGGTAAGCGATGATGGCAATTATTGTACACCAGGTAATGATTGAATGCTTTTCCTAATAGAAATTATGGCCATATTTGTTGTCAACTTGTGACTTCTCATTAGCGTTGTTGTTGTTCAAAAATGAAGACACAGTGGAGGGGCTTTGGAAAAAACAGTAATTCTCTAGTAATTGTTGATATGACTTTGAGTTGATGTCTGGCTTACGCGAGTGGTTGGCGGCACCCGTATACCTGGATACTGGTGGAATTTTTTCTTCAGGCACTTTTGTGGTTGGCGAAATATCCCTTTCGTCTTGATTGAGTTTGTTTTCATCATTGATTTTCAAAGGAAGAGGCGGTGACATTAAGTCTGTGAATGTAGGGGCAGCACTGACGTTTTGGAAAACCAGCGGTGTTCCCGGCGAGTTCATGCTGCTATCTAGAACGGTTTCTTGGTGGAAATCGTAAGGCGTTTGTTGGTGAAGATCAGCCCTAAAAGGTTCCGGCAAACTTAGGTCTTTAAGAGCATTGTCTAGCTCGGGATATGATCTAGGGTTTGAAGCGTTTTTGGAAGCCAATTTGGACGAAACATCTTCAAAGCTGGCACTTTTGCGAAGGAATTTCGATGAGTACAAGTTTTCATGGTGAGCGTTCTTTCTAGGTGCTTTGGCGTAAGATGTATCCCTAAAGAATCGTAATTCGTAGTTTTTCTGATAGTTGTTATCCCAAAAAACTTGATTAGCGGAAACGTACCGGACACAAAGATAAAAATATGGATCCAAGTCCACGAGCGGTTCGTGGCTAGAATAGAACTGCGAAAATAGAGTTGGAACAGATAATCTGAAAACAAACCTATCATAGTTCGCACGTTTTAGCAGCCTTGGGATGTCCGGAACATACGAAGCTTCCATATTGGTGACTGTCTCCCAATTGTTGAAGGTGTATCGAACTGTAACAGACTTTTGGAACGTCAGGTTCTTAACGGCAATCTGTCCTAGGAGTTCAGTCTTATCCACGCTCAAAAAACACCTTTCTAGAAAAACAGGTGTTTCTTTATCAATTTGATCTCTGTAAGAAACCCTTGGTAATTGATCCGAATTCAAGTCCCATGCCTTGATCAACTTCTTAAACTTCTCAATTGACCTCTGGCTTCCTGACTCGACATATTCTTTTGAAGCACTGTAGATAGTATCATGTGAGCCAAAGTAATCGTCGTCGTCAGATTCGCACTCTGAGTCGTATTCGTCATCAGAAACAAAGGGAGAGTTGCCTGCGCTGATGGAGCTGGGCTTATCTGCTTCATCAAAATACTTGACAGCTATGTTTCCGCCGAAATGCACTTGTTTGTAGGTTGGAGTGGCGGGCAGGGATTTGGAGCTACCACCCAGAATATTGAGCTTGAGGGACGATTTAACTAGCTCCCCTGATTTCTTGCGCACCAATGGAGACATTAGCTCATATTTGGAGTCCGGTAGCGATACTGGGCTACCTATTTGTTCTGGTGAGTGCTCGTTATCTATTTCTGGTTTGGAACTTTCTTGTGAGGGGGGTGGAGAGTGTGTTTTTGAGTTCAAAATAGTGTTGTGTTTCATGAGTTCTTCGTTCTCACCCGAGAAGCTAGATCTGGAAGGCCTCTTCATGAAGCTGATCGATAATGGTAAGCCGTCATTTGAGGTTGTATCGCTGGAACGTGTTGGGTGATTTTGGGGACTACTTGATATGCTCTCGGAAGATGAAGTAGGGCTTATTTTTGTGCTTTTGCGGGAACGCACAAACGGCATTTGAAGCTTGATGCTAGTTGCTCTAGGAGTCGTATGTCCGGAACCTTCCTAAAACTATGGCACAACTGTTTAATCCTTTTAGGGATTTATTTAATGATTTAACCATAAGGTGATGTTATGTAATTTGAACGTCACGGGATTGGAATATCCACTAGAAGCTTCCCGTTGATTCGATAGGTACCAATGAACAAATATCTTCAGGCTTCCAGTATATCCCTTCAGTAACCTGTTGGTCCGATTGCACACCGTTCCTACCCAGCCGAATTTGATTGCGGTCTCAAATTTATATCCCTCTAAAAATAAGATAGAAGAACGCGGAATTTGATATGTTTTCTATAATAGAGTCCGAGAAAAGATATTGTGTGTTCTCGGCTTGCGTTCTGCCTCGCTCCACTTGCTTCTAACGAGTATACTTCTATGGTCTCTATCTACAAGATGTGACACAGTAAGCTACAAATCCTGGCTATTTGCTAACTTATTACCCTTTTGACCTGAACTAGTTCAATCTCCCTCCTTGCCCATAAATGAGCTACCATAGGGGATATGGGACATACCGGCTCAAGCAGAAACTTTTATACTGCTCCCAAATCTGTACAAATATTGTCTTCAAATGTGGTTTTATGCAGCGATGACATTGTGGACCTTGGTTGCCCCACAGTTGCCTATTCTTGAATCAGATCGCTCCTCCCGCAAAAAAAAAACCCAACTGCCCACTAAAAATTTATTTGTAGTATTATTTAGTGCAGATGTCCACCCAGTATAATTTCTCGCTGTGGAACATTTGGGTGGCTTCTACGCTGCTTAAAATTCTGCTGTTTCCGGCATACTACTCCACAGATTTTGATGTGCATCGCAATTGGCTCTCAATCACCAAATTATTGCCCCTAAACAGGTGGTATCTAGAAAACACGAGCGAGTGGACTCTTGATTATCCTCCTTTTTTTGCCTACTTCGAGTGGTTTTTGTCACTTTTTGTTCCCACCAGCGTGTCGCAAGATGGTTGTATCAGTCTTGTGGCTAAAGGAGAGTTTGGAATGCCAACTGTTATCTTCCAAAGAAGCACAGTCATAGTGAGTGAAATAGTGCTCTTCATATCGCTGCAGTATTTTGTTAGCAAGTCGTCCAATCTGAAAGAAAAGAAGCGCAATTTCGTGGTTGCTTCCTCCATTGCCCTGTCGCCAGGCTTCTTCATGGTGGATCATATTCATTTCCAGTACAATGGGTTTTTGATGGGCATTCTGGTTTTGTCCATAGTCAACGCCAAGCTCGGTAACTATCTTCAGTGCGGCTTCTGGTTTGCTGTTTTGTTGTGTTTCAAGCATATTTTCCTCTACATTGCCCCTTCCTACTTTGTTTACCTTCTCTCGGCCTACTGTCTGGATTGGCAAGCTAGATTTCCAACTACTGTCAGCGATACGTTCAACTTCGTGAAATGGAAAAACCTATTCAAATTGGCTTCTGTTGTGTTGGGCGTGTTTGCGGTGGCATTTGGGCCTTTCATCTATTATGGACAGTTATACATTGTGCTCCAACGACTGTTCCCTTTTTCAAGAGGACTCACGCACGCTTATTGGGCTCCCAATATATGGGCCATATATTCTTTGATTGATAGAGTCTTGATTCAGGTGGCCTTAAGAGTACCCGGTTCCGCCCCTATTCTATCACTTATCTTCAAACAATTGGACCTAGAGAGACTAAAAACTGCAAATACCTTGACCCGAGGATTGGTGGGGGACGTCGAGTTCTTTGTTCTGCCTAATATACAGCCAAACCACACCTTCCTATTGACGCTATTTTATCAGTCACTGTCCCTGGTGCCTTTATTCCTGAACCCAACTTTTGAGCGGTTCATTGGATCCATGACCTTGTGTGCATGGGCATCCTTTCTATTTGGCTGGCATGTTCACGAGAAAGCCATCATGCTAATCATTGTGCCCTTCACTTTTTTGATCCCTCGCGATCGAAAGTTGCTTCCACTTTACGAAACCCTCACTGCGTCTGGTTATGTCTCATTGTTCCCGCTTCTTTTCGGTTCTGCAGAATGGCTTTTCAAAGCACTGCTCACCTTTGTGTGGTTTGTGATATTCTCGAATAGTTTCAATGAGGTTTGCGATTTCAGTTCCACAATGTCACGTCGTGTCTTCATACTGGATAGGCTCAATTTCTTCTATATAGTGGGGCTTATTCCGTTGTCATGTGTGATACAGCTCCTTGACATACAGTCCAGGAATTTTGAAGTATTACGAAGATTTGAGTTTCTGAGACTCATGGCATACAGCACATACTGCGCTATTGGTGTGATAAGCTCGTGGAACATGTTCAGCTGGCTATACTTTCTTGATGATAGTCTATGGGAGGGAAGAGAAGCTAAGCAAAAAGCGCTCTGAGCCAATGTTTGCATTACTCACTTTATTATTCTATCAGGAAACATTGTCAAATTTGTGGTTGATGAAGTCTTGGATTTTCGGCAAACAGTCGTAATTCTCGTCGATCAACCTTGTCCAGACCAGCATGTTCCTAATTGCATTCGCATCCCGACACTGAAGTGCACGCCATATATACATGAACACATAATCGGATATAACAACCAATTGCATCTGGCTGGTAAACGTGTCTTCCAACCTGTCCAAGTCGCTGAGAAAAAACAGAATTTCAGAACGTTTCTTTGGATAGTATTGGCCAAAGTTCAGCAATAGGTCCAACAAGACAGTGCCTTCATCTTTGAAAAGTTTCAACAGAAGCAAGGCACCAAGCTTGGGGCCGTCCTGCTCCACTTCGGGAATGCGATCTATGTCCGTGTTCAACCGTCTTGGCTCCTCTTCGGCAATCAGAGTCTCATTCTGGCTATCGAAAAACAGCTCACGTGCTTCAGGAAACTTTCCCAGTCCTCCTGATTGAATTAGCCAACTCTGGAGCTCGATTCTAAATTTCTGTATGTTGCGCACACATACTCCCTTAATTTTGAGTGACTTGAGCATTATGCAAATAACTTTTAAGGGAATCTCATACGAGTTCTTGTCCTCGCCCACCTGTCTCAACTGATCAAACTGATTTGACAAAAAGGTGTCGACAACAACACTCTTTTCGTGATCGGTCAAGATCAAGGGCCCTTTTCGACTGAATGGGTATTCTATGCGTCCCAAAGGAGAATTCTTATCATTTTGTCTTTTTCCACGCTCTTCGATGAGCAGGTCGTGAAGATACGTTACCTGCCAGTGATGGTACTGCTGCATGCAAAGATGACGTAGAAGTTTTAATCTAGCACCAGGGGTCATCAGAAGCTCGTCCATCATGGCAAAGTAGAGACTTGGGTTTCGCTTCACTAAAATCTTGTAGTTTACTGAGTCGCAAACAACATTAATTAGCTCCTCCGTTGATATGGCAGGATCATTTTCTTTCTGTAGCAACTCATCTTCGGTCATTAAGCTCGCCTCATATTCGTACATGACAATCCAGGCAACACTGCGCACCACTTTCTCGCAAGGACACGCGTGGTCTGTGTCGTCAAACACATAGTCTAGGTGGTCGAGCAGTTCGTCCGGAGATGTGAAGAATATGTCCACATCGTCTTGGGACTTATGTAAGAGTTCGACGAACTCGTCGGTTAGCTGTGTATTTGGTCCTCGTGGAATTTCTCGCAGATCGTTCCCCAGCTCATCAAACTGGAGAGGAATCGGCGAATAATGAGGTTGGAGAATATCATCTGGCAAGAATGGATCTTTCTCTTCTAACGTGTCCTTGATCGGGTCACCCAGAGACTTTATGATAGCCTGTTGTCGTTTTCTTCGCTCCGTGTCACAGGGGCAGCTTGGATGGAACTCGCAGTCGATATCAAAGTCAGAATCGTTGTCCGGGTGGTGTGCAAAATATGGATCGTCCTTCACGTCTCTCGTTAGACTCAGCTCGAACATGTACATGACGTCTTCGTCGTATCTATCATTCAGGATCAGTTTGAACGGCAGATTCTCAAAATCAATGCTACCAACGCGGGCAGGCAAGATGTGGATGTCGTTTTTGTTCGTCAATGACCCGGTAATTGCGCGACGGCCAAGAGGTCGCATAAACGTAAATAGCGAGCTGTGTTCAAGATCGTGCACATAGTTTTCGTCCTTCGCTGTGATTGCGGCAGCCGTGATTGATCTCAGAGCAGCACATCCTTTGATTACTTGTCGCACAATCGGCGGATATCCTGGAAAATTGAGCTTCTCGTCTCTGCGATCTATCTCCAAGCCATATATGATAACCAGAGTTATATTTTCCCAGAGTTGGAAGAAAAAATCGGCGAACGGGTTATATGAACCGATGTCTGAACTGTAGCCGACTCTTTTGTAGAGGAGATATATGCAGTACACGGAAACTGTGGCGATGTTGTAGAGTAGTTTCAAATCATGGAACCCGTCAGCAAGGCTAGTTATGCCAGATAGTGTCTTGTGCGGCGTCCAAATATGTAAATTTTCCTCCCAGTGAGTATCGTCGTTATTGACGTTTGCGAGTCTCTCATAATCCGAGCAGTTTAGCAAGACGGTTATTTTTTCAACTATGTTGGCTAACGCAAAGGCAAGATCAAACCGAGGGGTCTCAGAACGGGAGTGTGTGTTGTAGTTCAGCGCGATTACTGCGTTGGCAATTCGTCTGAGAGACAGGACGTGTTCGTAACTGTAGTCCATGTCGGAGGGCTGGGTATACGCATCGCAAAAACCTGCTAGCGAAGCGAAAAGAGGCCAATGATCATATTTCCACGGTCTTTTCGGATTGTGGATCCGCAACAGCTTGAATAAGGCAGAGTGTACTTTCACCGGGTCGAAGTTCACCACTTGGTGAGAAAAATCAAAGTCGAAACTGTATTCTTCCTCGAAGAAATCATCGTATTCTTCGTCGTCTGAAGAGTGAGACCCAATGCCTGGTGATTCGGGTTCGTTGAGTCCCGCATTGGGAACAAACGTCCGTGTGGATTTCTTACGTTTAGGCGGAATGGTGGATAAAACTTGGTTGAAAAAAATATTTACTCAGAGTATTAATTAAGATAGAAAGTTAATGTTGAATTAGAATATATATATACGTATATATATTTGTAGGACCTAGTCCTTCTTATCGATGATATCCCGTTTTATAGCATCCAAAAATTCGCCAATGTCGCCCTTGTCCAAGTGCTTGAGACCGCGTTTGGCCAGGTCGAAATTCTCCTGGACCCGTCTATTGATCTCCTCCTGCTGCTTGAGGTTGCGCTCCTCGATTTCAAGCTTTCGAACATAAATAATATCGTCTCTATAAGCCTCGTTCCCCGGACTTGGCGGAGCCTTGAATGGCTTGAGTGACTGTAAGTAGCTTGTGGGTAAATTCAGCATCTCCAAATTGTGCTCCTGAGTGTCCAGAGAGCTGTGGGTCAAAATGCCCGCCGACTGACTTTTTTTATGAGCACTGTAAAATGGGTGATAATTATCATCCAACTTCTTGCGTTTCAAGTCTTTGTATTTCTTAAGGTTATCCAGGATCGATGAATTCTGAACCTTGGATTTCTTATATGCGTTCGGGGAAAATGACAAGGATGGCGTGGCTGGGTGGTTGTGCTCTATAGGTTTCGTAAGCGGAAGGTGGCCGTTGAAAAACTGCTCCAGCAACAGATCTTTCTCGCGAATGTTGTTAGTGCTTGGCACGCGTGGGAAGGTGGAAATGTAGTTCTTGCGAGTTTTCTTGGGGCGTTGCACGTCACCAGAAGATTCCTGGTCCATAGCATGCTCTGGCGCAGACTCGGGCGCGTTAGAGGCGCTGGAGGCATTCCGGATGGCCCAAGGATAGACGGATGACTTGAAGGTAATAGATTTGCGGCTGGCAACTTTGAACATGGAAACAACTCAAAATAGTGTCAAAGGGAATATATAATATATATATGATTTAGCTTTTGACCGATAAGAACCGGTGTGGGGAGGTAGAATAAAACTTATGATTTTTACAGCCAAGGTCGATCGACGCAAATAATTTGCTCCCCTCATGTCTTCTACAGAAAAGCGGCTTCTGAAGGAATATCGTGCTGTTAAGAAAGAGTTGACAGAGAAAAGGTCACCAATTCACGATACGGGGATTGTTGACCTGCATCCTTTGGAAGATGGGCTTTTCAGGTGGAGCGCTGTGATTAGAGGCCCATATCAATCCCCCTTTGAAGATGCATTGTGGAAACTGGAAATCGATATCCCTACAAACTATCCGCTAGACCCCCCGAAAATCAAGTTTGTGGTGTTTGGCGAAGAGAAAATAAGGCAGTTACAGAGAAAAACCAGTTCTGGTGCTCGCAAAATGTGTTACAAAATGCCCCATCCAAATGTTAACTTCAAGACAGGTGAGATCTGTCTTGACATTTTACAGCAGAAATGGTCACCTGCATGGACTCTGCAAAGCGCACTGGTTGCAATAGTTGTATTGCTTGCAAATCCAGAGCCACTGAGTCCACTCAACATTGACATGGCTAACCTGCTAAAATGTGACGACACAACAGCCTACAAAGACCTTGTGCACTACTACATTGCCAAATACTCAGCATACGAATCTAATGATGTATAATTCACAGTGACAGTTTAATTTGATTAACCTATTTCTTAGCCTTCTCCTTCTCAGCTTGGTCCTTCAACACCTTCTTGACGATCTTTTGTTCTTCAATCAAGAAAGCTCTGATAATTCTCTCCTTGACACAGTTTGCACATCTGGATCCACCGTAAGATCTCGAGACAGTCTTGTGGGTCTTGGAAATGGAAGCGTATTGTCTTGGTCTAAGAGAGGCGACACCAGGAAGAGCAATTCCACAGTCACCACACTTTGGTCTGGTACCGGCCTTTTTCTGGTGTTGTGCAACAAGCTTTCCACCAGGAGTCTTGACCACCTTAATCTGGTTAGATCTGGTGTTGTATGGGTTTCTTCTTCTAAAAGTCACTCTCTGGGCCATGGCTGATGTTTAGAAAGAATTTTTGAAAAGTTTGAAAATTTTAATATACGGGAAACCCGGGTTTGTATCACGTGACAGAAATCCTTCCGGAGATTTTATTCAGCTATACACTTAGTTCTCCAACGCAACAACCTCCATCTCCACCTCAACGCCTAGTGGCAGTTGCTTCACAGCAACACACGATCTTGCTGGCTTGTGAGTGTTGAAATACTTGGAATAGACCTCGTTGAAAGCTCCAAAGTTCTCCATGTCGGTGAGGAAGACGGTCACCTTGACAATCTTCTCAAGGGAAGAGTTACTATCCTTCAAAACGCCTAGAACGTTTTGGATAACACGGTCGGACTTCTCCTGGAACGTTCCCTCGACCCTTTTACCCTCAGGAGTGAATGGGATTTGACCGGAGACGTATATTGTTCCGTTGGCCTTGATTGCGTGCGAGTAGGAGGCAGCTGCTGGAGGAGCGTTAGTAGAGATCACAGGAGTCAATGTAGAAGACATTCTTAAGAATTGGCTATTATAAACAGGTTTAGTGGCAATTCTGGCAATGCTTGCAAATCTGTACATGGTTAAAAAGCTATTGGCTGCCAGCGATTACCATATGGCTATATCGGTACCGACACGACCGCCGGTTTACTTTGAGTCAACCCCTTCGACGATCTCGCCAGAAAGCGGCTGGCTAGCTTCGAGCTGTTGTCTGAGTAGTTTCTGTGCCTCGAAGTCCCGAGCGTTGGCTTGCTGTTTGGCACTTAGCTCTTTTTCGCGACGCCTCTGCATCCGCTCGGCGTCCTTCACAGGCCCGTATTTCAAGTTCTGAGGTTAGTAAACCAACCAGTTCTACTTACATCATTCTCTTGTTCTGCAAATAGGTACACAGCGATGGTTGTGGCTGCGCAGACCAGCGATGTCACACCAAGCGTTATTTTGGAAGCTCTCGACATTATTGAAATTTTTTGGCACAGCCAGGTACGGGCTTATATATGGCCGATTAGAAACGACCTTGCAACGATAACCGCGTATCCGGGCACCAAAGGTTGTGGTTAGCACGCTGAAAGTAATGCGGCTCACTGTGCGGGTTTCTGGGTGAAAAAGTCGAAACGTTACCCTTATCAGCCGCACGTTGCAAACTCTGCCGTATCGAATGTTTACATCTGTACATGTAGTATCTACGGCGCAGGTACTATCGCCAACGCGCAAGCTCTTCCGAGTAGCTCATAAAGCCATAAAATGCTGGAAACATCCGGTCAGCGTGTATTTCTATTCTGTGCGTATATCGTCCGCTTTGAGGAATTCGTCCATTTCTCCCATACTCAAAAATATTAATAACAGAATAAGCGTACCAATCTCATTTGCTTATGTTGAATAATTACAACAATCCCACGCCGCAGCCCATCGAAAAATACCAGGACCAGGCGCAGCACCAATACCATCAGGATGTTCAGTCGTCCTCGTATACAAGCATCACATCGCCGTCGAACTTCGTCAGCTATCATAGTCCGTCAGCGAACCCGCCTCCAGCGTTTGTTCACCGTAACTCGTTTTCCAGCAGGTCCAACTCGACAGACGGGTCCTCCTTGAACATTCGTCAGGGCTCTGTGGGTTCCATATCGGGACTTCCTCAATCTTCGTTCCTGGCGTCCTCTTCCTCTCACATCGCCCCGGCAGGACGCAGATCGCTGCTCACCACCAAATTACAGCAACAACAAGACCAATGCTCCCCGTCTGCGCAACAACTCACTCATATCGGGCAGCACGCGTCAAACCTCCCTTCTCACGTGAGCTCCTCCTACCACGACAAGTTCACGCCTACGTCCTTACAGATGAGTCAGCTGGGGGCTATGCCACAGCACATGTCCAGCCAATTCGGGTCGTTGGGGAACTCGGGCTTCCCTCCTCATCCTGCACCGGCCACTGCAACAACCACGATCTCCAAAGACATCGCGTTTTCCACTAATTCATCCTCCAGCACCTTGTATCAAGACGCACAGCAGTCTATCCACACACCCACCGACGATCCCCACAGGCCGCACTTTGTTTCTGCGTCAGCGCCCTCTCAGACATATTTCCAGTCGTCCTCCTTCCCTAGAAGTTCAATAGATCACCACCACCAACAGTTCCAGCAGAACATGCCTCACTCTCAGTTTTCCTCGTATTCGCTTTCGAGGCACCCGGAGCACATGCCACTGAATCCAATGTCCCAGGCCCGAAACGAAGACCATCTGGACATTCCTAACCACCCGGTAAACGACCTGTTGCTAATGCTGTCCGCCCTGTTACAAAAAATCGTGGAAGCCAACGATTCGCTTCATCCCGATCACTATAACAGCCAGGACAACCAGATGCAGGCCGGCGGTGAGCAGAACAAATACACCACCAACGTACTCGCATTCCACGGCCGCAACATTCCTGCCATTTCGCTTCACGCTTATCTGACGAGGATATCTAAGTACTGCCCCGTGACAAACGAGGTGTTTCTGAGCTTACTGGTGTACTTTGATCGGATCGCCAAGCGCGCAAACAACGGCGACTTTAATTCGACTTTTACTTCTTCTCCAAAGGCAGGCTTTGAGGATTCAAATGCTAAACAGCAGCTGTTTGTCATGGACAGCTATAACATCCACAGACTCATCATCTCTGGGATAACAGTGGCATCGAAGTTCTTTAGCGACGTCTTCTACAAAAACTCTAGATACGCAAAAGTCGGCGGCCTTCCCCTGGAGGAACTCAATCACTTGGAACTGCAGTTTTTGCTACTTCTGGATTTCAAGCTTATGATCCAGGTAGAGGAAATGCATCGGTATGGTGACCTGCTGATGAAGTTCTGGAAGCGCGAACAGCTCAAGTTGTCACAATTACGCGAGCAATGATCACTCAAGCAGTCAGTCGGTATAATATTGGTCGTGCAACGGTGACTAATTAAGAAAAAATTTTGGAATTTTCATCGTAGCTCCAACCGGTATGGATTTAGTTAACCACCTCACAGACAGACTGCTGTTTGCGGTTCCGAAGAGTAAGTCAGCTCAGCATAGCGAGATTGCTAACACCATCTAGAGGGGAGACTTTACGAGAAATGTGTTAATTTACTCAAAGGCTCCGACATCCAGTTTAATAGATCCAGCAGACTCGACATCGCTTTGTGTACAAACCTCCCAATTGCGCTCATATTCCTGCCAGCAGCCGACATACCCACCTTTGTCGGAGAAGGTCGCTGTTCCATCGGAATCACTGGCGTCGATCAAGTGAAGGAGAGCGACGTTGACGTCGACATCTCCATGGATCTCTTGTTCGGAAAATGCAAATTACAAATCCAAGTGCCAGAAAATGGGCCATACGAAAAACCTGAGCAACTTATCGGAAAGACCATCGTTTCCTCGTTCACAAACCTCACTAGACAATATTTCGAAGAGCTGGAGGGTGTCAAGCCAGGAGAGCCACTCAAAACTAAAATCAAGTTTGTTGGCGGTTCCGTCGAGGCAAGTTGCGCTTTGGGTGTTGGTGATGCCATTGTTGATCTTGTTGAGAGCGGTGAGACTATGAAAGCTGCAGGGTTGCACGCCATTGGTACCATTCTGAACACATCCGCACACTTGATCATCTCCAGACACCCATCCCACCCTGAGCTTGTCGAAGTGATCAAATCGCGCTTGGAAGGTGTTCTGGCTGCTCAGCGCTACGTGCTGTGTAATTACAACGCTCCGAGATCGATGCTTCCAAGCCTGCTTAAGTTGACTCCCGGGAGACGTGCTGCCACAGTTTCTCCTCTTGACGACAGTGAATGGGTGGCTGTCTCGTCAATGGTGGAACGCAAGGACATGGGTAACGTCATGGACAAGCTCAAGGAGCTGGGAGCTTCGGATATTCTTGTATTTGAAATCTCCAACTGTAGAGTTTAGTGAGATGTGGTGTAGGGGTGTTAGATTAATTGACAATTAATAAATTGGGCTGAGTCGGTTTCTACAAAAATTAATTGAGGCCGATTTACACCAGGTTTGTTTGCAACAGCGCACGGGAGCATGACCACACGCCGAGAGGCTTTCTGAAAAAGATACAAAACTTCTATTTGACAAACTCTCTCAATTGAAAGTTTCTCCACAAGACTATAAGCTAACCGCATCATTCTCTCTGGAGTTCGATGAGCATCCCTAACTCTGGAGACTCGTCTAGGACTAATTCAGTTAGTGATTTTGCCAAAACTCGAACCCCAGGCGCCAGAACAGAAACTATCACATCTCGTCCCACCTCAACACGCCATCAATCAAGACAACAAAGTTTGAACCAGTACACGCTGGACAGGGACTTTGAGGACACGTTGAATGTTGCATTAGAAAACATCGACTCAAACCCATTTATAGACAGAAGTGTCCACCAAGCAACGGACAATACAGACGCATATTCACTCAAAAGCCTGAATAAAATGAACTCGCACTCTTATGGTTATGGACTCGATGATGGCGATATCCCTTTGATCCCATCCAATGACTCCAATTCTGACCCTCACAGTTCTCGTCCCTCCTCTAAGGCTGATTCGAGAACCATTTGGAGCAAAGGAGTCCAATCTCTGATTCATTCATCTAACCGACTCGTCCTGGGATCAGGAAGCAAGAAAAAAGGTATTCAACTGCCTTCGGAAGACTCAACCAGCTACAACATTAATGTCGGCGATGAGCGCACAATCATACCTCACATGGATGGCGGTTACTCGTCCAATGCGGTTTCGAATGCTAAATACAATGCGCTCTCGTTCTTCCCGATGATCCTTTACGAGCAGTTCAAATTCTTTTTCAACCTGTATTTCCTGCTCGTTGCTCTCTCCCAGGCCATTCCTGCTCTTCGGATCGGCTATTTATCTTCTTATATTGTTCCGCTAGCATTTGTGTTGACGGTGACGATGTTGAAAGAGGCCATTGACGACATACAGAGACGTCGCAGAGACATGGAGCAAAATAATGAGCTTTATGAGGTTCTCGGGTCCATGAAAAAAGTGCCCGCAAAAAACCTCAAATGCGGAGACCTGGTCAAGCTGTACAAAGACAGGAGAGTGCCCGCAGATATGATACTTCTCCAGTCATCTGAATCCAACGGTGAGTCTTTCATTAAAACAGACCAACTTGACGGTGAAACCGACTGGAAGCTGAGACTTGCTTGTCCTTTAACTCAAACGCTTTCTGAAGATGATCTAGAACTCATCAAGGTTACTGTATCCCCACCATCGAAACACATCCACTCTTTTTTGGGCAAGCTCACGTTCGGCGATCACACCTCTGCATTGAACATTGATAACACCATGTGGGCAAACACCGTTCTTGCTTCCGGAACTGCAATAGGTTTTGTTGTTTACACCGGCAAAGATACACGTCAATCAATGAATACCTCAGTTGCAGGTGTCAAAACAGGCTTGCTGGAACTGGAGATCAACAATCTATCCAAAATTCTGTGTGCGTGCGTTTTCATATTGTCGTTTGTGCTGGTTGCATGTCAAGGTTTTGCAAGCGATTGGTATGTGGATGTGATGCGCTTCTTGATCTTGTTTTCCACAATCATTCCGGTTTCGCTAAGAGTGAACCTTGATTTAGGAAAATCTGTTTATGCCTACCAAATCGAGCACGACAAATCAATCCCGGAAACTGTGGTCCGCACCAGCACCATTCCCGAAGACCTCGGGCGCATTGAGTATCTGTTGAGCGATAAGACAGGCACTTTGACCCAAAACGATATGGAGCTGAAGAAGCTGCACTTGGGAACAGTCTCCTATGCAGGAGACAGTATGGATCTGGTTGCAGATTACGTACGCAACGCGAATGAGCACGCCAAAACATCACGGCGGGATCTTGGCTCAAGAATTAGAGACTTGATTACTACGTTAGCGATCTGTCATAATGTCACTCCTACATACGAAGATGGAGAGCTTGACTATCAGGCTGCTTCTCCTGACGAGATTGCCATTGTCAAGTACACAAAAAGCGTTGGACTATCTCTGGTCAAACGTGATCGCACTAGCCTCTCCATTTTGCACGAAGCCACCAACAAGACCTACGAGTACGATATTCTTCAAGTTTTCCCATTCAGTTCAGAGACTAAGAGAATGGGAATTATTGTGCATGACAAAAACCGGGAGGAGCTCTGGTTTTTGGAAAAGGGTGCAGACACCGTGATGAGCAAGATTGTGCAACAGAATGATTGGCTGGAAGAAGAAACAGGAAACATGGCACGGGAAGGCTTGCGCACTTTAGTTATCGCCCGCAAAAGACTCACCACCAATGTCTACGAGGAATTCAAGGCCAAATACCAAGACGCAAGCTTGTCCATGCTGAATAGAGACCAGGCTATGTCCAAGGTACTTGCACAGTATCTGGAACGTGACTTGGAATTGCTTGGACTCACAGGCGTGGAAGATAAGTTGCAGAAGGATGTCAAGGCATCGATTGAGCTTTTGAGAAACGCTGGCGTCAAGATCTGGATGCTCACAGGTGACAAGGTTGAGACTGCTCGTTGTGTTGCCGTGAGCGCAAAGCTGATTTCAAGAGGCCAATACATCCATACCATCACTAAGCTGAGCCGCCCTGAATACGCTTTACAACAAATCGAATATCTTCGCACAAACAAAGATGCATGCTTATTGATTGACGGAGAGTCACTGGGCGTGTATCTGACATATTACAGACAGGAATTTTTCGACATCGTTGTTCATTTACCGGCTGTGGTAGCCTGCCGTTGTTCGCCCCAGCAAAAGGCTGACGTTGCTTTGTTGATTCGCGATGCCACCAAGAAGAGAGTCTGCTGTATTGGTGATGGAGGTAACGATGTCAGTATGATCCAGTGTGCCGACGTGGGTGTCGGAATTGTTGGAAAGGAGGGCAAACAGGCGTCGCTGGCTGCTGATTTCTCAGTTACACAATTCTGCCACCTGACAAAGCTGCTTCTTTGGCATGGCAGAAACTCTTACAAGCGCAGCGCGAAATTGGCACAGTTTGTGATCCACAGAGGCCTCATCATTTCGGTGTGTCAGGCAGTTTACTCTATCAGTTCCTCGTTCGAACCTCTTGCACTTTACCAAGGATTTCTCATGGTTGGTTATGCGACTTGTTACACCATGGCTCCCGTTTTTTCTCTAGTTTTGGACTCTGATGTCAGTGAGACCCTAGTGTCGTTGTACCCAGAGCTGTACAAAGAGCTGACTGCTGGACGCTCGCTGTCATACCGCACGTTTTTCGTTTGGGTATTTGTGTCCCTATACCAGGGAATAGTCATCCAGGGGTCCTCTCAAACTTATGTCGGACTGAGCACAGACGTATTTACCAAAATGGTGGCTATCAGTTTTACTGCATTGGTGTTGAATGAGCTGGCCATGGTTGCAATTGAGATCAACAAATGGAATAAAGTGATGATGTTCAGCGAGATCATTACTCTGGCGATCTACATCGGGTCTATTCCTTTCTTGTCTGATTACTACGATATGAATTATGTGAAGAGCGTCTCGTTCCTGTGGCAGACGTGCTCTATTTTGGCCATATCATTGCTTCCTATTTGGGCAGCAAAGGCCATCAATAGAAAACTGAGACCGCCAAACTATGCCAAAGTGCAGCAAGCATAGATGTTTTACTGTGCATCATCTTCTTCTTCTTCTTCTTCATCACTCTCGTCCTCCTCTTTCCATTGCTTAGAGGTCTTCCTTCTCTGGAAGTCTTTGATGTGTGCGCTATTGAGCATCTTGGAGATTTGACCGATAACAGTGTTTCTGCGAAGAGATTCAGCGGCAGCTTCGTCTTCGCGTTCTGCTTCTGCTGCAGTTGGCTCGCTAGGAGCTGCGGTCTTTCTAATAATTATAGGATAGGGTAACGGCAATTCCCTCGATGCTCTGGCAAGATGAACGTTTGTCGCGTGCTCGTTCTCCATTCTGAAGAATATCCAGATGAAACGTCTAATGATCTCTGCAAGCGCAATGAAAAAACTAGTCACTGCTGATTGTTGGATCTGTGTCTTGAAGAAAGCATAGAAGATCCACTGAAATCGCAGAATAACATCCGTCACCATGGCCGTATAGTAATACCATTTATTCTCAAAGATCAGATGATCTCTAAGTAGGAAATTATGTGAGTCAAATTGTAGCAGCGACCAGTCCATGAAGATATCCCACATGGAGGAGTACACAGAGTTGATTGTCGCGAATGTGATCAATAATGCCCTGTATTTGGTGACGGTCTCGATACGGTACAGACTCAGGGACATGTAGTAGAGAATCGAGCCGGTATACTTTGCCATGTTGGCCAAATGTGGAAACCACTCGCCAGTATCTGCATATCTCCTGAAACACTGCAAAAATCTCCAAATGCTTGGCAAAGTTGACAGAAATCCAAGTAGTCTGGATCTTGAAGACCCGCACTTTGTCGTTCCTGAACCGTCCAAGCACCCATGCCAGTGAGTAGCATACAGACAGAAAAACATCGACAAGTTGGAAATCGAGTACGTTAGGGAGCAAAAAACGTCTCCCAGAAAAAAGTCTCTAAATTCCACAGGGTACAGTCCTGAAAGGATAAGCCTGAAAATTGAAGAAAGCAGCCATGTGCGAGAATTCAGAAACAAGATGTCGAGTGGACACACAAGAAGGAGTGCACAGATTCCAAGATAGATCCATGGCCAATTTCTGCCATCAAATGTATCGCTCCAGAAATTCTCAAAACTGAACCAGGCTAAAATGGACCCGAGAAAGAAGAAGACCGAAGACATGGCAAAATACTGACGGTAGTCCAGAGCATCTCTTGGGTTGAATTCAAAGATGAACTTGTAATTCACTTTGTATATGCTCCAGACGTAGCAATTAATGGAAAATAGCAGGCCTATCAGGCAGCAAAAAAAGAAGCCACCCCAGATCTGCAATAAATACCTTGCTTCTGGCAGCTCACCTGTCTTCATCTTATGCAATGCCAAATAAATAGTGTAGACGAACACTGGTATAGAGAATCCAAGCATGAAGGACCCCAAAAACGTGGATATGTAGTACTGTTTCTCAGCCTCACTGGATCTTAGTTTCGCCACTGCGACCTTGCGGTTCCCATTCTCAAAGACATCAGTGAATATGGTTTCTATCTTTGCCATCAGGTTGTCCAAGAGGTCAGAAGTGACAAAATAAGAGCTGTCCACCTTGCGCATGTATATAGGAAGAATATTATCATCTGTAGCCTTGTCGTATTTTTTGATGAGTTTGCGGAAAGCGGTACGGTTCAATACTTTGTATGATTTGAGAAGCTCCATAGAGCGGTAAAGTTCATAAATAGCCTTTTTGAGTGTCTTTCTCGCAGAATAGTATGGAATAGCAGGCTGTGTAGATTTGCGCCGTCTATAATCGCGTCTATCGTCGAGACCCTGTTCTCTGTCCTCATCATAGTACTGCTTTTCAGCAGATCCGTTTTCTTTGAGCCAGTCGAACTTTGGAAGGGAAGGAGTATCGAATTTGTTAATTATTCTGAATTTGCGTTTGGTCAAGTAAGCAGCAAACCAGAAATTGCTATGTATGGCACGTGCCATGGCACCTTCCTCATCTGACGATTCCTCGTCCGAGTGCATCGTGCTTGTCTCTGACGAATGGCGTCCTTCGATCGGAGCTGAGGACAATCTGGACATCACATTGTTATTTCTACCTTTGTGTTTCCTACGCAAATCACGGAGTTTGGTTAGTTTACGAGACGACCGTTGTTTTTGCTCGTTGAGCTGAACAATTTGGTCCTGCAAAACAACGAACCGGTCCAAGCATGCATCCTCTCGTTCTCGATAGAACCTTTCCACTTTATCAAACTCTGAATTGACCCATCCAATAAAATCTTCGCGTGCTGATCGTGCCAATCCCTCCATTTCGGTACCAGTAGCAGGACTTGTATTGAGAGAGTGAGCTTTTTTGAGGTTGACAATGAAACGTGATACCGTTGATTGATGCCTCGAAATCTGTGCCGCAAGCTCTGGGGACTCCTTTATACTGCCTGTGCTAAGTTTAGGGTCATCACTGGATAACAACGGAGTGGTATCACTGACCTTACGGGGAAGCGTCTCTGGAGAAGATGGTCTGCGTTCTGAAGGAAGCAAAGCTGGAGAGGGCAATTTGAAAGACTGCAGACGCTCAATTTCTGGATCTTCAGTTTGATGACCGCTGTAACGAACAGGCTTATCGGCATTAAAGGATGGAGTCCCTGCCGATGTGCCCTGATCATGGGACTCAGATGCATTGTTCTTGCCTTGAGTCAAGGAACTTTTCAATATGCTTGGCTTCTTCTTAAGCTTCTTAAGCTTCTTCTTCCCTTTCTTGTAATCCAGGTACTGAGATTGCCACTCAGGCACCCGATGTTCAGCCAGATCTTGCCCAAACTTCATGCAATTAATTATTAAAATAAGAAATATTTAATATCAAAACAGAAAGCAATGCATCCCTACACCTTCTGAGGGATCACATCACAACTGCCTACCGTTACTATCGTGTATAAGGTTTTTGAACAAAGTACTCTCAGTGCACGCCACATCGCGCGTCCTTCCCACGTCCTTTATCTCGCCTTCAGGTGTATATATCCAGCTGGCCGTCTTGGCAATACAAACCTTCCCCTGGCAACCGCACTTGGAACTGCGGGTGAGATCTGAGACGTGGTCGGCTAGTATGAGAGACGGATGGGATGGTGGAATGCGAGGCGGAGCCTTACTCTCCTCTGGTGGAATGTATATGTTATCCTTGATATACCGGATCTTAGTGGCTTCCATGTTGTCAATGATAAAAACTCAAAACAGTCGTTCGACTATATATTAAAAAAAACGCTCTGCGGCGCTGGGGCGGCGCGCTTTTTTTCACACTATTCCTTAAAAGAGGAATCGCGACCAAACGCTGCAGCGGCACATCATTTACTGATTAACCGCTTCAGCCATAGTGACTAGACGTCTCACACCGACCATCCAGTCACCGCACTCACCAACATGCTCGAGTGCTATTTGATTCTGCAAGGCTGCTGCCGTAGCGTAGTCAGACTTGGCCATGGCCTCACATAGCGACACCAGCTCCTGGATCGTTTGCTGGCTCAGCAGGTCCTCATTATTCAGATGGTCAAATAAAATGTTGATTCTTTTCTCCGAGTCAGCCAAATGCTTGGAAAACTTCTCAGGGATTTTCGTCTTCAGTTTTTCCAGCTCGCTTGTTAAGACCTGGTAGATAAGCTGGGCCGACTCAGGAATATGTGATCTATCACCTGGAGGGTATTTGGGTGCTGGAGATGCTGCTGAACTTTGTGCTTTGAATGATGGTGGAGGTGGCGGTGCAGAATCCGTGTGGTTGTAAGCCGGAGGCGCAGCCTGGGTAGCAGCAGGAGGAATGATGTTAGTCACTGGAGGAGGAATTATCTTGCTAGCGGCGGATGGAATTCCCGGAGCCGGAGAGGCAATCTCTCCCTGTTTTGGAGCATATGGGTTCCTTGGAGGTGGTGGCATAGCTGCACTCACACCAGGAGAAGCAACTGGACCCCCTCCTGCGTAAATCTTAGGAGAAGCCTGAGGAATCTTGGCAGATTCAATAGACACGCTGTTCACCTTAGGTGCGTATGGGTTAAAAGGAGTGTTTCTGCCACTTGATGGGGTGGATAGCTCGACTTTTTCTGCAAGCTGGGGTGACTGGGCAACAGAGCTCGGAGGTCCGTATTTACTGGATCTGGGAGGCTGATGCACGCTGTTTGCAGGAGGTGGTGGAGTGGTCTTGGACACCGAGGTATTACTCAGCGTACGAGGAGGAGGAGGCACTCCAAATTGTTGAGACGGGGTTCTTGAGATAGGAGGAGTGTTGTTCTGTTCTTGAATGGCATGGAAGTTGTATGCTGAGACAACGGATGGAACAGAGGTTTTCTTAGGTGGTTGCGAGCTCAGAGTACTAGGCAAATCATTCCACCCTCCAACATCTTTCTTTATTGTGGTCTTAGGAGGAGGTGGTGGAGTCATGGATGATGCCAAAGATGGTTGTCCAGGTTGTGGAGATTTCTGCAGTTTTAATGAGTCTAGCGCTGTTCTTGGTGCATATGGATTAGCTGCCACACCGGCTGGCACCGAAGGAGGCACCTTAGTTGAAGCAGTGGTTGCAACCGATCCTGCACGTGATGCAGCAGCACTATATGGATTGAATGGGGCAGCTTGGTTGTTTGCTTTGGTGTGGGGACTGACACCAGTACCATTCGCTGGAGCAGCAGGAGTAACAGGAGTGTACCCTTGCGCCTGTGGAGCAGCATAAGAAGATGCTTGTGAAATGCCGCCATATGCCTTTGGTTTGACGACGTTCTGCTTCTTGTTGAGTGACTTCGAAATCCGCTCCTTTTCCAGCCTCATGCCAGGAACAGTGTCTGGTATTTTTTCCAAAATCTTGTTGGCCAATTCAAAGTGACCATTGTTAACGAGAGCCTCCGCATATTCTCTGTATGCATGACCCAAACCTTGTAGGCTCTCAGGCGAGGAGCCAATTGTGGCAGAATTGGTTGATTGGTATGCCAAAACTTTCTCAATGGTTTCCTCTAAAGCTTTGAAACGAGCATCTGCAGGTGTGCTACTTTCGTCCTTCTGCTGCAAGAAGAAAGACTCCAGTTTTTCCAACTCAGAGACCCAAATAGCCGAAACCTTATCTAATGCGTCGCCGGCGATGTAGCAAGCGATAGCATTGTCTCGGGCATCTGAGCTCTTGGACGCTAGGAGTCTATCTCCCAACTTGACAAAATTATCGTTGAATTCTGGTTTTCCTTGAGAATGAGCCAGAACAGAACCTGCAATTGTCTTCCAAGAACCGATGTCCGCGTTTTGAACAATGTCTCCAACGTTTCCGTTGGACACACTGTATAGCACTCTAGCCAGTGTTGACTTAGACGAATATTTCGTGAAGTACGCATTCTTTACCTTTTTCTTCATGCTTTCAGAACCATTGAGTGCAATAACCAGGGCTTCCAATATGTGATTGTCTTTGATACATTGTTCGAGAGCTTCTTCATTTTTTCCTGCCAAAAGTTTCTCCACTGTCTGGCTTTCAAATGATCCATCATTAGCCAGCGTGAACTCTCCGCTTGGAACGAAGTCTGCCACGATATCTTTTTCCTTTCCAAGCGAAGCAAAGAAATCCTCATCATCGACAGAGGTCTCGTCAACCACTTGCTTATCCTCGTCATTCTTCTCTTCGGGAACCAACTTTTTTATCAATGAAAGCTTTCCATTGTCAATTAGATCATGTAAGGCAGCCCAATCGTTGCTTCCTGTGTATTTTTCGGCGGCCTCAGCTCTTGCTTCACAAAGTTGTTTGAAATCACCACTTTGAATAGCAGAATCCAACTTCCCGGCAGCTTCCTCAACAGCCTTGCTGGCTTTGAACTCAGAAATTTTAATATATGATCCTTTCTGTTCGTTAATAATAGCAACTATCTTTCCCCCAAAACCAAATGTTGCAGAAACTGGTCTCTGTAGCCAAGCAGGGGCCTGTTTTACCTCAAAAACAGGCTGTTGAGTGTCTGTAGAAGATAATTGATTCCAGAAGTCGTCCTCGTTAGCAGAGTTCACTTTAGCAGACACTGGTGGAGAGGTGTCTTGCAAAGACTGCACCAGTATTTTCTTGTCCAACGATGCACTAGCAAACACTTCAGGAAGCTTGGGAGCGAACTTGGTCTCATGAACCCAGTTGGGCAAAGAAGGATACTCGCAAAGCTTTTGGCCGGTAAGAGGATTCCACAAAATGGTGGAATCGTCTTTTCCACTCGAAAGCAGTAAGCCAGGATCCTGTTTACACCAGTCAAGCGATAAAACTCCCTTTCTATGTCCTTTCAAGACCAGCTCAGGAGTTGTGTGTTTTCTCAGATCCCACGTCAAGATGACTGGAGCGCCGTCGGAATCAGAGGCAGTAACAAGTTTCGTGCTCTCCGTTGGGTGCCATTCAACCACCGACAAG